AGTCGCTAAATACGCCCCTACCCTCTATCGGACCGCTAAATGGGCCTATAACCAGCCTTCAGTGCTAGTAACAAACGAAGGCCACACGCTAGCAAGCGCTGAAGGAGTACGCCAAGGAGACCCTATTGCCCCCCTCTTATTCTCTCTAGCGATCCGCCCCCTGCTAGAGCACCTCTAAAAGACCCTACCGAAGGCTACAATTATAGCTTATTTGGACGATATCTATATCCTTAGCCCTGAAACTACAGCACTACTCCCTGTAGTTATAGAAGCCTTCAGGGACTCTCCAGTAGCTCTTAACCGCCAAAAGAGCACCGAAAGCCCTATCTCCCAGTTACAAACCACTGGACTTAAGGCCTTAGGGACCTTTATAGGCCCTGTAGCACACCGCCGAACGTTCCTCCAGGGGAAAATCGACACTCTCGCTACAGCGCTATATACCCTACGAGACCTCCCTAAACAACACGCTACCCTACTCTTACGAGGTAGTATACACCTACTCCTACGACACTTACAGCGCCAATTGTACTCGGAAGACCTACTAGACCTCTGGAGGTTAGCGGACTTACGAATCAAGTACGCTGTACAAGCCCTAATCGCTAGGGAGCCAGGGGAGAAGACTACCCTAATTCGCCAGGCTTTACTCTCTCTTCCAGTGAGAGAGGGAGGCCTAGGGCTCCCTATACACGCCTTATTAGCCCCAGGGCTCTATAGGGCAGCTAAGGAAGCCTCTCGATCGATTCTAGTGGCTATATGCCCTAATCTCTACCCGGAACCCCCTGGACGCCCTGTACCGACAGCCCAAGAGGTCTTCTCTAGCGTTAACCAAGACCTAGAAGAGAAGATTCTACCTACCCTATTAAAACAAGCGCTAAAATCGAAGCTTGAGAACGCTAGCTACCTCGGACGATACTGGCTTAGAACCCTGCCCACGCAAAAACACCACCTTTTAGCGGATTCTACAGTTACCGAAGCACTACGGACTAGGCTCTTACTCCCTGTAAAGCCCCCTATTTCGCCCTGTACCGCCTGTGGAGCCTACCCTCAAATAGGCCACGAAGACACCTGTAGAGGTGCTGAACGACGCTGGATTATACGCTATAACCAGGTTACCCGTGCATTTATTACTACCCTTTCTAGCCGGGAAGACCTTAAAGTGGAATCGGAGCCTACGCCAGCTAGAACGCCTATAGCCCTAGAAAACAGCCAACGACCGGATTTTTCAGTGCTTATAGGTACTTCTAGGCACTATTACGACGTTCAAATAGTAGCAATCAACAAGGATTCAGCACGCGAAGAAGCCTATGCTACGCTATCAGAGGCAGCAAACGCTAAACGGCTTAAATACAGCGACTTAGGCCCTGTATTTCACCCCCTGATCTTCTCAGCAGGAGGCCTAATGGAAGCCGAAACAGCGAAGACCTATAAGGCCCTACAGGGCCTATTAGGGCACTCTAGGGCCAAGTGGTTAGACGGGTATATCGCTAGCACCCTAACTCAGGCTCGAGGAATCGCTGCAACCTCGATCCTAGCACGTAGGTAGCTCATAACACACGCTATACCTACCCTACAGCACACACTACACCTACCCTATAACACACACTACACCTACCCTACGGCACACACGACACCTACCCTACGGCACACACTTCACCTACCCTAAGTAACTCACACTTCACCTACCCTGTGATACACACTCTATCTACCCTATAGTACACACTCTACCGACCCTGCGACTCACACTCTACCTACCCTTTGGTACACACTCTACCTACCCTATGGTACGCACTCTACCTACCCTGCGACTCACACTACACTACCCTGTGGTACACACTCTACCTACCCTGTGGTACATACTCTGCCTACCCTATGGTACACACTCTACCTACCCTGCGACTCACACTACACCTACCCTGTGGTACACACTTTACCTACCCTTTGGAACACACTCTACCTACCCTTTGGTACACACTACGCCTACCCTCTGATACACACTTTACTTACCCTTTGGTACATACTCCACTTACCCTGTATTATCTCCTTCTGTCTTAGTACTCTACCTTCTGTACCCCTGACACCTTCAGGCTCTTACCCTCTGTATTATTAGTATAGTCCTTCTGTATTTCAAGACTATTAGAGAGAGATAAAAACACTCGTCGCAAGCTAGCGTAGTTAGAAACAAATATAACCCAAACCTCAAACCCTAACCCTAACCACTACACCTACCCTGTGGTACACACTCTACCTACCCTGTGGTACATACTCTGCCTACCCTATGGTACATACTCTACCCTGCGACTCACACGACACCTACCCTTTGGTACACACTTTACCTACCCTTTGGCACACACTCTACCTACCCTTTAGTACACACTACGCCTACCCTCTGATACACACTTTACTTACCCTTGGTACACACTCCACTTACCCTGTATTATCTCCTTCTATCTTAGTACTCTACCTTCTGTACCCCTGACACCTTCAGGCTCTTACCCTCTGTATTATTAGTATAGTCCTTCTGTATTTCAAGACTATTAGAGAGAGATAAAAACACTCGTCGCAAGCTAGCGTAGTTAGAAACAAATATAACCCAAACCTCAAACCCTAACCCTAACCCTAAGATAGCGTATTAATAGACTATGTTAACTGAAGATAACTATTCTAGGGTTTTAAGTTCGTTATAAAGCTAACGGTATATACTAGTCGGGTTAGTAATAGTAACAGCAGATAGTATTTACTAGATATCAGCGAAGGTAGTAAAGAGTTACGCTATCTTTTAAATATGAAGTTAGTATTAAAGACGTACTTTCTATAAGACTTAGAGATAATATAAGTAACCGACTAATTAAAGTGCTTTATGTGACTAACAGTTACCTTCACGTGACTATCCTTATATATTAACGTTTCTAACACTTAGGTTAATTAAGAAACTCAGATATAATTCAGAGCAGAAGTAAGTAAAAGAAGAATAACAGGTGGTTCTAGTATTCTAACGAGCTCTTTAAGGCTCTCGACAGTTAAAATAGTATCGATAAGGCTACCCTTTCAAGCGCATGAAACGACTCAGCTGATTCTTCGAGCATTACAAAGATATAACAGCGATATACGAGCCTAATACTTAGCACGGTGAAGGAGTCGCTGCTCTAACCTACTACGAGAATCTATTTAGGATCCTTGTCCTTTTAAGAACTTCTCCGGATTCGACACGGGCCCAAATTTGTAATACGCTGTTCGCAGACCGCTAAGGTGTAGATAAGAAGAGTATAATTAATATCGCGGTGAGGATTATAATCACAGTCAACTGTTCCGCTAATCTATATTACGCTTCAGGTCTGTAAGACAGAGTCCGCTAGCGAAACGACGTCCTTTTCTCCTAGTTTATAAGCGACTTGTTTCTGACTCCAACGGATCACCTTGACTGAATAAGGATAATATAGAAATTCATTCTAAGCTAAACGAAGACGATTTAGAAAAGGGTATTAACAGAGTTAATTGTTACGAATCCCTTAGCGCTACGGTTGGCACCCAGATGCTGATAGTACCATCAGTGGTACTATGGGGGCATTGGTACCGACGAAGGAACAGTGCTATCAATAGGGTAGTACCGACCAGGGAATGATACAGGACAGCGAGTGGTACCGTTGTACACTCACGCTCGGTAGTAATGGTTACCTAGATCACGGTGGACGATAGGTCACGTGATGGATCCCTGGATCCCTGGATCCCTTTGTGGGGGAACGGATCCAAGGATCCAAGGATCCAGTATCTCAAGGGATCCAAGGAGAACGAAGGTTCTATATAAGACTGGCATGTCTGCCATTAGATAGGAGCTTCGTGCTCAACTTCAAATAGTATTCTGATACTTAGTAACTGTCTTCCCGTCTACGTGATACACCTACCTCTCGATCATCAGAGATCAACTGCAGCCTTCTGTATTTACAGCGAGTAAATACCGGACCGTTACATTAATATCAAGGGAGTATTACTTATAAGGAAATTAAAGAAACATGCCGGATTAAATTTTTAGTTAATAGATAATCTTAGATGCTATCTTAGACTTAATAAGAAAAATAGTATCCTGGAACTATACTATCATATAATATTCCTAAAGGAGTATTTAAAGCTAATAAAAGATTAGCCAGAGAATTTATCTCTTAAAGAATCCTTACGACTATAAGTATTATACGTTTATCTATCTACTAGCGACTAAATAAAGACTAACTAAAGATTAACTGAATTTTTTATATAGAAGAGCTTTACTTTACTAACTTACCCTTGAAATCCTTAACTCTCTTTAGAAAATACTCTTCCCTTGTATAGATAAAAAGTCCTATAAAATCCTTAACTTACTTATAGCTATATAAAGGTTTAATAAAGACTGCGGCCGCTATAAGTCTATAACTATATGAAATACGAAAGAGAAAGATATTCTATACTACTACTTTAGTACACGACTCGTAGAGCTATATAAAGAATTAGAAAACCTAACACCTCACGGAATCGAAAGGTAGTTTCAAAGAAAGAGTGGAGTAAGATATGTTATAATAGCAACACTTGTCAGCGTGCTTATCGCAATAATTCTAGGAGTTGTGGGTCTAGCTGTGAGTAGTTATCAAGCATGGCTGGGATACTAGCAATAGCAGCATCCCACCTCTCCGTCTGGGCAGAAGTGAGGCTCTTGACCTGCTACAGTAGCTAGATCCGGGGGGCTAGAGGTAGCCAGATCTGGATACAGTAATGCAAGCGAGAAGCCTAATCACTGTTTGATGGACTGAGTGAGTGCACCCTGACTTATGTATCGAGTTTATTTAGCGATATTCTAGGAAACATAACCTTCGTAGCGCGTGTAAGAGCACCTCCGTAATGTACTCGAGAATTAAGAACAATAATAGGGAATCTTACTTATCGGGTCAAATCGTGGGTATCACGAGGGTGATATATATCTCAAAGAGAAGTAAATGAGTCATAGACCTTTGCAGTTAAGCACTTAAGCACTGTAGAGCAATTTGGAGAGGAGATTCTGCCATTTAGCCCAGACCTCCGCATATATGATCAACCATTGAGACTCAAATTCAACGTATTTCATATGTTACATTTATACCGCTATCCTCGCAGTACTCACAAGCAGCCAGATCTGGGAAGCTATCCCTAAACTTCGAACTCGTAATTCGCCTAAAGCTTACTCTCCTTATTACAGCACAACTCCCTATCCTTTACCACCGCCGTCCCAACCTCCTGCTTATGCTCCACCCCCATCAATGTACTCCGGTTGAAGCTCTGCACACTCTGCGGCACATCCAAAGCCGGATTCTTATCAAAGAAGTTTACCGGCTTGAACGCCACCTTCAACACCTCACATGGCATAACCGGAAAATCTTCAATGCGAGGAACATGATTGATACCAAACTGTACCCAAACAACGATATCATCATCCAAGACATTATCCTTCCGATCAGCGAAACTGCGCACACCGGTTCCACCTCGAGATTGGTTCGTATATTTCCCACCTGCGTACAGCTCTCCATCCCTGTACGAAGTCACATAGATATTGTGATCTGCAAACTCCGCACGCTTGTAGTGGAAACTCTCCTTATCTGCCAACATCTTCTGGAACGGGGGAGCCATGATCTTGTACGCAACGGACTTCCCATTGACGGGATTCTTGACAGCTGCATTCTGGATCTTGAAGATCCGATTGACATCCCAATCCAAATCGTAGCCACCAGATGTTGTAATAGGAGTCTCCGAAACAGTGTACCCAACACCGTGTGGGTTGAAGTCTGAGCGTGGCATGGGATGCGCTTCATCAAAGACAACTCGGTTGAGAGGACCATCGATCATAGGATCCACACGAAGAGAAAAGATATGCTGATGATGAGAAGCCAAAACTCCAGGGTGGACTACAGTTCCCCACGGGACCGAAATTCCTTCGTCAATCGGCTGTGTAGACAAGATTCCCGTGGCTCTGACCTCGTACATAAACTCTCCTGCTTGGTTAAATTGAAAGGCCAGGATATATTCGTAATTGGAAACGGTGATGATAGACTGCAGAACCAGCTCACGATTTCGAACCACCGCCGCACGTCCAGTCCTGTAATTGGTGTGCTTCCATCCGATTCCAGCATCCTGCTCATGGATACAAACGCAGTTTGGCATCTCTAGCGGCGCTCCTTTGTCATCACTCAGCACAGCAGAAAGGTAGTAGATGGATCCGAGGCAATCGCATCCTAACTGCAAGTTGTTGGCCATGATTCCCGCGCCAGCATCTCCAAGATCGAACGCAGCCTTCTTGTGGTATGGATGGCGAGGATCAGCGTAAGGAATGTTCATATCAGACAGTGAAAGTCTGTAAAATAGAGGGCGCCCATCGTAATGAACATCGTACAGAACCATACCCTCACGCTGATTGAAGCCAACCTTGAAATCCCACTTCTGCCAAGCAACTGAGTGACCTTGCTCACTGAACTTGGTAACCTCAAACGAAGTTCCTTCTGGTTGGACAACGTTCAATGGCTTGATGTCTGTACGCAACTCTTGTGCTTCTGGGATGTACTCATTTGGCGGTTGAACTTTGTAAGGGCCGGGCTCCTTGACTGTTGCATCCGCGCCAGTTGGAAGGAAATCGATTCTGGTGACCTTCATAGTCTCCGCACTAATGACTGGAGAGATATTGAGGGGCATAGCGTAGTGGTTGCTGTCGAGTTCCGAGGCGTTTTTCGGATCTCGTACATACAAGAAGCATTGGAACATTCTCTCGTCGTCAGAGAATAGGCCATCATTGATGCCATCCGATCCTGCAACTGTCAACTCCAGTCCATCAACTGCTAATCAAATACCGACCATAGATCCATGGGTCGCTAATAACAACTGTGCCCTCTGGAAGCTTCAACTTGGCAATCTCTGCCTTGACTTGCTCGTCTTCCAAAGCAATTTGCTCGACACGGATAATTTCATCTCCATCAGCATTACTGTGGACATTAGGTCCAAGACGAACATTACTTTCAACCTTGCCTTGGCTCAAGCTAACAACTGCCTCGTGGAGTTTATTCTAGACAATCAGCATTGCTCATCTGTAACAGAACGCGTTCTTACCGTGTTGCGAAGGTAGTACACAATGAAACTCCTTCTCTCAATAGTGGGGGTAGATTGTCCAGCATGCTCGGCAGCAAGGAACGGAACCAAGTCTGCCTTGTTTGGTTCTTGCAACGTGATACTCTTGAACTGGATATTGGTATTTGCTGGCCATATCGATTTGATGATGTTTGCAGATTCGGTAATCTCACCGGCAGTCAAAGGGCCGAGTGGATGCTGAGGGGTAGTCTTCTTACCTCCAACCAATGGAAGGGAGCTGATAATCTGCTCTGTAGACATTTTGGTGGAAGGAAGGTGTGTATGTGGAATGGAAAAAGAAAGATGGGATTGAAGGGACGTGGAAATCTTATATGTACGTAGCAAGTTAGTAGTGAGGGGCACCGGGTAAGGCAGATTGCCGTTTCGTTATTGGACTGCACTCCCGACCCGAAGCCGTACCCTATCGTTGACTGGGTGGCAAGAAATGCCCCGCTTCACATCCCGCACAACTCGGATGTGCATACCAAAAGGAGAATCGTGAGGAAAGTTTCCACTGGTTTGGGGATAGCATTTGACCTTCCTGGCAAGCAATTCGTCGCCCAGTTACGGCTTCGATAAGCACAGGTCTGGCCGCTGTGAGCTGGCTCGGCTGGATACCCGATTCATTCTATGTGGTTCACTACCAGTCCGATATCTAGTTCGAAACCAAAGTCTCAACAAGAAAGTAAAGGGGAACAGATTTTGACGATTAAGAAGATGTAAATTATGCCAATTCCCAGATCTCGTTGCCGCGTGGCATAACCTGACCACACTCTGTCAAAGCCAGCTTGATAAAGCACCACCCTGTTCATGATCAGGGCAAATTATGCAGGTGTGAATTAAAAATTAAGATATAGAGACAAGTAGTACAGGGAACAGCACTAGAAGGGCTTCCAATAGATGGCACGATACCAGATGAAAGCCAAGTCAATGAGGTCTAAGTGGCACAAAGATACACGGCATTCGCTTAAATATCCAAGCCAAAGTCAACAACACATGGCATCAAAATAGTGGGACAGAATGGTAGCTGTAGACTCTGTACGCTATCTTCTGAACTTCAACGGAAAATCCAAACCTAGACTAGGTCATGTCCCTTATGAGAATTGTAAGTTGACAATTGGGGATTCCTGTGAATGGCAAGGAAAGAAAATTTGAACCGGCTCACCTGCATCGCAATAATCAGATCTGCGGCGGCCACCAGCTGAGTGAACCAATACCAAAGGTCTACGACTACCACAGCATCGCCGGAATCAACAGGCCCCTCCAGCTGCAAAGCTGTGCCCTCCACAGACTCACCCTCCTTCCATAATTCTCATAGAACCTCTACTTCAACTCTGGGCTTCGAGCGTAACGTGGCTCTCTCGGCTTTTGTTTCTACCACGGGTACACACTATCTACAGTGCAGCTGGCAATCCGACGCATTGATATAGTTCGCTTTACGGCTCTGGAAGACCGTCCTCGTAACCACGTGTTGACGTCATCTAGGATTCTGGAACAGACCCTAGGATTATTCAGCGGGAGAGGTAAAATATGGGAGGTAGCGACTTTTGTAGATAGGATAGAATGGGATGGAATGGAATGTGGAGGTTGGGACTGTGGTGGCATCTGGGCTGGCCAAGATTGAGCTCGTGAAGATTGGATGGATTTGATTTGATGATGACTTATCGGCACACGAGTAACCAACCTGCCAGGCCTATCCTCGAATTGGGAATGGTTATAGGTGTTTTTGTTTGATTCGGAATGAACATTGCCGCTGATTTCCAGGTGTTAGATGAACATTTGAGTTTACAAGGTGAGGAGTCGAATACAGCGTGTTGTGTTGCTGTTGGCGGCAAAAAGATGGAAGAGGTGGTGGGGCAGAGGGAGAGGAACTCTATCTGTGGAGCAGGTCAGGGAGGGGGTCAGAAATAGGCTGTGAGACTATATTTAGCGAGTAGGGACAAAGATGGTGCGATAGGCTTCAAAGGAAAGAATACGTACCCAACTGTTTGTCCCTGAATCCATCGCTTTGTGAAGTGCAAGCCTGAGCTGTATCTCTTATGCTCGTGCTGTTTCCAAACTTCATTACGGCCTGTGCTGCGTGAAGTTTCTGCTGTCCAAAACAAGTATTCCCCTTGCTATTGCGTCCCTGCCGAGCGTCTATCTAAAGCAACGTTGGAATCAATTCATAGGTAAAGTGGATTATACTTGACGAGAGAAGGGAGCTCGGGCAGCAGAGTACCACAGGGTTGAAAGAGAATATTCAAATCTTGTATCAGGTTCGAAGATGACTCCATTGATATTAGAATACACATAAAGGACAAGTGTGAGACGAATCCGCTGCAAGTAGTATTTTAAGTCGTAACCGAAACAAGGAAACACACTCTGATGCGATGCAATTAACTCCATTTGATGCAGGTCTCCGTTCTCTAACACGCTGAAGGAAATAACAGTCTGACGAGACACCTCTTCAGATAGCGCTCAATATGCAAACAAGAATATGCAAATGCCTCAGATATCCCTTCAAACTCCCATTATGACAATCCGAGATCGATTTGTAACCAGATTAGAAGTTCGACGAGGCGTTGACATTGCCATTGCGTGCTGGGTTGTGATAATTCTCCAGGGTGCTTTGGAATGGACTGGTGCCAGTTGTTCCTGCAGCAGACACACTTCCAGTCTTTTCATGTCCCGTATGTCCAAAGCTCATCAATCCATCGTTCTCATCCGAGTTCTTTCTTCGGCCCCAGATCCTGTATGCTACAACGCCCAAGCCTGCCAAGAGTGCTGCTCCACCGATTCCAACCACAACGCCGATGATGGTGCTTCGAGTCTTCGAGCTCATGCCGGACGATGAAGAGCTGCCATCCTTATTGAGGTCTGCTGTAGCAGTTGGAAGGGTTGATGTGACGGTAGAGGAGGCGAGAGAGCTGAATGTAGATCCAGATTGGGTAAAGACGGCAGTGCTGACGACCACGAATGTTGTGGGAGTAGGTGTCACCTTCGCACTACTCTTCGTGGATGACGACTTCTCGGACGAACTTGAGGACTCTTCTACTGCCGATGATGATGTTCTCGTGGGAGTGGGTGCAGCTGATGAAGATGGGGTGGCGGAAGGCGAAGTTGTAGGAGTGTTGACTGGAGGATTGCTGGTGGTTGTTGACACAGGCGGTGGGGTCGAAGAGGCAGGGGAAGAGGACGATGGAGTAGGTGTTGGTGTAGACTCTTCATCGGATGACGAGGTTGAAGGGGCGCTGCCAGATCCTCCTGTTGCTGATGGTTGAGATCCTGAAGCGGAAGATCCGGATACTGCTTGCCTGACGTTCAGATCACGACCAAAGACATTTGCATCGACCCATGTGGCTTGGGTGATGGCGAAGAGGAGGGCGAGGACAGACACCAGCCTGAGTTGAGGCCGGGATAGCATGTTTGATGGTGTCGTGATGTTGACAGGAGGTTGAGATGAGGTTCGAAGAAGTCGAAGACCTTCTCGTATTTTACGGGGGTGGCCCGGTCTGTGGTCGGGTATGTGCTATGTTTCGTGTGGTTGTCCTAGCTGAATTCAAATGGGGGCTCGAAACGACCGTGAGAATGGCAAGGGAATAAGGTGTAAATTGTTTCAGTAACGAAAGAAGAGGTAAAGTTTCAAGGCGAGAAATGGCAAGACAAGAAAGTGGGAACACGAAGAGATGCGTGACGACGAGTGTGAATGTTTTGCAAGGACTGAATGGACGTCGCCGAAGAGGATCCACAAGTGTTGAAGTCTTGTTGCTCGTATTTTTGCTGGTGCTAGCCCGGTTGGGTGCTAGTGGCGGAACCCTCAGTGCCTGAAATAGGTTCTGGAGCTGACTGATTGCGAACCCTCGCTTGTCTAAGCCTTCTGGAAGATGGAAGACGCGAAGCACATGCCTGCCCGGCAGCTCAGTCAAATCACAATGGTAATTGCTATCCATTCGCTTGCAAACAGCGTCCTTCTATGTTTCGATGTATTTCCTATGTGATCTAAAAGTCAGACGGGCAGTGAATAGGTCATCAGCAATGGAACATTACTGGGCTCCCAGCTCTTTCAATTGTTTATACAAGGGTGTTGATATCTCCCGGTTGATGCCCGCACTGCATTCTGTGAGTCCTTCTAATCGGTTTGGAGTGAATGCCTTTTGACTCCCATCATTCCGAATTATCTTATCAACAAAAGTCTCTCAAGTCTATTGAGATCATTTATCATCAGTTCGGTGGGTTTTGCTTTGACAATGGAAACTTGGTAGAAGCTTGTATCCTCTCAACAGCGCCTAGATGGGTAAATGCCGGAGCCGGGGCACAATGAGCCGATCCGACGAGGCTGCCATAGCTTTCCCGAAACCTCGTCCCCTCCATTGATAGCTTCAATCCCAGCAACCTCTCTTTTCCTCACCATGACCGCCGCAGACGATGACACGTATATTGACTACGAGACCTTCCTCTCTCCAACATTCTCCCCAGCTGCTTTTGCGAACAATCTGGTCATTGGTACCAACAACCCAACAGACACACCCCTCGATCTATCCACACCTCTCTCTCGAGTCCTCTTTGACTCCCAGGAAATCAATACCCACATCGATACCCTCACTACAAAAAGTGCTCTTCCTCTTCTCTCTCACACCCAGGAACAGACCGCGGCCAGTGCGCGAATAGTACAGGAGATTGATTCGCAGGTTTCGAGCTTAAATGATGGCTACAAACGACTAGAAAAGGAAGTGCTAGTACGCTATGAGACAGCAGAAGAGGTGCGCGCTGTGGCAAGTAGGTTATGGGAAACTGTAAGGCTGGGTCGGTCAGTTGGACGATGTCTACAGTTGGGGAGGCAGCTTGAGATACAGCTTGCAGAAGTTGTAGGAACAGGCAATCCAGTCAAAGTCCAAGGGCAGAGGGAAGATCATAGGGCGCTGGTGCGATGTTCGAATACTCTACTGAGTTTACGAGAGCTTCTTTCAAAGAAATCAGAGGGAGAAGAAGGCCACGGATTGGAGAAAGTGGATGCTGTGCGGACGCTTCAAAGTTCCATCGTCAATCCAGCAGAACGATCGATCCTTACCAAGTCCCAGCAAATAGTCAGAGAGTTCTCCATGAGCACTCTCTCCACAGGTGCGAACACAACCACTTTCGCGCAAACCGCAGATACGAAATCGCGAACAACGTCAGCATTGATATCACTATATCTTCTCTCCCCACTACCAGACACCACCAAACTCGGTGCGAAGAAGACAGACAAGTGGGAACCAGAACTACTGATCCACGCCCTACAAGACTACCTCCGTACGGCTCTAACATCCTCTCTCGCATCTCTCGCCCGCTCACTCGCCACACTACCTACACTCGACAGAACGCTCCTCGAAGTCTCCGCCCGGTGCCAAAACATCCTCGCTCTCGAATCTCTCCTCTCCTTGACAACTCCACCTCCCCACCCCACACTCCCAGCCTCCGCATCCGCAACAATCGCGCCTCTCAACTTCCTCCAGCCCTTACTTCAAAGTCTCGAAACAGGCAGTCTAGCGAGTTATTTCTGGCGGACGTTGGCGGGAGGATTGAGCACCAAGGCTATGGAGATAGTGAACAAAGGGGGCGTGAGCGCAAGGACGTTGAAGAGTAATAGGAATAGTGTGAGGGATGCTATCCGGGAGTGTGTGGTAAGGGGGAGCACGCCTCCGGCGGGAGTGGCGGGGAGTAAGGTGAAGGGAGAGAATGTGGAGAGGGCTTGGGAGAGGGAGATTGCTGTTATGGTTGGGAGTGTGGTTGGAGCTTTGGGCAGGTGAGGCGTGTCAGATCAAAATAGATGTGGGATTTCCCTTGTGCATGTATAGGCATCCATATCCTAGGATGGCCATCGTCTTGTTGGGGAAGAGATTGGCTGCTCTCTGCGATTATATGTTTATGATAGGAGTAAACAACTTATTGTCCTGACGGGACTATGTCAAGAGTCCAGTCTCCGTTCCGTTCCGTTCCTTTCAAAGAGCACAGTGGAGTCTCATAGACAGCTCAATCATCTTGCACGTGTTGTCAATTCTGGACTTCCACCTGATTTAAGCTCCCCGTTAGTCATCTATGTCTATGGTATTACCAAACACGAATCTCAAAGTTTTTTTCCGGCCCGCTTTGCCCTGTTGGCTTCCCACTCTCTATATATCTAGGTTTGTGGTCTTCTAGTCTAATGGCTTCCTTCTCTTTGTTCTCTTTTATTTTTGGTCTTCTCCTCGGCTCCTCCTCACCCTGCTTCAACCTACCAAAGCCAGACTTGCCGCCCCTTCTCTTCTTTGATGCACTGGTCCTCGACTGGGTTAATAGTCTGTGCTTGTAGAAATCCCGCCGGGGAGATACTCGCCATTGGACCATTTCCATGCCCCAGTCTCTTACAGATCGGATGAAAGCAAAGATGCTTTGCCTCATCAATATTTCGCTTAGCTTCTGACATCAGCGGAACTCTTCCCCGACATCTTTTTAATCATTCAGGGCCATAGACAACAAGCGTATTCCAGGTACTGCCTCACAGTCCCATATACCTGACTCAACTCATCCGACATCAGCTGCGGCCCATTAAGATGATCCCTCTGCTTTGCCAATTGGTGTCTCCAAAGGGCAATATTCCAGGCAAAGCTCGAATGGCCGACACCTGCGAAATCGGACGATTTTAGTAGAACGAGGTAGTCCACTAGAGCCTGCTGATCGAAGGTGAAAGCTTCCAGCTTCATCTTATTGTCTCCTTCCAGTAGCTGGTGTTTGGTCGTCACGGTCAGGTTGTATGCTTTTGCATCTTCGGCGAATCTAGCGATTTCGTCCACGTTTCCGGATGCCACGTACATGACAGAGGTGCCCGACGCAGCTGCTTGCTTCAAGTAATACGTGGACTGGGTCTCGTACTTGGAGTATTCGTACAGCGACGGAGGCCAACCTTGTTGAGAGTCTCTCTCGGTCCGCAGATGCACTCCAAAGAAGGTATGGTTCCAGATCGGCTTGCGAAAGTCTGCATGAAGATTATGCCTGCGCACCAGGTTGCGCAACGTAGTCGTTGCAACCACCCGTGTGTCCTGACGGAACTTGAGCACTTTCCCGAAATCCAGCGCGAATTTCTCAGGGTCTGAGTATATTGGATACTGCAGGTACGACCTATCAAGATCAATCACAGGCTTCTGCACATCCGTCGTATTTCTCAACCAGCCATAGAACCTCGCCCTCCATTGCTCCGGGTGATCAATCCCCTCCGGCGTAATCTCCTGCGAGAGCTTCTCCGGCGTGACAAAAATTGGTTTCGTATCATTTGATTCGAGCTCCTTGAGGATCTGCAGCTGTGGACAGGAAAGACGGAGAGACTCGACGAAGTGCGGTTCGTCGAATAGGTAGTCGAAGGATGTCCTTTCCCTGTTCCAGATATCTGCAATATTGGCTGGATTCCGCAGAATCATGCGTGGCATAGTCATACTCGCACCAGCTGAGATAGCATAGCGAAGACAATTGAGGATCGAGTTCCGTTGATTTCCCACCCCGCCGCCGGAATTATTGCATGTGAAAGTCAAGTTCGCGTTCCATTCTGTTTTCGCACAAACCGATCGGATAGCTTCAGAGTCGAGCGGTGGATCGTCGAAGATATCTGCCTTTTCGAGCCATTGTTCTGAAGATGTATCTTGTGGAACTGAAGGTGGAGCAGACCATGGAACTCGCACTGAGCTGTAAGATGATGGATGATCGAAGGAATGGTAGAACCAGAGGAAGAAGATACAGATAATTGATGCCAACATTAGTTTGCGGCCATTATTCGGCCGCGATAATCGGAAAGGTACCAATGCCATGCCGGGTATATTCTACATGCAGGGAAGCAAAAGAGACGATGGAGGGTGAGGTGTGGGTGGTGTTGGGGCTCTGGGGATGTTGGGATGTTTCCCGTCTTGGCGGTCAGGGCCAGTTCAGTGACCAGGTCCTGGGGTTACAGGTGCATTGCGCTAACGACTGCTCTGTAGGCTTTCCTCTTTTAGGGTGTGCCGGCTGTGCCACTCATCAGTCCATTGAAGCTCTTACTTCAAGTGCAGTAGTAACTTCAGACCTGTACCAACATTTTCGTGAAATGCTTCAATTGGTTTGTTCCTTATCGTACATCCATTGAGCTCTGTATAAGGCCGTTTTCAACGCCTCCATTCGTCACTTTACGGGATCTTTTGGGTCCTTTTCCCCTTTAGAATCATCTTGGACCTGAGCTGCAGCGACGCGAGTTCCTTTTGCCAGCTTTCCCTCTTTCAAAATTTCGATACTCTCTGGATTCTCTTCGTAAATTACCTCTCCATCTGACTCCTCGTCAACCGGCTTATCTTCTCTCTTGTGCCGACCAAAGATGACGAGAATCCCAAGATCGTATGTAACCAGTAGTGACCCCGCCATCACAAGGGCAGCCCAAAGCATCTTCTTTCCAGCAAGCACGCCAGTGATGAGAGGGCTGAAGCTTGATACAGACGATCTTGCAATGTTCACAAATCCCATCATTGCTGTACGCTCATGCGGTTCGACAATGCCTGCCAGGAAAGCAGATCGAGGTGGGGTATCCATTGACTGCGTGCAAGACCGGAGAACGAGAAAGGCAATGGAGACCTCAGCAGATTTAGGAGCAGGTATTAGTGACAGAAAGATTGCCGAAGGAAGATGTGCGAAGACCATGGTCTACGATGGTCAGCTTGACTATTTGTAAACTGTGTCAATGAAGCATACCTTGATGTTTCCAAATCTCCTCGCTAACGCCGCTGCGAAGAGCATGGAAATAGCAGCAACGATTGTCGTGATGAAGAACAAAGTGCCGATCTTGCTCTCTGGGAGACTGAATTTATCGTGGAAGAAGAAGGTGATCCACGATCTCATCATGTCAGCCGAGACTTTTGAAGTGTTCTAAGAATGTTGAGACTTACAATGGAGCTAGATTACTGCCAAACGACTCCAGAGCGAACAGCGCGCAGATCTTGGCAACAACAAACTTGCTTCTGCGAGTGAAAGTTGGTATCTTGGAAAAGATGAAATTTCCCTTTGATTGGGTTTCCCTTTCCCCCGACAGGGTGTCCATATTACTGGTTGGAGACCTCAATATCTCACACTCCTTGCTCAGGCACAGGACTATGCAGATCATCACTACCCCCAGCCCAGCATACACAAAGAATACCACTCTGTACGCGCGTAGCAAGTCCCAAAGCAGGCTTTTTTTTAGAAAGTCCAGCACCCAGCCGCATACTCCCATGCCAAACGCTGAGCCTGCTGCTCCAAGCAGAGAGTACCAAGCATATATATCTCCTCGATTTGACTCCGGTGTAAGCTGTGCGATGCTTGACTCTTCGATGGCTCGAAACGGGCCTATCTCATTACCGCTGCATGAGTGTCAGCGAGCCTTCATACAACATTTCGGTTTCATCATACCTTGGGCTGATAACTCCAACAATAGCAGCAATGAGCAAGACCCAATAATTTCCAACCAATGCAAAGACAACACCAGAAATCGTCATCAGCACAGCACCAAGTAGCAGGATCGCTCTTCTTCCCAAAGCATCCGCAAATATCGTTAAAATGAAACTCAGAACTGTATCTCCAATGAGTGTAAGGGTCATGAATAGACCGATCCGCGATTTGGAGATTTCCAGAGCAGTCAAGTAAGAAACAAGAATGAGCGTTGAGCTCCCGTAACCGAAAAGACGGACAAATCGTTGGATACAGAGAAGTTTGGTATCGAGAGGCGAACGCCAAAGAGAGACGAGTCCAACCTCCTCGAATGCCTTCAAAAGAAATGCTAACGACGACATGACAAACAGCGAATGCTCGAAAAGAGCGAAAATTCAACGACACTTCATCATCATCTGAAAGGGATGATCTTCTCCTTTTCATACGAAGAAAGACTGGAACAGAAGCCGTGCATTCAAAACATCAGTCTTACCGTGGAAACCCATGTTGCCTTCACGATACCAATAAGTTGGTCATACTTCCTGCACATATGGATCATTCATCTTGGTGGCTTGCTGAGAAAGCTTCACAAGAGAAGTCAAGCTCAGCTGATAACTTGAGACGTACCCACACGTCGTCCATATTCCAGTGCCAGTAGACCCGCATTCCAGTGAAGTGCATGGAGAATAAGAATTAGGACTTCTGGAATGGGACTTCTCTTCTTGGTCGCGTGCGTGATTTCCAGAACTAGTTGAGGCTGAGAGCGTGGGCTTCGGGTGAGAGGGTCGAGCCGCAACTCCACATCCAATCGATCCTTTCCTCGCTACACCAAATGTTTAAGTCCCAGCTGGAAGACTCCCGGGACCCGCTTCGAACCTTTTACAGCGGGCTCAATTTTCTAAAGGGAGCCGAGACTGCTCTTTCGGGGTCCTGGCGACAGGAAAGCGGCGTTAGCCTAGATCCATAAATTTCCACATCCCGGGTTAGGTTGAGTGGAGTTGTATGACTTTTCGGGCGATGCCACCACGTACTCCGTGCTTCAACTAAATGTTCCACTCGACCCAATGCAAAAATGATGGGAATGTACTCATTCAAAGAAAGGCCGGCTCGATTTTTTGTCCGCCAGCGTAGAGATTCACTCTCCTCACGATTGCCAGTATACTGCCATGATAACAAAGACTCTTTCACCAAATGCCGATCTTCTGTTCTCGACTTTTCATGCTGGGCTGTGTTTACCTCTTAGGAGTTGGACTTACAGACCTTTCAAATCTCTCCTGGCACCAAAAAAGCTTTTCGTCCCTTCCATCATACATAGGCATTCCAATTCCAACCCATGCAATCCTGGAGCCAACTTCCACATGTCTTGACGCTACTCGTTCTCAAAGTCGCCTCTTCCTTGGCATCCAACTTCCTACCAAACGCCCCTCTAACTTTGGCACAGCAACGCACACGGCTTTGCAACCTGGCTGCCGTCTGGAGTTTGAAAAGCGTTCGGCGCGAAATTCAATTCGCTCACGTGTTCTAACGTACTGTACACCCCCGCATAAACACCTTCTCGCTTGCATTTTCTGTGCACCGCTTCTTATCCTTTCATCCCAGTGAACTCTCTACAACTCTTCGATATCATCGATGGGAGGCACGCAACATGTTACGTGTTAGGAGAGAGATTCCCGCATCTCGGGGTGAATTCATCTCTCTCGGAGCGGTAGGATGGGTCCACAAAATCAACGATCGTATCGCGTTGAAATCGCCACGGGACGAGGATTGCGACAAATTCGCCCACGAAAACAAATTCTATGACATACTGGAGTTGCACTCTCCATGTCCAGACCTTCCTCAAAGTTTCTTAAGGGTTCCAACGGGCAACTTCCTCGCATTCTACAGCGGTGGCACTCTGGATGAACGTCTGCGTAAGCATCAGATCCGGGACGAAGGTCCACATGGAGGTAGTCTCATGGAAGTCAAAAAAAGAGAGCCGATTTCCCTTGTCGAGCGATGGATCATGGAACTTTCGAGTGCGGCTGCATGGCTTGAATCTCTCGGATATGTCCACACAGACATCCGACCGCCCAATCTACTTCTTGACAGTCACGAGCATCTCAAGCTCACGGATTTTGATTCTGTTCAGGAGCTCGGGACACGTGCAGAAGGAAGCGCGTCTCCGTGGGCGCGTGTGCTCGGCACTGAGGCTGGCGACGAGCGTGGATAATTTGGAGACAACGGCGCCCGATATGAGCAATTTGCCATAGGATCAGTGCTCTATACGATGACTCGCGGGCATGAACCATATGACGATGGATCCATAGCTCCCGAAGATGCTCCTGTGGTGGTTGATCTCTTCCAGCAGATGAAGTTTCCGTCGTTAAGCGAAGATAAACTGGATAGTATTATCAAACGATGCTGGAAGGAGAATATGAGACGTTGAAAGATCTGGCAGATGAAACTGGCCTCTTACCCGGCGCTACTTCGTTTCCCCGCGCTACGGCTTTCGACGACGAGTATTGCAGTAAGCTTCGATGGGAGTGTGAGGAATTGGTTAAACGTGGAATTCTTGATGAGAATTGAAACAAGTCTTATTGGCCCAATTGTATTACCACAATCGAGGCTTTAGGGTCACAATGAGATGGCTGAATGTAGGAAAAACCGAAGAATGAGTAAGCCCCTCATCTCGCATGCATCTGTCATCCAAGATTATTGTTACAATGGGGGGCAGACAGGTGGGGAAGTGCGAACGCGATATGTCCGACTTTTGCCGCATGGGTAATCACCAGACGGGAGTATGTACTTTGCCAGCACTGCACTATATAAAGTGAGCTGGCCAACCCTTTGTTGGAACAGATCAGGACACCTCTACTATCACAAATTCTACTGTTCAAGATGAAGCTCAATTTAAGTCTGTTAGTGCCTTTGGTCTCCACCATCTCAGCAGAGAGTTTCTGCCCTTCCAAACCAGCCGAGACCGCACAACAAACCGATATATTCTACCAATTCGTTCGCAAGTTCTACATCAACAAGGACGTAAAGACAGCCTTCGCCGATCATTTCGATCACGCCTACATTGAGCACAACCCGAATGCCTCCTCTGGATGGACTGACTCGAGTCTTGATGGTCTGGCAGGCTTCATCGCATCAGCCAACCTCACGATCCTTCATGCAGGCTTCTACAACAACACAGGATATGTGCACTTCCGCGAGGAGGTGTCGGGTTCACCTCCGACGGCTGTGGTGGACATCTTGAAGTTCGACGGGACTTGCATCGTGGAGCATTGGGATGTGGCTCAAGCACGACCAGAGAATCCCAGCAATCCCAGAGCAATGTGGTAGAATGCGGAGTGAGATGACAACAGGAACTTGAGAAGAGAGGTCGAATGGCAAGATCGTGAAGTTGGGAGGCTATGGCATTGATGGATGATTTCAACCTGATACATGATGGCGCAAGCACTGTAAATAAATGCAATAGGACGGGTTGAACGGGAGCGAGAACCGATTATCAAAAATGCAGTTGTGCTCATACGGATAACATCTGTTTGACTTAAAGTGCTCGTACCCCGCGTCTCGGCTAATTGCAATAGGGGAACGTTTTGTCAACACTTGTAGGGTATTTGTCCCTGGAAGAACCCATAGACTGGTTTCGTTACAAGGAACGGGCCGTCAACGGCTCGAGATCCTATTTGTAGTGTAATTAACGTATCTTCGGACGTCCGTTCGACGCACTTTGCGATAGCATCGTCATGATGTGCCAATTTTGGAAGTGGCATTTGTGATCGCATCGTGCCTTCCATTCGGACAATTCGAGCATCAAGGAATATTTGCAACGGCGCCAGCATGCTTGATCTCAATTCTCCAAGCTCCTCTCTCTCTTCCTCTCTCGACCTCTCATCCTATAGTCCTTTGCATTCATTATCATTCCTCGTCTTTACACCTATAGTCTACCTATCATCATGGACATCCACGACGAGCTCCCTGCGAGCCTGGAGGACTTACCAGCATCATTAACCAGGACCTGCAGCATCCCAGATCTCACCAAGCTCTTCAAGAAGCCCAGATCTACACAGTCGCAGTCGCGTGCGGACTCACGGCAATCCGCAAACTCCTTCTCCGATAACAGCCAAATTCTGTACATGGCGGAATCCAAGAAACCGAAGTCGAGAAAAGGTCGCCAGTCCCTGTCGTCCATTGGCAACGGCGTTAATCGAAGATTTGATGGCTCGCTAGACGAGAGAGAATGTACGCATGACGCCGGTAGTTTGTCGTGGGATGTCATCGATCAGGAGATTTTCGAGTGGCAGTACGTCTGCCAAACTGGGCGGCCATACTGGTGGTCTCCGGACTCGAAATACACAAGATTGAAGAAGTACCAGCCTAGATTGATGAATGAACCTAGTCCCAGATTCTGGATGAGAGAGCTTGATGGCCGTCCAAAGCCTGCATACGCGGAGAAACGTCGAGCTGTGTCCGACAACTACTTCTGCGACCCGAAAGCCATCAACGACCTCGCTCATCTTGTTGCTATACAACTTCTCGGCGCTTGCTTTACCCTTCCGCCAGATCATATTCTGGGTGTTCCATCCCCGAACTATACCATAGACAATACACGAGTTGGACTCCCAGATCCTCGAATGATCAGCTCATTGCGCATGCATACGCAATTCAGATATTCTCCGAGCTTCGGACATCAAGCGCGGAACACATCTCCAGTCCAGGCATGGCCTCGAAGTCTGGGACGACCATCGTTCGGCTTCCCGTCGCCGATTGCAGATATTGGAACCGCGGCAAACAGGCGAGGAGAGCGACGGCGTACACTTAATGTAACCGACGGATCAGGATCTGTTGGCTCATTTGACAGTGACGTGGACCAGTTTGCTCAGTCATGCAGTAGTAATGATGGATTGGACCATACGGAATCGACAAAAGTGCATCGGTCAAAGGGGGCATCATACCCTGCGCAGACACATATGGGACCGTCAAACACAACAGATCCAGTACCGGGACATGCTAGAAGGCGAGTAAGCAGACGGCGCAAAGACGAGGAAATCAAAGGATCGCCCGAAGCAGTGCCAAAGACCAACTACCGTTTAGAACCTGTCATCCGATCCGAACCTCATCACGTCTTCATACAACCTGTCCGCGAACTGGTTGTCAAGAGATGGGCTAATTTCAAGCGTCGATTGAGTGGCAGCTTGCATTCAGCTTTGCCAGCAAGAAACTCCGACGATCGAGAATCGAGCTCCGATGTAGGCAGTCCAGCAATGAGTAATGATGGAAAGATTCGACGGCTCAGAGCGCAGGAAAGAGGCGAAATTCACAGCTCAGATGTTGAAACAACACAGCATTTCAATACGCCAACGAGTGGGATTCTTGCAACACATGAGGGTGTGAGGACTCCAGATCGAATTCACGAAGCAACGATCAGACTTTCAAACCCCAGCATTGCCGAAGCTGCCCTCACCGCTGCCGAAGGAAGAATTTCGCAATCGCCAACAAGCTTTCGAAGCAGGAAACATGTCTCGCCCTCAGAATCATCTCTTCATCCCCTTGGCTACCATGATTATACGGCAGGACAGACACTCCCAACTCAATCGCGGCCAGTTTTTCCACTCTACTCTCCAGCCAGGTTCAACCCACCCTTTACATCGAAATCATTCTCCTCAAGAAGAAGACCGAATCGAGAGCAGAGGAAGAGCAATCTCTCGGAGATGTTTACAGCTGATGATGTTCCGGGTTCTGGAGCAGTGGACCTGGCTGGAAGAGGGATTTCCCGTGCGCCAACTACTGCCAACTTGATGCCGTCTGAGGAGACGAAGCAGGTGATTGATATAACAACTGCGTCTGTTGTTCTGTTCCGGAAAGACCCAGTTGTGTCGTTCAGACCAAGAATGGGAAGAACAAGCACCAGTGGCACTCAGATCTTTACTCCGGGGGATAATAGCATCGAACTCGATGGTTTACCTGTTGGGCCACCCGAAGAGACGTGGATGAGACATGGAAGGCGAGAAAGGACGTACCTGTAGGGACTGTTTGTCTGGCTATTCCGTACTGTATATATGGAGCTGAAATCCGGGCTGCTGGAGAAGATTTGGATTACTCTAAAGAGCTTGTACTAGATTGACATACGGGTATTTTCCACTGAAACATGCCCTCAATATGATGCCGGAAAAAGGAAATGTTGGTACAAGTCCGACAACCAGAACGCCGCCTGTTTGATGTCTTATCCCCTTACGCCGTGCTGTTAAACATCATGAATCCACCTGTCTTTTTACATCTGGGAATTCCAATCCTCCTTCTCTTTTGGGCAATATGGAAGGTGCCCTGCTTCTTCAGAAACCTCCTTTTCGAGTGCGACACCCTTGAACTCGCGGACCGTCGAACAAGATCTCCGGCGATAGAAACTCTCTCCAAACATTTCGCATTACCCTCACGAAGCCTCCCCATTCTCCCCTTTCATCCCAACCATCTCATATTCCCCCGCTCCATCTCTCCCCCTCCCCCTCCCTCTCCCCCTTCCATACCCCATCTCCTCATCTCCAGCGCCCTCCCCAGCCACAGGCGTATCGGCCGTCGTCTGCGCGGCACTTCCTCCACCAAACGTAATCGGCCTGAGCTCCCTCCACTGACAGGCCCACACTCCGAGCGCGGTCATCATCGCTGTGCTGCCTATCTGTAGCAGCCACCAGAGCAGGTTCTGAGGGATCGAGTGCGAGTAGAGGGATACGATGAGGAGGTGGATGAAGTGCAGCGTGACCGCGAAGTCGGGGACCAGTTTACTGCGGGAGATGAGGACGAGGATGCCGATTACGCTGGGGGAGTTTGATGTTAGCTTAGACGAACTTTACAATCTCAAGTTCCAAAAACCCAAGAATATCTCCGAAGCCAGCGCGAAGGAGACTCTAGAGAGAGAGAGAGATAAACCTACCCAATCAAGCTATTCAGCAGCCAAACCAGCCCCAACATCCACCCAACCGTCGTATCGCCCCTCAAACTCCTCCAGCTGAGCACCAGATCCAGACTGAAATGCTTGCCAGCCACCAGTGCCGTGAAGAGGATCAGGACCGTGCCGGCGACGTACCAGAGGGTTTGGAGGAGGAGGATCTGCGAGAGGATCTTGAGAGGGGGGAGTTCGGTGAGTGCGCCTGGCCGTGGGGGGCGGCGGCGGCGTGCCATTGTTTTTATATTTCGTAGGTGATAGGATTGGTGTGGGAAGTGCTATTGTAACATTGTTGGATGTGGTGTGTTGTGGGGGAATGGTATGTTGTCAAGAGATTGGTCGCGATGCGATGGCTTCTTGGTATGATAAGAGTTGCCTGCTGGGGAGGCCAGAGTTCTGACGGATTGAGTTGGGCGGTGTATTCTGCCGTTTTGTGGAGGCGAAAGTCACTTGGAGCTTCAGAGCTTCGATATCCGCAAAAGGTCACATCTCGAGACGAAAAGACAGCAATAGGACTTCCTCGACCGCCTTTCTCTGCTCGAATTGACTATTGGGTAACTGATCTTCTCGCAAACATATCTTACAGTACAAGAACTAATTCTCCACACAGTCACCAACTTGCATACCTCCGCAAATCAACCACAAACACAACCCCTCCCCTCCCAATTCAATCCAGCATAACAATACCCATATCGTCCTCGAAATGGGCCTCTTCACCTCCTCCACCCCCTCCCTCCCCCCACCTAAACTCGCCCCCGACGGCACCCCCATCGCGCCGGACCGCACGCAGCGCGCGAAATGCTGGGAGGCGCGCGACGCCTACTTCAGCTGCCTCGACAAGAACAACATCATCGACAGCTTGGGCGCCGACAAGTCGAAAGCGGATAAGGCGTGTGCGGTTGAGGGGCGAGGGTTTGAGGGAAACTGCGCGAGCAGTTGGGTGACGTATTTTAAGAAGAGGAGGGTGATGGAGTGGCAGAGGGAGAAGACGCTGGAGAAGTTGACGACGGAGGGGGCGGTCAAGATGCCGGGGGAGTTGGCGCCGCCGAAGGCGCCGGGGAGGAATTGAGAGGTTTGGAGATTAGAGCAGAAGGTATGTTTGGGATGGGAGGGTGGGGTGTATTACATCTCGGGACCTGTCAAGGATGCAGCTAGGGACATTGGACAGATGGGAGAGGATTGGATGAATGGATCGGCTTGGGGAACGCCGAACAGACCTCTGTTGAGGTTTTGGCAGAAGCAGTTATATGAGGTGGATGTATGAGTGTTGGCAAAATGTGCATATGGGACGGAGTTGGGGCTGGTATTATTAACATGAAGACGCTCTCCACAATATCGAGTACTGATCAACATTCTGTTAATCCATTTAGCACTGAGACAGTGGCATTGTGGCGTGGCTTTACAGGTATGTATGCAAGTCACACAAAAGACAGCTTGAAATAGCAAGAAGTGCAAGTGCCAAGGATGTTGATAATGATGAAAACTACCCTGCTGGGGGTCCCAGTCGGCTGAAGGTTGTTCTCTGGATGGGAGGAGAAAGATGGTATAGCGATGAGCTGGTTTACCTCCTCAGATATGTTCGATATGAGATTCCCTAGTAGGCCTCACCCGTGTCTCACTACAATGTGCTCAATATCACTGGTATGGGGAAACGTGTAGTTGTGATATATTCCATTTATAGCAGCCCATAGCTAGCAAGTGATCTAGCTAGCAGTCCATAACAGATCTGCATACAAGTGCAGAATATCATCTGAATACCAATGCAAAGACCGACGACATCCGCAATAGCAAAAGCGGTATATCTTCGAAAGCCACGAATGTACTTCATGCTCGAAGGCACTTTTCCTTTTCGTTTCCACCAAATTCAATAACTCCCCAACCCCGATTTTTGCCAAGAATCAATCCGCCAGAAAGCACCCTCCAACCAGCCAAATAAAACAACGCAGAAAATTTCCGGTGAACAGAAAAATGATTACAGGTCACTCATAAAACCGCCGGCTTGAGCAAATCTGAGCTGATACTCCCGAAGGTCAGCCCAATTTCTCAACTCCTCTTCCTCATCGACTTGTCCATCGCCATTCTCGCTTCGACAGCCAGGGCTAATGCGCTCAAGCTTCATCAAAACATCCAGGAATCGTCCAAGGTACTCTTCGGATTTGACGGCGATAGGGCCCTTGCGACTATCAGGAGTCTCGATCAAAGTAGAAGCAATCTGGCGAATCTTGTTGATCTGTGGCACTATTAGCACGAATAAAATGACTCAGGAAATGAAGAGCTTACAAAGCTTCCACCATTTGGTTCCATATTGACTTGACTGATGCAGCCCAAAACCTTCAAGAGGTCCTTGACAATACTCTCACGCTCCAGAGCAACATTTGTCTCCTCGTAGTGACTAGTAGGAGATTGCTTTGGGAGCATTCCATCCAATCCAATGGCCATGACACCTGGAGAACCCATCTGCATCGCATCACCGGAGCTGTTCTTGACCTTTTTGTAGGCATCGAAGAGGTTACAGTACTTGTCAACAAATGACGACCGTGTCCCAAGTTGACTAGCATATATGTTGGCCTTTTGAATCTCAAATTGTAAACGACGGCGCTCATCAGGCTTTCCGATTGACCACTGATTTGCATCGCTGCCGTTTGATCTGACACCTGGGTACTCCGTGTTTGGTGGGTAATATTGGAAAGCTGACTGCTCGAATTCTCCTGGATTTGAGCCAGGCTGAAGCATCAACTCCTGTGGGACAACCTCCAAAACCTGCTTGACATTTCGAAGACATTCCTCTAAGACTCGCTTTTGACGACTCCAGTCAAAGACTTCGTCGATGCCATATGCAAGCTCCATGGTGGACAAGGGAGTGACAGTCTTGTAAATACGAACGTTGAAATTGAAGCCGGTGATCTTCGACAGAACTCCAGGCGGTTGTGCATCGACGTGATCCACGAAGATATATTCATCGTCAACCTCTATAGGAAGAGGAGGGTATGGGTTATTGGTGGTCGGCGGGGGTATCAACAGCTCGCCGAAGGTAGCACCAAGCTGCTGGATGGAGCTAGTAAAGTTAGCACTGAAGTAAATAATGGACCGGATCAACTTACATGATGCCAACAAACATAACCCAGAATATTCTTCTGCCAATTTCTTGCCGGATGTAATCAACCCCAGTATTGACACCTTGCATATTATTTTGATCGGCTCCATAAGCACTCGGAAGTCCTCCTACACCTAACTCAGCATCCTTGACCTTGTGGGCACCAAGAACTCTGATAATGGTCAAGCACTCCCCAAAATACAGGCGAGTCTGCTTCCATTGGAAAGTGTATGCGCCAGCCAGACCCAAGAAGTAGCTCGTCGCCGCATCATAGACAGACAAGTCTTTGTCCAAGTATCCAGGCCCCCGCGCCGCAATAGCAACTTTGTGGCATCGCTCAACCAAGCTCATAGAATTGGGGAATAGGTGTTCTCGGTGTTGGGCCTTGAGGTGGAGACGGGGCTTTCGAGGGAAGGATGCGACCAGAACACCAACCATTGACGCCAATAGCGCTAGGAAGGAGGGGTTCTTCAGATCTTCTCTGTTTAGGAACGCGGCGCGAAAGGAGGGCTCGTGTGGAAATGGGCAGAGAGGGTGGATATAGGTGAAGAAGTCGTCAACCAAAAGCTCAAGAGTTGAGAACGGGCAGATCGATTCAGCATTGAGGACCGCATGGGTGGAGAAGGACGCAAGCGTAGCAGCGACATTGCCAGGAGATGTAGGAGACCCGAAAGTCGCAGCCTGTAATGATTCTCGTGCCTTCTTCTTGATCGCCTCGGCGTGTCTATTCGGTGGTCCTCTTCTTTTGCTTTGACGATCGAAGGTACATGGAATATCGAGGGCGGCGCAAGCACGACATGGTGGTCCAGACTCGTCGCACTGTGAAATTTATTGGTCAGATATGTACTGGGGAGGGTATATTCGGGATGCTGCCTACCTTGACCTTTCTTGTGCTGCAAGAGTCGCAAGCTTTGCGCAGACGGTTTCCCTTATGGCCCTTGCCTTCACCACTTGTAGATGCGGGGGATGGGGCAGGCAGCTGGACGCGCTGCTGCTGTTGTTGCATATCCTCTACATGCCCGTTGGAGTGTCCATTGGCATACGATTGCATCTGCTGTTGAGCGGACTGGTCATATTGGAAAGCTTGCTGGCTGGGCAGACCGTGCGCCGAGAGGGAATGTGGATCGTTACCATGGAGGTGACCATTTGCGCCGTTGGGGCTGGGAATGCGAATACCGCCATGCGATTGTTGTTGCGATTGCTGTGGATGATGTGGATGAGGGTGGTGAGGATACGAGCTGCCTTGGCCCGAGTATGCAGACATGGTGAGCTTCTATATGGGTGCGCGATCGAAGAGGTATTGGACGTCGGCAAGAAGTCGGGAAAATCGTGGTGTTGTTATCGGGATATTTGCGATGGAGGGGAAGGACGCTTTGATGCAGCTGGTGCAGCGGTAATGTAGGATGACGTAAGCAGCGGCGTGCCTCGTTAGAGTCTCGTGACTCGGCTTCACTTGAGACGACCTGACTCCCGTCTCTTGGCCAAGAAGCGAGAAGTGACAAAACCCGACTGAAGAAGTTGAGGCGAGGGAGAGCCGCGGGTGAACGTCGTACCGTGGAATCGAACTCGATGGGATGGATGCAGTGCGGAGGTAAGAGGCTTAAGTTTGAAGGCGCGGAAGATGGAAGATGGAGGTGGCGGGCTAGCAAAGTATAAGAGGACGTCAGGGCCTGCGTCTGGGTCGGATTCTTTTCCTGCCTTTAACTTTGCTTCAATTCGGCTGTCGGCGTGCTTGACTCGTCCCACGGGGCACCTTGGAGCAAGAGAAGCGATGAGATGAGAGGATCAGGGCAGGGCAGAAGAATAAGTATGCGAACGGAGGCCAGCAAAGACGACACCGCAACAGAGACGAACGTGAGGTTCGGCCAAGACTACCGCTTTGCCTGCTTTCGATCTCAACTGGGTCAAGTCCTATCAGTGCAAAGTTTGATGTCGACGATCGTGGGTCGTGTTGGGCAAGTAAGTAATCTTGAGTCGCGACGCGGCTACTGCGATGTGGGCGGATGGGAATGGATGGCGACGGTCTCGACTTTTCTGCTGCGAGTTTGCTGAGTTGTCCACTTCTTTCGATAATTGATCTTTCTTTCCTTCAAATTCGTCGTCAAGCTGCTTTCTTCCTCGTTCAGATGCTCGTTCCAGTCTTGTTGATTGTCGTCTCTTCTAGTTTTTCTCTCTGCAAGCTGGATCCTGCATCTGCATCATGCGTCTTTTCATTCCAATCACAGGAGCTGGTGGGGATACTATGTACTCTCCCCAACGCTGCCCTCTGCCCCTCTTCCTCTTGTCCCCTGTTCCTGTCGGCCTTATTCAACTGCACAGTAGGGCTAGGACAGGGTACGGATTGCGTTGGTCCCAGTTCCAATCCTGTGGCTCGGTGAGACAGAGCAAGCCAGTAAATGTTGTGGGTTGTGGCGCAAGGCGACCAGTGGTAGGAGCCTTGGGTGTCCAGGGGAGGGGCAGCAATATGCAAACATGGGTTTGATAGACGATATTCTTTTAATGAAGGGTCATCGTTTATCTACGGATGCTGAATGTGGTCGAAAATGTGTTACAGCTATTCTCGGTTCCGTATTTTGGGCATCATATGGAGTCCGATAGTAAGATTACCCTGTTCGCATGAATTTCTACCCCGTCAGCCCTGTATTGTTTCCATTGCACAGTAACCCTGTCGTGCAGCCCTACATTTGTTTCGAGAAGGATTCGATGCTAGATGTCTACGGTGCCTTGAGTGACAGAAGGTGAACCATGCATTGTATCATTGCTCTGCATGTACTTGAGCTTGCAGATATGGTCAATTCGTTATCGAATGGCATAGCCACAACTTACGCCAATTTCGATTGCCATAACGTAGCAGCTACTGGGCAATCGCAGCATGTACAAGGTATTATATTGTGGACCTGTGAAGCAATCAGATCCAGTGGCTGTACGAACAGAATACATGGCTCCCTCCCAAATGCTGGCCGCCGGGGTGTGTGGCACGAAAACCAATGCAGAAAGACATCATCGTAGGGTTGTATTTAGAGTTTGCGCACTGCATGACAAAGTACATAAGCTACATGAAAATCATCAGCCAAAAGCGGTGGTCCCTCCTAAAAGGGTTCCACGAGTCAGGGCCATGTTGCGGTAGCTGCATGCTCAAGGGTTCGGCCTTTGACGGACTTCTAGCCGAGACCATTGGATGTTTGAATATCACGAAACGACGTATCTGGGGAGAGCTGCAGATGAGAGTGAGTGAAGTTGAAAAAGTGCACTCTGTGTTCTGGTCAGGAGTTCAATGTTATATCACAAAATCTGCTCTGGAAAGTTATTTTCTAGTGAAGAGTCAGGGCAGCGCATAACTTTGGATTAGAGTTCAACCAGAAGCATCTACTGCCATACTCTATCCCTGCAATCCTTTCCTTCGATCGATAGAGATCCTTCCATGACACCTTCTAGCTCCCTTCTAGAAGGATTAGAAACGTGAGAGCTTCATCTTACCAAGGTCTGGGAAATGCCCTTGTTCAACGGCTCCCACCCAATCTCCTGGAATATCCAGGCCTCCTTTATCTACCATCCTATCTCGTTCGAGCACGGGTGCAATCTCAGCCACAAAAACAAAGGAGTTTCTTCCAACTCCAGTAAGTCACAGGGTCGGCAGTCCCCCACGTGAACGGAATGGCCGACGGCCAACGTTCCGGGTCTTTTGCAGGGCAGAGCTTTGAAGCAATGGCGATCAAGGGTACCTTGCTGGTCGGAACGAAGCGGGTTAGGGTCATCTTTATTTGGATGACAAGCATGGGACGAGACGGAGCCGAGTCGGTGCTGTTCCCAAAGTGCAAGACGGTGAAGGAAAAGAGCCGGATTCAATCTTGAAAAGGGGGGAATTGATCCGTGATTCGGGGATGTCACCGAAGTTCTGAACTGGTAACAGTCAAACGGTCCTTGAGGCCAGCTACTACCCAGTTATTTGCACGGAAAACCGTTCATCCGTTCTCTGGAAGCGCTTGATTCTATGGCATGTTTCTATGGCACTCCTTTAATCGGCAGGCAGGCAGGCACGCCTAAACAGGTATGCACAAAAGAATCGCAATTCCAAAATCAATCTATTCTTCGCAGAATGCCATCTATTCAAACTCTAAATACGAGCCTCATATCTTCGATTTCAACTTTCTATTTTTTGCAAGTCTGGCGGAGGTCAACAGCCCTCCTCCAACAAGCATGACAGAGCCAGCAAATAATTGAGCATACTGAAACTCTCCATTCTTCTTCTGGATCAACTGTCCAGCAATAGGCGGTCCAGTCAGCACCGCGAAACTCACAATCGTGAAAACCATACCCATCCTCGTACCCGCCATTTGCAAGTTTGTCGTCAGGCTACTCAATGCTACCGGAAACAAGCTCTGGATCGCAGCTCCAGTGACCCCATAAACCACTGCCCAGCCATACAGTCCTCCTCGTGAGTCGACAGCAATCCAACAAAACACCAATGTCGATGTCAGGAAGACGGCCAGAGTCAGAGTGTTGATTGGCCCGCAGTATCGATCCGCGACATAGCCAGGGATGATGCGACCGAATGCACCTAGACCATTCATCACAATCAACAGGTTGACGGATTCCTTGTACGGGAGACCGATTATCGATCGTGCGAACGAGCCGATATAAAAGAACGCGAAATACACGCCCCAGAAAACCTACGCAGTCAGTACTCTCGACCGGTCCAAACATCCGAAGTCACTCACGAAGAACATCCCGATAGCGAACAACACATAGGGCAACTCTTTGAAGCTCTTCCAGTCAAGCAAAGCACCGGTCCTTCGAGGCGGCATACGTGGTTTGATGCCAATGTTGCAAACAATCAGACACGCGAGCTGGATGAATCCCAAGGATCTCATCGTCCACGCAAAGCCCACTCGAGGAAGCAGCTGCTGGACCATGGCCGGATAAATCATACCACCAGTGGCACTACCCGCCGCACCAATCCCAAGTGCCAATCCCCTCTTCTTGCTAAAGTACGTCGAAAGAAGCGACATGGCCGGACAGAAGAGACACCCATTCCCAAGACCCATACACACGCCCTGCGCGAGGAACAGCTGCCAGTAAGTCGTGGACAGTGACGCCATGAAGATGCCGAAGACGCCTAGAAATGACCCAAGCATGAAGATGGGACGGAAATATCCTGCGTCTGTGAGGCGGCCTGAGAACGTCCCGATGAAGAACAAGAAGAAAATCTGCATGCTCCCTACCCAGGAGATATCACTAGGTGGGCGCTTCAAAGCAGTGACATAGTAAGTCTGGAAGACGCCAAAGGAATTGATGAACCCCCAGGTATTCATAATAACCAGATGGTTGAGGGCAGCTACAGACATCAGGTCAGTTATTGAAATGCTGGGAAAAGCTGGAGTGAGGAATACACACCTTGCGTCCATCCGACCAAACCACCATCAGGCGGTGGCCCTGGATCTTTCCAACTACTCTTCGTGCTCATTCTCGTAACTGGCCCTCCTTTCTCTGCACCCTCACCCGCACCCGCCCCCGTACTCTCCCAAACTGCATTCCTCTCAGCATTAATCCCATCCGGATACGGATCCGCCTGGCCCCTCTCAGTCAGCGTCAGTTTCTTCTCCATTTCCCCTCCTCCCATCTCCTCATCATCGTGATCACTACTATCCCGTGCGATGTCGATATCGTCGGATGAGCTAAGCGACGGGCGAATGGATTGGCTCTCGATGTCTCTGTTGAATGTATCCGCGGAAGATTTCAGCGGCGGTGGGACGCTCGTCATGATTGCATTTTCAATATTTTGGAATATGAATAATGATTTTCCGCGCGTAAATAATTAGGTGAGTCGAGAAGTCAGGTGAAGAATTGACGTCTTGGGAAATTTCTTAGCTTAGAGTTTTTGAAGAGTGGGAGGTGGGAAAACAGGGTGCGTCATGCACACTACATACCTTGCGGAATAATGTCTGTTGATCAGGGGGAGTTGAAGAGCCGCTCTTTGAACCCGAAGCTATCAACCTTCCTTCCTAAGAAATCAAAGAACCCGGCTCAAAAGAATCAATCATCAAGGCAAGATAGAGCAGTCCTAATATATAAGTACACCAAGCAATGAAGTAAGATGTAGGTCTCTATGCAGATGATAAATCAAACAATGACTCAAGACTCAAGACTCCAACATGCCCCAAGCCCCTGACACATAAAAACTGGAAGATCACATCCCAAGCCGTCCATTTTGCAGCTAGCCAACTTCCCCTCGGTTATGGGAATAAAGACTGTTCAAAAGATGTCTCCGGGCGGAACCAGATTAGCTCACTAGCCACATCACAGCGGACGCGGACTTCCGACTCCATATTCCCTTCACACTAATGGGCTCGATGGGGTTGAACAAACCGAAATCGTTTGCGCGTATAAAATCGAGTTCTAGAATTCTATGCCACAACATAGCATAGATGGGAAAAGCTTGTACCTGTGCTTACTTACATCTCCTCTGTCCTCGGCGGGGAGTCACATCTCCATATTGCATATGTCTATTACATCTGGTTGGAGCATAAATACAAGCCGTGAAATGACCTGCACCTGCCCTGGGCAAAATTTCCTCCTACGAAAACCAGCAGCGCCTCTTACGAATAATGAAATGATAGAAATGCGAGTTATAGTAAATGTACGGCACAGCCCGCTAGCTGTTCGGGTGCGTGCCGAGTTCCGGCTTGAGTGTTCTCGGATGTGATGCATGTAAGCAAGTCTATCCCGATGTCGCATGGCGGGGTATTTGCAACTAGATAAGGGAGAAAAATACATACATTGCCGTATACAACTATTGTCTTGGACTTGCTTACTTACCTACTGGAAACTCTCCCTTTCTTGTTGCCTTTTTCGAAATCCTTAATTCTCAAGAGAGAAGAGTTTTGAGTGTCGTGAAGCGTTTTTCCTTCTTTTTGCCTTCACTCGATGAGCTCAAGTACGCTGCACCTTGTTCCCGAGAAAGGAATATCGAGGTTCCATAGAATTAGGCCCGGTACTGAAATGGATGAGTAAGTACTTGAGCTGGCCTGTTAGAAGGAGTTGCTTGCTCGTAGTGAAGGGCAGGGTGCCTAATAGTTTGTTTCGTATTGTAAGCTACCTTTCCGGAGTTTGAGAAGACCGGATGCCATTGCACTCATTTCTCTAAAGTATTGTGTTCGCGTGTGGTTTATTACATTTTCCATTGAGCAGCAAGATTATGCTGTCTTCAGTATATCTCGAGAATGAATTTCCTTTTTGACTATTGTGTTTCATTCTCAGTACATGAGCATTGAAACCAAGAGAAATTTTGAATCCCAAGTACCAGGTCTCTCATCTTATATCTGGCCCATATCTGTATTCTCCAGCTTCAACCTGGAGCAATAAGAGAGGATGTAACTCCAATGGAATATAAAAGTGAAAGCATCGAGTTAAGAAGGAACAGAAACGGCAGATGCGACATGTCAATATATCCTCCTGAAAGCACAAGGATTCTATTCATGACTCTCTTTCTTATCAATCTCTAATTTCCAAATTTCTATTATAGATCTTGGCATCAACCTTCTCAAACGACGTTCTCTCTGAATCGATCTACTTCTCATCCCTCGCTCGTTTCCCTACAGTAGTTACAAGCACCACCTCCTCTCCCTCACCTCCTTCTACTTCCATATTACCAGCTTCCCTATCCTACGTACAGAAACTTCCACACCACACAGCACAAGCACAGCACAACGAATATCTCCACCGAGCTCCAAAAAAAACCCACTTCACCAGCTTATAATCTTCCGCGTGGGAGCGGATTCCGCATATTAAACTTACGCCAGCCCCAGCCCGGACGATAAGTCGAGTTTCGTGTCATGGGAATGAAGGTACGGAACTGCATCATTTAGATCAAGATTGTATCAGCCAGCTAGCTATCTCACAAAATACTTTTTTTACCAGAGAATGGAGGTAGGATTGGACCGAGATTCAGGGAAGAGGATCCGATGGTACGAGCCTACGTGGTTGTCTCACGTTCGTTCACCCGAGGAAAAACGATTGCGCTTGTCTTGTCCTGTCACGTCACAGCCAGACAATACAATACGAAGACACCGAAATAACATAAATGACGACTAAAAGCTTCAAAAGTGAGGTGAAAGAAAACAGATACAACTGAAGAGGGAAGGGAACAAAAAACAACACGAGCCCGCCAGACATGCGGTTCAATCACAGTTACGATAATTAATCCCAAAAGGCCATCACAACCCAAAACTCACAACACACAACAACTGCTGCCCTACCATCCCCATCCCACTCTCATGACCCACTGCCCCTCTCTCTTTCTTATACTGAGATGATAAACCTCAAAAAGATTGATAAAAAGAAACTTGGTGTTACGTAAAATTTGTATTCGTTTCTGTTTCATTTGGGCAAACTTGGTGATACTTGCGTGTGTGTATGTGTGTGTGTGTGTGTGAGAGAGAGAGAGAGAGAGAGGAGGGTCGAGTTATGCAACTCAAGGCTCGACATTCGAGGTCGCATCGGATCGCATCACATCGGATCGCATCACATCGCAGAAGCAAAGCGAGGCCAATGGGGAGAGGGGCAAGTAAACAAAAGCACACGAACGAACCCAGACAGACACAAGAACCAGGCAAGACTCTCACACCAAGTTGAATGCCTGAGTCCAAATCCAAGTCCAAAACCCAACACCACAAAACCCTTCATCACTCTATCCACTCTAATACCTTCCCTTCTTTCCCAATCGCATTGCCAGTCCCAATCCCAGCTTCTCAGACAAATCTATCAGGCTGACTTCAGCTTAGCGATGTGCCGTCTATCTACCTTCACTGGAACGAAAGTACCAGGGAGAGTCAACGCGACACCACAAGTAAAAGAGAGCACCAGCACACAGAACCGATAACAAAGAAGGAACGCACGTTCGACGTACAATCCACTCGAGTTTGATTAAATTATACATTCATTGCCCCATGGCCAGTGCCTCATATGTCACATCTAAAGGACATAAAGAGGATGTATGATGCAGAATTTGAAATGAAGCGAAAAAGGGAAAAGCCAACCAATCCAGCCGAGTCCTATATTACCCCTCCTATGACCCCAACCCGATCCGACTCATAAATTTAAACCATAACCAAAAATCCCAAAGCAATTGTTGCGAAAGCCCAAACGTGTCCGATCTTCATCGAGCTAGCTGCGCCGGTGAATGGAACTCCCGTCCCGGTTGGTAGGTATGCGCCACTGGGAATAGGAGTGTAGGTGGGGAAATCACTGGCGGCAACTGGGGTTGGGGCATATGAAGCTGGTGGACCAGTTGGGTATGGTGCTGGGCTAACCTCCGGACCAGAAACTGGTGTTGTGACTGGGTTGTATGATCCAGGCTTGACACCAGTTGGGACTGGCTTGACAGGAACTGGGTATTGGATAGGAACAACAGGTGCAACTGGAGCTGGGTGGGCGACCAACTCATAAGGAGCCACGGGGTATCCAGAAACTGTTGTAACGGCATAGCTGATGTAGTGAACTGAAGTGGAAACTGGGGTGACTGTGGTGGTGGTTGATCCATATGGACAATCCTTGACCTCTGGAGCGCACTTGGAAATGGTATAAGTCTTGGTGGCATAGACAGTCTTGGTCTTCTCCGTGGTGTGGAAGTCGTAGGCGGGCTTGGAGGTGATCGTAGGTGCTTGAGATACCGGGCACACAGTGGTGTACTGGACGACAGTCTTTGTGACCTTGCCAATAGGGCAGTCGGTAACTGAGGCTGGGCAAGCGGTGACGGTGTACTGGGAGGTTGAGTACACGGTCGAAGTTGTGTAGGTGGGGTACGCAGTTGGTCCAGCGGTGGAGCTGTAGTTCGACATTGGGTAGAGACCAGTAGAGTTTGCTGAGATGGTAGGGAATGCCGAGACAGAAGATGTAATAGAAGATGAGACAGAGGATGAAATGCTGGATGAGATGGTGCTCGAGCTGGTGCTGGTGGCAGAAGATGAAGAAGACGAGGAGGTTGATGTAGCGCCGCACTGTCCAGCAATTGAAGGAACAGCATCTGGACCAGTTCCGATAGCTACCAAATTAGTTCCGCAGTTCTGAGCATTAGCGAGATGCAAGTTCTGGTTATCTTGATCATAGACGACGAACGCGGCTCTGAGGAAAGAATCTCCAAGAACTGGGGAAACATCATCGGCGGCAATACCAAGGTAACAGAATCCCTCAATGTGCCAGATGAACTCCTTGAAAGGAACATTGATGATGGTGTTTCCAAATCCAAAGTCAACGGTACCAGCTTGATCGCCGACGGAACAGTCGACCAGGTAAAGACCGGAAGATCCATCCTCGGTTGCACCTGGGAAATCGGCAACAATGGCGTTGAAGAGAGTAGTTGGGAGACGGCTGAGAGTTCCACCACTGTCAAGGAATACTGGTTGACCAAGAGGATCACTGGATGATGGTGCATAAAGCTTTGAAGTGACCTCTCCTGGCTTGGTGATGCCAACAGACTTCATGTGGATCCAGTAACGAGGGAAGGAGTCTGGAGCCTGAGCAGCAGGGATGATGGGGCACTTCTCCAAGGAGCCGGAGTACTTGGCGGTATCAATACCACCGAAGATGATAGCACCTGATTTGTTAGCCGTCGTTCCTTTGGGGAGACGACAAAGGCTTCGGTAGAAGAGAACTCACCATCTGGAGACTCATAACTTCTCAAGTCAAGAGAAAAGGCACGGCTGTTGGTAACACCCTGTGTGGCAAGGGTATCAATGATGATGGGGTAACCAGTCAACTCAATACCGGGACCAACACCCATCAAACCAACTGGGAGATCACTACTCGAAGTAGCAACACCGAATTGTTGACCAGTAACAGTTGCGCCTCCAAGGTTGAAGACATCGGAGTAGTAATCGACATTCGCCGTTCCCTTTCCGTAACTGAGAGTGGTGACCTGTTGGAAGTCCAGGGCAGTCGATGAGGCATTTGGGCTGTAAGTTGGGAAGCTGTTGCACAAATCGATGTTTGCCTGAGGACCAGCAGTCGAACATTGAGGGTTGACCCAGGTCTCAGATGATCCGGTATCAAGTGAGAGGGCAAGGTTTTGAGGAGGAGTTCCGATGGAGACTGATGAGATATTAGTTCATTGTCACTCCAGGGGTGGGACTCTCGGTCAGGAAGAAAAAAAAAACACATACACTCAACCATATACCGGGTGCCGGTCTGGACATTCTCGAGAGGGCTGACGACTTGTCTCTTCAGGGCGCTTTTGGCGGCGGTGATGGGCAGTCTCAAGATACCAGATTCACGTCTGGCGGCGGGGATCGCGGATCCATAGGAAAGAGAAGCAAGGGAAATGGCGACGGTGAACAGAGTTGAAATCATGATGGCGGTAGTTCCTATATTAAAAACGATTGGGATGGGACCAGGTAGAGAGTGTATATTAGGTCAGATAATGAATGAATGAATGTGGGCGACGTAGTGTCGAGGACAGTAAAACACTGAACGAGTGTGTGTGTGTGGTGAGAAAAAAGATCAGATCAAATCAAATCGGACCGCGGCGACATCTGTTGGGAGATGTACAGATGTGACGAGGAGAGGGTGGAGGTGAGGTGGAGATGGACGTGAGGTCGATGAGGAGGTTGTCGAGGCTGAAAAGAGCGTGATCGTGAAGAAGAAAGTAGAGAGGGGACCTCGAGAAGCTCCAGCATGGATGCGAGGGCGAGGGCGAGGGCCAGTGGCTCTTTTGTTTGGGGAAAGCACGGAAAGCAACCTTAAGGGGCTGGCGCCTTCCCGGTTTGGGAGGCTGCCAAGAGGGACGCTCTTTCCCGGTTGGGTGGCCGCTGTTGACGGTGGCTGATGAACCCCAGTTTAAATGTCGGGCGGCGTGGCGGGATGGACGTGCGATGGATGGGATGAGATGGGATGGTGGAAAAAGAAAGAAAAGAAAGAAAGAAATGGCATGAAAATGAGAATTAATAATCCTGCATTGTTAACCTTAAGGTTAATTGCTCAATGCCTGCATGTTCAATTGTTTCCTCCTGAATGTATGTACAGTTTAGAAGTCACAAAACAAACTGGGGCATTCATTCAAAAAACATACAGTACATATCCATACAAAACCACAGCGTCTCAATTGGCCATCATCCACACGAAGTGGCCCCGACGATTCTTCTTTCGGCGGTCCCTCGAGTCCCTGAAGAATGGCCATGGGCATTTGTCCTCAGTCGGCACGGAGCAGCAAGTGACACTAGCGTACCCACATTATCAAGGGGCTCTCCTTGCTATCTGCATGGCCCTCGCCCTGCCCTGCCTGCCCTCGCACAACAGAGATCCAATCTCCCCCAAAGCCGCTGCCAAGGCGATCCAGCATGCGGATTTGCTGGTTCCTGGCCTGTTCCTGCATGCGCTTCCAGCCACAAGCGTTGATTATGACATGAGCCCGGCAAAGGGTAAATTTAAGGTACGGAGGGTTAAAAGGTCGCGGGAGGGGAGGAAATTACTGATGGCGCGAATCTTTGAAGAGATGAAACGAGCTATCGGCGGGGCGAAGCTTTGGAGAAATGGTGTGCATCTGGGTGGGCGAGCATGGCTGATCCTCGAGGCGATCGTAATAATAAGGGAAACTCTGCTATTTTTGTTTTTACTTTTACAGTTTTGGTGAGGAATCTGCTTTGGGATGGGGACAACCAGATCTGATCTCGCTTACTTGCTTGCTTGCTTACGCTGCTTACACTGCTTAACTTTAAAAATTCTTCTTTGACGAGCACCGAACTTTGACGTCCCGATCTTTGGCCTTGCTTAACCCTTGGCTGCAGGTGTACGAGTATGGCCGTGCTGTGCTCCATACTTGATGAATTGATTGCACGTCCGTCTCCACAGTGGTCGACAGATAGATAGCCTCGAGCCTCGACCATCAGACGCAAGCAAGGACACAAATTTAAACCCATCCTCGCCATCAAATCAGCAACTCTTTTTCTCCTTACCAAGGTATCAATAATGTCCTGCACTTGTCCCTGCCCATCTGCCTCATCAGGTGTTCATCCCAACATTCAACAACCCAGCCAATCACCATCCCCTCCTCTCTCACACATGCCCTGCCTTGCCCTTCCCAGAAATCCATCCCTTCACCTCCCCTACCAAACCTACCAACCCTACCAACCCTACCAACAACCGAAGGATCACATCTAATCTCCCTTCCCGCCCAGCCCAGCACATCACATCACATCACAACTCAATAATAAACAATACCGCCTAAACCACATCAGCCATCAGCTCAAATCGTAAGGCTGAATCCATCAATCACACTGTATTCCGCAGTATTAGTTCACCTCCAGAATCAGGGGAAAGAAAGCCCAGTCCATCGTGGTACTAAAACGGCGGGTAGAAGCTTGTAGGTACTGTAGGTAGGCTAGGTAACGGTAACGATACATTTCCAATCCCGATGCAGGTGCTGTGTTCTGTACCACAGTAGTATCGGGTCGGGGAGGAAAGGAGAATTTTCTTATTTATTCCCCTATTTCCTATCGTATGATTCCTAACTGGTTTGTGTTCCGTTCTGTCTTACCTTAGTAGTGAGTTCGGCATGATGCCCTGAACAGATTACAAGGACCTAGGTACCTAGGTAGGTAAGCAACGGAGGAATGTTGGGATGCGCTGCGCTGTATGACAGGACAACGACATGACATGTGTGCGCACTGCGCAGGACATGCTCGATGGAAACAAATAAGCTTCAATTTTGATTTCTTTGTCTTTGATCTCGTATTTACCTTTCCTTTCCCTTCTCACTCCCCTACTATTAACGAGCGCTTAACCGTTCACCCTTCACCGTTCACCTGAGCTGCACCGAACTGTACTTCGCCTCACTGCCATTTCATGCCTATTTATTTTATCCAAGATTTAGGGTGAGCGATTGGTTGTGAGTCTGGGGATAATTGGCGAGCTCATTTCCTCGAGTTAGGCGAAACAGAGGTCATTTTATCCGCAGCGTTTGAGAATTTGGCTGAAGAATTGAAGGGTGGGGCTCTTTGGATTGTGTTGCTGTGGTGTGCAGCAGGAATTTTGTTGCATTCTGGTGATGTGATGTTTATCCGGAACGGCCGCCAGAGAGGAACTTTAAACATGCCCCTCTTTAGGACGCATTATGGGTTTTCACGCTCTATCATGCTCAGGCATTCGTTTTGTGAATACTTCCATGATCCATCACATCCTTTGATTTTGCTTTGTATGCTCTGCTCTGCTCACCAGATACTGAAGTCAGTCAGTTTTACGCCACTGCTCTTCCCTGTCCAATATCTGATGTCAGCAAGCCTCAATTGAGTTGATTCTTTCTCGGCCTTCTGTTTCTTGATAGCTTGCATCAGAGCGGAGCTACAGATGTTATTGACTGCCCCTATTTGTAGTTCCTCTTCATGAAATTCTTTTCCAATCTTCCGAACCCCTTCCAGTTTCCTCAAGCGACAGCTCTGGTTGGCTTATTTTCTGACTCCAAATTAATCAGAAAGCCTGACGATGACTCTGTTACATTCACCTCCAAAAGTACACCAACCTTCAGAACTGTCAACAGTACTCGGAACTATTCTCTTCGGTAGGCTATGGTGCAACCTCTTCAGATCTCGCATTGATCCCGAGTCTGCCTCCTGCAGTCATCCACTCAATCCATTATTTTTACCACTGCCATGCTTCAACGACTTCAAATATCTCTCCATCACACACCCCTTCCACTAAGGTTGTCAATTAACAAATTTTCCCCAATCTAAGCTCCCTCTCAATCTCCGTCTCCTTCCCATCTTTCACCCTCCAAGTCATTGGCGTCTTATCACCAAATCCCTTGCCATAAAACCCCCAGCGACAAAGACTCGTGAAAACAGGTGTTTTTAGCCTTTTCTCCTGTCCCTCTGCCTCCTCACTTTCGTGCACCATTTTCTCGTTCAATTCATCCTCACAGACAATCCTCTCAACCATCTCGCTCGTTTCCTCACTAGCGGTACCCTCACCATGTAAAGTCTCGCCCATGACCACATCTCCATCCCCATCTCTTGCCTTCTCATTGCCATTCTCATTCTCATACCCACCAGCATCAGCACCAGCATCAGCACCAGACCTCCCCTCCCCATCCCCCACCTTCCAATACACAGCCCTCCTCCCCCCAAACCAACTCTGCGCCAAACACGCCTCATATATTCCCTTTGCTCCAACACCATGCACAAGATTAACATGTCTCCTCAAATCCGTGACATCCCTCCTAATAAATCCACACTCTTTCCCTCCCTCCCCTCTACAATTCTTCCCTTCCCCCCTCTTTCCCCTCTTTCCCCTCTTTTCCCTCTTTCTCTCACGCTCTTCCTCTCCCACTCCCTCCCCTCCTCTCCCTTCCGCACTACCATTATCACTACCACCACCACCAACAACAAAAATACACCTCCACGCCCTCACAACCCTCAACCCCTTCACCACCTCTCCCTCTCCGTCCCCCTGTCCCTCCCCAACCCCATCACCATTCCCACAACCACCCCTCCACCCCTCCAAATCCTCAAACCCTACTCTCCTCGACTCAACCGTCAAAGAATCAACAAATCCCCTCACCAAACCCCTCAGTTCAGCCGGTAAAGCATGTTGTTTACGGAGGTGTTCGAGTAGACTTCTGGGGAGGACGGCGGAGCGGCAGGTGGTGCAGAGGGGGATGGTTATTTTTGAGTTTGAGTTTGGTGTTGAATAATGATTTGAGTCTGGATTTGGATTTGAGTTTTGGTGCTGGGTGAGAGTGAGAGTGAGAGTGTAGGTTGTGATGTAAGATGTGAGAGGAGTGGGGACGCGCACTTCAGGTGGTGTTGCGGTAACGGAAGGCATGCTTGATGCAGCTGGGAGTGCTGAATTGATTTCCGGATGAATGTGAGGCCGATAATCAGACGATACAAAACACAACCAGGGTTCGGATGCAGGATATGATGTATGGTTTTCATCCACGAATTCTTCTTGAAAGTTGAGCCGGTTGAGATGGGGAGAGTGAGATATTAGCATCGTGTTCACGTAGGTGCAGATGACAAATCTCACCTGCTTCCCTCTCGAAAACATGGTTTTGGTCCAGCTCTCGGTAAAACGGCCAATCATATCGGCTAGAACAGAAACTCGAATTTGAAATTCGGGGGAACAACAACACCGTCCCAGCTGATCGATAAGGGAGACGATGATGGATACTGACAAATTATCGATATGGACTTCGGGTGGAGAGAGGATGAATAAATAGTTTGAATATTCCAGGAGGATTTTACATCTTTCAACTCGATATTGGATTTCTGATTCTGCTTCTCTGCCTTACCTTTGCGTCAAATATCAGTCACAGGAATTCCGATTTCCACAATCGAGCTCCTCCCAATATACTTCTCAAAAAGAGTCAAATCTCAGCATCTGGAACAATGGTCAAGATCGCAATGGCAGGTGGCTCAGGCCGTACGTATCTTCCTTCTGGCATCCCTCTCCCCATCCTCCTTTAACAGTCAACTTCCCTTCCCGCACTCTCTTACCCTGAATACACTGCCTAAGACATAATTCTCCCCTCACCACGATACTAACGCCTCATCCAGAAATCGCCAGCGAAATCCTCGACGTCCTAGTCGCGAAAAACAAGCACGAGATCCTGATCCTCTCTCGCAAGGTACTTACTTTTATTCCACCACCTCCCATCCCACCCACATCTCCTCCCTCCAAACCACCATCTCCTCTTCCCTCTTTCTTCATCTCAAAACCCCAATTAACACACGGAAACACAGGCCCACCCCACCGACCCCCGTCCAGGCGTTACGTGGGCCCAAACAGACTACAGTTCCGTCTCTCAACTGACGTCCCTCCTTCAAGGCGTCGACGTAGTTCTCTCGTTTGGCGCCGCGCATGAGGATGTGGGGAGTGTGATGCAGAAGGCGTTGATTGATGCGAGTGTTGCTGCGGGGGTGAAGAGGTTTGCGCCGAATGAGTGGTCGACGTGAGTACACTTCCTCTTCTTCATGATCTCTTCCAATTCCAGAATCCCTTATTCGTTCATTCGTTCTTGAAGGCTTGGGAGGGTGTGTCGGTGTTTGCTCGATTGACGTGAACAATGCGAGTGCTGACATATTTCTGCAAAGCTCAAACTTCGAAGAGATTCCCTGGTATGCCGAGAAAGGAAACACCCGAGCCTACCTAGCGGAAATCAACAAAGACAAAAAGGTTACCGCTTCCTCCCCTCCCTTTCTCTCCCCTCCCCTTCCCTCCTCATCACCCAGCTGACCCAATCTCCCCCCCCCCCCCCCCCCCCCCCCCCCAGGTCATCGAATACACACTCTTCCAACCCGGCTTCATAACCGACTACATCGCACCCCCCAACACATCAAGTAAACACATCTCCCCCCTCGAAATCGCACTCGATGTCCCCAACCGCCGCGCCATCATCCTCGAAGGCATCGATCCGCGCATTACTCTGACGAGCGTGAAGGATGTAGCGGAGGTGGTTGCGCGCGCTGTAGAGTATGAGGGAGAGTGGCCTGTTGTTGGGGGAATGGTTGGTACGACGATGAGGACTTCGGAGTTTATTGCTTTGGGGGAGAAGATTAGAGGTGTGTATTCCATTTTCCTACTCTTCCTAACGTCCTTGATTCAAATGGTAACACTTGCTGATAACTCAAAAGGCGGTAAACCATGGCCTATCACCACCCTGAAAGAAGCCGATGTGAGAGCCGGCGATATCAAATCAGATTGGATTCCTGCAATGAGGGTCAAGGGTCTGGCGCCTGAACAGATCGAGTTCTTCTCCAAGATGGTACTGGCGGGGTTTTTGCTTTGTGGCAAACATGAGTCGTGGATGGTGAGCGATGAGTGGAATCGCTTGTTGAAGGATTATGAGTTTGAGAGTGTGGAGCATTTCTTGGAGAGGACTTGGGGAGAACGACCGTAGGCTGGGTCGCCGGGAGGTGTTTGAGGAGTTAAAGACAAGATGTTCAAGTGGATGGATGCGGTCGATACGGTGGTCCATGGTCAGATGAGTGATTGGCTGATAGTTTTAATGTAAACGTTGCTTTTGGTTCGGTGACTTTGCTCGATGTTGTACTTGCGGAAAATTCTCGAGCTCGATGGAACGGACAGAATTGGCAAAACTTCATGGTTGTTTTGAAGGCATTAACACTAAGATTGCCATTAATACTTGATACCCTCTTTCCATCGCTTTTGTCATGTCCAGTGAAGGATTCTTGAAGTCCCAAAAGACTTGTTCGAGCGATGAGATGGGTGGCGCGGGACCCCAAGCAGCAAAGTAGAAACGATATCACGACTGCTGCTAACTCTTTCACCCGTAAGCTGCAAAGTTCTGTATCACAAGCATCCACTGGACATCAATAATACCGACATACTTCCTGCTGTGGTCCTTCCCGTGGTCCCCGTCGGCATATCGAAGCAACTTACGTCAAAGATAATCATTGGCGATGAAAGCTTGAACGGGACTGATATCCCGACGAATGAGTTTCGAAAGTTCAACCTCAGATGAGAACGGCACCGTTCGAACCTTTTCTAGCATCTACGAATGAGGAGAAGATATGTGCTAGGCTCTCTGACTTCAGAAATTCGGCCCCGAGATAGACATGACGCAAGAACACTGACTTGGTTCCTACCCCGCGTTGATACCCCGCATGATGAGAAGTCTTTATTAAAATGTAAATGCAGATTCTCGAGACGCGCATAAGTGTGTCTTGTCAATCAAAGAGACAAAACTCAGAACATCAACATCTGTAACAAATTCTCAATCAAAATCCACAAAATCATAATGCCCGGTACGCAGCCTCCCATTCCACGATTAACCAATCTCACCAAACTAACAAACACGAAGAACAAGAAGGACACAAGAAAGAAGGCTTGTGAGACAAGCTCTTCCACCACGGCCACCACAAGGAGGGGGATCAGGCTACTGGCCAGCAGCAGCAACAACAACAGCAGGCTGGACAGAGCCAAGTGGAACGACCGCATAAGGAGACGGAGAGAGAGAAGTTCAAGGACTATATGGCGGAGGAGAGGAAATTGGACGAGGAGGGGAAGGAGTATGGTGGATTGATGTGATGGTGGAGGGATTTGAAGAGCTGTGTATGACTATCTGAATGAGGATGGATGTGGAGGACGAAATTATATTCTTGACCAGACTGTAATTGAGAGGACCTTCAAACCAAACTTTGGCCCAAATTGAAATGCTGTAAGAACAGATGTCCATTGTGGATCCTGTGTAATTGGGCATTTCTGGAGGAACTCTGCAGCTTGCAGAAGAGAGGATGTGGCCAACTCACGTTTTCCCATTTCAATGATTTCGCAGATTTTTGCCCAAGCACCAGATCTCGTCACGAATCTTGGACGGTGCAGCAAGCGTATCTCAGCTTGGACCAGTAGAAGATTTCTTGTCTCGTCCATTCATTTCACTCACAGGCCTTTTCTCTCCTAGGAGCCAACTTAGTCCCACGACACCAAAAGACATGCCAACACACTCGGTTCCACAATTGTTGATCACCAGTCCTTGATATCCGTCGTTATGATGTGTGACTGCCAGCTGGATGTTACATTATGTCGGGAGCCTTCAAAGATTGAGTTGTACATTCGGTGCCAATTCTCGAATAACCTCGTCATTGAAGCCCCATTGTTATAGTCCGGTTCTGCCTTTCGAGGAGCCTGAAAGATGGAAGCTTTTCAGGCTGTGTTAGGTTCCGTTGACATCGGGCTGCGCCCCCTGAAAGAGCCTGAATTTCCGCCTGGTTCGCCTTGAGTCCCCCACTAAGTCGGCCGTGCTTGCCGAACTGCGCCGCCTGAGCCACTGCCGGCAGGGGCGCCTGCATCTTCCCCCCTCCTCATAAGCTTGGCTTCCCCAGGTGCATTTCGTCCGTTTGTTTCTTCCTTCAACATCAACACCTCAAGGGGTTCGCAGCAGCAACACAACGAATCATCTTGTCACAAAGGTTTCTTCTACAAAAGTACCATACGATTACCAACCAACCCACACATCAACATGGCATCGCCAACACCCAGCACATCACCCAACTCACCCACCCCGAATCCCAAACACAAATCCTCCACCTTCCACATCCTCCTCGCCATCCTCACCGTCCTCTTCATAATCAGCACCATCTTCCTCATCACCTTCCTCGCCACCGACCTCCTCTACATCCCCTACCTCAGCGAATTCTCCAAACTCCTCGTCCTCTTCCTCTCACCCCTCGTCCCCCTCTTCTTCCCCTTCTTCCTCGGCGTCTTTCTGAAAGTCTGCCAGCACAAGACCTGGCCCCGCAAGAAAGTCTGGGTTTTTGTGACGGGCTCGTGGGTCTTTCAGCATTTGCAGCGCGCGGTCACGGATGCGATTGCGTTGTATCATGGGGGCGAGGTGTGTGGGTTGAGGGAGTGTAAGGGGAAGTGGGTGGAGTGGGTGTTGGTGGGTGCGGTGGTGATGTGTCAGGTTGGGGGGTGGAGGTGGGATTTGGGGGGTGTGGATTGGTGGATTGATGGGTTGGTTAAGCAGGAGGCTTGGGCGGAGGCGCAGAAGAGGGCGGTTAGTGGGGAGGTGCTGGAGGGATTGGATTTGGAGAAGGCGGATAAATTTGAGGGTTTGGTGTATATGGATGCAGATGAGGAGAAGAGAGAGTTGAAGGCTAGGGATGAGATGGTGGTTGAGGAGACTAAGGAGGTTCTGGTGATGGTTGATGAACAGAGAGCATGAGGGACAGACAAGCGACGTTGGGACACAGTACAACAGGCGTACACAGATACATTTGCTAATGGCGTTCGGTGGTTAGATGAGAGGAGTGCATTCATAAGTGTACAATACATGATTACAAGATGGAGCCTTTACAGAGCAGAGTACTTTTGTCCGTAGAGCCTAAACGAGTCTTGTTCACTTCTTGCCTAGTTCTCTTTTTGACTGCTTTCTTAAGTGATGATTATATGCTATGAGTTGAGTAGATTCTATGGTGAATTAGCAAAGCTGCGGTCTCTAGAGTCCAGCCATTGAATATGTATGAACAAAGTCCGAGACAGAAGCCGATCCAGTTAGTGTGTGATTACGGTCTCTCCTAGGCATACCACCCATACAGACTTCACACGAGCATATTGAGGCCGAGGTGGAACGAAGTAGAGCAACATGCTTTGATACTTTGGATTGGGTCGACCGGAAGGGTGAAGAAAGAGAGAGGAAGGAGCAAAGAGCTACGTACAGTTAACTCCAGGTACAGAAGCTGGTCTGCCTCCACTACTACCATCAACAGAAATCCCTTGGGCATCCAATTGGCAAAATCAAATTAGAGTTGAGATACCAGCCCAGATTAATCATATAAAATCAGCAATACCCCTTACAAATGAGGTCCCTTTGGGAAAGTCGTCATATCATAAACCCCCCCAAACGCCTTCCCCACCGCCCTCTTCCAAGCCGGCCTCTCATACACCCTCCGCAACCACTCATCCAACTCAGGAAACTCCCCCGCCAGATCCACACTCTTCCTCTGCTTAATACTGCTCATCCCAAACTCCAGCATGATGTCCGCTCTGCCAGGCTCCTTACCCATGAAGAAGCCTCCAGGCAGGCCCTCTTTCAACTCCCTCGTCAAATCCTTAAGAACATTCCGGATCTCAGGACCGTCGTATTGTTTCCCTCCTGGGCCGGTGCCGTTTCGTAGTAAGCCGAAGTCTAAGAGGAGGAGGATGGTGGTTGCTTTGCTGAGGCTGGTGGAGACGATACTGACGAGGGTCTCGTCGCGGATCCAGTCGCCGTTCTTGAGCCCGAATTTGTCTTCCTTGTCGAATGTGCGGATCAGGTATGTAGCGATGGCTGAGGATTCAGTGATGTATCGATTTCCATCTGCCGCGCCGGTTATGAGGACGGGGGCTTTGCCGTAGGGGCCTGTAGCTTGGAGGGAGGGAGGAGAGCGGAAGGGTGCTTTTGGGTGGTTACGGATGTGTGTTACGAGGTTGTATTCGATGCCGAGTTCTTCGAGGAGCCAGAGGATGCGTTGGGATTGTGAGTTCTGGGTTTGTGAGTGTTTGCCAGGATGTGGGGTGGGTGGAGGTACGTACATTGAGGTGGTGAAGGGTGGGTTTATTGTCTGCCATGTTGGAAATAGATGATATTTGGGTTTGCTGATTGGAAGAAGATTGACCAGAGAAACTATGACTGAAGAAATACTTACAGATGTAGAGAGAACTTACCGTTATATACCTAGGTACTGGTAGTGAGGGGATCTCCATCAACCGGCGCCATGACGATAGCTCCACCTTCTCTCTGATTTAAAGCAGGTATCAGAGTCTGGACTTCCATTCTTACCAATACCTCTCCTTACTCCTGTGAGTGCTTACAACCATCCGGCCGCATCAGCGCGAACAGTGCATCGTTGAAATGTCCGGACCTTGTCCCCAGTATTGACGTTTGGGAAAGAGAAGGTGTTCTGTGACGATGCAAAGTAAGCTTATATGAAAATGCTGCCTAGGTGGGTTTAGCGTTGCGCAAGCTTACTGCTTATGGCAGTAACTTATGCAGAATAGCGGACTTTTTGAATGCCGATGCTCTGGACTTCGAGCACCTCTTCATTTTCATCTGCAACCCGTGAACAATTTGACTTTCTAACTCAATGGAGCAATACTTTGTTCATGCGGTACTAGACCTGGCTTCGAGGACTGTTTATAGCTGGGAGCATAGTTACTCTTGTCGTATACCTTGTCCAAGGGCCTCTTCTTCCCCTTCTCGTCACATATACTTTTTTGGTCGATAGCAGTTACCATAGCGCGTCTGATCTGGATGAGAGCTTAATGGAGCAGGTAGAGTTGCCTCATGCAGATGGTGAGCATCTTGGACGGGCGGAGGCAGGAGCCGGCCCTGCCCTGAGGAAAATGTCGTTAACCTGAGCTAGAAGACCATTACTGATAGTGGTTCTATCTTCATCGGTATCGAGTATCTAGGATATCTTGTTTAGGACGAAGCTGCGGAAGCAAGCGTGGAATAATGTGGCTCGTGGCAGTCAGTCTCGTCTCATCCATAAAGAGGCCTGAATTAACTTGTCGATAACATATCGTTTGACTCCTTCAAGACTCAAGTGATCTAACACATCATATCATAGTTGATATTTGGCATTGATTTGGACAGAATAAATGCCGATAGAAGGCTATCTCAGATTCTCAACATCTTCCCAAGTGAGTGGCCCTAGCTGCAATGCTTGATGAAGTTCACTTACAGCTGAAAGTCGCATTACAATCTTTTATCCGTCATTTCAGCAATTCCATCCATATCATATACCATAACTTCCATGCGCTTCTGTCATATGGCCATAGCACTCCTTCGAAGTCTCAAAAACTTTCATACACGCCCAGCAAATATGTGCTTTACATTCCGCACACTCCATATGGTTACAGCCATAAGTTTTCTGAATGGCCAAGGTGCATTTCGGACAACGCCTCGTGTCCGATTCCTTCATGTATATCTCAAATGCTTTGGTGCCTTCCGAAGAGAGATCCTTGTAGTCCTCGCAACTCATGCCATCGTGAAACACGACCTTGCAGGATGTACAGACGGACATCAAGCAATGAGTGCACAGAATGGCCGTTCCATCCTCAGTGTATCGGTAGAGCTGGGGACAGTCTGGGGTTGGACAGTATTGGAAGTCTTTGGGGTGCGCACGAACGTAGGCTTGGAACGATGCATGCCGAAGGTTCTCGAATGTGGTGTATGGAAGGAGGGATTTCAGCTCTTGCATCTCAAAAAGGGAGCCACAAGTCGCTTCGGCGCAGACGACAGCCTGGGAACCATCGGTCGTGGAGGCTTGGATATTGAAGCACTCTTTGCAGTAAACATGGCCACAGGTCAGTTTCAATGGGTCATCAGCCTCGGTCCAGCACACAACACAATCGCTTTCGACCTTGTCATCTTCTCTCTCTTTGCCAAAATTGCTCGTAGCATCAAGCAGAGCTTGAGCTTCTTGGAAGTCGGCAGCAGATCCTGTGATCGAGATTGTCTTAGGCAGGGAAACATCAAGTCTGACGGAGCTCCCGAATCGAGCTTTCAGCTCCTTCATCCCACCTCGCATTGCCTTTTGTAAGAGATCAGGGGTCAATATGAGTTTGTGGGTACCGGTCTCAAGTGATTTGACTTTGTCTTTGAGAACTTCTTGCACCGTATTCCGGGTTGCTTCGGATCCACCATATATTGTCAACTGGAGCTTTCGATTGTCGCGATTGATGTACACGCCATGTGTCTTATTGAAATCTTGCAGGTATGCAAGGCAGCTCTCCCGAGAGAAGTACGAACACCAGAGCACCGAATCTTGATCCATGACCACAGATCCAGCCAGCAGAGACTCAAATGCAGCTTTCCCGTCGGCAATATCTTTGTGTCCCTCCCCAAACAACTTGATGGCGGTAAACTGCTTCATCGGATCTCGTGGATATATCCTGAGGGTGGTATGGGATTTAGTCCACAGTTCGCTTCGTAGCTGATCAATTTCAGCTTTCAGGATGTCAACGACTGCTGAAAGAACATTGTACTTGACTGAAACAGCTTGACTGAGGAAGAGTTTGGAATTTCCCAGCTCTGGCATCTTGGAGCTGTGTAGGTCACGAATGGCTCTCAATGCCCTCTCTCGATCAACAAACACTGCCAGGGCTTGTATTTTGTTGCTGCCATCGACTACTATGGAGTCGAAAGATGCAAGTGCGCCTACTTTATCCAGCTTCTCTCGAACAATACTTGCAGCCATGTCATTTGAGGCATCATACGAGGCGTCGCCGATTGTTGTTTTCGTAGGCAAGTTACCATTTAGTTGAGCGCAGATGGATTTGGCTGTTGTCCCTGGAGCTAAATTCCCAATCTGGAGGGTGGTCGTAAAGGATCTGAATGCGCCGCCTTGAATGGCGCAATCAGGAACTCGTCCTCGAATCTTTCTCGATTTGAGTCGATGCAAGGCAGCCTCCGCAGCTCGATGAGAGGGGTAGGTTAGCCATGCAACGCAAGAAGCCTGGTACCAGGAACAAGAGACTGTGCTCAGCTGAAGACGATTTCCCAGAGTGCCGGTGGCTGATGATGCAAGTAATGGTTTGATGTTGAGTCGACGGAATTGCTCTTCTTGCTGGCGAGCCTGGAATCTGTTTGTGGCATCTGTTGCGAAGGTAGGATTCTCGACTTTGACGTCCGCCACAGCACCAATCCCTCCAAGTTGCTTGACCGTGATAGTTGCTTCCAACTCCGCAAAATTTAGGCCTGCTAATACGGCGCGGACCTCGTCTTGTCCAGCTCCAGCCGGCATTCCTGAAATCTGGATAGTCGAGAAATCCGAAGCTAGTTTGATAGACGATACTCTAGAACCTGCTGAGAAAGTTACAGCTGCTCCATGAATTTCTGTAAAAGCCGCATCGACTTCAACCAGGCTTGATTGTTGTTTGTCCTCAGTGCGCGTCTTGACAACCCAAAGTCAGCCATTACCCCTTATGAGTGCCATGATTGAGTTGACCTACACCAGCACCGTCGCCCTTCTGTAGATCACGAGCACTTGAAAGTGTAACGACTGGCCATCATGACTGTAGATACACTCGATTCCATTCCTGCAATATCCCTTCGCATAGAAAACGCATGAAGGGGGTTGACTTGCCGCTTGATCTTGAAGAGTTTCATTGGCGCGGCTCGAAGTAGGTACAAATGGCCGAACATCAGCTTTTAGAGATCGAATCGGTAGCCGTTGAACTGTAACAGACTTGGTGGCAGAGATATTTCCGGTCGGTGGCGCTGAGACGATTTCGATCTCTCGATCTAAGCTGCTCGCAGACGGGCCTGGAACCAAATCGTGGGATTTACGACAAGTTCCTCCATATGTACAAGTTCCTTGAGAAAAGAACCAACAAATCTCTTTCGAATCTCCCGACTGGGCAACAGTGCCGTTTTGCACATTTGATGCCTTGTGCGACGTGGTTGCTCTGAGAGGCGGTCCTAACGACGGAGCCTGGCCATCCTGTCCATCATCGTGCGAGTTTTTGCAACGCGCTCCGTAAGTACACGATCCTCGAGCGAAAAATCTGCATGGAGCCATTCCTATTGTTGCCGGAAGTTGCAAAATGTGATGTCTGAAAGAGGTGGTTTGCGCGAGGCTGGAGATGTTAGGAAGGCGTTTGTTGGTGTCGCACAACAGCCGGGGCAGCTGATTGGCTCTTGCTTGACTGACCCCAACTGGGCTACCTGCAGACAAGAAGATGCAGTACGCCGTTTACTATGATCAGTTTTAAAAATTCTAAATTGAAACTCCGATTAATTCTTCCCAATACTGCTTGTCAAAGCTCAATCCGAGAACGTAGAGGGGCAGTTGGAGAAAGCTCAATACCGAATGCTTAAAAAGTCTGTGCAGGCCACAAGTGATTTACTCAAGTATAGCGACGCATATATCCAATGCTATGAAATGTACAGTATTACTCTAGTCCTAGCATACCAGCATCCCTACGTTCAATAGCCTGAATGAGTTTTCTAAAGTTGATTATTTATTTGTTATTCCACGCTCGCTTAATCTGAAGCTACCTCCTTTTCTGGCAAGTCACCCACCCGAACTTTGGAATGGCCCGGGCCGCAACACTAAGACATCAAGTACAATGAATTGGCCACAAACCAGCTCCCAATTTTTGTTCTCAGAAATAATACATTTGAAATCTTCACTGATCAACCCCAGCCCTCCTTCAGAGAAGATAGCCAACAACATCCCAACAAATGGACAGCTCGATCCAGAAATTCAAAATGCTACAGCAATGGGACCGCGACCTCGAAACCACCCTTCGAAACACGGCAGCCATGCAAACCCAAACCCAAGAACAAGCCACAACAACCAATCCCCTCACCCTCACCCCCACCACCACCAATACCCAATCTCAATTCCACACTCCCACCCCACCCCCACCAACATTCCACCCCTTCCCCCTCCTCCCCTTCGAACTCCGGTCCCTAATCTGGGACCACCTCATCCCCATCGACGAACGCATAATCCCAATCCGATACCACACAACCACACGGCACTACACCTCCCGCACGATCGCCCCAGTCATCCTCCACATCAACGCCGAGTCTCGCTCGCACGGGAAGAAGATATACCAGGAGGTGATGCTAGGATCTCAGATCGTGACGGGAGCATATATAGATATGTCGCGAGACACGTTATATCTCTGTGCGGATCTGGGGTGGCTGAGCACGTCGGAGACGAAAGCTTCATCCCGAGCTCAACTCGCCCAAATGCACTGGCAGAAGCAGCAGCATGCGAGCAGGATATGGGATGATCTGTCGAGGGGTCCCGGTGTGGATATGCCTGACTTGAGGAAGAGGTTGGTGACGTGCGCGGAGATGTACGGCTTGCTGATGTGGACGTTGTTTGTGCCGTGGAGGAGGAAGCTGGCTCCGAGGATAGACAGGTGGGATGTGGTGTGTGAGGATGGGGGCAAGGGGATGTTCAGAGTTGAGGAGTTGAGAGAGAATCCGGAGATGGAAGGGTGGGTTGTGGAAGATAGGGACAGGTTGAAGATGCTTGACAGGTCGACTAAGAAGCTCAATCTTGTGGATGTGAGGAATGGACGACCGTTGATCTTGGACTTCAAGTTGACTTACTTGCATTGGTCGAGATCGAACTGATTAGCAACGTGTGAATGCTGGTAAATGGCTTTCTCATCACCCTCTACAAATACATTAATCCGCCTCTACAATTACTCGGAAAGAATTCCAAATATTTCCAAGGGGTTATCACGGTCTAGGCCTCTGCGTAAACACCATCGGGCATTTATCCTACACCCAAGTCAGTAATCTTCACAACCAGTAGGACACGAAACTCACCATCGGAAACAGCGTCGCAAATACCTTGATCTCCTCCGACCTACTCGTAGCATGATGCACCCAATCGACTTCCAAGCTCGCCTTCCCAATCATCGCCGTCATGGTAAGCTGCACATACTGCCTCGCAATACAATCATGAGCGCCATTCCCAAATACTAGCCAATTCTTCGTCTGCTCACTCGCGTCTCCTGTGATCCATCTCTCGGGATCGAAGACAGCAGGCTGTGGGTAGATTTCTGGGTCGTGGAGGGCAGGCCAGCAGGAAGGGATGACCATGGATCCCTTAGGAGCTGTGTATGTGTCTGTGATAGGGAAGTCTTTCTTGCATGTGTAGGGTACGAAGATAACTGGTGGACGCCAGCGCAAGACTTCTTTGACGACAGCGTTGGTGTAGATCATCGACTCGAGCATCTCAAGTGACAAAGGCATGTCAATGTCGCCTCCTCTTACATTAAGGTTCTCCTGTCGTACCCGGTCAAGGACGTCTGGACGCTGGGCTGTGATCTGGAAGAGCCAAATTGTGGCACTACTGGAGGCGTCCTGTGAAGCGAAGAGGAAGGTGAACAGTGTTTGGGCGATTTCTTCGTTGCTGAATTGTCGGACCAGTACGGCCGGCTTCTCAGCCTCGACATCTCCAGCCGCGACGCGATCGTGGTAGGCTTGGGACTCTATCATGCTGCCAATCCACTGTATAGCGTATTAGCATTGCTATAGATGAAAGTTCACAACGACATTGAGATTGCTGATCTTCAAGCATGTTTCCAATAGTACCTACCTATCCTGGGAAACCGGCAAGGGGAATGAGAGGAGACTCTACTGACCTGATCGACAATACAAATAGGCTCTTGACCAGCTGCCATGTCTCTCTTGCTCGCAGCAGCACACCTGGCGAACTCGGCCAGTACACCATCTGCAGCTCGCTTTCCTAGCCAGACTTTCGTGTACGGAATGTAGGCAGAAAAAGGGATGTTGACCAGCTCCAGCGCAGCAGTGATGCAGTAGTATTCATCTGCAATCTTCTTTACCGCCTCATCCGAGATATAATTGCCTACGAAAGTCCGACATGAAAGAGCGCAGTTGATCTCCCTGAAAGCCGTCATGTGTTCTTTCGGACGTCCTCCATTTTTCTCGCTAGCAGCAACGAACTTTTGGAAGTAGTCTGACCAGACCTTCTCCTGGATCGGGAGGTAAGATTGGAGAGATCTTCTGGTGAAGAGGCCGACGAGCCCTTTTCGAAATTCGATGTGGGGCCTGCCGTCCAGAAATACCCAAGCATTGGCTCCCATTATCAGTTCGGCCATCGGCACGAGGCAGACTTTGACGAAGTTGTGCGAGGTAAACGTTTTCCGTGCGAGGTCTCGATCAGAGACAAGAACAACGAACCTGGAATTGGTGTTAGGCGTAACTCGAGAAAGGGAATCTCAAGAACTCCTTGTAACATTGACCGCAATATCGGGGAAGTAAAACGTAGAATAATCCTTACTTGTGGAAAATAGATACACAACTAATCTTCCCACTTGCCCACTGTGCTTCGTATGCTTCGAACTTGGGGTTTATTCCTTGCAAGAAGGGACCGATGAATGGAATCTTGAACCTAGGGCCAGCGATTGATCCTTTCTTGTACAGGTACGTAACTGTCGAGCATTAGTACATGAAACCAGAACATAGAGCACGAGATCAGTCGTACATTGATCATAGGCCATCAGAATAACCAAGACGGTAAGACCCAACTGCCATCCACTGACCCCATTACATATTTCCGAAATGAATCCAACCGTCTTCTGGTGAGCGTGAGCTGGTCCAGACACAGTGCTATTCTGCCTTAAGGCAAGCGCGCTGTCGTTCATCGTGAGCTGGCGCTATGAATGCAAAAGCCAGAAAAGTCGATGCTCCAAGGCCTGAACGAGAGTGAGATGTGGGAAACATTTTATACCAATGGTCTTTTTCCAACCAGCTTCCGCAGAATTTGCAATCCGGATGCTAAAACATTCCCGCCGTATGGGCCAAAAACGAATGCGAGACTGGGGACAGGTTCTCCTCCTTAATATGTCAACACCAATGAGCAGCTTTGATTCCTTCGCATCGAATTTGATTGATGATTGTCGAATCGCATCCAGAGGGTGTTGTACGAGACGAAAGAGGACTAGACTCCTAATTCTTGAGCCCACCATTTCGAAGAGGCTTAGTCTCCGACACCTGTCAGCACAGACTGGTTGCACCCAGTGCGACAACCCCACCACCATGTTCTCTGATGCAAATGTTTGTCCCGAGATCCGGTCGAATCGTACCCATTGCAATAACCAAATAATGGATTAGTTCAGAGCGGGTTCGGATTAGACTCCGCTAGGAAGGTGCTCTACTTCGTGCCGTTCTCGTAACTTTCGTGATTCAGCAGGGTTTTGAGTGCTGTGGTGTGATTGGGATTCCCTGGGGGTTCCTCCGATGGGGCAGATGAATCAAAGATTGGCTGCCACGACGCTTGGAACATTATCTTCGATCGTGCGTCCAATATTAAGATGCAACGGAGACAGAATTCGACGCTACCCCAATTCTCGAGGCCCTGAGACCTGGAAAGTGTCGCGGCGGAGGCCATGAACCAGTGGTGGGCTCCTGTACCGAAGGAAGCTGACATCCCGACCGACAAGCACCATGTAAGCAATGACGAGTTGATATTGTTGGAGATCATGGCGGCTTGAAGATGGCTGCGAAGCTGTATAACAATTTGATGCAGTATCGCCATGTGAGAATAATATGTCGGTCCGTGGATGACGAACATATAGATAGCGAGCGCATAACGGAGGGATTCTGACCGGGGTACAAGTTCAGTTGAAGATGGCCGTAGCAATCTATGCAGGACATAGCATGTCAAATCGTGGAGGTCGTTGGTGCTGAGGTCGTTTGATGTTTTGGAGCCCGCAGTCGGATTGAGGATAATCTGAAGCCTAATGAGGATGTCTCTTAAGCTGGGATCGATGCCTAAATCAAGAAGTCCGCGAACATCCGGATTGGTTTCTGGTTGTAGAGCAGGTATCCACTGGTCGATGGGCGCGATTCCGCCCCCATTACCGTAGTCGTCTTGTACATCGAATTGAGGGGAGCCAGTGACGAGCATCGATACCCTATGATTGATGAGATTTACCACTCATATACAATGTAGAGATCAGACTTACCAAGGAACCATTCTTGCTGTCAATGGACTGCTTTGCTTCACGGCAGCAATCCCACCTCTAACAGCCACCATCCGTTTGACAGCATCGATATGCATTTGGCATTCCTGAATATTTCCCTTGCCGTGCTTTGACATATCAGCCAAAGTAAAAGTCACATTTTGGTAAAACACACCTCAATCGCAGCCAACGTGACTACTGCATCCATTGTGGCATCTTGAAAAGCCAAAGTCGGGTCATCAATCTTGTGCCGAATCAGAGACACAGCATCGTTCATCAGTATCGCCGACTGATGAAAGCCTTTCTGAGCATGCAGCTCAGTATCCAGTGATGCAGTTTGGAGAGAGACATTGAACAGTGCCGGATCTGCGAGAGCTAGCGGCCACCATGAGTTGATGAAAGGATTGGAGTTGGGATTGAGATCCAGTGGGTAGTACTGGAAGGCAATTTTTGAGAGAACTGTAATGGTCAGCGACAATTTTCTTTTGAAGTGATGGATGAAATTACAATGTACGATCAAATTTTGGACCCGAGATCGTGGAAGGCTTGTCGGCGGGTAGCTGTCAAATGGGTCGAAAGAATTGGAGCCGATCGTAACTGAAAAGGTGGACAGTTTTGAATTGGAGCTCCCGCTACTCTGATTTATCGATGGTACGGCTAACGTTGATGACCCAGGAGAAGAAATTGGCTCATTCGCATAAACACATTGCAGTTTTCTAGATATGCATCTTGAGCATCTCGGGTTGTGAAGATCACATTTGTGCTTGGCTTTTGCACAAGCAGCGCAAGATCTTCGAAGAGTCCTTCGCATTTGAGAATGAAGATTTTGGTTAGATGCCGAGAAGGGAGGAGAGTCAAGGTGCCACTGGATGATAATAATTACGAAGCAGCATTTCGGGACATGAAATGCGTGAGTGTTGTATTGTAGTAATTTGGCTCACTTTAAGTGTGAGATTTCCGGGATTGTGATTGGCTCGGCTACGCATAAGGCTAGTGGCGCACAGGCCACAACCCCTCGACCTTCAGAATCTCCCACCTCTAGAATAGTTCTGAACAATACAACTACATCTCCCTGAAGCTATTTTCAAGCTTTTCTTTGGGATGTCAAGTAGCGGGACTAGTCTCAATTTGGTAGAGGGGTAGAGTCTGCAGTGAAGGGAAAGTACCCTCCACTTATTCTGGAGGCAAAAAGAAACCAGATACTTAGCTTGTGATTTTGAAGCTGCTGTGTTTGTCAATATCAATCTACTTGTTGCTCTCCTGCGTAGATAAACCTCCTATTAATGATCAATTACAGGGACTATGCGAACCTTTGCAAACGTGCAACAATTACCAAGAACGGCGATATTGCTTGTTCTGAAAAGCACAAAAATCAGAAGAGAAATTCATTTGCTGATACTTCGTTTATTCTGGGTTTCGGTTGTTTCTCTACCACTCAAGAGTCGCTGTGAACCTGAGGGCCAACTCCTACTACCAATTTTCTAAGCAAAAATCCCAACACCTTGATCGCAGATATCGTTTCCATCGTCAATTTTCGTCCATTGTACATCGTATACAATTCTATTACCCACCGTCATCATTTCTACCCCTTCGCCACAGCAGCCTCCAAGGATAGACTCTTTCATATCCCTTTCACATCTCCTCCCCCTCCCCCAAACTAACAATCCTCACCGCCCCTCCCGTACCCTTCTCCTTCGCCTCCCTCCTCGCCATCTTCCTCCTCTCCACCTCCGCCACCAGCCCCTTGAAATACACCTCCGCCTGCACCGTCGCACTATACGCCACGGGCGTCCAGCTCCACGCGTTCCTCTTCTCGCTGTCCGCCCCCGCAGCAAGCAGCGTCCTCAGCACAAGCAAATGCCCATTACTGCTCGCGAAATGCAGCGCTGTGTTGCCATCCACGTCTGCGCCCTCGAGCAAGGTTTCCGGACCCGTTGGAGAGAATGTAAGTAGGATTTGAACTACGGTGTCGTGTCCTTCCTTGCTAGCTAGCATGAGGGCGTCGCGGCCTCGGACGTCGCCTCGCTTGATGCAGGATGGGCAGGCGGTGCATAGGAGGTGGACGATCTCGGTGTGGCCGTTTGCGGCGGCGAGGTGGAGAGGGGTTTGGTATTCTTCGTTTAAGGGGAGGGTTTTGAGGGAGGGAAGGTCTTTGGGTTTTGTTGATGGGGGGTTTGTCGGCGGGGAGTAGAGGGTGAGGAGGAGGCTGACGATGGAGGTGTGGCCGAGGGAGGAGGCGAGATGGAGATTACTGTTTGAGAGGCCGGTGGGGGAGGTGTCGGGGTTCTGGAGGAGGGAGGGGTGGGATTGAAGGATGCGTTTGACGAGGAGGGTGTCGGAGGCGTGGATTGCGCGCCGGAGGCGGAGGCTGGGATCGATCCTGTGGGGATTGTTAGTTGTGAAGTCTGTTTATTGTGGGAAGAAGCTGAAGGTAAGAGGCAGCATGGAGGGTGGAGGGGGACATTGGACTCGTGAGAGCAGAATTGATCTCTTACATTGTGTGGGCATAGCTAAGATACTTCTGCTGAGATACAGCGCCCTCCTTCGTCCGCAGATTCTGGGCTCCTGTTCCTGATCAATTGGCGGAAGGTGATGATGTTCCAATATCTGCACGACATGGTGCAAGTCAACAATGCTCTCATGCTGTGAGGTTGATGCCTCGCCCAAGTGTCTCGGCTAAGGCATCTAAATTTCAGGGGTAAAGAACGCTAGGGCCAGCTAACCGAGCCCAAGCTCCGATTTCAAAACACTACTCGTGTCAGTTCCCCACGGGCCAGTTTTAGATCTCAAGAATCTAGATTCGACGACCATCCTTCCATTCGTCATCGCTCTCACATGGGAAATTAAGAATAAGCTTACGGAGTCGCCTGCATCCGTGCTCTTGGCACGCGTCTGATCTTCTGTTACAGCAGGCCTAAGGCGTGTTTGAGGCTGTCTGGGTTGGCTTGACAGATATTCCTTTCGGATGAGGAGAGGTCCGTGGAGAGAAGGGAAGAGAGAGGAGAAAGGATGATGGGAAGTTCGGATGGCAGACACAAAGTGGAGAGTAGGGTGTGGTGATTTTCCAGAAACTTCTGGCCAGAGAGATGCTGCTGGAAAAGATGAAGGGAGAGCAAGCAGAAAGAAGGAAAAATGAAATGGATATGTCTCCAGAAGTTGTACCATCTAAACAAGGCATTCTATAACATTAACATGACTCTTCGTTCGTTTTGCGACTCTCCTGAAATTCGCCAGTTATAGACACGGTGCCGTGACACTGTCCATACCGACTAATGCAAGGAGGAAAAAAGAGTAGACACAAGAAATCCAAATTAACAGATAAGAAAAGACATACACATACACACATGATAGGCCAAAGAGTGAAAAATAGCGTTATTCTCCATCATCGCATTGTCTTCTTCTGCATGTGCGACGACAAAATGAGAATTAAAAAAACCCCTCGACTTTCCCACATTTCAAACACCCCGACACCCCGGCAGACTGATTGACCAAAGATTCTTCATTAAAACCGCTCCTATGCGTGCCTTACCCTTCTATATTTCTCCCCTTAAAATTGACGGATTGAGGAATGCGCTCACGCGAGGAATTGACGACGGGATCTGTTACGGTTTCGTTGAGCTTGGCCTTGTTGACCTTGCTGTCCCTGTTGTTGCCCTTGTTGTCCCTGCTGGCCTTGCTGTTGTCCCTGCTGTCCTTGTTGGCCATTATTGGCTTGACCAGCGTTGGCATCCTGTCCAGCGTTTGCGTTCTGCCCGTTGTTCTGTCCATTGTTCTGTCCATTGTTTTGACCGTTGTTCTGACCGTTGTTTTGACCGTTGTTTTGACCGTTGTTTTGACCGTTGTTGGCATTGGCATTTCCGCCTCCAGCAGCGACGACGAACTTGGTGCAGTCATCAGGAGTACCACGTTGAGCGACAGGCATAAGAACAGGTTGATGGTTAGAGGCCGAAGACATGGTGCAGACACGGTAGTTGCCAGCTGGGAGACCATCGGTGACAGTAGCTTTGAGAAGACCATTTCCGTCTCCGGCATCGTTGATTCCTTTGAAGAAGGCGAACTGGGTGGCATCAAGTGCTTGCTTGGGGTTCAAGCTGTTTCCGAGATCCTGGACCGTGACGTGAGTGTGGCCTACGATCTTTCCGCCTTCGAGGAATTGAGGACCGGCGTAGTATGTCGTGTCGGCGTTGGTGAAGGAACCAGCCACCAAGTTGGCAATCTGAACAGTGATATCGAAGGTCGTATCTGGTTCGATAGCATCTCCATTAGTCTCTGGGAAAGTGATGACACCAGAAACCATATTTGCTTTGGCGGGGATATCTCCCATAGCTTCGTGTAGTCAGTATATGAAGTAGCACAGCATATCAGGAATCCAACTTACGAATGCCGTTACAAGATCCTCCTTGGACTTGAAGACCGTTGGTCAAGGTCTTGCCGGAACACACGTTGATGAAGTTGTTGTCAGATGTCTTGGATGCCGATTGTCCATCTTCCAGTTGTCCATTGACACTTCCATCTGACTGAGATCCAGTCTGAATGGCATTCGCCAGAAGAGTCAATCCATTGGCGTCTCCTCCATTCTGGCCATTGTTCTGACCGTTGTTCTGGCCGTTGTTCTGGCCGTTGTTCTGTCCATTGTTTTGCCCACCATTCTGACCGTTCTGACCATTCTGGCCATTCTGACCGTTCTGGCCGTTTTGTCCGTTCTGGCCATTGTTCTGAGCAGAGACAGCAGCAGTGAGCACCGCGGCGCTGATTAGGAGTGAGAAACGCATCTTGAGATAGATTTGAGGTGATTAGAGACGAAAGGGTGATTCGGCGGACTACTAAAAAGTATAGCTGGTATAGAAATGAATGAATGTAATCCGTCGAGGTGTGTAGATGTGGTGAATTAGATGCACGGTCAACGTGATCTGCTTGACTGGCAAGAATATAGAAGGTAGGTGTGAAAAAGAGGGAATATGAAGGGAGAAGTGATCCCGCCGGAAGTTAGAAAGCACTTGGAGAGAAAGCTGCTTTGGATGGGTTAAGGAGGAAGAACGTTCCTGGGCGTGGGGACGAGTACTTATTGTAGAATCTTGGCAACTGTGTGGAATCAAAGGGACTAGGGATTCGACAGGCCCGGCCGGGACAGGGTGCGGCGTATGGCCATGGCTTCTAGGATTTGGGTTACAGTCGATGTGCAAGGTACATTGGCAGTGAAGATCCCGCGGACGCATTGAGGATTCTGAAGGAGTGAAACTGGCGTTGAGCTGTCTGAGGACGGAGCCGTCGCAGTGGCAGCAGACACCCGCCAGCTGCCATCTGAAGGAGGGTGAGAGCTGCCAAGCGGGAGGTCCAGGACGCGCCAGGGGGCACCCAACCTTTGCCCTTCCTGAACCTGAATACAGTAGAGGCCGCCCGAGCTGGGGAGCCCAGTACAGACTTGTCGTCTAAAGTCTCTCGGCACGGCGGCAAGCGGCCATCAGATGCCTGCGATGCTTATTTTGTGGCCAAAGTGGTGCCATCACGGGCGGTGGTCGAGGGTTGGCAGGGTTGGCAGGGTTGGCAATGGCTGGGTGTAGGGGAGGCGCTGCGTCAAGAGCTAAGCGGAAACCGCTGCTGTCAGGGCTCGCCTTGGTAAAACGTGATCGGCTGCTCCCAACCAACAACTCATCGACAATCGAGCTTTTCCCGGCCAGCGAAACCATTTCGAGTGTTGGATGAGGCCGGGGCCAGCAGCTGGGGGCGGGCCATGTAAAGAACCTTAATCATGTCAGCTTGCGCGCGGAGCGCTATTGGACGAGAGAGAGGCCGTCTAAGGTATGGAGAGTGAGGTCAGAGGATGCAGGTCCGGCAGTCTGGCAGAGAAGGACAACATGTCCCGGGAGGCTCAACAGCGGTAAGTTATTACGCTTACTGGCCCCCTAGCCTGAACGCCAGCGGTCATAATACACCAGATATACCGCTAAGCTTCACTGTAACTTCACTACGCTCGTTCTCCATTCCTTCTGGAATCCATCGTGTGCTGTCATCAACAGAGGATACATCTGTAGTCATCGTATAATGCATGTCAGAAAAAATATTTGCCAATTCTTTATCGAATGACTCAGGATCAAAGACGAGATGCAAGTGTTCTGGTTGTGCTGCCGCCAAACCATGACCCCTCGAATATCGAAACAAGCCAAGTTGCCAACGCCGAAATCTACCCACCACCCAATCCTTCACTACGTAGGTACAATCTCAGATCGAGCAGGAAACCTGGACCAGCAAACATCTGAGGTAAGAGAGACTTCCTAGCAGCTGCAGAAACCACGAAACTGTTAAGTTTTGCTCTCATCAAGCACGCATTCAAAGCATTGATATATACTTTTGTTCCCAAACATCACCTCAGTCAACACAACCCGTTCACCGGGCAGCATGAATTATACAGTATGGGGGCTCTCTGCATAGCTCTCATCATCTCTGTTCCTATGCATTGGAAGCATTGATCTCGCTAAGAAAAAAAAGAGAGAGAAAAAGAAAACAAGACATCTAGCATTGACATTGACCGTATGCGCAGCGTTTACCGAGTTTAAGTTCACCGGTCCAAACTCCATCCAGCGACAATCAAACGAGGAAAAGCCTTGACAGTGGAGTCGGCAACCCATCTTCTCCTTCTCCCCTGTAAATTCAAGCGCAAGAATCGAAAAACCTTGCTTCTTTTTCTGGGTTACCTTATTTTATGAACGTCAGAACGGGTGTCTGTGGACGCGTCCCCAAGTCCGTTCGCGAGGTGACAGTTGGGGATATCCTTACCTTCCACCCACACCCCCATTCCACATTCCCCCAATCATCGGGTGGGTTGGGAATTTCCACTTCTGTGTCTCTGTAGGGACGGTGGACTTCCGAGGGAGGAGTCCACTTCTTATGGTTAATTGTCATCGGTCCATCAGGTCTTGGATGTTTAACCTTATGTGCTAAATTCCTTGTAGCAATCACGGGTCTTTCTTTGAAGTTTCTATCACTGATGTCCTCCGGCGCTTTGTGAGATGATCGAGTTAATACGTGCGCCTCAACCGGTATTTGCTTTTCCCGAGACTTCTGGAGAGGTACGTGATGGCCATTCCCAATTTTCGGGTGGGTGGATGAAGAAATGATCCATCCATTTCAAGCATATCATATGTGTGACTGAAGAACTATGCCATCCATTTGACGAACAATCCGAACCAAGCCATCAACATCCAACCTGCCATCCCATGATTCCGTTCCCATCTTTCCAACCAAGTTTCCACGCGGTCGTCATGCTTTTCTCCATCCAGCAACCACATCATCACCATCCTATCTATCCTTCTATCAGCAACCTGTCACGAAACGATAAGTACGTTGCTCCCCAAGTCTCGGCGTTCCACACCTACGGTTTCAGCGGCCGTCTCAAGATAATCGGATCAAACAGCACCCTGTCGACGCGCGCGCACGGAACCGTTCGGTTTATCGGGATAATACCGTTGGGGCCCGCTGTACAAGGACGGTTGGAGAAAAGCTTGGTATTGAGCTAAAGCTCGATGACAGGTGAGGTGAGGCATGATGTTTGTGATGTTTGTGATGTTTTGTGGTGGGCGATGATGGACGTTTTGCGACGAGGTGTGTTCGAGGCTTGGCGTGTGAAACGGTGATCACTTTCGTTTTCGTTGCTGTCTCCCATTTTTCTCTCTCTTTCTTGGTACACCAACATTCTTGGATCTACCATGTTGATGGAAGACGACTTTTGGTAAACACTTCGAACAAATTGTGACTGGCGATGGTTGATAAGCGGCACTCGAACTGAATACTTGAGGACTTGAGAAATGCTGTGAGTAATGCTGCGAATGATGATGTTTGCTTCTCTGTCTGAAAATCCCTTCCCCTACCAACGCATCTGGATTTTCATCCTGTTTTGTTATTGACTGAATTCAGAATGATAATGTCCACTTCAAGTTTGTCCAACGCCTAATCTGCAACCGCTGTGGTTGTGAGGTACCCTGTAGATTTCTGATATGTTCACTTGCCTCAGAATTTCAGGCACAAGCCTGGACATACGGCTCCATTAGGAGCATTGGGATCCGCTTCCAGCCAGTACAGAAGGTAGGCTTAGAGATGAAGGAAGATCAAGACATTGACCCAAAATGGCTTCGAAATGAAATATTCCGAGGAAGATTCGATATCGGTCGATGAACCCTTGATCAGCGGCGACGAAAGTCACCGAACGCTATTCAAAGCGCCGAGTAGCCATCATTATCGCAGCTTCGGCCGTGACGTTTCTGGCCAGGGCCTGTACAGGTAGTACAAACGGCCCTGCTTCCTTTTAGATCACAAACAATATAGCCGCTGATAACAAAACAGAACACAATTCGGCAACATCCCAACCTGTTAGGGAGGAAAGTGCTGCATCCACCCCGGCGTCTGAAATGGGTTGCCACCAAGATAAATGAATCAAAGATCAACGACCAGCGCCTCAACTCTGTCAGCATGTTGGTCGAGCCGAGTCCACTTGGTACTCGATGGAAGGAATGCACAGCAGGTATGTCAAGGGGGACGTGGTCACTTCCAGCATTCTCGGAACTTCCAAAGGCTGCTTGGGAGGAAGTCATCCTAAAAGGACAGAGCTGCAGCACAAGACATCGATCTTAGTCAGATACTCGAATAAGATGCATTGTCCCAGGCTTACTGTACTGTATGCAACACAATATGCTGACCGGAGACTTCGCGAAAAGAGTCGTGGCACAACTTTGAAGGCGTGTTGAGCAACAAACATCAAGAGCAGCAAAATTAACAATTAATACTGGCCTTTGTAAGGTGTTACCATATGCATGAAATCAATTGAGGCTCCAATAGGATACAAAACGCAGCGAACCTTTGAAGATCAAAGGAGTTGATTGCTTGTCATCCACACGTGCCTATCTGTTAGCGCAACCGACACGCCGAAGCGACGGGCTAATTTTGTTTCACTCCATTTGAATCCCACCAGAGGCAGATTTCTCGACCTGTCTTCTCCTCGAAACAAGCACTACTGCAACCATCAAATCGTCTGGACCCCTCACATAATCAGCAGCCAGGACTTTTATAAAGAATCTCTCATATCCCCATTTCACTTTATCTTCCTTTACACCACTCACGATAGTTCCCAACGCGCCGATCGCCCGCCCCTCGACTCAATTGGCTTCACCGCACCGTAGAAGCTGCCCCTCATATCCACAACGCACCTTGTGCATCAACACCCAAGCTCAAGCCCAGACCGCAATATGCCATTGATGACTGGAAGTAGCGAGGGACGGTCTTCACCAGATGCCCGCTCAGTGAAGCGTCAAAGTAAGTCAATAAGCCTGGCAGAAGAAAGGAGAGGATAGTGAAGACGGCGAGTTACTGCTGGGATGGCTTTTCCCTTTTCTGCCGCCGAAGAAACGATGCTGGCCTCGCCGCCTTTTTGTGGCCGCCAGAGTCAAGTACCCAACCAACACGTTTTCTTCCCATCCTTCCCTCCGTTCAAATATTCAGTCGCACATCAACACAACTACGAACCCTTGTATATTGTCTTTGGATTATTCAACATAATATATCGCGCAGCAGCTGATCATCGCAATGTCAGGAACCCAATCCCTTCCACCCCCCGCCCTCCCCCAGCTCGTCGCAGAGCAGCATATCCCAATTCCCTCCACCGACAAGGACACCCGCAGATTGATCGTCGTCCTCTCCAATGCCAGCTTGGAGACATATAAAGCTAGTTTCGGTGGCAACAGACCGGGTGCACAGCGCGAGGAGAAATACTCGCTGCTCAACAGTGACGAGCACATCGGCGTCATGCGCAAGATGAACCGCGATATCAGCGATGCCCGACCTGACATTACACATCAGGTTCGAAAGACTCGTGATCCAACATCACAGTGGTCGCCTTGCTAACTAGTTCTAGTGCCTTCTTACTTTGCTCGACTCACCTATCAACAAGGCTGGAAAGTTGCAAATTTACATCCATACCGCCAAGGGAGTACTCATCGAGGTCAGCCCAACCGTTCGTATCCCGCGTACATTCAAGCGATTTGCTGGTCTCATGGTCCAACTGCTGCACCGTCTGTCCATTCGATCTGTCAACTCGCAGGAAAAGCTACTCAAGGTCATCGCAAACCCTATCTCTGATCATCTTCCTCCGAACTGCCGAAAGATAACCCTCAGTTTCGACTCTCCACTGGTGCGCGTACGAGAATATGTGGAGACTCTGGATGAGAAGGAGAGCATTTGTGTGTTTGTGGGTGCCATGGCCAAGGGATCCGACAACTTCGCCGACCAATTTGTTGATGAGAAGATCTCGATCAGCAACTACAGTCTCTCAGCAAGTGTCGCATGCAGCAAATTCTGCCACGCTGCTGAGGATGTGTGGGGTATTATCTAGTCAGTCTTGCTGTTCTACACCCCCGAACCGAATGTCCCGGTCAAATCAATCGGCAACGATAACGGAACGTTTCGGTCATCATTCGAATTGGGTGGAGGCAAGGAGGGAGATTGGTCGATTTCAAAGGTGAAAGCGGGACCTGCGGTACAACGACGATCCTAACATCGTCTGTTCTACCTCGGGTCGCCGGGCTTGGGTGTCTGTGTGCTCGGTCGTTCTTTTTACAACACAAAAGATCAGGCGTTCAACATCAGATCCAAGACGCTTTGTCGTCTTCGTAGGCAACTCAACTTGTCCTACATCTCTTTTGTCTCTTAATCCAGAAGCTTAGTAGCTTTTGGAAGCCAACCTTATTGCGAGTTTACTCGTTTGCGGGATATTTTATTAGGCTTTCTGGCCGAATATTCGAGCGCAAGCCCGGTCGTTGGGCTCAGTTTGCTCTCACACCATACGCTAGTATCAAGCTGGCCTCATGCATAGAAGTTCTCACGTAGCCCAAGGTCAATATGGAAAGAGCATACCAAAAATATGAGAGTCCATTCAATGACTGGCAAAAGCCTTCTCTGATCGCCTTGAAAATCCTTGTATGGACATGAACTCAGGACTATCATATATCTCTTAGAAGTCGAGCGAGAAGGTAACCATACGAAATTGTGTTCCTACTGATCGGAAGCCGCATATTCATCTCATTCTTAACTGTCATTTGTCCATGTTTTCCGCCTCGACAAGATTCCCCACCAAGGCCATCGAAAAGGCCGTGGGAACGCGACCCTATTCGACAACCACTGCACCTCCAGGTCCAATCGCGAACTCGAGGCGATCGCAGCTATGCACCTACACATCTCACGACTTATCGGGAGATCATCCGTAACGGCCCATAATTCGCTCGGGAAACGTGGCATGCGGAGAGAAAAGCAACAGGGGTTCAAAGGGCCCGCCACCTGCGTTTGTACCTGTGTTGTTGCCCAACTGTGGGTTGTGCCACGGCGATATCGCTGCATCTTCCAGTATCGAATAGGAAAATTGGTGAGAGACGTATATCACTTACTCGACGCAAGATTGCGCAGGCGGTCATAGCCGACTCAACGACTGGTAACCAGACAACAGCCTCGAGGTGCGTCGAAAGGGGTCCAGTCCTATGGCGGTGTTGCAGGTGGGTGTCACAGCACACTGAACATCAAACTATCTCATGTAGCAATGAGAATTGCATCTGCAGGCGCTTGACTCGCCTTGTCGCGTGTTGTCAGCTGCACCGCACTTCCTACATAAGACGGAGGATAGAGAAGCGTTCAGCATCTTTCTATATTTCTTCTGTTGTCCCAGATCTACAGTACATCGGTCATCTCTCGCAGTCCCGGCTTAAGATCTTCAGGTCTAATATCTCATTGCAAAACTCTGTTATAAATTTTCTCAGTCACTGCGTTTGTTTGGTTGGTTGATTGCTTTTTGTCGCGGCACGAGCTGTACCCCATCATTCGTTTGCATTTTCAAATATGGCGACCGACCCGCCTTTAATACAAGTTGCACATCTCCCCTCTGCTGCCTCTTTCTACGGTTCTCTTACCCAACCTCTCGGTCTACAATTCCTCTCCGCAACCCCAGTTTCCCCAGCTTGTCTCCATTTTGGCTACATCCAACAAGGTCCTTCCGGTCCACGAAAAGTCACAGTCTTCACAGTCTCACAGGCAGCACATCCTCGCCTGTCACACATCACACTATCCGCCCCAAGTCCAAAAGCTGTATACGACTTCTACGGCAAGAGCCTGTTACTCAAGCAGGATCGAGGGAGGGGAGAAAACACATTTGATCAAGAAGAGGACGAGGACCGAGCTCTCACGCGGGACTTCGATGGCAATATGATCGAAGCAGTTTATAGCACACGAGCATCACGGGGTGCAGGACCTCGCGGTACACCAGCTATTGAACCCGCCGGTCTCGACAAAGACAGTAGACGGGTCCTAGAATGGCAGCAAGACGTCGCCCGGAGCATCTCTGGCTCCCAAGCACCAGGCTCACAAGCCGGATCCCAGGTTGGACAGAGAGAAGAGCAAGCCGGACCGGGTACTTTCCGCCGAGCAGATACCTTCCCCTCAGACTTCGGCCGCGACAGACCCATGCGTCTCGTCCGAAGAGAAACAGTAACCACAGAACACTACAGCCAAGCCGAGCGCGAACGCCAGGAAGCCGCTTCAGGAGGCATCAGTGGCAAAGCAGTCCTGGGCACACTTCTCGGGGCAGCAGCCGGCGCAGCATTCGCGTACGTGATTACTCGCTCCGAAGACCCCCCATCAACAACCTCTGTTCGACGATCCTCTGCACCGCAGTACACCCACGAGCCCATCCGCATGGAGGACCGCGAGCGGGTCGTCGAGACGAGAACTATACCAGCACGCAGCTACGTGTCTGACCGCGCGCGAGAAAGAGACGTCCAGCCGCGATACGTCCAGTATACTGTCGCTGCGCCGCCGGCCAGGATTGCTGCTAAGCCTGAGCTCGCGATGATAGAAGAGCGCAGTCATGTGAGCACGCGGTCACGACACAGCAGCGGCAAAGAGAAAGAAGGCAGCGAAGTCAGTAAACGATATGAACGCCCTCTTACCATCCTCCCCGCTCCAAGCCGCAACAGAAGTCCAGCCAGCCACGTCAGTCGCCGGAGTAAGAAATCCGGGTCGGGATCAGCTACGGGCTCGAGTGTGGAGAGGGAGAAGAGGAGGAAGAAGAGTCCGAGGGATAGAGAAGGCGAGAGCGAGTATATGTCTGCTAGGAGTCACCACTCTACTAGCACTATCAAGCCTGCTGTTCCTCAGCCACCAAGTTCGCGCGTCGGTTCGTCGTCAACGGTTCGTATCGTGCCGCAGCCGCCTGATGCGCGGGCTGCTGAATCAGATCGCAAGAGTAAGAGTTATGTCTCTGAGCGGGATCGCGATGGTGGACGAGACCGAGACCGAGATAGGGAGAGAAGAAGCTCAGTCTCAGCTCGCCAGGTTCCGCTCCCGACTTCTACTGTTGTGAGTGCACGCCAGATACCTTTGCCGCGGAGTGTGGTCTCTGGTGTTGGTGGGGGTGGTGCTGGGTATGCGGCGAGTGTGGCGCCGAGTGATAGCGTGAGTTCGGTGGGGAGTAAGAGGGAGAGGGAGAGGTTGAGGGAGAGGATGCATGTTAGGGGGCCGGCGGGGGGAGTCATGTGGGGGCATGGGTGAGTTGATGAGTGGACTCATCGAATATCGACAGATAGGATGGTATACAGGACAGTCATGTTATTTTGTGCTTTTTACTTGTTCCTTTGGAGGAATGGGGCTTGGGATGGGATGGGATGGTGCATTTGGAATGGATATAGGGTCTTGCTTTCATGCTTTAGTGCTTTCTGTGGTTGGATGCGTGCTGGATGGATGGATGGATTGCTAGAGTCTGGTGTTCTTGACATAGCTTGCTCAATTCCACACCATCATATTCTTTCAGCCTTGGAGTTCCTAGTAATTTAAGTTCAGTTCTTACCGCTATTTGAACCTACTTCTGCTTCTACGACTTTTCACAATTCCTTTTTGACGGTGTTCCTTTAATTGCTTTCACACGTTTACATCTCCGTTTATAATCAAGTTCATATTTGTTAGTTAGTTGTTTGCTCTACTGTAGTCGTATTGCATATCTATACCAACGTCCGCTCATCCCCATTTCAAACTTGTCTCTCACTATAGACTCGCCATGCTTCGAGATGGTACAAGAGTCTGTTGTCATCTTCCTCAGCACCATTAACTTCTCAGCCAGCTAGTTCTCAAGACTGTAAAACTTTGCACTCACATTCCCTCGTAACTCTAATCTTTATCTATGTCTCTATGACCAGAAGAGATTAGTGATGTTTGATAGATTGTTGCCTGCTCACCAGCTAGCTAGTCCCTTCCAAACGTTGAGCTTGCTGGCTGTTTGCACTAGCTGCCCCGTCTCAGCTTGAAGGGTCGAGACTTTTTATACTTTAGATCTTTGGTTTCCCCGCTCTCATGATAAACTTTCCTCAAGTTCCTCAAGTTATCAAGAGAGGAGAGAGCTAGGAGACGAGGAAGATATGAGCACAGACTGTAAGCTCTGCATTTGAACCTTAATATTGACGGGCTGGGTCTAAGACAAGACGATCTACGTCTGAGGCTGGTCGCAGGATGGCTCGCGCGAGATTTATTTGGGCAGCTTTTGTTTTTGGTTTTGGTGGACTGCGGATGGAATGTGGACGGAGGGGGAAGATAGTTTGACGCTTGATAATGAGGGAGGAGGCGTAAAACATCTATCTTGGGGAAGATTTGTGCACATATGCAGTCTTACATAAATTGTGTGTTCACGATCTATTGACTGTGTAACTGTGTACAGCACCTCTTTTGTATTATTTATTTGGAAATTACAAATATGATATCAATCCAGGTCAGAAGTGAGAAGAGAAAACATCCGGATTAGGTTCATCGGCTCAGAATGCCAGCGAGAGCAGGCAAATCGGATAATTTCCTTGTTGATGGCAGTTAGAATTAAACTTTGAGACGAAAGGATGTTAGTGAGCTTCCAGTTTTGCGCTTAGACAGGGCCGATACTGGACTAACCAGTATTATTTACTTAGGCACATCTTGCACGTTTCGCACGGAATTCCAGTAATAATACTAGGTATAGCAAGTTCAAAAACCTTTGTTTCTGCCTACTGGCTTGATGGCAAGAACGTGGTGGATGGGCACCTTCATTAATACTAACTAAATCTCTTTATCTATCAACAAAATACAGATGCAGTTGTTTGATGTCTCGAGAGGAGGGGGAAAGCGAACGCAACATATTAACTTCCATCTGCACGCTGTCATCACAACCACAGAGTCTGTGTCACCGGCACGTTTCACAGCCACCACCCTGCCGCACGATATCAGATAGCCCTGTACTCGTAGGCCTTCCTAATCATTGTTTCTTCGTTAGCGGTAGTGGGTGCAGTAGTAGGCCAAGTTGCTGGCAGGGTAGCTTTATTAGTGCTCAAGCAACATTCCGAGAGGACCAAGTGGATTCTCGCCCCGGCTTTCCGGTCACCGACTTTCTTCTTGGTCCCTGAGCAGAGGAGAAGGGAAAATTGCTAATCGTGTGAGTAGATTCAAGATTCCTGTTGTTGTTGTTCTTCTTCTTCTTGTTTGTTCTCTTCGTCTTTCTCTGTATTTGTAGTTGACCCACGCTCAAGGCCGTTCATCCAGCTCGCTTCGCGTGTCACCCTTAACCTGACATCTCTGATGTCATTGTTGAAGCATCAGGGTCCTCCTCCCCACCAAAATCCCCTAAGCCCCTAGCGAAGTAAGCCCCCTCCTACTACTGTAAGGTCATCGACCAGCTAATGCACTTCGTGCCTCCAAGCTGTGCTTGTTGCTGTCGACCCTATTCAAAGTTTCCCCTTGCCGTTCCGCAAGAGGAAGCCGCCTGGATGTTCCCTAGATCTAGAACTCCATGAACCCTCAAGGGCCGCTGAACTTATCGTCACGGCGCCGATCATGCGCTCGGTCTATGGCCTGCGAGCCGCTTGGAGTGGAGACCATGGAGGGTAAGTGGGTATGAGCGTGGATGGGTACTGGTTCTTGTTATGGCGAGCTACCACTGGTGATGTCTGTGACTGGGAGGGTCACTGGGGCTGGGACCCCAAGGACTGGGAATTGGGCGGAGCTATCATCCTATCCTGGGCCAGTTCCAGTTGGCGGGTTTCCTGCTGGGTCCTGTGGTCCGGCGGTTTCTGGACGAGAGAAGTACAGCTGTCAGGAAGTCAGGCTGGAATCTGGGAGTTGCAATATCTTCACTACACTTGGCCTGCAGCGAGATCAGATTGCTATGCTGGCTATGGCAATAACGCAATAACAACAACAACTATGTGCGGAGGGCGAGTCCAGACAGAGTAAGGGGACTATTAGGTCCTCGAGTTGGCAACTGAATGGGTCTTTGCGGTACACCCAAACTCTTCAAATACTCGACAGATTTTGCTGGACAAGCAAGTGCTCGTTGGTTCCTGCATCCAGATGGAATCAGGCAATATGATTCCGGAATCAAGTGTCGTTTCGGAAAAGAATCCAGCGAGCTCCCATCCCAGCATGGACTTGCAACTTGCTGTTCTTAGGCATCTCCCTACGCCGATAATCATCCTGTCTCCTCATCGAACGGCTGTCTTCGCGAATCTGGCGGCGGAACGAATTCTAAAATCTCCAGATCCAATACAATCAACAGACAAGGGGATATTAGGACGTACACCGACAGACCTAGGGATCCGATTACTGTACAATCAGGTGTGGGATGCAGTCTTGAATAGACTTGTAGGTAGCCATCAAAAAGCAGTCGCCGAAGGAAACGAAGGTCTTATCCACGAGATTGATGCGGTGGTGTCAACTCCGGGCCAGGGTCATGCGGAAACACATTACCGGATCTTATTGTCCATTTTAGCGACCGAGGATGGTCAGCATTTCATGCTCAGTTTGGAACGCCCTCCACATATCGAGAAGAGGACGAGCCCGAGGAGCGAAGACCGTACATCAGCCCTGTTAGATGTACCTATCATCACAGACCAATCTGGACAAGCCGTGCTTGGTTCCTCAAGAGACATTCCCAGTATTAAAAGAGCCGTGTTCGACAGCTGTGATGTTCCGGGCTTCATTCTAACTTCAGACGAAAAGTTCTATCTAGCGAACAAGAAAGCCAGAGAGGTACTAGGAGATATCATGGGTGGAGCGGACGGGTGCGATGGGCCAGGTCTTCGGGAAGGAATGGCAGTCTGGGACGAAAATTTCCAGAACCAATTGAGAACTGATGATTTTCCTGGCCTGAGAATGACTCGGACGCGGAAACCCTTCACAGGCTATCGATGTGGTTTCATTCATGCCATTACCGGAGACAGGATTTTGATGAGCGTGGATGGAGAGTGTCTCTACGACGAGTCCACGGAAGAATTCATCGGGGGATTATGCTGGTGCAGAGACCTTCAGGAGTATTCAAACTTTCTTTCTAGTTCGCTGCAACGACGCTTGGAAAGCCATGAGACTATTTGCAATCTGCTACCACATCTAGTGTGGACAGCGACAATTGATGGTCTTTGCGATTGGTTCTCAAATAGGGTAGGCTGTCTCCTCGGCAGCAGTGTTCCTGTGTTGACTTGATGTTTTAGTGGTATGAGTTCACAGGTCTGACCAAAGAGGAGTCATTAGGGCACGGGTATCAAGCAGCAATTCATCCGGACGATCTACCCAGACTTTTGGAAAAGTGGGACAGAAGCACAGGGAAAGAATGCGATGTTGAGGTCCGTTATCGTCGAAATGATGGGATCTACAGGTGGATGCTCGCACGCGCCTGGCCCCTTCGAGACGACAACGGAAAGATCTTGAAGTGGTACGGGACGAATACCGATATCCATAATATTGTTATGGCCAGAAACGAAGCTGCAAGGAACAAACTTGAAATACTCACAGTACTTGCCCATGCAGAGGTCAATTTGTTCTCGATCAACAAAGACAGAATAATAACTATGGCCGAAGGCTGTATGCATTGGGACGCTGATACTAGTGTGTACGATTTCAATAACAAGTCCAGTCTCATCGGTAAAGACGCCATTACCGTCGCCCGGAGTACACAACCCGGAGGGGTCCCAGGTCAGTAGCCCAATAATCTGCAATAATGTTTTACTAAACAGGCATGGCAGATTATGAGAGAAACATTCTCAATATACTGGATGGAAAGGTAGAGGTTGCCCAGTCCGAGGACCGCGTTGGTACCAGAGTCTATCGAACCCGTGTTGTGGCCGATCTTGAGCATGATACCGTTGACGGCGGCCAGAAGCCAGCTGTGAAGGGGGTTCTGGTATTGAGTATTGATGTTACGGATATGAAAGCTCGGAAAGCACTGGAATTGGACAATAACCGTCTGATAATGGAAGAGCGGGTTGCCAAAGACTCGAACCAATTGAAAAGCCAGTTTTTAGCAAACGTGAGTTGAAGCACTATGGCTCTGGATATATTCTGACTGCTGTAGATGTCACATGAGATGAGAACTCCCACCGCCGTAAGTACTGTTAGCTGAGTCGTCTGATACATTCTTACGACTGCCAGGGTGTTATCGGGATGGTAGAATTTTTGAGCGATGACGTGACATTGACGGAAGAACAACGAGAATACGTCAGCAGCATACACCTATCTGCCAAGGCCCTTTTGGCTATCGTCAACGATATTTTGGACTTCTCGAAGATCGAAAGCGGGCGTCTGGATATCGAGAAGGTCCCATTCAGTCTCACATCCGTGGTTGGCGAGCTTTGCAAATTGCTCGCCATGTTTGCAAACCAGAAGGGCCTCGAGTTTGTGTTTAGCAATCTCATGGATGAGGATCTTGAGGTCATTGGAGATCCAGGACGGACGCGACAGATCTTGTCGAATCTTCTTACGAATGCACTGAAGTTCACGAAAGAGGGATCGGTGAAACTGACAATGTCTTCCGCCTTGAGCGAACCTCGAGACGGTGAGGACGATGTAGTCAAAGTCCAATTCGTAGTTGAGGATACAGGAATCGGAATTGAGCAGGTCGTTCTCGATAAGCTATTCAAGCCATTCAGTCAAGGTGACTCGTCAACCGCTCGGTTGTATGGTGGAACAGGTCTGGGGTTGACAATCTCGAAGAATGTAGGGACATCACCAACACCTCAATGTACCAAAACTAACAGCCGCAGCTTGCGACTTTGATGCACGGGTCAATAGAGTTGGAATCAGAGCCGGATATTGGAAGCAAAGCGACATTCACATTACCTCTCAAGGTCTCCGCCCGGCATTCACGACTCGACACGGATTCATCTTCTCCCGACCTTAGTTTCCGTCTGGCATCACTGACCAAGATTCCGTCCTGGAATACACCTCTGGTCCACCGCTCTATTAGCCAAGACTTACTAAACCAACAAATATCCAGCAGTGTTACAGACAGCTACCAACCACCGTCAGCACCACCAATTCGAGACAGCTCAGCCGAAAGTACACTCGTCCCAACCTCGAAAATGTCCCCCGAACAGAGAAGCAGCTTCCACGTTCTTGTTGTAGAGGACAAGTACGTTCCATTATTCCCAGTCAATGTAAATACGCTAACATACAAAGCCCAATCAACCAAACAATAGCCATCAAGAACATCCGCAAGCTCGGCTTCCCCGTCACAGCTGTATGGAACGGCCGCGAAGCTCTTTCCTACCTCCTTTCACCATCTACAACCCAACCTCGCCCCTCTATAATCCTCATGGATGTACAAATGCCTGTCATGGATGGTTACGAAGCTACACGCATACTCCGCACTGGTATTGAATACGCTCGTGAAGAAGACGAAGGAGTCGTCATGGCTATGTCTGAGGGGGGTAACACACTTGAACCTGATGCCTCGCGTGGTAAAGGGAAAGGCAAGACCCCGACTCCAGTCGACGAGTCCGAAGGAGAAGGTAGTAAGAAGCAGCGTGGTAAGCAACGCGAGACTGGTAGGGTGACGGACAGCAGAACGACGGATTATTTGAGGGATATTCCGGTGATCGCTATGACGGCTTCGGCTATACAAGGGGATGAGGAGAAATGCCATGATGCGGGCATGGATGATTATCTTGCCAAGCCTGTCGAGAAAGCCAGGCTGGAAGAAATGCTGGTGAAGTGGGCGGGGAGGAAGAGAAACTCTCGAGCGGGGTAACGAATCTTGTGGTGTTCTAGCTGTGGAAGATACTGTACGATACCATGATGGACTGATGATTGATACGGGTTCATGAAGCGACTGCATTCTATCCGGGAACGAAAAGATCTTCGCCACAGTGTTGGAGGCAATGCGACAAGCGAGGAATAGCGGAGTGATAGATGTGCCAATGTTTTCAAACGCCAAAATACCACGTCATGTACCCACTCTATTCCTACCTTTAAGATTGTGATGCAACCAAGCAGTCTAACATTCCCAAACACACTCAATACGCCATCATTGTACCACCTTCGCAGACCTGTCACTCATCCCAAATTTACTCGCTAAGAAAACACTCAGTCCGACTCTATGCCATCCCTCCCGCGACCATCCTCCTCCACTGAGTTCTGACTCTCTACCTCCGTTAAATCCCTCGTCTTCGGCCCCGTATACGTCTTCCTCGCACCCGCCCACCACCACCCAAGACTAAACACCGCAATGAAGCCCCCCACCGCAACGGCATAATTCATATTTGTGCTCGTCACCGGCCTCACAGTCGGGAACATCAACACCACACTAATGAAGAACACCCATGTAACCGAGACGGCATTCAGCGGTTTCTGCCACTTGCCAAGCGTGAAGGGACCCGGCACAAATGTAATTCTGCTAGCGTAGTAGTTCCTCGCGAGGATCACGAACGCGTAAGAGAGGTCGAGGGCTGGGGCGGTGATGTTGAATATCGCTACGATGGTCTGTGTGGAGCCGATGCCGATGAGGTTGAGACAGCACGCGAAGGCTACGATGAGCCAGACGGCGTTGATGGGCGTGTTTGTCCACTTGTTCACTTTTGCGAAGAAGGGGGAGAATGGGAGGGCTCCGTCGCGGGAAAATGCATATGCCATTCTGGTGTCTGCTAGCATGGCTGCGCATCCTGTGAAGAACTGTACTAGGATTACGAAGAACCACATTACGGTCCCGCCGGTCTGGCCTCCTGCGTTGAGGAATATTTGAGCGGCTGGAAGACCGGTTGGAGTTCTGATCATGCTTTGTAGACCGTCTGGCTCGTTGGGGATGCAGAAGCAGAAGGTGATGGTCAGCATCCAGCCTACTATTCCGGAGATCGTCACGGCGTGGCGGATAGCCATAGGACCGCGTATGGCGGCGTCGTGCGTCTCTTCGGCCATGTGCGTTGTGCCGTCGTAGTCGGTCATAGTCCATGCAACGGAGAGGAAGGACAGCAGGAAGGAGAAGCCGGTTCCCCAGCCGGAGCCGTTGGTGAAGTGGCCGAAGACCCAGGAGAAGGATTGTTTGTTGGGGGTTAGGATTAGCAGGGCGATGCAGATTGCTGTTGAGGCGAGAATGTTGATGGGTGCGAACCAGATGACGAGATTGTGCAGGGCGTGAGTGGTGAGGGAGCAGATTATGCCGATGATTATGAGGATGCAGATGGAGAGAAGGACGATTTGGAGGGGTGTTCTGGACGGCGGTTTTTAGAAAGTCGACTCGAATGGCGCGGTGGGTACTTACGGAGAGTATGCATATGATTCTCCATCAAAGCCAGAGTTCATGCTCGCAGCAGCAAGTATCATCTGAGACACGGTATAGCCAACACTTGCAACTCCAGCAGTCTGACCAAGAAAGTTGCACCATCCGATGATCCAGGACCACAGAGCAGCATGCTCAGGAGGTACGACGTTCCTGGTGACAAAGTACATACCACCAGCCGTTGGATATGCTGAGACGAGCTCGGCAACTGAGGAGGTTAGACATCTGGACTGCTTTAGTTGGGATGGAAGTTGTCTAACCTGACGACGAGATGGTCCATGCCATCAAGGATCCTACAAACCATGCCCATACTGAGGATGCTGGACCACCTAAGCTCAACGGACTACCGAAAGTCGCCGGTACTGATCCAAGAACTCCAAGAACGGAGATGGCATAGGATAGAGTTGACCATTTTGTGAAATGGCGGCTGAGATCCTATAAGCTGTGAGTGATATGTCAAGTCAATGGAGGGTATCTGACGGACTTGGGTGTATCCGATCTGATTCAGCAATCTCTCGTCATCATCTTCGACGGTAGGCATGTGAGAAGTCCTCTTCTTTTCTCTGCCTACAACCACTGAAGTCGTTGAAAGGCCAATTTTATCATCTGTTGACGCCATTATGAGTGCTTGTTTGGCTTGTAGTCTCAATTGACCAAGGAACAGACCATATGCTCAAAGACTGAAAGGAAAATAAAAGGATTGAAGGACGGACAGAGTTATAACCGGCTTTCAGAAGTCGATGTCCCTCTAGAGACCTCGATCTGTATCTGTTTTGCAACGATGACCACCTATCTCTTTCCCTGCCAATTCTTACGGATGCTCCGACCGCTGAGATGCGTCCCTATCATGAAGGTGTGTAGAATGCTCTGAAAGTGGCAACAGATGTATCCCATTCGCTCGAACGGGAAGAAATTATGCAGCGCTTGCTGCACTGCAGAGTTGACAGCTCTTACGAACTAACTTTTCGACTGGCGTGCACTTGAAGCGCGGCGCCAATGTGGCAGGGGACAGGGAGTGCGATGTGCAATGCTGGGATATATTTTGCCAGGGTTGTTCCATTTGTTCGGTAGGAGTCCCCGGACTTTGAGAAAAACCAGTTTGTTTCGCCATCTTGATTTGAAGCCATGATGGCGTCAAATTCGTGGAAAATAGATAACTCGGCAACTCACAGCTCGCCGTTGTGAGATATCGAGATCTTGACCGACGATAGATGGCAGTGAAGCTGGAAGAAACTCAAATACCGGTCTGGATTTGCCGAACGAACGGCACGGCGCGTAGACCGGGGCGGCGAGCCCAGCTGTGTCAGAACCTCCTTGGCGAAACCTTCCGTCGTTGACCTCACGTCGACCTTCCCTCACTTCATACAAAGATCCTTTCTCCCATTCCTGACACATAATATCAGTCCATGCTTCAGCACATGGTCAAGTCTCCGTCCAGATGTGGCCTATGAGGCCACCCTTTCGCTCCCAGGACGAATTGCGGTGTGCTGCAACCCGGCCCAATCAAGATTAATGCGATGGAGCCGTATTGAGGAATCACTGAAGCGGTGAGGAAGATAATGGCTTCGACCAGCCGGTTACAAGAAACCGGTTACGTGGACGGCAATTACGTTGGATCATCGACGATTCATCGGGGCCCCGGATGCTGGCAGAAAATTTCCATGACCGCTGTAAGATGCGACCCTGCCGTCCGTACATCAAGTAGGCTTTATCCGCAAGGATTCACTGGAATACCAACAGAGTGGTTCGCAAGGCGGTATGCGGGGTCTCGAGTCTCGTCACACATGATTGTGGCTCCTAGGGTAGGAAGAGCCTCCGTACTCTGTAAGGTTGAACCTCGTGCATTGGAATATTGGCTTGGACTGTTGGCTTTAGAGAGGAGATAATTGATTCTCGCCGGTTGCTAATCTGGATCGTTGTGGCTTATGCTTGAAGTTATGCGACTTCTGATGCGAGGAAACGCGGGATGCTGAAGAAAATGTCAGCCGTGTGCGGGTTCGAGACTGTACATCTATCTATTGCGAGCCTATGAGTGGCTGAGTCTGCATCAATAGAATGTGACAAGTGTTGATATGAGAGCTCGTCTCGGGCATCGATTGCTTACTGTATGCAGTCGATTGGAAAGGATGATTACCCGTTAAGAATCAGCTCCTTTCAAAGCCAAGAGTTGGCATTCGAAACGCGGCTGGCATAAATTTGGAGAAGATTGCTGGCAATTATCCGTGTTTGTTGGCTTGCAAGCTTCTTACACGACAATTCCTATGTATTGGAAGGCCGTCGCATCAGCTAATCTCCTCCACCGAGTCTCGAGGGTGAACCTCGACAAATGTGTACTTGAACGCTACGAGCGCTAAGATCATATTTGAACCGCGTGAGGCGGTATCTGACTCTAATCGATGTTGCACAGCATATATTGGTCCATCCCGAATCTTACGCGTGTGGTGGCACAGCATCAACTGTTGGTCTGATGATATTTTCAACCATATTGTGTTCAATCATAGATATTGATTTTTGAGTGATTCTAGGTCTGCTTACGGCAGAGACAGGTCAGACTGGAACACGGCATTGTGGTCGAAACATCATACCGTTTTTGGTCTCGGCACTGTGCCGTTCTCAGAGATTTCCAACAACCGAACCCAAGGAGCATTACCGAGTGGCATACCAGTCTCATAGCCGATAGTATATCTCGTCACAAACTTCACAGGACCCGATAAACCACGTTCAAGTCGCTCCTCGAACAAATCGGAACAGTCCAATTCGTCACGTTTCAAGCAACAACCTCAGTCTTCTCCATCTTTCTTCCACCAACAAGATATTCATCACTCCATACAGAACCTTCGCCCTCTCGCTCGAAGTACTCAACTTGAACTGCATTATTGTTAATTCTGTACAACTTTCCCCGATCCACACGCGATACTCACGATCCTTTGTCCATAGCGGCTTGGATTTCTCCCACAGAGCCTCATAATACGGCTTGGTCATTTGCTCCTGTTGAGTAATCATCAGCACTAATACCCTCAGTACCCTGCCCAAGTCAGCATGACCAACTCACCTTCTCAAACCATTCCCGACTTTTATTCCAAATCTCCACAAATCTGAACCGTCCCTTGACCTCCTGATCCTGGAAAACATCGAAGAATAGACATTCTGGCTCCTCGGAACACTTCTTCCATATGGGACGATGTGCCTCTTTGAACTTCTCGATGTCGGATGGAGAGACTTGGATAGTGACGAAGACGGTGAGTTGTTTGTTTGAGGGTGGTCTGCCTTTGGGTGAAACGACGGATGCGTTGAGTGCGGGAGTTGGCATTTTGATGTGAGATTGAATGGGAGAGAGGTGAGAGGGAGTAAATAATTGAAAGGTGGTTCTCGCACCGGCTGCAATCGTTATCAAAGTTGCGTAGAGGAGGACTCGAGTGATGTCTGAAGTTCGAAGTCGTTCAGTATGACGAAATGCCAAGACCCGGGACGAAGCGTTCACCAAGTGGGGTTCAGCACAGTCCAGACTCATACTTCACGCGGGCTGTAATGTCAGCGGTAGATCTTGGTACCACGAAGGGCTTGAGAGACACTGGTTATGAGATATTTGTACTTAAAAAGTTCGATTTCATTAAGAAACTATGATGCTTCTCGAGTGCAGTTCAACCGTCCTGGTAGGAGTTATGATAAGGTACCCATGTCATTCAGGTCATGTGATTTCTTAAATATCTCGTTTACATTGTTTACATTCCCATCTACCTAGATGGCTGGGTAAAGACTTGTTAGGGTTGTTCTCGGGCCTCGAAGCATGTTCATCTCCCAGTGTGTGATACTAGGAACACGGTGCGGTTTCGAATCGCAGTCTTCTATTGTGGAAGACGGAACTGAGGCGCGATCGCGCTTCTGTAAGATGGCTGATTGAGCTCAGCGAATCGTGATTAGCCCATGATAATTTCTCTCATGGTATCTCACGTTTAATGCCGCACTTTGACAGTTCTCTGAGTACCATATATGGGCAGGTGTCACGAGGCATTTACTCTAGAGGGAGCAGGCTGAGTATTGCATGCACTGGATGAGATATCAGGATAAATTATGAGTATGAGAACATATTATGAGATGAGATTTCTGCGACGTGCAACAAAGCCAGAGCAAGTGGGCCCACTTCCCCTTTAGGTATTCACTGTTTTGGGTATTGGATTGCCGTTCCCTTTGTCCCGCGAGGGCAAGAATTTGACAAGTCTTTTTCTGCTAGGGCTCGTATTGGATATGGAGTTCTATCAAGATCGTTCCGGGTGGGATAGCTTGAAAGGCGGGAAAGAGTTATACTTAAGAGGTCTTGTAGTGCAGGGGATTTGTAAGGCCACATGTCGTCGTAAAGGGGAGAGTTACTGTTGGTTTCTCAGCGTGCTCAGGTCGAAGTCAAATCAAGTGTCTAGAAGCCAACACAAGCTTTCCATTTGGGATATTGTAAGCTTAATTGAATTCCTTGGTAGCTAACGAAAGTGCTGAAAACCGTTAACTCAACCATAAGTCATGCTAACATCAATGGCTAAGACATCACTCTCAAATCTTATACAGCTTCAGTACAAATTTCAGGACTCTCTTCCAGAACCACCAAACCTCATGTCGCAGCGGCTTGCCATCATTCAACTTACTCCCCTTTCTCCCTCCACAACCAAACAATGGGTCTCCCACCCCTCGACAAATTCCCGTTCCGTTGCTTATTCCAGCCAAACTTGCCCAATGTATTCTTCATCTTATCCTTATCATCCATATTAATCTTCATTCCCACCGCCCACTTCCCATTCCCTTTTTCGACGACCTCATACACAACGTTCTTCTTATCGTCAGCATCGTCACAGCCGATCCGCTTCATGAACTCCTTGACGTTCATCTCGACCGGAACGTAGAACTTGGTGTGCGTAGAGGGGTCGATGCCGTGGATTGTTTGGTCGGCTTGCCAGGGTTTGGTGGCTGTTTTGAGGACGTGGATTATGGTGTGCTCCGACGGGAAGATATAGTTGTAGCCTGGAGGGACTCCGATCCCGCCGAGGTGGTTTTGGAGGTGGATTCCAGGAAATCCAAGGTTGGTGGGGGGGCCCATGGAGGGGTGCGTGGTGTTGTAGGGGAAGCCGGGCATCATGGGTTGCATATAGGGTATGGGCGGTTGGTAGACGGCCGTGGGGGGTTGGATGAAGCCTGGCATGCCGGGATATTGGGGCATGGAGAAGCCGCTTGCTGCGTACGGTGGTGGTGGTCCGGCGTCGTAGCCGTGCATTGTGTTGTGGCCCCGGTAGGGCATGTTGGGCATGGTTTGCGCCATTGTGTTGCCTGCTGTTTGAGAGCTTGGTTGTGGAGTTGAATGCTGTGCTGGAGGTGGAGGTGGACCCGCGTCGTCACCGTGGATGGTGTTCCAACCTTGGATCCCTTCTACCCGAGCGGTGATGCTCTGGACGTAGTAGAGCCGATCGCCGGATGTGGAAAAGACAGATATAGAGCGGTACTGAATGAGTTGGACGGTATCGAGCGGTGCAAGGAGGGTAGCGTGGGTAAGAACAACTTTGGAGATGCCTGGGAGAAGATAGGCGTCCTCGAAGGTGTGCTCCTCAAAAGAAGCCAGGATGTATGGCTTCGATGATATGGAGTCGAGTAAGAGGCAGGGATGACTTTGTTTAATCTCGCTGCCAATACTATGCAAGAATCGTTTCTGGACTTGGAAAAGTTGAGCTTAGGTGCATGTAGGGATAAAAGAAATTCTGTAAATTGGAGTCTGGAAGCCTTTGACTGGAGGGGATTGAGTATAAGTACTGGCTGAGAAGGAAGGTTATGAATCATTTCAAGAAGCCAGGAAGAGGACTTACAGTCATGAATCACGGATTGCCGATGTATTTTTGGAATAAAACTTGCACGACTGTTGCCCACTGGTGAGATTCACTAGACTCCCAGCCAGGACGCTTCAACACTTGAATGAAGCACTGGAGAAAAGAAACTTGGATTATTCACAGACTTCGGGGGTGCTATGGTTGAGAGGCCTGATGAATGCCGCCACCGCGTGCAGGTCTTGACTGTACCTCGCTATCTCTTTTGTTTACTGGCCTAGCCGAGAAAACTGGCAGCAAAATTTGACGCCACGAGAACAAGAATGGAGGGTATCGTGACAGTTGTCGAGTTGTTGCCGTCATTGCGGCAATTCATGAATACATTGATGTTACAGACGCCCATAGGTGCAAATATCCATCCAACCTAACAACAAGTAAGAATCGAATGTATGCCTCATTTAACCACAGCCAATCCTTGATAAATCATATTCTTGACAGCATAGAATGTGCTGCCGTGACCAATCCCCGGTCCCAATGAGGTCGCCAGCCCAATACTCTCGACCTCGATCCTGCCAGTTCCGGTCTTGCGAACAATGACCGAGCTATCGATAAGTAATGTACCCTCTCCTTTGAACTCGGCAGTGTGGCTCGAAGCCAACATGATCTTCCGTAAATCAGCCAGACGGAGATCACCAACTTGAAGGGGTTGTGCCACGGATCTCGTTGCTGACGCCATATTGGAAGGTAGAATGTCCAGTGTTGGTACCTCGATTTGTGATGTGGAGCTTCGTATAAGTTCAAGGCTTGGTGTCTCTTCTCCTTCGCCTTCCTCTTTGAGCAGCTTCTGTTTCTTATGGCTTTCTTCGGCATCAGGTTCTGTGTCAACGATGGTACTCTCCAACCGAGCAGTGACTGTTGCGATTCTTAGATCCTTGACTTTCTGCCATGTCAGTTGCTTGACAAGCGCGCTTGTCAATCTTACAGCCCATGCATTTGTATCAACGCTGGCGTTGACCACAACACCAATCTCAGGTGTGTACACATCTATAGCAGATTCGGAGGAGCCGAGCTGTGCCACAAGTAACTTGCGACAATCGACGGCTAGCGCGAGGGTCTCGTCCTTCATTCCTCCAACGAGAATAAGCTTTCGAGGCTGGATGAGTGGTATTAACATTTGCAAACTTCGCTTATCGTGCAGGCCAGCAAAGTCCACAAAGCCGATTCTAACGTTGAGGGTAAGAGACTCGGTTGAGAAAACTACTTTGGAAGGTGACGCTTCAGCCACTGCATCGTCGGCAGCATCAGCGCCCTCGTCTTCTGATGCATCATCCTCGGGGCCAGGTGACATGTCGGCGAGGTCAATAGAATCACGCTGGCGCTGGTTTCTATTTGTCTGCTGCCTCTTATGGTCCCCATTGGTCATCTGTCGATCGTGCTGAGGCTCTTGCCACTTCCGCTTCTTGCCGAATGTGTCTCGAGTGTCGTGTTTATTCGGTTGGCGCATATCCTGTCCGTCCACTTCATCTCGTTCCTCTGCTCTGAGGAAGTCTTCTGGGCGAATCAACTCTCCAAAGTCATCATTTCTTTTCCTTCGGATGGAAAGAGGGAACATCTTCTCACGACCCTTCTTTCCACGTACATCGTAGTCGAAAACGTCTTTCCGGCGAATAAGAACATTGACCCCAAGATCTTCGTCACTCAGTCCGATCTTCTTCCGGTTTGCCTGTCCCATCGTTGCGGATATGTTCAATGACTTTCCTTGTTGTTCGGTCTCCGAGTCATCGGAATCTGAAGAAGAGTCGGAGGAAGCATCGTCTACGACATCTGCTGATGATTCAAGTGCTGTTGCTCCACCAGACTGAAGAGTAGTTTGTAATTGGCGCTGAGTGGCAAGCCATTGTTGATAGACGCTCAACTCGTTCCCTTCTAAGGCGACACGTTTGGCATCTTGGAGCTCAACCTGTCTTCCTCCACTATTAACTCTCTCTATGGTCACTCCAGATTTGGTAGTCTCAGAGAGCACTCCGTTCTGTTTCTCTTCCCACCATGACCACAATGTCCTTGCCAGACCAGTCTTCGCATCACCTTCTGGCTTGCCCAGCCTCTCCGTCAAAATGATTAAATTACGACTGTCATCTGCAATTGACTTTAACACGTCTCGAGAGAACCCCCATTCCAGAGACGTGTCACTTGCCAGGATGACTTTCCCTACAGACCTCCCAAGGCTGTCTGTTTGGCCAAGGATTCGATCGATCTGGCCCCTGCGCTCCAGCAGTCGCAGGTGCTTGAAGTCAAATGGACCTGCGGAGGCGCCGCCTTTTGAATTTCCAGAGCCTTGAGGCCCAGTCTCTTTCTGCTGCAATCCAGCATTTGCCTCGAATTCTCGAATGATTGCATCGTCCATCCATTCAAGCATACTCCTCGTATACCGCATGGTTGCACCAATGTTTTTGCTTGCAAGATAGAGCTTTGAGCTCCGTAGAGGGCTATCATCATCCTTGGCTTCTGTTCGCCATGCATGTTCTAATAGGTATGCCAGCTCCAAAACACGAGCGCTGGAATCCGTAGGAATAAGCACAATTCCACCTTGGCTGACTGAAGACTTAATCATTTCGAGCAGCAGCTCATCTCGTTTCGCTCGACCACCAGGTAGCGCATTTCGCTCACCTCCACGGCTACTGCATATCAGTGCGGTTGGTTTGCGCAATTGCTCGATGACTTCTGCTCCACCGGCTCCGGCTCCACCTAACCATGCGGCACCAGCCAGAACATTCTCACGGGCTTGGTTCCAGTCCACCGCATGAACAATCGACTCCAGACCATGTTGTATATGCCAGATTGTCCCTCCCAAGGTATGTCCAGCATTGTATGCCGTGATTGTAAGACCGTTGAGAGGTGGGGACGAGGGGGAAGGAATTGGTTGATGTGGTTGCGAATATTTGAGAGGGTGTATAAGCGCGAAATACGATGCGATTTCCTCACTCGTCGGCGGTTGAAGAAGTATGTTTGCATCTTTGTTGGCAGATACGGTCTGCGAATAGGAGTATGAAGCTTCTGATAGAGCTGAAGATGGTATTATTGTTGCTGAAAGAGGGGTCGAAGCATAGAGGTCTTGAAGGAGGGTCCGGCCCAGAGAAATGACTGGAAGGGTAGCATAGACTGGGATTCGGGAGAAAAGAGGAAAGTGCTTGCAGCAGTGGGCAAAAGCTGCAAGATGAGCCACTGTCGCATGAGTGAGAAGGATAATTGAGAGGGTAGGGACTTGTCTGCGTAGATGTTAGCTTATGAAACAGAGGGTAAGCTTGAGATTGGTTTATGAAGCACGGGGGACGCGTTGTAGGGCAATGGAGAAGTATAGTTGAATGCGAATGTGTCTTCATTGTTGACTGGTATACATTGGTTCCAGGGCCGAACAGGCTCCCTCCTCGATCCATAGAATGAAAGCTCAACCTACTTCTCAAGCTCCTTCAGCTTGCCCACATCAAAAGTCTCATCCCAACCCACGTCTATTAGGACTTTCACCCCTCCATCGAGCTCCAGTACGGACTGCGACGCCGAGGATTCCGACTGCGCGCCCAGCAGGGAGGTAAACGTGAACATACTGTCCAGAAAGTGCCTCTATCAAGGCATCTGGCTGTTGAATAAGTTATGTCGCATATTATGGATGTATACGCGCCGTCCGGATATGCGTGATATTGGGAACAGGTCGTCGATTCGATTCTGGTGGATGGAATTGTGGGAGTTGTTGAAGTTGTACGCAGGGAGATTTGAGACATCGCGACAAAGACAAATCCGAGCCCAAGCCATTGAGCTGCATGAAATCTTAGCGCGAACCACACGTGAACCAGGAACAACCAAACAGCCCCACAGGCGCGGCGCATACTTTGCCCGTTCCGCGATCTCGAAAGGTGTCCCCGTCAACATTATAATCTCAAGCACTCTCAGGTTGCGCACAAGTTGACACGACACATAATTAATTTTCAAATCAAGAGAGTATGCCGATAATAAATACTTGATTCTGTTCCAAATCTGCGACCCCGCTCGAACGCCTCGAAGAGCTACAAGCTCCGGGCTACCCTCCTCATTCTCGATTTACTTCCTTTGACGCCAGTATTCAGAATGTCTGCCGAATACCTCTACCGCGGTCAGGGAGGGCTCAATGATGATCCAAACAACCCAAATCGAGCTGGACAACCTGCGAATCAGTTCCAGCCTCCTATTGCCCCTTCACCGTACCAGCAGCCAGGTACGGGATACAACAATGCGGCGCCAAATCAACAGTACAACAGTCCGCAAATGGGACAACCATCACCATATGGAGCTCAGCAAGGGCAGGGGTACTTTCCAGACACAGGCGTACAGACACAAGATGGAGGTCTGGCATCGCAGATGGGGGGTTTGGGACTTGGAGAAATTAGTTCCCATGGCAGGAAGAAGAAGAAGGATAGACATGCCCATCATATCGTGGAACCTTCCGGATCGTCCGCAGCTTTCAATGGCACGCCCCAAGGAGACTTTCCTCCCCCAGCATACTTAAATTCAGATCCATCAGCAATGCCTGTCCCACAGGCAGGGCCATATTCGAACACACCAGTTACACCTCAGATGTCACAATTCCCTGCTCCTGCCAATGGACCGTTCAACCCTGCGAACCTCGCAACTCCAGCAGAATTTGCATCTCGCAATGGTGCAGCTGACCCTGGATTCTCTGCGAATATGCAAGCTTCTGCGCAAGGTCGAGTTGACCCAGATCAAATCCCAAGTGTCCCAAGGTCCAGAGATGCCATAGCACAATACTATCTGAACAATGTGTACCCAACCTTCGAGCACCATATCCCTCCTCCCGCATCGGTATCATTTGTTGCCTTCGATCAGGGAAACGCTTCTCCCAAATTTACTCGTCTCACAATGAACAGTATCCCCTCAGCATCAGATGCTCTTCAATCGACTGGTCTCCCACTTGGTCTACTTTTACAACCACTTGCACCCTTACAACCAGGCGAGCTTGAGATACCTGTCCTGGATTTCGGAGAAATTGGGCCACCGAGATGTCACAGATGCAGGGCATATATCAATGCTTTCATGGTATTCCGATCTGGAGGAAACAAGTTTGTTTGCAATATGTGCAATTACGCGAATGATGTTCCGCCAGAATATTTCTCGGCAACCACACCTCAAGGGGCTCGCCTAGACAGAGAGCAACGCCCAGAGTTGATGAGAGGCACTGTTGAATTCTTGGTGCCCAAGGAATATTGGTCGAAGGAGCCTGTTGGGTTGAGGTGGCTCTTCCTAATCGATGTTGGTCAAGAATCTTTTAACAAAGGCTTCTTGGAGGCATTTTGCCAGGGCATCATGGCGGCGCTGTACGGGAATGATCAGGGTGGAGAAGGCGAGCCTCAGAGGCGTATTCCAGAAGGCGCCAAAGTTGGCTTCGTCACTTTTGACAAGGATATCCACTTTTACAATATGAATGTAGGTTTTGTCTTCGCGATCTGATAGGCATTTACTGACTTACGAAGCCGGCTCTGGATCAAGCTCAGATGTTGATCATGCCTGACATTGAGGACCCATTTGTACCTCTTGAGGAGGGACTGTTTGTTGATCCCTACGAAGCGAAGTAAGTTCCTCGAAAAGGCCACTCGGAGACGTCCACTTACAATAATAGGACGAATATCAGCTCGTTATTGAGTAATTTACCTGCCTTATTTTCTCAAATAAAGAATCCCGAACCGGCTCTTCTTCCAACCTTAAACGCAGCCTTGGCCGCGCTGGAGAAGACCGGCGGAAAGATTGTCTGCTCCCTTGCCGCCCTGCCAACGTGGGGCCCAGGTCGACTTTTCCTTCGGGATGACGGTAAACAACATGGTGGGGACGCTGAAAAGAAGCTTCTCAACACGGAACATCCAGGTTGGCGGAAGACTGCTGAGAAGATGGTGGCCGCTGGCGTGGGCGCAGACTTCTTTATGGCTGCTCCTGGCGGCGGATACCTTGACATTGCAACTATTGGTATGCTGACCCAGACGCGAGTTGGCCTTCCTTTCTAACATACTCCCAGGTCATGTGTCAGCCTCAACTGGTGGCGAGACATTCTACTACCCTAATTTTGTGTCGCCTCGTGACACAGAAAAGCTTTCACAGGAAATCATACACACCGTAACACGAGAGACTGGCTATCAAGCGCTGATGAAGGTCCGATGCTCTAACGGTTTGCAAGTTTCTGCTTATCACGGGAACTTTATCCAGCATACCTTTGGTGGTGATGTTGAGTTTGGAGTTGTTGATTCTGACAAGGCAATGGGAGTAATGTTCAGCTATGATGGCAAGCTGGATTCCAAGCTCGATGCGCACTTCCAAAGCGCACTATTATACACCACAGCGAGTGGCGAGCGAAGAGTTAGATGCTCAAACGTCATTGCCAGTGTCAGTGATAACGCAAAGGACTGCATGAAATTTGTAGATCAAGACGCTGTTTACACGCTGATGGCAAAGGAAGCTGCCACTAAGATGACAACGAATTCTCTCAAGGATATCCGAGGTGCTTTGACCGAGAAGAACGTCAATATTCTTGCTGGATACCGCAAGAACTTTTCCGGTTCCCATCCCCCAGGTCAGCTCGTTTTGCCAGAAAACCTAAAGGAATTCAGCATGTATGTGCTTGGTCTTATTAAGTCAAGAGCATTCAAAGGCGGACAAGAGCCTACCGATCGACGGGTTCACGACATGCGGATGATCAAGTCGATGGGTGCTCTGGAACTCTCACTTTACCTCTACCCGCGAATGATTCCAATCCACAACCTCACACCTGAGGACGGCTTTCCCAACCCAGAAGGTCATCTCCACATGCCACCGTCGATAAGGTGTTCGTTCTCTCGCGTGGAAGAAGGCGGAGTCTATCTCGTCGACAACGGACAGAACTGCTACTTGTGGATGCATGCACAAACTTCGCCCAACCTACTCATCGATCTCTTCGGCGAAGGCAAAGACAGTCTGAAGGCGCTGGACCCATACAGCTCTTCCCTCCCAGTGCTGGAAACACATCTCAGTGCCCAAGTACGGAACATCCTTGAGTATCTGAAGACTATGCGAGGATCGAAGGCTCTTACAATCCAACTTGCGAGACAAGGCTTGGATGGTGCGGAATACGAGTTTGCGAGATTATTGGTCGAGGATCGGAATAACGAGGCGCAGAGTTATGTAGATTGGTTGGTGCATATTCATCGGCATGTACAGCTGGAGGTAAGTTCGCTCATTTTATCGGGGTAAATCGTTTGCTAACGTATGTAGTTGACGGGACAAAGGAAGAAGGATGATAGCGGCGATAACTCGATAGCATCTAACTTTGCTGGACTACGGCCTCCCTATTGGTGAAAAGGGTGAGGCTCGGAGGAGCGGGAAGCGTTACGATTTGGCATGGGTGTCTTGAGTACATTTAGCGAGCATAGAAAAGTACATTCTTGAAAGGCTGTTTTTGCTGAAGCTCGAAGCAGGAGGCATGTGAAGATATCCAAATGATACACCTCAATTCAAAATCTATTTTACGCGGCCAATGTTGATAGCACATTCCCGGGACTCGAGTCGCGGCTTGAGAATAGCATTTCAACGTGAGTCCTAGGCAATATCAAGACTATCAGGGCCAGCAACATATCCTGGCAGTATCACTAACTGAAGCTTGGGAATCATGGATCAAACTCCTAATCCACATATTAGCATGGTACGAAGCCCAAGTTCTCGTCGGTTCACAGATCCTTCCAATACCCTTTTACAGAGACAAAGACAAAGACGGAGACAAAGACAGCCCAACATAGACAAATTTCTCCTAAATAAGGCCAAAACGTCCATATCTAAAACCTACCAAACATTTAAACTCACAATTCAAAATGGAATCCACTATCCCTCGAACAAACACCTCTTCCCCTCCTCCTACCCTTCCTTCTCCTCCTCCCCACCGCCACAGCTGCGCTTGCACCATCCCGAAATTCTGCACCTGCACCTGCCGAACTTGCATCAACAACGGCAACCGCGATCTCCGTCCCTTTGAGCACATCCACTGGACCGACTTCTGCCTGTGCGCCAACGAGATCCATTCTGAGAACGGAGATGATTGTACATGTGAGGGGAAGACAGCGCCGCTGGCTCGTGCAGCGAGGATTGTGGTGAGGGATTGTTGTAGAGAGGCATTTGGAGAGGAGAAAGAGGGGGAGGTGAGGAAGTTAGAGATGTGTGGATGTATGGCGTGGGGGTGTGTTAGGGAGGAGGATAGGGCTGAGAGGGAAACGGAGAAGGAGAAGGAGAAGGGGGTGGAGGGGGGGAAGGAGAATTGAGATGAGAAAGGGAGTAAGGAGGAGTGAGTGGTAAGTGGGGGAATGGTACTGTGTTACTTGTGAAGAGTATATTGCATGGGTTATGGACGTGGAAAGAGAGGTATGCATTGGATGGTGGTATATGTATAATATGTAGGCGGTTACTGCAGTAGTAGAATACTACGAAAATGAAGCGATGTTGCCAGAGACGATATATCCAATGATATTGATACCAGTGCGTAATTTTGGTACCAATTTTCGAGGATTCGCCGTCAAACAGGCCGCTAAGATTTTTTGAAGATTCTGTGAGGTTGTGAAGATGGTCTGAGGATTCTGGATGTGGACTGAAAGCGACCGTGAGAGTGACACTGAAGATTTCAGCCGAATTCTCCCACCAACGGCGACAGGAGAGGTGAATGGCTTTTTTTGAATAACATTATTGGATTTATTGCAAGTTTCAGAAATCTCCACTCACAAAAGGATTTCTGTGTCGATGTCTCATTTTCCGACGCACTCGACAGCATACGATATTGAAACTGGTGACTGTTTTTGAGTTCCGGTGTTGCAAGGATTATTCAGGTCGTCAATATACAATGCATTGACAGATTGGGAAACTGAAGGAGTCGGAAATGTGAGATCTATGACCAGTCTCGGTAAGTGTCTGAACGAAGAGTTTCAAACAGGGTGGCTTTCCATCGCTTCACTTGATAGAGTCTTAGAGAACTGTTATAGCTTTTCAGGTTTGTTTCAAGTAAACCGAATAAGCTGTAGATCACATTGAATATAGACAGGTTACTAATTATGCTCTGTGGCGCCATTCATGACTCAGATCATAGAAACCGTGGAGTGTGTTGATTTGCTTAGCGAGGTGATCATCCAAGTAGAAATCCGCAGCGAACACACATTTATTGAGGTGATCAAAGCTATCTCTACTCCACTCAAGGTGACACCCGAATAAGTTTGATGAGTATACGAACCTAGGTTGAAGACTTCTTTCTCTGCGTCCTTAGCAGCAGGCATGTCCTATGATCAGTCGGACCTTGAAATTATTAACAGTAGAATTTTGAGTTGAGAAGATCGACTCGTCAAATAGAAGAAATTTCAGATAGGTGAACTAAAACTTTGATGATTGATGAAGAAAAAGTTGCAAAGCATGTCGAATCTTGAGTCATTGCCCCACGGACAGCAATAGCAGCCTCCTCGTAGGTGCTCATTCGTCACATCTAGTTTCTCCCACCTGAAATTTAGAAACTTGAGGTATGGTGACTCCACTAAAACAAAAGCTACATTCTCTCTGCTGGTTTATGCTGGAGAAAGGTAATGTGAGAGGATCAGCGAGGTATTAACCTAGCATCTGCTTAGGATTCGTATGAGGTCACTGAGGATACCCTCTGCTACTCGAGGATTATTCACTCCAAACTACATGTCGAGTTGGGAAAAGGTTTTGGCACCTCGTCACCTTGAAAAGGAGCGAGTATCATGTTTGAAACTATTAAATAACTTAGCTATGTGTCGCCCACTTAGTTGAACGGCTTCACAAGTCTTCAAAGTTGTGTTTCACATTGGCTCACTTGCCCGTTTTGTCTGCTTAAACATGGACTACCAACTGGTCTTAGGAGATTGTCGATTTGTGGTATGAAGCCACATCTGATGGAAGACTTTACACGCTACGAGTGCCGCAACGTTATCCAGAGCTCCCTCTCTGATACTTCTCCCTGACTTATTTCTCAAAACTAGGAACCAATTCATAACTACTGGTCGGACCGATACTTAAACATATGGAAACTTCAAGAGCAGATGTTGACCGGAAGTTTCGAGCCGATCCGATCTTCATGATAGCGCTGGTCTTGTTGAAGCCAGACTAAATTTCGGAAAGATTGCACTAGGTAAGCACGAGAGGAGCGGGATAAAGCCTGCGAAGTGACGATCTTGACCTTTCGATATACAGTACCTCCAACAAAGCAGTAAAATGTTTGACAGCCTCTTGTAGCAGTGACAGCAATCGTAAGCAGCAGACAAGACGGGCAGACATATTTATTTCTCAACACAGTCAGCCTCCTTTGCCAGCCGATTGATTACTCTTCACTTAAAGCCACGTTCGCAGATCGATGTAGTATCGTCAATCACTTCCATATCCAGCCCGAATTGAAGGATCAAGTCTGATCCAACCCACTCCGAAAAAAGTAAGATGTCTTGGGACCATCGAAGGGAGGCGTTCACGTGTCGTTTAAGGTTATTAGTGCCAAGCTGAGCGACGGCTGGTCTATTGCCAATCATGGCAGGTCGCCAATGGCTTGGTAGTGTTTATTGGATATGCACCCTAATCTTTGCTTGCTTTTCCAGTGGCTGCTATGAGCCTGTGATAATGAAGATGGCTGGCTGGCTAGCTAGATGAAGCCCGAAAATGGAAGGTGTTCTCTTCTCCCGCTCAAGTTTATGTCTTGGACCAATATCTGAAGTGCTGCCATAATCTGCACTGAAAGAACCATCGAAACATTTCCCCTTCCTGGAAGGAATTAACAACAGCTTCTCGTGATATACGCTTACGGTGCTGTGCTGTGCTGTATTTCCCGAAATCCGTATAGACCAACAGCTGCACTCTCACGCCGAAGCTTCCGAGAGCCCCTTCTCGCACAATCAACACAAATCAGACAATACGGTAGTGCCAAGACCGCGCAGGCAGATGACGCGGCCCTGGCAAAGGAGCGGGGCTCGATGGAGTGAGTGGATTATTATTGGGTTATGGGATTCCCCATTATTAAAGTTAGGGGAACAATGCGAAGAATTAAGCTTGTTACGACGTTATGACGCGCGAATGGAGCAGCCGAGATGCTGTGCCGTCCCCACCAGCCTTTGAGTATTAAACTTTATCCTTGGCTTCGGTGGAGGGACAGGGATTCTTCTGGTTGAGCAATTTCTATTTTCTTTTATTATTAATTAATTGATTTTGAGTTTTAGGGTTTACCTGGGTGCGTGAGCTAAGGCATCGTCTGTGCTGCCGCGTGTTGAGTGGAGTTGCTGGACGGAGACTTACTTTATTTTTTTTTTCCTTTTAAAGGTGGATGAGGTATCGAAAGTCAAAAAGCAAGACCTCGGGATGTGGAGGAGCCAAGGTTTTAGTCGGGAGGAATCTTGCGATGGTTCGAGTTTCTGGATCAGAAATAGAAATAAACGCTGTCCGTGGTTCGTTCTGAACTTTTGACGTTTTGGATCTAGTAAGCTTGTTTGGAGATCAGATCTTGAAGCATGCAACAGTCACATCGGTTTCTTGGTTGAGAAACGATATGCGGTGAGTGGATTGACTGACCTTCTTCCGATGTGGTCCCTTCTCTGGAGCCAGTATATCTGCAACGTTGGGGGCCGAAACAAGACTGGAGTTCCGAGCATTCCGAATTTAAAGCTTTGAGCTTGAGGTTAAAAAGTCCCCACCAGCATCGCATCCTTTCTCCACAGAGGGGCCACACGGAATCTTGGAACTGGGACTTTTGAAAATGGAACGCCGTTTGGAAGACATGGAAGGGGGAGGGAAGTCCCGTTTTACTAGGGTTGTGATAGGATCATGATAGCAGGTTTACTTCGGCAAAAGCTCTGAAGTAGTTACTTTTTCTTCTTGCACAGCAGTTTCTATGCATCTTTTTGCTGCAGCAAGGAAAAGTCTGTATCTTGTGCCCCCCATCTCTGGCATGTTCCAAGTTCTTTTCTGGATCACGACATCCCCATCTCCCTGACCTAATTCTCACTCAGCTGCAAAAGCCCGCTCTCCCAACCCAAGTGATTGGAGTGACAATTCATGGCTTGCTTGGCGTGAAGCCTTGTGCCGCTCCTTTCGTCTCTTTTACCTCAGCTCATAAGAGCGCCACAGACGGACATCAGCTCGTCTTCAGTCTCGCTTCCTTTCCCTCGGATAATGAGCAGATTAGGGTTCTGAGGCACAGGAAGTCTAAGTGGGGAGGAGGCACAGGTGACAGGATGCAGGGCGAGGATGAGGTGTGAATCTTCAAGTGAGAGGTGGAATCGTCAGCGAATTGCTTGCTGGATTCGGGACTGTCGGCTGACTTGTCCGTCAACCAACTTTCATTTTGAAGCTTGACCTTGAGGAGATTACAAACCGTCGATGCCCGAAAGACAAATCGATTGTTTTGTAACGCGAATCAGCGAATCGGGTAAACATGTTCGGAGTTTTGGTCTGACATAAGGTCAGATCTTGACGTTAGTAGGCTACCAAATCGCTTCTCCCACCGTACCTTATTCCTCTTTTGTGCTTTGTCGGACTGTTGTCACATTCACACGATCTTGCGGAGGGTAACTGCCATCACACCAAGCTCAAATTTCGTTCCATTAAGAACCGGTCACGGCATAATAACACCACAATCTACCGAACGCAAAGCCCCAAAGCAGACTTAATTATCGCCATGCCTTTTGTCAACTCAAATAAGGAAACGATTCCGACAAAGTTCAATGGAGCCAGCCCCCGCCAAGCCCCCATCCTCGGATTCTTCATCGTCCAAAGATCCAAAGAAACATTGGTGGCGCTGACTAGCCAAGCTTTCTACCAACCGCCCCCGCCAGTCAATCGGCGGGATTATTTTTGAGTTGACAGTAGTGTGAGGCCGGCGATCCATGGTTTCTGGCCCTAAAAAATGGGCTGGCGGCGATGGAAAGGGCGCCGAGGTTCTCGATGCTGTCAGGTGGAGGTTACGGGTTTTCATTTTCCTGCACCGCTTGCCATGCTCATGTGAGTGGAGGAAAGCCGAGTTGTGGATAGCTTCACTGTGTTACTGCTATCCCCCCCCCCTAAATGAATGTTAAATGTGTAGAAAACTGGGGCTAGTGTGGGTAGCTTTCTGGGGTGTCTATCCAACAAAAATCGCTGCTTAGAGCCCTTGTAGTCCTCTCGAACCTTCTACAGCCACCCTTGCCTTTACAACAGACCAGATTTTGGCTCGTGCCTTCACGTTGATAAGGCTATTTGACCACTCAGGTATAGACTTCTAAGCCTCCGCCCCATAAATCCAGCAGTTTAACATTCATTTAGGGGGGGGATAGTACGAATTGGCAACGTGGTGGTAGATGCGAGGACGGTGCTTGCCGTTTCTTGTAAAGTATGTCTTGTCTGCCTGGTGCTGCACTACCACTATATAATATTGTGCCTCTCATGACGGCGCATGATAAGGTTGTTCGATGCGACGTACGGAGTAACTCGAGTGATTATCCGATCGAGGTTGATCTGATGCGCAGATCCGTGTCTGTCATCTCTTCAGTACAGGCACACGGCCGGAAACGACGGAACTCCGCCTTCTCTTCCATTATGCCCCCAATACCAAGCTCCAATCCTGTAGCCAGTCAAGTTTGAAGGAAAGTAACAGTCGAACAATAATGAGACTACTTCGAAGTAAAACCCACCTCTCTCTCCAAGATCCGAATACCTCAGCCCAGCCATCCAAGCCCCACAATGCCAGGCATGACATGAGATATTGGTAAAGGCTGCACTTGACGAGCTGCACATGAGTCAAAATGAATTAAGCATGTGTACCGGGCGTACCCACACAGACTCCATAAACACGAAGTTCCAAGAATTCAGCCAAATAACAATAATAATAATGGGGGCTTTTCGATGTCTTGCCATCCTCTCATGTGCTTGGAAAGAGGAATCGATGAGGGGAGCCAAGCATCCGCCAAGCTCGCGAGCAAATAACTCTATTCGTCGTGTCGTCTTTCCATGCAGCCACCGCTCCCACCTTTGCCTTTCTGTGGCGCGGCGCGGCCTTGGTCTTTTCCGTGTTTGCATGGCAGATGGATCATGGCTGAGACTTCTGAGAGGGAGAGAACATTCCATTCCGAAGGATAGTTCGCGTGCGGAAGATTAGCAACAAAACGCACAATACAGACTGACCAAACAAACGAGTTTGTACAGGTGTTGGACTGCGAAGTTCCCTGCAACAACTGTTCTCGAATAGGTAGGTCGTGTTGGTTAGAAACCGAAGACAAACAGACAGAGAGATATCCACCTGCTCAGACGGTATGATAGGCGTCTCTCCCAAGCCTAGCCAAGCCAACGCCATACTCTCGGCGTCCATGGACTCAAAAGTAAGGTTTTATGGTTAATTTGCGTGGCATGAGACTCGACCAAGGCCCAGCCGAGCGATCACACCCTAGCAAGTGTACGGAGAGCGAAAATGTAGGTAATCGAAAATAATAATCACAGGCATATAAAAATTAAAAACCAATAATCCAGATGGAATGATGCCGGATTTGGCAGTAATCATTTATTACACATTTCTCACGGCATCAGACATCCTCGTTCGTCCTTTCTTTTGGCTTTCTGACCAGCCGGCAGATCATGATTATTACTCACCATTGAGATGGACGGGAGGGAATTAGAGTTGATGAGGGCGATAATTAAGCTTTTTCTGGAGCGAGGGAGAGAGATCATTCGTATTCGGAGTTTGATGTTCAGCGCCAGCCAGCCAGAAAGACGGTTTGACAAGGTGAGGGGCTGGATGACTACTACTGTACTGGTGAGGGTGAGGTGTGAGAAGGTGTGGTAACCTAGAACTTTAACCTTAAGTTTACGACCTCCAAGATGTCCGTCCGTCCGTCTCGGATTGGTGAGCATAAACTCTATTGTGCAGACTACGGTCTTGAGAAATGTGAGCTTGTCCGTGGTGAGTGAACTATATGCCCGTCGAAATAATGATGATGCAATCCCAGAGATCTTGGATGGGGAGCAGTCACAGGCTGGGAAGATGCTGGATGAGATGATTTATACTCATACTTGCTCTGCTGGACAAAGTTTTTCTCTAGGGGTGGGTGACAAGACATCGATGAGAGTTTGACATAAGATGAACGAAGAGTGCGAAAGGACACGCTGTCCGCATTATTAATTGTGTTGTACGGCAATGCGGTGTTCGTTCTGACCCGCCTTTACGAGCAAACGAGCAGACGAGTAGAGAATCATAAGACAAATAACAGTCAGCCAGCCCAAGCCCCACCTAGCCAAGCCCCGCCAAAGCTGCGAACCATACTTGTATTCCTCTTTTGTGTAGATTATTACATTTGTTCGCAGGAATACGGAGGGCCGCCCTTGACTGGATTGCCACCATTTTCAGAGGTAAATTTAAAGTAATAGTGGGCTCGGCGAGTTGATTGCCTGCCTACCTACCTTATCCTCTCCCTCGGAAAGAAGCAAGCAGCAACGGCGCATCCTGAGCTCACATCATCAGGTCGCTCGCTCGCTCGCTCGCTTTCCCTTCATAGACAACCGCCGAATCGCATCGCCCTCGCATCATCGCAACAATCCACCACCTCCTGCCTCAACCTCAACCTCACACATCCCACCCCATCCATTCAAACCATACCTAGGTACGGAGTAATTATTAATTATGATACTCGCTCACCCAGTCCATCCCAATGCAATCCCTCCATAAATCAAACCTCCCCCAATCGTATACGGAAACCCCGGAAATTCCCTCTTTCCATCTCACCCCAATCCTAATAATTGGCTACGCCACCTCGGCAAGTTACATCGAAGTTGTTGGACACGGGAATGCAAAAAAGATAAGTTATTAGGTAAGTTAAGTTAAGCGAAGCGAGACCAGCCAGCCAGCCGAGCCAGGTTCCCAGCCAGAGGAAAAAGGAAAGGGCTGGCGGGATCGACACACACCTAAAAATCATGCTTAAAACCTTGAATTTTTGACACCGTGTCGCTAAGGTGCCAAGGGGCGCCACTACCCACGACTGGGCGCTGGGGGGCTTGGACGCTTGACTTGTTTGGGAGCCCCAGGTGGGGCGGGGTTGCGTGGCCTGGAAGGGATGGTGCTGTTGGTGGGTTCCAGGTTGGGGGGGGGGGGAGAGCTCGGGAGGGAGGCATGACGTGGAGAGAGAGATGTGTATATGGTGAGTTCGAGCTTCATGTTGAGGGAAGAGATGTGAAGATGTGAAGGAGGTAAGGGGAAGTGACAGTGGTGATACGAGCAACCAGATGTTGTTGGTCTCCTGCTGTCAGGGTAAATGTAATGTCTGAAACTGTGATTTCAGTCAATCTGGGTATTGATGCTCCAGTGCGGCACCGTTGTGCGACCACCCCAATTCAGAATCAGAGCGAGAACCAACTTAGGAAGGCCCCTTTCAATCAAAAAATTTCAAACAACACAGTTCGACTGTGTTACAATCGCAATTATCCAGATTCCTCGCATCTGAGTTAGTTTGTTAGTGCTACTTTCGCGACGGCCTTGGAATGAGTGGCTTGAGCTTGAGCTGAGTTGAGGGTGTTTGAGAAGGAATACCTACTCTATCCGTAGATAGTTTGGTTTGGGATGGAAACTATCGGTTCGGAAAAACCAAAATCTTTCTCTAACAGATAGTAAAGAATCTCGACGAGTTTCTTACCGGCTTCCGGAGGTTCTTCCTGGTTGTAACCTTAAATAGGGACGGAGGGGAGGCACGCGATCTGCACCACTGCCTTCTATCTCAAACTTGTACCAAAGAAAAGGCCCAAAGTATTGGGTCTCCCAATCTGATGCATTGAGATCATGAGGTGAGAATAAGGTATGTGTGCATTCAGATCAATTAATCTCTGAAATTGGACCATGCGATACGAAGAGGCTTAATATCATTGATTGTTTGATCTTGAGTTAAGCCATTAGAGACATAGGGAGGGAGGTGTTTGGGTTGTGTGGATGGATAGATGGATAAAAGCCGACTAGGTTTGGGACCTGGCGATGTGATATGATATGATGTCTCAATAGAGAAACAAGCTATTAAATTAATAAACTCCCTGTGTATCAGCACCAGCACAAGCATAAGAGCTGCGGCGCTTGCCGTGCCTGTTTCTTCATCCATTCAGGCGGGAAGTTTCAAGGTGCTCAGATAAAGTATGGCATTTAATGAGGCTCAAGAAAAATCCGAGAGGGATGACTCCACTAAACGTACGACGACACCTCTCCCATATGTCCACGCAACAACAATAACCTCCTCTTCGACATCCTCCTCGCATTTTGTGTTTTAAACTTTACTCGGCTGGCTCATTTACTGTATTATTCCAATTCCCACCGAACCGAGAGGCCCACATTCCGAATCTATCTGCCCAACTACCTGCGTAGGTACACCTCAGCTCAGTCCCACATCGGCAGGAGTTGCCAGCTATTTTCTTTTCTGTCTTGCTTTCGCATTTACCTTTTTTAACTTTTTGACTTTTAGACTTTTTGGAAACTCTCGCTCTACCCATCCACATCCACCCAAACCCATCAGCCCAACCCAGCAACCCAGCAACCCAGCAACCCAGCAACCCAGCTAGCCTTAAAACCGAAAAGAGGGAGGGTAAGTAGATCGGATCGAACCGGTTTTGCTTCTGGAAGTGGAAGTGGAAGATCGGTCTTGCTGGATCTACTGTATGGAGTGGCAGGCGGGAATAGGTAGTTAGTTCCTCATTCAGCCAGCGTACTGCTTTGCTTGCTTACTTGGGCTGTATTCATGCATCCATTCATTCAGTCAGTCAGTCATTTCTGTATCCCCCTTTCTCATTCGTTCCTTTGCGCCTATCTAACTCCCTCTCTCTCTGTTCTTCCCATCTATCTATCTATCTATCTATCTATCTATCCTCGGCCAAATCAAAATCAAAAATCAAATCACAGTATCGACTTTCGGAATCCAAAACAACCCGAAACTTCCGACCGAGACTCTCCGTAGGTTGCTTAACGAAATACTCCGTGATACAGTAGTACAGATAGACCGACCGACAGACGGACGGGCAAACTTAGAGTTGACGCTACCGTGCAGCGAAATCGGGTTCGGAGAATATATGTGACTCTACTGTACTTGTGTATGCTTGCTTGCTGGCTTCCTTGCTAGCTGGCTACTCGGGACGTACCGGCGGTAGGTAGTTAGGTAGTATTTACGTACAGGGGAATGAAATCTTGGTCGGATCGGAGATGAGGGGATGAGGATGAGGCTTGAGTAGTGAGGAGGCTCGGAATGGAATAATAAATGGGATAGGATATGGGTAGGTAAGTTATGTGAGGGAGGTGATGTGTATGGAGGTATATGGGACGAGACGAGACGTGCGTAATGTTTGTTTTAAGCTTCTATTCGGGAGGTGGACGGGTGGGACCGGGATGGGGATGGGGGCTTGTTTTGGGTCGGGTTGGATTGCGAGTGAGTAGTGAAGTTAAGTGTGGAGTTGCAACGGCGTTTTGGTGGAGAGGGACTCGTCAGTGTTGACGTTGGTGGTTGTGCTCTGTTGTGGAGTAGAAGGTTGTGCGGTATATGAAGCTAGATGGAGGGTTCTGAGGAGCGGAGGGTTTGGAGGAGACGGCTACGGTATGAAGTCTTGAGGTTGATATTGATTTTGATTTTGAGCTACTTGGGTTGCCTCAGGATGTGTTGTCTACGACCACCTCGGAGCGGAACAAGCATATCGGAGTTCGAAGGCCGGCATTTGATTGATATTTCGTCTAGTAAGTTTACTTGGATAGCGTTATTGAGTCTTAATCCATTTCTTCTAGACCTCGCTAGAACTGAGTTTACGTCAGGGTTGAAAAGTTTTGGGATAAATTGCTAGGTTTATGCTTCACTTTCTAGAAGTATAAGCATTCTGGGGATCCCCTTGTCCGGCAATACCCTTTCACGGTAGGCTGTGCTCGAAAGTTTGTGAGATGATACTTTCCAAGAATATGGTTTATGTTTAAGCATTCATGAAATTTGAGATTATGCGGTGTTGAGAATTCAATTCGTGGATGAACTGAGTATGTTCGCCGCCTGGCTAGGGAAGCTTTCGGATGATAGAATTTTCAGGTCTTTGAAGAACCTTTGAACTTGGGTGATTGGTTTCAATACTGTAGAGTAGAGAATTAGCGTAGTATGAAGACTGAAACTTGAGTATAATCTTCAGCTGTGATTTCTGAAGCTAAAAATGAACAGAAGCTGGTGAGGCTCGTTCTCGTAATTTTTGCGAAGGTTAGTGATGATGTGATGAAATAAGCTCACGGAGCGATCGTCCCAAAGTCGCCTATCTTGTCATTTCTGACATATGTGCTCCCTCGAGACTCGTAAGGAAGAAGACGGAGGGGATTACGAATGACTGCTGAATGGACCCTTTAGGTGGGTTTCCAGCACTCTCCGGCATGGTTGAGCTTGTCTCCGCCAAAGAGGTCGGCAAGACGGATGATTCCCGGTGGAGGAACAAACAATTGAATGACAGACTGACTGACGAGTCGCCTCCGGCTCGTCTCATCTCTCCAATATATTCGTGTCACCTCATCATCTTCACGAAACGAGCTTAATTGGAAGAAGCCTCATCAACATCGTTCCTCTGGCATTTGAATGGCCAGTCGGAATCGGCATATGAGCGGTAACCCATTTGAACGCGAGCGCGAAAGCCTATCTTGCCATGGCTGGCGCAGATGATACGTACAGCCGCTTGGCTAGGAGAACAATGCCACAGCCAAGACTCGCTCATTTGCTTGTCTCGATTCTTGTCAGTGTCTTCCAAGACTCTTGGGCAGCGCGCATGGAATATACCCAGGAATGAATGATCTCAGAGAATTGTGAGAGCAGAGAGAGGTCCAAAGACCGAAGACTGTGGGCACTACTCAGCAGCGGAGGAAATCTGCCCATTTGTCAACTGTCAAGTCTCTTGCGTTGTTGGGAAGTTTAGACCAAGGCATACCGATGCAATGTGATGCCATGGTCTGTAACATGTAGCATGTACCTTTGTATAGTACGGCCTACATAGACGCAGCTCTCTGCTCTCGTCAGATTTGAATGCTCTGCCTCACTGGAATTGGCCTCGGAAGCGACCCAGACAAACAAAGGTAACAAGGCATTCTTCAGCAAATCTAAATCCAACTCCAACTCCAACTCCAACTCCAACCCAAGCAATAATCCCAATTGTTCCCAACATCTTCAAGTCACAAACACTTGCAGCAGCTCGGTACCGTATTTAGGATTTTTCTGTTCTGGCATGCACATAATGATCCCTATCCGTTGCCAGGATGCAGTGCCCTGCCCTGGCCTGCCCTGGCCTGCCCTGGCTGATGCCATGCTGCTGCTGCTGCTGCTGCTGCTGCTCCACTACTACAGTACCAATAAGTGACAGCTTGCTCGATGGCCCACCAGAAATATAGTACCCCTTCGAGCCTAGAGAGATTTGATCTCACAGTAGCGTCTCTAGCGGCCCCAAGGCCCCCTCACACCACACCACACCACACCACCACACCCTTGCACCCATGCCCAGAACCCCGGCACCCTTGCCAAGCAAAACCTAATCTAAGATAATTTGGGCCAATGCCAATCCAATCCGCCAACTTTGAGTGTGAGGGACTACTAGTACTGGACTGCTGGACTGCGCGGATGAGAGACAGAGAACGCTCCCTAAACGGCTTTGTCTTTGCTAAGTGGCTAGCGCAGTTGCACAGGACTTGATATACCGCAGACATCCGCCCGTTTGTACGTCTCTGGAGAAGAGAAGGAAAGGCACTGGACTGGACTGGACTGCACTGGACTGGACTGGAGCATCACTTCACTTCACGACACGACACCGCAACGCATCGCATCGCATCGCATCGCACGGCAAAGCCATTCAGCATTCAGCACTCAGCATCAGCATCAGCATCAGCATCAGCATCAGCATCTAGCACTGCCGCACAGTACGATACAGCTGATTAAGACATTCTTACGAGGACGACAACGGCATTTCAGAGGCAGCACTCGATAGATCAAGTTGTCAAGTTGTCAATCATACAATTGAAGGGACGTCTTATCTGCACGGATACAGGGAAAGACAATTGAGGATACTCGAGACTCGAGACTCGGGACTCGGCGTCACTTTAGGAATTCCAAGGTCCCAACTCCCAAGTCAAAACCCACTCGAACCATTATCAGAGTCCCGTGATCGCCCAAGATCATCGGCCGACAATTGTCCGGACTTCCGCCGATTTCCAATTCACTTCTTCCCAGACGAGCAAGCTCTCCCCACCACACTATCTTCACTCAAGCATTCCTAAATCGACATCTGGGAATAGCTTCATTCTGTCTCCGAATTGTTTATTTTGAGCAACAAGGTACGTTATTTTTACTTCTTTGTCCGCACAGCTTTGCGCACTCGACAGTATTGGACACGGCAGCGCACAAGCTGGTGTTACTTGCGTCATTGTCATTGCGGCTTCCCGCACCACGGCACAATTGCACTCCTGCCCAGAGTTTCCTCCCTCTTCCCCAGCCGCCTTCGAGCGGTCGCATGCATTCATTCTTCTGTCCTCCTCCCTCTACCCGTTCAACCCTCGGATGCATGCGAGTAATTCTATGCAGCTTGTCGCTGTATCAGATTCGCCTGGGCAGAGCCTCCCCCGAAGGGCAGGACTACGCGCAGAACTGCCCAGAAGCTTAGTTTAAGCTTCTGTCACCTTGTGCTTCACCGTGTCTCAAGTCCGCGTCGACTTCCCCATTTTGCGAGAGTGGGACGACCCCGTTGCTAACCTTTCATCTGAAGCGACGAGGATCAATCGCGAAACGTTTCAGCTTCACGATCTTCCACCCCCCAAACAGTACTAAACGGTACTCAGTGACCTGCCACTCAAGCTTCTTCTAACTACCAAGGCCGCGTAGAGCTGCTGGATCTGCACGAGACGTCTAAAGATAGACTCCGAGTTCGACCAAGCAATAAAAGCAGGCAACTCTAGTTCCGAGGCATGTGCTGAAGTATAAGGACACCATTCCTTGAGCTCAACACACCAAGCTACTAGCACATCGAGACTCAATTGAGCGGCACAGACATCTACAGACAAGATGGATACATATTACGGCCACGTACGGTCCCCTGCGGATGCGATCAAGCTATTCGAAGCCTGCCGATTAGGTTTATTACCTCGGGTTCAGAGAAGGTTATCGGAGAAGGAGAGACAGTCTATAAAGTCCGGGTCTGTCTTCGTGTGGGATGAGAGGGAAGCAGGCATGAGAAGATGGACGGATGGAAAGTCATGGAGTGCGAGCAGGGTTTCTGGCAGCTTTTTGACATACAGAGAGATGGAGGGCAAGAGGGGAGGAGGTCAATTCGTTCCACCACCAGTGCGACGATCAAATGGAAAGACTCCAGACAGTGGAAGAGGAAGTGACGAGGATCTTGACATGGATGGCGAGGGACCAGATGGATACAGATACAAGCCAGACGGTCTGATGAAGCAGTCGTTCAGCATTACCACATCCACTGGTCAACATCTACATCTGATCAGCTACTACTCTCGCCCACACCCGGGTGCCCCAGAGCTCCCTATGCCTACAACAGATCCACAACTTCGACACATTGTCCCAGTCAAAGGAATGTACCCCGAGTCAACAGTACACGAGGCACAAGGACCAGCAGTCACAAGAGCACCAATGCAGCACAGCCCGTATATGCCACATCAGCCAATGCACTCACCACATCGAGGCCACCCTCCTCCACCATATGGATACCAACCAGGCTACTCGTGGCCGCCTTCGCCTGCTGCTACTCCACCTTACCCGCATTACCCTGGCCCAATGTACTCTCCTCTTCCACCACCTCCTGGCTCGGCTCATACCTCACCATACCAACATCACAGCCCGCACATGCCCAATGGCCACTTACCAAATGGCATGATGCCTCATCAGCAATCTATCTATGACCGACCACCTCCGCCTCTCTCCGATTCGTCGCTTCCCCCACCACCCCCTCCAGTCTCGTCGAGAGGTATGAGCACTGCAACCGCCGCGAACTTGATGCCTAGTTACGCACCAAACCCAAGTCCACGTGTTGCCCAAGCTAGACTTGTCGCAGAGCAACAGGCACTTGCACAGAGGGCTCTGCAAACACCTTCTCTGCTTGACCCTCGCCTCTCAGGTCCTCCCATCTCCCTACCTCCTGTTCAAATCCCCGAACCCCAAAGAACATCCACACCACCTCAAGCTACCTCTCAGCCACAGTCTACATCACAACCAAGCACGCCCCCTGGGGATCGACCAGCTTCTCCAAAGGACACTCCAAAAGCCAATGGAACTTCTCAAGCTCAAAGCATCCCAAGCATCTCACACTTGGTACATGCTACAGACTCTGTCTCAGTCATTTCAGACAACAAGAGCAACAGCAGCCGCACAGGTAGCAAGAGCCCCAAGGCCACTAATGGTGACAACCAAAGGCCAACAGACATCCCTCACGAGAAGTTGAACATCGTTGGTGAGGACCAGAGAGCTATCCGGGTTTTGGACAAGAAGTTCATGATCTAATTTTGCGAACTTGCGCGAATGGACGATGATCACCATCACGTCCTCAATTTTCAATTGTACAAATACGACTCTTCATACAGCGAGCGCACTTGGTGGCAGGCAGATTTGTTTTCCAAATCATGACAGAACATCTTTGCAGCGGCATTGCAGCCTCCATGCATACAACATACATTCGTTCTTCATCATGGCGTGCGCGCGTGCGTGCGTGCGTTTGCTTTTCATAGCACAGATACATGATACACCACTCCAGCACAGCACGCGTAGCGCAGCATATACAGCATGGATCGATTGAACTCGGGATTCGGGATTGGGGATCTAATGAATTTTTTTATACACATTTCATTGCATTGCGATTGGCGTTTCTAGGAACCGGAACAGGGCAGGGAGGCAAGGGGATCTGACGTTTTTTATATGCCTATATAACTATATGGCGGTGGTTTATGTTTGCTGTTCTTCTATTTACGGGCTGGGAGCGAAGTGAGAGGGACGGGGACGAGAGAAAAAAAGTATATTTGCCTGCGTGGAGTTGGGGTGGGGTGGCTTTTGGGATTGGGATTGGACTCGGGTTTTGGAGGGAATGAGGAGACCAACATCCTAGCTAGATCGATGAATTTTGCTGAGAGAATTAATCGAGAGAAATGACAAGATGAGAACACACATGCATAGCTTTCCCATGCCTCTTCCAAACTTTGTGTCTCAAAAATTGCATTTTTTTTTTGGATCTTCTCACAGTCAATGAGCGTTGAGGAGGTTCTGTTGACAGTGCGAGAGTGGTTTTCGCATTTGATCCTTGATTTAGATGAGATGGTATGCAAGATATGGATGGATTCATTGATTTTCATTGATTTTCCATTTTGTTCATCTCTTTACTGGACTGGACTTGACTTCACTGCTTGACTTGCTTGCTTGACTTGCTTGGTAGATATCTATCTATCTACCTCCACCGCAGTCTCTCTGACCTTTTTTTCCCCCAACTCTTCTATCAAGATGGCTTCATTTCTCGTTACCAAAGCTAGCTCACACCGAGCACCGGACACCGGCTGGGCCCGGCAGGCAGGTAGGCAGGCAGGTAGTGGTACCACTTCCTATCACATCTTATCATTTCCTATCATTTCCTATCACTCCACTCTTCTACCAACTAAAAAATTACGAGGCAAGTAAGAAAGAATCTCTCTCACCTCTCTCACCTGTCTTGGAAGGGAGGAGACGGCAGGCGGGGGCCCACGTGGGGGCGAGAATATCTCCCTATTTGATGCCTGATGCCTGATGCGGCATGTACTGTAATATAATATATCTGAAACGTACGAACGGATGGATGGAGGGAGGGATGGATGGATGGAGGGAGAGGGTTGGATTTGTGTGAGGCAGATTTGTGTTATGTTTCTGTTATGCTTGTGTTATGTGTTATGTGATTGTTTTTGTTTTGTTTTGTTTTGTATGGCTCTATATTGGGAAGTGGTGTTGTGTGATGGGATGGGATCTGTAGTGTTGGACTTGCCGGCGGGGAAGCAGGTGAAGAAAAAAACTAGCGGGAAGGGGGAAGCAGGTGGGTAAGGTTGAATGGTGCAAGTGGGCAAGTGAACAAGTGGAGAAAAAGACTGCAGATCTGATCTGATCTATGAATACGTCCAAACATACTCCCACGCATACAAATGTTTCTACATATACATTTGTTTGATACTGGATACTTGTTTATCAAACAATCAGAGAGACAGACACAAAGACAAACAGATAACCCCCAACCCGACCCGAGCTGATCTGATCTGAGCTGGACCCCAGCTGAGCAGAGGGCTGAAAGGTGAATGATACATTGCATGCGTACATCTCTTGATCTCCGAAGATACAGTGTTAGGACTGTACTGTATGATTACCTGCGCCGCACCCTTGCGCTTATAACAAACTTTCCTTTCTTTTCTCCTTCTCCCCTTCCCCCTCTCCCTGGTTCTTGTTCCTGTTGCTGTTCCTGTAGGTGAGTGAACGAGCGAGCCTACCCCCTCCCTGACTGGTACAAGTACAGATACAGGTACAGCACTACTACTTTACCCGTGAGGTACCTCACAGTCCTACGTTATCTCTATTGTTGGGAATGTTTCACGTTTCATCTTCCACCTTCCCTGTTTCACATTTCACATTCCATGCAAGCAACAAGTAGCTAAGGCTGAAGGCTGAAAATTATACGCTGAAGATTAAGTTGGTGTTTTATATTATGTATAATAAATCCCATCATGGTAGGTAGGTAGCTGTGCCGTGGGACCATTGGTTGGTTGGTAGGATGGGTTGGTAGGATGTAGTCGAGCTGGGCCGGACCGATTGCCACTTCGGAGGTCAGAAATCAAGAGGTGTAGGTAGGTAGCTGGGTAGAGTGGGTGGGTGGGTGGTATATTTCCTCGGGAAAGAGTGGGTGGGGAGAGGTATCTAGGACCTACTTACTTACTTGCTTTGAGTTTTCGTTATGATGTTGTTGAGATGACGAGAAGGAGAAGGAGAAGGAGAAGGAGAAAGTGTGGATTGAAAGATCTCGGGAGTTGTTACTTAGACGAGAACATAGCCAGGAAGTCTGAAAGAGAGCGGAAATAACAGAGGGTCTCGTTGTCATTTATTCATGCAAGTGGATTTTACTTCCTAAGAATGAAGGATTACTTTCGTTGAGTACCAAGCTGCGAAGCCAAAAAAAGTCGAAATCCCTCTCTTCTGCCTTCACACCACCACACTGGGGTGCAGTATGCTTCTTCGGACTCAGGAGAATCTATAAAGTACAAAAAGTAGCTTCAAACTCGCTAGATTACAAGTTGCTGTTCATAAAGACGGCTCACTTCCTGAAAAGAGGGCGAAAGTCAATAATCGAGGATCGTATCCTGATCATTCGTGAGCCCATGAAAACTTTACTGAGCGCTCGCTCGCTTACACTCACTCTCCAACTCAGCTGATGATTGACTGACTATCAGACCACCACCCTCCGATACCCACTCACTCACTGACTCACCACCCAACTTTTTCACCCTCCCCTCCCTAGGAAAGAATGCCTCCCATCAGCCATCACGTATTACAAACAGATAGATCGAAAGATAAACAGGCAGACAGCTGAGCAAAGCTGAATAAAAAATGAAGCGCAAATGAAGTTGGAGATACAAAGATAGATAGACAGGCTGATACAGATGCAGATGTACGCGGCTGCGCCACCTCTGCGCTTGGTTTCAGGTTTACTCTACTGTAATGAGAACTCTCCTCCTACTCTTGTGAAGTCTCAGCCCAGTGTACTCGCAGTACAGAGGTTGTCTCCTTGGGGAAGCAACAAGCAAGCGAGCAGGCAAGAAAGCAAGCAAGCGGACCCGTAGACATTATCCTCCAGCTGCCTGGCTTGTTCAGCCCACCTCCGATGAGTCAAAGTGTTGACAAGGTAAGGGAGGAAAAGCAACAGGGAAGGGAAAGGAGGGGCAGTAACCGCAGGTCCGGCGCGGCTACTTGATGTACGACCCCCTGCCCTGTGTGTAGGTGTGGGTGGGTCGTGTGGCAGCAAAAGGAAAATAACAAAAAATAAAATACATTCAAGATATTCAAATAATGAATAAATGAATATTATTATTCAAAGTGAAGAAAGCGCAGCGGCTGCAACTGGCTGCAGGACCAGGGGGGACGAGACGGGAGTGGCGCCTCGCCTGGCCTCCGCGCGCCTCCGCCTCGACCGACCCGCCAGATAACAGGCTGCTGCATGTGTTTTGGTGTGTACAGTTACATGCTTGTACATGCAGACACTGTAAGGAAGAATATATAGAAAGGGTAGGGGTGCGGGCGGGCGGTTAGGCGCGGGTGTGACACTGCCTGCCTGCCCTGCCTGGCTCCTTGCCCCGCTGAAGAAATGGGAGGGGTTCGAGGTCGGTCGGTGTCTATCTCGAGACTGACAAACGGAACACTCTGTCAGATAGAATGACTGACTGGATGAGGAGGAGAATTGTTGTACCAGACGAGTACCCATTTATTGGTCTCATACAAACCCACCCATCTACCAATGCAACCCAACAAGCTACTCTGGCCGGGCGGCCGGGCCTGGATGATATGTTTTGTAACAGTACCTCGCGATACAATGTGACTAGCGAATGAAACCGCAAGACTAACACTGGGGACTGAAGCCCCGGCCAAAGACCGGAGGTATTCACCCTCTTTTGAGAGCGAAGGTGAAAGCTTGGCCCCCAAGCAAATACCCATCATTCGGTCCGAGCCCTATTCCAAGCGCCTCGTAACGGCAAAGAATAAAGTGTGAACCAAGCGTCAACGCCTTCACGTCAAAAGCGCATTTGCTGGGACGGGAAAAAGCCCCCATGATCCGGGACCTGGAAGATGCCAGTTCATCCTATCCGTTTTCTCACTATCTGCAGCCCTCTTTTCGATCGGTACTGAGAGCTGGAGATACTTGGGATTCGAACTATGGTAGCTGGGGGGAGAAGGGAGGGGGGAGAAGTTTCGGCTTGGGGGCTGGAAAGCGCAGAATGGATGCAAGGGTCGTTTTGTTGGTGATCAGCCCCCAACTCTATCTCGACTTCACTTCACTTCGATCGAGCACCGGAATTTCCCACTCGGTATGCCTTGCAGGTATTGTATAGACAATTGGTGTGAACATGCGGTGATTGAGCGATTTTCTGTTTCAAAATAAGGTCATGGTAGGCAGATTTCGTGAGATACCACGTCCAAGTCTGCTCAGGTGTCCTCTTGCGCCTTGTGGGGTCACTTCCAGTCTCTGGAGATGATGAGATTGTATGGACAAATGTGGTGACGAGGGTCGCATACAGGACTCGGTTGGCAATATGCTCTAGGCTCTCCCACCATGCCATTATTCTAACTGACTCGCGATCACCGCTCCCAACAAGCCATCACCGCAGATCTCAGCCCTATTCTCTTTCACGATCAGCACAAGTCTCATTCGAATCGAGCAAAAGAAAGCAACAATAAAGTTGGAAAAGCACAGGCGCAATAGCTTCCCGATCAAGCAATTTTAATCTATTCATGCCCCTCTACCCTCCCTTGCCGTCCAATGGAACCACTCACCAGATATACCCTGGTGTTAAAATAGGCTCGTACATAGCCGTTCCGTTCCCCGTCCGCCCCGCGCCGCACCGCACCTGCAGCTTACCCTTGTCGTTCCCCTCTCATAATCTGATTGAGAGTTGCACTACTACCACAGCAGAGATCATAATAAGATAGTACCCGCAACAAACGAAACAATTGTCGAATGAGAGCGCACAGAACACGAGATTCCTAGGGGATATCGTGGTATTTCGCTGATCCTAGGATCATTTTGCATCGTTCCTGCAGGTGAGTCGATTTAGGCGCTGCAAACGCAGGCTGTGTATCACAACCAGGCACACACTACAGTCGATCCACTAGGACCCTGTACCTGTACCTCCTTGCTTCTTACTCTGTGCAGAAATCTTGAAATTACGTGCCTTGGAGAAATCATGCAAGAATGATTCCACTGCTCTTGAGAGACGTGTGAGTGCGAATGGTGGAGCGAGAACCTTCAGATGGGTCGATGGGTCCGTATGCACGCATGCATGCGACCCTGTCGTCTCGTCCTGTCCCCCGCGCGTGTCGGCGGCACGGAAAGTTCCATAGCCGCTTGGAAAGGGTTTGAATGGGTGGCTGTAAAAGAATGGGGAGGATAGGAAACCGGATGCATATCATCTGCCGCTGCAGAAAGGCGCAGGTCGATGATGGCCATGAACTGTCTATTCTGTGGGAGGCGTAGCCGCCCAGCAGGTTAATCACTCGAATCCAAAGATCAACCCACGAACTGCCGGTGCATGCCAGATGTGGCAGATGTCCGAGGCGCATCGCATCGCATGGCACCATACTTGCCTCCTTGACTTCCTAATTAGGGATTTGGGTTTGCAGATACGGATTTGAGTTTGCTCTGCTGCAGTATCTCGAAGGAGAAGCGAGCGGCTATGCAAACATTCCAGATTTAAGCATGTTGAGTATTTCAATTGATCCAAACGCTGGCCTTATTACAATATGATACGCGTAGTTGACATACATACCTCTCGAAACAGCAGATACCGGCTGCACCGCAGAGAATGGGGAAGGGAGTAGCCGTTCCGATGCAGGTGAGATTCTGCGCTTGAATTTCAGGGTTTGGAATCGGACAATTTTGGGGTCCGACGATGTTGGTGGCGCTTGCTGCCGAAGTCTGCCCTGGCAGTTCATCCGGATGTTGGGGTTTGTGATATTTGGTCGCCTGTGAGGTCGTCAGTGTTTCATGTGTGTAGCGATAAGGCGCAGTTGTTGGCAAAGTCGAGAATTGGAGGGTTGAGCAGGTTATTCATAGAAAGATAGCTGAAAGAAAATGTGGTAGATTGCACGAATAATGTTGAATGTCTCTAAAAGTTCTTGTGACCGGGCACTTCGGTGTATGACGAGGGTCAAGGGAAGGGCCGAGTTGGAGGCCGGCTTGTCTGTTCCTAGAACCATTAACGGAAAGTTGAGCCTAGGAGCCGTGTTCCCGAGGAGCAACTTGGAGAATGGGACATGTATACGCGTGTGACCGAGTAAAATCCCAGGGAGTAAAATTCGGGGGTCGGGTGCAGGATTTCCGTGCTGATTATGGTATTACAACAGATATACTGTACAGGTGACGATAGGCCCTTAGCAGTCACAGCGTCCTACCCAACGAGGGAACGTCACAACCTCCCTGATATTTGGCACAAGTCCAAGATATCCCAACAATCGGTCAAAGCCCAGACCGAATCCTCCATGAGGTGCACTACCCCATCTTCGTAGATCAACGTACCATTTCAGGTCGCCGAGTTCCTTGTCTGAAAGGTTGGTACCAGGTGGAATCATCTTGTTGGCCTGCATGGATCGGATGAGTGGCTCCAAGCGATATTCACGCATGGAACCACCTGCAATTTCACACGCCTCGGGGACGAGCAAATCGAAACACTCCACGGTTTCGCGACCATCTTCATTGCTGGAGGAAGGCAGCATGTAGAATGGTTTGATGGCCTTTGGGTAGTGGGTGACAAAAACCGGTACCACTGAAGCATCTGTTGATCCCAAAGTGGTCGCAATATAGCGTTCATGTTCGGCTTGGAGGGCGGCGCCCCATTTAGGTTCGTGCTCAAATTTGTGCAGGCTTGAACGAAGAAGCTTGATAGCGTCGGTGTAGGTGATTCGATGGAATTCCTCAGAGCCACCACGCCAGCGTCGCAACAGTTCCTTCTCTCGACTGACTGATTCGTCTGGAGAAGTTCCGCTTCCAAGTAGCTCTATTGCGACCCTAGATCGGCTTTCAAGGCTGTCGGTGACAGCTCTGAAAGTGTCCTGTAGCACATTCATTACATCATTCATATCTTCAGTGAAATTCAATTCTGCCTCCAGCATGTAAAACTCGCTCAGATGCCGTGCAGTTTCGCTTTTCTCGGCTCGGAATGTCGGTGATAGTGTCCAGACGTTACCGACTGATTGTGCCAAAGCCTCTAGATGTAGTTGACTTGAAACGGTTAGATATTTCGGAGACCTGAAAAATGTGCCGTGATCTTCTTTGGTAATCTTCCCCTTGTGTGCACTACCAACATGGAAAACCTCCCCCGCCCCCTCGCAATCTGACGATGTGATTATTGGGGTGTGGGTCTGCGTGAATCCATTCTGATGAAACATTCCAGTCACAGCAGCTATGGCATCTGAACGCAAACGAAGTAAAGTCGAATTTGTCTGGGTTCGTCCTCGCATATGGGGCATCGTCCGAAGATACTCAGGTGTATGCCATTTCTTCTGCAAAGGGAATGTCTGGAAATTGCGTCAGCACTTGGGCTGCGCATATGTCTTAGAATATGGTCCTACGTACGACCGGATCGGCAGTGCCAAATATGTCGACATCTTCTACAACGAGCTCGTGGCTTTGGGCCTTGGTATTCGGTGATGGCCTCCAAGCTCCTGTGAACCGTGCTGCCGTCCCAGTCGTGAGACTATTTAGATGATCAGCGTAAGCCCGTACGATACAATACTGAGCTATTTCCAGACCTCTGTGCTTGTTCTGGCCTCAGCACAGCTTGTAATGACTTCGCCGTCGTTCCATCTCCCACAGAGACAAATGACTTCTGCTTCTGATTCCTGATTGACCTGATGAAGCCATTGATCACCACCTTGCTGGCATCCTGCGGACCGTTGTCTAGAAGTTGCGCAATTGAAGAGCTGTACGGACCAGCTCGTGTATGGGCATGCCGGCATTGGCTCGAGGTCAACTTCAAGGTGCGTATCAGACTCGCTTTTGGCTGGACCATGGCCCTTCGTTCCTTTGCTGCTCGTCCAACTCAGTCGGCAGATTCTTCCAGATATGCAGCCGTGGGGGATCGTCGGACTTTGAATGCTTGAGATCCCGTGGGGTTTGTCTGGGAGGAGGAGGAGTTCGTGAGGAGAGGAGGCGTTAGAATGCGATAGCTGCAGAAGTGGCTGCGGCGATCGCGGTTTGGGCTGCAGTTGGGATGGGTCCGAGTGCTGATGCCGGCGGGAAGTTCTTGTTCTTCTCAAGATCGTGGGAGGGGCATTGGACAGAGACTCGGAGGGGAGGAGAGGGGAGGGGAGCAATTGTCAATAGTACGAGAGAGATGAGGATGTCTGTGATCAGACGGTTCAAAGTTTCCTTTCAAGGTGTGAGGGCGGCAGGGCGGTGCCGTTGAGGAAAGGAAGGGCCCAAGCTCCTGAAGCGAGACGCACCTTTCCGATCCTGTCGATCCTTGCACGCGCCTGTGGGGCTTCAAGACATTGCCAAAGAGAATGGGCAATGGACATAGACATGGACATGGGCATGGAAAGTGAAGATATAACTGCCGGGCTAGTATTGGTGCCCAGCATCAGATGGACAGGTCTCGCAACGACGGAGAATTCTCCGTTTCCAAGTGCAGCCAAAGTTTAAGGTTCGTTAGTGTAAACAAAACAAGTCCGCGTCCTGGGTCGAGGCAGCTAAAGTACCTACCTAGGTAAGCAACGTGCTTGCGAGGCGATCCGACCCGCCACGTGCCAGACCTCTTTCACAGGAAAAACTCGAGCAGCAAAGGCTAGACAATTCAGGACAAGACAAGAGACAAGACAAGACAAGACAACAGACAAGGCAAGAGACAAGACAAGACAAGAACAAGACACACCAGAGCGCTGCACCTCGATTGACTCTCCACCATGGCCCAAGCTCATCTCTATCACATCTGATGTGATATAATATGACCACGTCCATCCACTGCCGCTTTGGTAGCAAAGGTCTCGCTCGCACGCTCCACGTATCAACACGGATCAGCAGCGATGAAAGCAAGTCCTTGCATTCTCTTGCATTTGCTTCCTCGTCATGTTACTGCCGCAGAATGTTCTGATATCCCTTCACCCCCTCCGTGTGGAATGCGGTACGAACGAACAGTCCAGTTGTTGAGGTCGTTGGTGCGCTTGATGGAAACCAGCAAATGGTGAGATCCAAACCTTGCCTCGCAGTAGTCTGATCCTTCGCCGGGTGTAGTACACTCGGACTCGAGCTTAGTGCTATGGCCTCCGGCCTGGTTGCACCACTTGCTTTCTTTTGGCTCGATCGTCTTCGGCAATCTGGCGTGACCTTTTACAGAACACAATAAGATCTTGGGACCGGGATGGTACATATCGGTATTCATTTTTCATATCGTTACTGTTACGCCGTCAATTTATTCCCCACCCCAACAGCGCGATTGTCCTGAATAGGCCCAACTCTGTACTGCATTCAGAGTATAGTCCGCCGGTTATCGCTCCTGATAAGTCAAAAACTGGGCCATGGGTCATAGGGCTTCCTATAGCTAGGTCTCAGCTGCCGAACCTGTCTGTGCTTCGTGTTATTGGCTTTGCCAGGAATGTTGGCTTCAGCGAGTGGCTTTCTTATTCGAGTTCACATCGCTGTCCATCTATATAATGTAGACCCATGTCCACCACTTCAAAGAATGGGTTACAGTACATCTCGAGCTTATCTCGTCTCATCTCATCCATTATACTGTTGTGCAGCCTACCAAGATTCAACATCCTTGTCCTGACCAGCAACACACCGCCTCACTGAATCATAGCCATGCCACCATCGAAACCAAAGCCATCTGAAATCGCAGCAGAAGCCAAGAAGACTTATATACCCTACATTCGGTCAACATTTCATGCTGAATGGCCAGCTACTTCTTTCCTGTGCTATTCGGAATTCATAATGGCTCAGCCTCCACCGAAAGAAACTGCACAGCACTGTCGATTTGGTAAACTCTCTACTTCACAAAACCTCCTGTTGTGGACTCTCAGCTTACAAATATTTAGCATTCTATGAGCGAGATCCCGTAGATCTAGCATTGGATTGGATGGAGCCTGGAGGAGAACAGATCCCGGTAATCATGCCAGCGAACGACAAGAGACCCGGAGGAGACTGGGAAGCTGGTATGTGACTTGGTCGCCAAGAATTTTTTCCACGAAACTTACACTTCACAGGTGTAATGTCACCTGAAGAATGTCTCTGCCGGCGGAGCAATCTTTTCGCCACTTTGACTACACCAGGACAGGGGAACGCTTCTGCAACGAATTACCCAATCCCTCCAAAGACTGGTATCTACTCAGCTAAAGTCGGTTCGTGGTGGGTTCCTTAGAGCAAATGAAACACTTGTTGACAGGAAGTAGTTGTATTTCGAGATGGTCCAGAAAAGTATGAAGTCTGGCCCGAATTCAAGGGTAACGTCTTCTCATTCCTGATTCTGCCACTCATACTAATGATTCAGCCCTACCGATCATCTCCGTCTGCCCAGTCAAGCGGCCGAAACTGGACAGCTCACAATTGAAGTACTCATTCAAGCAGGAAAAGGAGCTCATGAGGGATAAGATCCGTACCGCCTTACGGATTGCAGTGTATTACAAGCACATCAATCTGGTCATCGGCACTTTTGGCTTGGGACCAGGATTCCGAAACCCCACTGAAGAAGTCGCACTAATGTGGAGGGACGCGTTACTCAAGGATCCCGAGTTCGTGGGTCACTTCCGAGACGTTGTCTTTGCTTTTGACCCGCCGGAAGGACCTGCCGCCACGAGCTCGAGCTCTTCCAAGAGCTCGTCATCGAAGTCATCCTCAAAATCATCATCAAAGAGCTCCTCGTCATCGTCCTCAAAATCAAGCGTTGCGGCAGACTTGGATATTTTCCGCCACATCTTCAAGCCAGCAGTTGTTCATGATGCTTTCAAGACGCCTGCAACTTCACCTTATCCTGCTGGCTCCTCATCGGCCATGTACTGATACACCTATCATAATAATCTCGACGAAAGCGCGGCGTTTGGTGTCTGGAAGCGGCATTGGGAATTATCTGGCTGGGAAATTGGGCGCTTGGGAAGGATTCGACCTGCTGGAGACAGGTCAAGGCGCATGGTTTGGCATGGTACGGCGAAAATGGGAATTTGACACCAAACCGGGGCGCTGGATCGAGTGTGTATGTGTGTACGTGTGCGAGGCGAGCATGCTCATCTCTACCGACTGATGATGACTTTCCTTCCACAATGACGTATCTACAACCAATCTGTTGGGGCATTTTTAGAAACAAAAACAAAACATCATCATATTCATCCACTCACTCTCTCGGGGGCAGACTGTTCCCAACTTCCCACATTCCAGACTTCCTCCTCCCGTCATTCTTTTAGGCTTCTTGCATAATGTCTCTCCCTACCACACCGGTCCCCTCTTCCGACCACTACTACTGCATGCAAGCACGGGTTCCCGCACCGGGCGCCCGGCCCGATCCAGTCTCTCCCTCTCTCTCTCAAAAGGAAGTGCAATCTATCATATGACGGATGGAGCAAAGCAAGGGGCCAGATTTCCACGTCCCCGACTCCCCGGCTCTCGTCACAGACCTTCCCCAACCGTGCCACCCTAGCGTACGGTGGAACTTGAACTTATGTGGCCGTTGTGCTGTGTAGCGAAATTCCGTATCACAGAGTAGGACGGGGTCTGTTGATCGGCAATTTGGTTTGTTCTGGATCCCCCGGGAGTTAGTTTGACGCCTCTTTTTCTTTTTTTTCCAGCGCTGGATGAGAGCCCCGTGTGGTACAGATAGATCCCAAAGCAGCCTTTCTTGGTATTCCGAAAATGTAAGCGTTGCATGTGAGGTTCCACGGCGTATTGTCAACAATATGAGCGGAAGGAGGGATACCATCAGGCCGATGTTAGTCAAACCAAGTAAGTTATATCTCCGATCATCTGTAGGTCGGCTCCCACGGTTGGTGGTGGTGCTAAATGCATTTGTGCAAGGGATATCAAGTTGGACTGTCGGTATCCAGTGTTGGATAGCGGGCCTCAGGAATGTTGAAGCCAGCCTTACCTCAAGGTCCAGGTTGGAGTGAAAGTCTCGAAAGGGGTTGACGTCAAAAAGAAGGAAACACTTCCTCAGTATGGAACCCCACGCTGAGAGTTGAGTAAGGCTGAGAAATTTCATGCAGGGCAGGCTTGATCTGGATGGTGTTGCGAGTAGTAAATGGGGGGTAAGAAGCGGAGAGGCGAGGGTCTGGACACTTGCGGCTCATTCAACCATACACACCACACCTGTTGGGGACTTTGCACTTTGGCCATGGGACGATCCAATCAAGCAGTTGGTGTCTAGACGGACCTGCAGATTACAGGTACGTAACCCATGAGCAGTGAGCCCATCTCGATAGATAACACCTTTCGAAGTAGACATGAATAGACCATCACTCGGGTTGTGTGCTGCCGCTGCTCCGAGGACTCAAAACCGTTGGCTTTTCACGTGGAACATGTTGTGAACTAAAGATCACAAAGAATCCCTTACAGATCCTGTTATTCGAGATAGCCACTGCCCATTCCTAGAACAAACGTTGAAGAGTGTTACACGCGACATAAAATCGTCCAATAACATGGGGACGAATACGGTATTGAACACAAGCGCAGGAAGACACCCAGAGGAGGAAATTTTTAGCTGGAAAATATTTGCATGCTCAAAGGTTGGGTTTTGATGCAAATAATGATCCAACTCAACGGATTTCTTTCGACTTTCACTTTCAATGAGATAGTGTTTTGTTAGGTCCGAGTATTAGCATCAATGAGAGTGGCCAGACGTATGTTTGCAGTTCCTGAATCTTAGAAAAACAACTATCATTACAGAATTGATAAGCTTCTCCCTTGTTTACTGCGGTATTCGAGCTCATTCAAGCAATTTTGACCTAGGTGATGCAAGCGTAGCGATTACCTCAGAAATCCAGCAAGTTTCACGATTGCTAGATACAACCCTCTTGCAGACATATCAAGAATATCATCTTTACCCGCTGCCAGATTCGAGAGTCTTTTCATTGACCGAACGCTAGTGAGGATTTTATAGCTTATGCATTGCTTCTGATGGTTTCTAGATGTGCTTGTTTTTGCATGTTGTTGTTGTCAAATGGTGGGGTCGTGGCGGGGTTGACGATTCAGGGGTTTGCAGGCTAAGCGAGCCCAGGAGCAATCCTTCAACTCTGCGACTTGATTTGAGTATGTTAGAATCAGATAACCTCAAATGGTGTTATGATATGCTATCTAATCTGGTAAATATCAATTTAGCCTTTTAGTATTTAATGAAAGTTCGGACTTCAAGCAAGGATATCAAGCCAAATAATATTCGATCTCATCAGACGGCTAGCAAAAGAGAACTTGACCACCCTGAGGGATTCTGTTCTTCAGACAGCCAAGATCCGTTTCAAGTACGGACCAAATGGAATATATATCAAGACATTTATCACGACATCAACTCAGTCATTCAGCCTCAACTCTACACCGCTAAAATGAGAATTGCTCAAATGTGGGTCATCTCGTCCTCTTCCAATCTCGGCTCCTCAGCGGGTCAATACCAACACACAGTATCCATCCCACAAGCGAGTCAAAAATCGCACAAATCTTTTTCCAACATCTTCTAACGAGATAACAATATCCGTGACATCGATTCACGATAGACCTGGTCGCCCGGGTAGCTCAATCGGTAGAGCGTGTGGCTCTTATAACTGAAAGATCGAAAGATCTATATCGGAACCTCAAGGTCGTGGGTTCGAGCCCCACCTCGGGCTCAATTCCCGAGGTTCTCTTCATTGAGAGCTTCTTCTTCTTTTTGGAATTTCTTTGGTCTGTTTTGCCCAGTTCATGAACGTATATATGGGGCATCCGTTGACTGAAGTTTAGCGAGCTGCCAGCCTTGATATTATTTCTCTCTTTTTAGACATGTTAAGGGTTTCTGTGAGGACATTTGACTGTTTTGTAGTGGTATTCACACATGTTGGTAAAGAAGTTGATAATGCTGCGGAGAATGCTGCACGGTGTTGGTGTGCGTGTGGTAAGAGGTGTGAAGCATCTCTCGAAACTTTGCTTCCTACCTGTGTATTTACTCATTCATTGACATGGCGACCGTATGGTGCAAACTTGTACTCGGAAAAATGCCTACATCGATCAAACAATTCGTGAGCGCGAAGAGTCATGGCGATGAGATAACGTTAGTTGAAAGAGGTCACTTGGACGGGGCACAAATGGAATAGGCCTCAGCTCGTCGTCTAAATGTGACGAGTTAGACAGACTGGAGCAGGTGCACTAGTGTCCATTTTCACCTCACCTTGCCTGTTGTGTACTCCACGCATTAGGTTACGATGCCGCCGATACTGATATTGTATGTGGCTGCGAACTTCTCCCCTCGTCTGCCCATCTCTGGACTGTGCTAAATCTGTAAATGTCAGGAATTTTAGGCCATATTTGGACTCTAAAGTCTCATTCAATACACCATTGAGATTGTTTGAAGCTGTAGAAGAAAATGCAGTCGGGTTGAGATACTTGTTAAGCAACCGAGGCGTTGCCGAAGGTATGAGCACGCGGCAGGCAGATCGTCTCTCCCGCTCCTGCACCGACTGGTTATGCGCTTTAGTCACTAGCCCTTTCTCGAAACAAGAGCATAACGAATCTAGTTGCTAAGAAAACTTGAGAAACAAGTCCCACAAGTCAGCATATATTGTGTATGTATTCTCATCCTTGTACACGAACAGAAAGGCATCAGGTTGAGAGAAATGTTTTGGATGCAGTTGAGAAACTTAGTGAGAGCTTGAAATCTATCATTCTCTAGACAAGTCCAGCTTGAATATTATCTACCCAAGTCCAGCTTGAATATTATCTACCCAAGTCCAGCTTGAATGACCAATATTACCTCCCAATATCCCAGAAACCAATCACATATCTGAAATGGACGCGAAACCATTCTCCCAAACCGCTGCTGTACGAAGCTCAAGAGCTGCCCTCCCTCTTCGCAATTTCATCTTTCATTTCCATTCTGAAGTATTGGCCCAGACTAACAACTGACGCAGCTCCTGTCGAGCCATGAACACCTATACACAAGATATCGCTAGTCAGCGGAGCCTTAAGGATATTCCTGCCATCGCATCATCAGCACACCGCACGCCTACAAAACATCCTTGCATGCAGATGTAGAATTGAAACTTACTTAGAAAGCCACGAAAAGTAGTCACTGCATTCCTTGAGGGGTTTTAACAACTCCACAAGCTTGTCCTTCCCTGAAAAGAACTGGAAGTCGAGGAAGTTCAATGGAGCGCGGAATGATTTGCTGCGTTTGGCGTAAGAGCTCAGGATTTCTTGGATGCTGTCCAGGGTTCGGTTACAGGTTTGTTGGTAGCGGAGCCAAGCCTCCAACATATCGAGTGGGAGGGTACGGGTCTGTGACTCCCGTTGAAGGTGCTTGAGTCGGAGGATCATTTGATCCATTTCGTCGTGAGTGTCTGCGATGATTATGGGGAACGTCCTCAAGGCCTTGATGATCGAGTGGATACCAATGGCGGCATCCAAGGCGACTCCTACTGCTTTGACGAGGGCGGCAGCGGATACAGGGTCCATCGTGAAGGGATTGAAGATTCCTTTACCAACAGGAGGGACGTAACCTGATGCTTGTGATGATAAGCTGAGTTCTGTAAGGCGCGCGACACGACCTGTAAAGGACAACAGATTTTCCAAGAATGCTAATGCCTGAAACGATGAAATGGGATGATATTGTGATTATCGTGGAACGCTCTGAAAGCATGAAGAGATGGGAAGACGAATCATATACCGGACGAAACGCTAATTCATTTGAGCACGTATCCAATCTGACTCATCTGTTTTTGACCAAGTCAATTGTAAACAGGGCATACTGCCGCCAACAAAGGGGAATGGGCGGAGTTGATACTTGTGGCGTTTGTGTGTCACTCAAATATAGGAAAGATCATGCATGGCTGGAGCACGTTGACCCTGCAGGCAACAGTACGGCGTACTTTGCGGGAGACCGGAATAGTTTCGAAACCAGGAGCCTTGATTCGAATCAGGTACGGCAACTTGAACAATATGAACGAGACAGAAGCATGGAAGCAGGGTAATGAAACATTCACTCTGTGCATAGGGCACGTTTGCAGAATTCCACAACAAAATGACCGAGCTTGATACTTCGGCCGGCGGTGTAAAGACGAGCATCACAAGATTACCCAACATCATGATGCCGAGCCGGGACTCGATGACTGAGGTACATGCTTTATGAACGAGTGGGATACGTTTAGTGACGGACTGATCATACTTAAGTAACAAAAATCTCTACCAGAATACATTACTTAAGGACCCCCAAAGCTGCCATGGAGACTTGAAATGGAGAACATATGAGAGCAAAGGAAACTCCCATAACAGGCGACGACATTCAAGCTGACTCCTGCAAAGCTCCGTGACGAATCATATCCTGTCTTGTCTCCTCTGTAGTTGCACGATACATCGCTCCTCGGTCCAAGCAGTGATCAACAAAACGACCATCCTCCATATATTGAACGGCATAGAGTGCAGGATGAGTCACAATCCAATCAACGTCTTCTCTGTTGCCCCAGCGCGTTTCGATATGATCCGACGTCCTCCCCGTGACTTTCTTTCCAAACTCGATAGCATTGTCCAAAACATCGTTGAGATCCGCGTGGTAACAAAACTTGTCCGCATTCACAGGGAGGTGTGGCTCGAAGAGGGATTCAAGGACATCGCGGTACTCGGACCGTTTATTCTTCGTGGCATTGTTGTTGTCCGGCAATGACGCGTAGATCCAATATCTCGCAATGTGGCGCGCCACCGGGGTAGTGACTGGATGGAAAGGAGAAATTAGTGACTACGCGGCATGTGTATACACGAATATAAGAGATGGAGGTTACATACGGTACAGAGTTCGAATTGCCTCGTGAAGCTTAGCGAGGGATCGCACTTCGACCGTTGCAAACGGGAGGAGAGTAGACGTAGCATCTTTCCGAAGGGTGACCGCCTTGAGAAGAATAGACATGACAATGTGTCCGAGCATTGCGTGGCGGGTCTCGTTATCCTCGATTGAAGAGCATATCTCTTCGACCGTGTATTGGTGCGGATTCGAAAACAGAGTAGTGTCCATTCCCTTATTGAAGGAACTCGGTGCGGGTGGCTTCGGAAAGAGGATAGCTTCAATCCGAGCAACAGAGTCTTTTCTTGGAGGTGAAGATTTTCCCCCATGCTCGATCCACCTTCGTACATGGCTATTCACAGTAACGAAGAAACTCCCATAGGCAGACTCGATATCTTCCCGAAAGAATTGACTCTCGAAGCCAGTGGGACCTACCCGCGGAAAGGCGGCGACTTGTTTTTGGAGTTTGGCGAGCTCCATTTTTGCGCTGGATAAGTCACAAGCTAATAATCTGCGCTGGTTTGCTGAACGAGCGAGAATGATTGCACTCCCGATCAAAGTAGCAATGCAGAGTAGTGCCAAAGGGAGGGCAATAGCGACAGCGAGGGCGGTTTGTGGAGTCATTTTGGGTGCTAGTTGGAATTTGATTTATGAAAAGATCTATAGACTGAGATGCAAATGATTGAGGGCAGTCCTCTTGATCCGAAGATTTGATTTCTTTGTTCAAAGGGTGCAAGACTGGGAGTTTCGTACTAAGACGCTTCCAGCGACAGCCGCAAGCCAGCCTTGGATAATATGCACGGGACCGAGACAGCCAAGACAAACTCAGGGCCATGGCCCTCAGTTCAGCTGAGTCTCAAAAGCGTCAAACAGTGCGCTGTAGATTGTGTCGGACGTCCCGAAATGAGCGAGAAAAACGATTCTAGTGGTTTCTTTGTGTCTTGGAATGCTGGAGTGCTCTTAAACGAGAAATTCCCACCGGAAATGTGACTTTTCCGATTCGGAAAGCAGAATAGAGGTGCGTTCCAGCAATGGCACAACACAAAGAAATGCTCATATGTATCGACTTTGGAATGACAGGCTCTGGTATTTCAATCAATTCCAACCTCTCCTTTCAGCTTCTCGAGAGAAAAGAGATAAAGAACTGACTGCCTCGTAGTAGCACGCTGGCGCGACAACCAGCCTGAGGAGAAATGGACACAGCAAGAAATCAAGACTCCAACTACGCTTGAATACGACGCCAAAGGCAATCTCATTTCGTGGGGGACACCTGCAACGAATCCCTACAACAAGTTCGTCGAGTGCTTCAAGACATACATTGGCAGTGGCCCCATTCCAGACTTCCCTGATGCACCAAAATCGAGGCAGGAAGTATTCCGTTGGTTTGAGGACTACCTAACAGCAATCTGCAAGCAAACGACAGAGGAAATCGACAAGGTAAATCACAACTGGAGGGAAGGGAACATCATCTGGAATTTCACAGTGCCAGGCTGCTGGCTCATTTCCACCGCCATTCGGGATTTCACGCTCCTGGCCGAAGACGCCGTGTATTCCTGCCTCCCAAGTACGAGTAAAGAAGACATCCGCATCAATACCGACCTCACCGAAGGCCAAGCATCAGCACAATGCCTGTTGAGCGATAGCACTGTCGCCAGATGTCATAAACTTGCGATTGGAGACATGGTCATATCTTGTGATATTGGCGGAGCGACAACAGACATTGCCATTTCAACAATCTCTGAGGGTGGCGAGCTAATCACAGCGCCCCAGCTGACGTTCATTCCGGAGGGTCTTGTGAGCACCGACAAAAAGTTCTGGAAGCTTGCACATGATACACTTTGCAATGTACTGGATCAATTGACGGCAGCCACCGTAGCGTGGGAGATGACCAGAGGGCGAAACTATTTGAATGCCCGGAATGCATTTTGTGGTTCAAGGCAGGGGGGTCGCATTGAAATCGGTTTGCCTAACGGAGTAGAAATCCAGGATTGGCCATCACAGAGCTCGGGATCTCATGAGAGTACAACCACTGTGATGAACCAGTCACTGAGCATGCATAGGTACGTTGTGGTCACTGTCAACCAGATTTAAGAGCGTCTTGGTAACAGTTGTTGGTGTAGAAATGTCTTCGCGTCATTGTTGGAGGAGTTGGCCGAGCAGATTGAAACTGCAATCGATGGCGCTATCCGTGAGATGGCCATATTGAAAAGAGTTCCGGTATGGTCTATGTTTATCTCCGAGGAAATTGACTAACGAGATGCATCAAGAACTTAATAGGATTTTGCGGTGGCGGATCACAATCACCGTACCTCATGGACCGCTTTCAACGCAGGTATAGAGGTCTGACCGTCGTAGACCACCGTCAGCTGAGCGTCTTGCCGTTTGTACTCCCGCCATTCTCGACCTCTATATTCAGCTGCTAATATTTCCAGGATCATGGCAACTGTTGTAGGCTGCAGTGTAGCTTGTGATCGAACGCAGCTCCTGAAGTTTGTCGAAGGAACACGCTTTGGTATCCAGACAAAGGGCGGACTGAAGTGGCAAGCTGCAGAGAAGTCCAAGGTATTTGAATATTGCGATCCGTCATCGATCAAAAGGATTCTGACCTGGCTGACCAATTAGAACGGATCAACCTTTTCCGCCGCTCTCGAATGCAAGGTTCTCTTTCCATGTAGTACCCACATCAAAATCAAAGGCCAAGAAACCAAAAGACACATGATAATTGCCGGTCCCAGTGAAGTCGGTTCTGAGAAAGATATACTAGACCGTAAGTATTTTCTATCGAAAGGGCGATGTCCACTGACTCTTTCAAGAACAAGTGCCGGGCTGTAAAACTTGGACTGTCGAAATAGACCTCAGCAATTATGGAAGACGGATCATGTCTCCGAGGATCAAGTATGAGATCGTGTGCAGGATCCTAGGCAGATGGCACGTCCAGATCGAGGCTCGCTCGGCGCGAGACGGAGTGTCTATTCCATGTAAAGTCGTTGAAGGGAAAGGAACCTAGGCATATGTGCGTTGAGGCGATGTACGATAGAAGCAGCGTAAGAGATAGAAACAATAAAGGAGAGTTCCCTTGAACCCAAGTCCAAGTGAGTCCAAGTGAGCTCGAAATGAAGTATGCACAGAGTGTGGGCCATTCTCACCGAGTCACCATCAAGACACCTGGATCGCCTCGGAGACGTTGGTGCCTGGGTTTCAATTAATTACCAGCCAGGCATGAACACCCCTCCTTGGTTCTCACTTTCTCATTGAACTCTTCGCCCTCTTCGCCATGTTCAGGAGTACAATTCATGCTTCACGTCAATGCCAAAATTCAAACTCATATTGGACACCAGTGAATTCTTCAAAGAATTATCCAGCTTATCCAGCGTGTGCGCCGCGTCGTGCCGCCTCATTTATAATACCTACAATCTACTCTTCGCTATCAGTCGCCTCTCTAGATGCAGTTCAGGTACCAGTACACTAACGAATGCTGGAATCATAAAACGAGTCCGCAGATGTGTATTACTATTGAAGCAGAGATAGCACTCCATGCAGCAGATGTTATTGGCAGCAGCTAATATGAACTCATCCTACGACCAAAGGACTTCCAAAAAACACCCAACCTCACAGAACCCAACAGGACCTTGCCACACCTGCCAGACGGACTCTGGTCTTGTTCTGATCGCCCTCTTCTCTTTTCAATCGATTTGAACCATTGCTCCAACTATGAGCTACAGGATCTGCGAGCTTGACGACACCTTGGTCATCGTATTGAAAGTACTCTATCGGACTCGTATTTTCCCGGACAAACATATCAATATCACCAATGACAACGTTGCGGGATTGTTCTGGCATTATGTATACGCGTTCCCCACCGAGATCACTGACGTGTGCCGCCCCTCAGCCAGGTTCGATTGAATAAGAGGGCCAGAGCATTTCACGGGCTTTCCCAGAGCATTTCTGCGGCATATTGCACTTACGCTACGGAAGCTCGACATCTATAGGATTCATTTGGGAGGTTCGAGAGGATCTGCGACAAATCACAAACTGCGAATATCGAGAATGCGATATAGATGCAACAGAGACTAGGAGTCATGGGAGCATCCAGCCTGACAACTGAAGGACACCAAGTTGATTGCAGCGGAATGGAAAGCGAAGCAAAAGGACAAAACAAGAGCCAAGTCGCAGCAAGACCAAGTCTTTGAAATATGGAATAAAGTGCAGGTCGATCAGGAGGAGCAGCAAGTCAATACCCACGAGGGCCATATTCACAAACCAGAGGACAAACGACGACTTGGAGGTAAAGGTGGAAATTGCACTACAACAAATGAGCACCATCACAACACAAGCTGCGTGTCAAAACCCAGCAAAAGCAGTTCTGGCCTTGCTTACTTTTTTGTCCGGAAAGTTGTCACTAAGTCCCGTTGATATTCTCAGTTTGACAGCCCGAGTTCCAAGCACACTCTGATTCATTTAGTTTAGACTTTGGGCACTTGTGAAGGCTTCTTGCCACGGCTTGAACCTCGAATAGCTCTTGCGATGCCTTCGCGTCTGTTAATTTGTCCTGATGTTGTTGCAATACCTTAGCTTTGACCTCATGAATTTAAACTGCATTGTTACCACTCCTGCTGAGCTGCGAGGGTCCAGTCTATTCAGCCTGCTCCCCGAGACGTTCAGTTGTTGGTCCAAAGCCATTTTGATATAGCGCGCTGGCTTATTTCAAAACAGACCCAAAATGGCTTGATCTAGCTATGTTAGCTTTCTATTTTCTGAGTCTTATAGACCAGCCCTGAAAAGCATGCGTGTTGTAGTTCAGAATTGGCTCTGATTGCTCAGCTAGTGATTTCTAATCTTTATTCATTACTTCTTGAAGTAATCCGGGTATCATACGAGCCAAGTGGCCATCATCGTCACACTCTCGATACTTCAGGCACATCATTATCATACATCCGATACTCCTACACCTTTACAACAGGCCAAAGCCTCTCCATCTCCTCCTTCTTCCTCCTCCACCTCTCTTTCAACACCTCCGGCCCATTCGCCCAAAACTTATCATGCATACTCGCCACTCCGCCCTCCACATCCCGCTCATTCGGGAACGTCGCGCTCCACCTATAATCCAGCGCCACCCACGGCATGCTCCCGCCCCTAGTCCGCCGATGCACATAGTTGAGCATAGCCTGCTCCATGAACTGCGGATCGAACGGTCGGAGGACGCCCAGCGTGGAACTCTGCATCACAAACATGTAGTATGCGAACAACTCATTCGATGGGGCGACGATCCAGAACCCCCCGCTGAGACTATCCCTCTCGATAGGCGGGAACGGATGGTCGTACTCCCCACCTGAAGAGCCATCGTTACTCCGGCCGTTGTCCGACCTCCCGGCAAAGACATACTGCGCCGGCACCATGGATTCCTCCTTGGAAATCTTCACAGCACTCTCACCGCCACTCCTACTTTCCGGTTCCCATTCCCCCTTTCCTCCACCAAGACTCAACCTCCCCCTTGACCTCGTCCTCGTCCGAATCAAACTCTCCATCGGCCTCCTCGCCGCCTCGTCCTCAAAAATCCCATCCAAGCACCGCATAAGCAGCGTATCAACATCCAGATACAACACCCTATCAAACTCCAGCATCTGCAGAACCCTCAGCTTCGTAAACTGGTCGCCGTACCGCGAGGGCCTCCTCAGCCGCTGCCGGATCCACCACGGCAAGGGCACGTCTTCCACGTGCGCGACTTGCGCGCCGTCGAGGATGAGCTGTCGGCGTTGGTGCGAGGGGACCCCGCTGGTGACCATTACGATGAAGGGGATGGGGATGGAGAGGTTGGTGCGCGTTTGCGTTTTGGTTTCGGGGTCGGCGAGGAGTTGGTACGCGAGGACTCGCACTGCGGTGTAGTATCTTTCGTCGTCGCTGGTGAGGAGCGTGGCGTATGCGTAGCGGGGTGAGGAGGGCAGAGGCGCGAGGATGCCATATTGTGGGTTGTATGTGTATGTATATGAAGTCGTGATACCACTACTGTTTAGCAGAGTAGTGATTGTTAGGTAGAGAGTGGTGAGGGCGAGGAGTACGTAGAGGAAGCGTCTGGTTCGCACGGTGCCTCTACCTAGGCCGCTTATACCGAAGCCGGATGTGAGGCGCGAAAGTTTGGAATCGAGCATTTTGGAGAGGAGGCAGCCGGAAAAGGTGGTGCTGATGATGGCATGGTTTGGGTTGACTAGGAGGAGGAGGTGGTGATGGACAGGTCGTGATATTCACGTCGGTCCAGGTCAAGGTTCCCACAGAATTCCTGACGAGGCTACCGTGCTTCTTTCTTTTTCTTTCCCCTGGTTGGTTGCGTAGGCAAAGGAAGGAAACAGACCCGTATATTTCCCAACATGGTGAGGATGCTGACAGGAGTGAGTGGACCTCCACTATAATCTCACGGCCGGCATCAATCGTACGGTAATTTTACAAAATCCCTGTACTTAGGATCCACTGTTTATATCAGATAAACCAAAACCCAAACCCATAAATAAAACGAGTCCCCCTTACCTCTCTACCTCCGTAGTTGGTTTGCGAAATCTAAGAATCCGAGATGTGATATCGGCGGGAAGCAAGCATTTATTTTGTTGGTTCGGGCCAGCCCGCTCGCTACCGTACAGAGATCTATCTGTACGACGACGGGATGGTATGTACCTAGGTAAGTATGCATGTAAGGCACCAATCGATCTATCTCACCAATCTATCTCACCAATCAATCTCACCAATCAATCGATCGATCCACGGCTGGCTAAATAAATGCACCTGCAACGACCAAACAACTTCCAAACAATCCCGTCTTGGGTTGATTACCTAGGTAGGTACTGCACCGGTGCCTACCTTAGTTACTTGAACACCGTGCTTTTGTCTCAACGAAACTCTTATAAAAATAAAAATAGAAAAAAAGTCACTCACTGTAAGATCAAGGTACTAGGTATTTCAAAAAAGTGTTTTCTACGGGAAAGACTGAATTCAATTTTTTTTTTTCACCACTATGCACTATGTGTGTGTTGTAAAAGGTTACCTTTTTTTCTCTCCTTTAACTACTTTGATGTTCTGCCGTGCCTCAATACAGTAAGTAATACAGTAATAATCGGCCACCTCTTTTTGCAGCCGATAGATACCTACAGTGGTGCATCCCCTGTCTTCCTCGCTTCTTGGCTTTCCTGGTCCTGCTTACCTCACCTCACCTCACCTCACCTCACCTCACCTCACCTCACCTCACCTTACCCTTCCTTCCCTACAAGCATCAAGCATTTCCGAAAATCTCGCAATTCACGAAATCACTCACTCACTCACTCACTAACTCCTTCATTTAATCCCAAGCTTTCTTTCTTTCTTTCTTTCATTCATTCATTCATTCATTCTTTCTTTCTTTCCCTCTTTCTTTCCCTCTTTCTTTCCCTCTTTCTTTCCCTCTTTCTTTCCCTTTTTTTCGTTCTCCCACCCCTCCCCCCCCCCCCCCCCCCCCCACCCCCAGCCGGTACCGCATGCCTTCACAGGTAAGGTAAGGTAGCGAGACCGACAAGACCAGGTGACGCGACCTGACGGGAGTCTCGGAGATTTCTATTTTATGCTTTCTGTTTTATAATTTACTTTCAGCGGTTACTTTTTCTCGCTAAACAAGCTTCACTCACTCACCCTCGGCGTTAGGTCAGGTCAGGTCAGGTCAATAATTGGACAAGTACGGAGTAAAGTAAATAGCACTAGCTAGCATTCGACTCGACTTTACGACGTGCAGGAGGTGCAGGAGGTGCAGCAATCGAAATACCTACACTTCCCCCTCTCTCAGAGACCAGGAAAAGTGATTAATTATATGAGATGGATGATAAATGGAAAATAATTTATATGAGATGGATAGTCTGGATGGACAGAAGGAAAGAAGGAAAGGAGGAAAGGAGGAAAGGAGGAAAGGACAGCGATACTTGGGCAGTGAGCCAGTGAGTGAGTTGAGTGGTCAGTAGGTAGGTAGCAGTACCTTAATACTTTGGATAATAACTTACTTTGTTAGATTGAGTATCTTCATATATTTAATGACTTTAAGCGAAAGCCAAAAAAAAAACCCCCAGAGCGGATTCGCTGAACGAGGGAAGTAGGTAAGTGAACCTCGCTGAAACGAGACAAAGACAAACTTACCTACCTAGGTACGATGAATAGATAGGATTAGCTGGTTGATAGACTTACTTGATTGATGGCGTGGTGGGGGAAAGGGGGTAATTCATCTCACATACCCATCTCAGAATAAGGTAGGTAATCAAGGCGCAGCACTACATACCTATATACATACAGACATACATACATACGTATGCACGCGATACATATAGAAAATAAAAGATAAAGTCATCTCTCACGTATATTCTGGTATTCTGGTATTCAAATTTCATTATTACCTAGGTAAGATAGGTAGGTATCTCTCTCTCTATCAATCAATCGACCAATCTCCCCATATCCTTCCATCTCAATCTGCATAGCGTCCATACAATTCAAACTTCCTAAGGTACAGCTTCTTCGCATTGAGGCGTTAGGTAAGGTAAGGTATGGAGAGGCTCGCTTAGACGGATTCAGTTCCAACTTTCCCCTTCTTCTCGGGCTGAGAGTCTTCTTCTGAGTTCTGGCGGTATGCGCCGCCTGTTAGGGCGGGGTCGTAGTTAGGTGTTCTATTCACACATGTCAGTAACTCTCGAAAAAAAAAGGGCTATAGAAGAGACCTACCCAGGAACCTCCCCCGCCAACTCCTCCAACGTCTTCCTCTTCGTCTCGGGAATCAAAAAGCTAGTCAACAACCCACAGAACATAAATAGCGCAAAAATCTCCATAATGTGATTCAACCACGGACTCGCATCCCTGCCCTTCGCACCGGGCTTCGCGCCCCTCGTGCGCAGAGGCCCAAACACAACTTGCGCGATGATGGCGCCGACCTTGCCTGACGCGGCGGAGAACCCGTGAGAAGTAGATCTGTAGCGCGTGGGGAAACATTCACCTGGGACGATGAAAGTCGTTGAGTTAGGACCGAAGTTGAAGAAGAATTGCGCGAGGACGTAGAGTGCTAGCAGGGCGTGTCCAGAGAGTTTGTGGTACGCGAAACCGATGACGATGAACAGGACAGTGAGGATCGCAAAGCCGCCGATCTGGATAGTCTTGCGGCCCAGGGTGTCGATCGTAGCGACCGAGACCCAGTACCCTGGGATAGCGCCGGCGCACACGAGGATGAGGTTCCCGATGGCGTTCTTGCGGAAGATTTCGTACTGGGTGCTGCCGCCGGTCCAGCCGATGGCCGCGAGGATGATGGAGTTGTTGAGGCCGAGGCCGTAGAAGGCGACGTCGAGGAAGAACCAGGAGCCCGCGGTGCCGAGGAGGACCTTGCCGTGCTTCCATTGCGAGTAGTGCGCGACGAAGTCTTTGAAGGAGGCTTTGGGGATTTCGAGGGCCGGGGAGGCTTGCACCATGGTTGTAACACGGGCGATTTCGTCGGGGTGGCCTTCGGCTTTACCGTTGATGTAGGCGCTGACGTCGGTGCCGGCTTTCTCGACATCGCGGGCCACGTCGAAGGTGTAGCGGGGGGTTTCGGGGATGGTGAGGCGGTAGTAGAGGGCGATGCAGCCGGGGACGGCACCGAAGCCGCTGGAGCGTATTAGATTTTGGCTGATTTATGAATAGGAACACTTACATGATGATTCTCCACATCTTATCAACAGCAAGTTGGCAAACACCAGTGCAGGTCGAGGCCTTGGAAGCAGATTCCAAAGAACCCTTGAAACCAGTGGTGACGATCAAGGCGAGGATGGCAGCAGTGAACTGACCAATACCCTGCATAGCGAACACAGCATTCATCATAGCACCTCTCCATTTAGTAGTAGCGAACTCGGATGTGATGATTGAAGAAAGTGGATAATCACCACCAATTCCAATACCCTGATCTCGGTTAGCTGGTGAATTTAATGCCAATGGAAGAAACTTACCATAAGGACACGCCAGAAAATGATAAGACCAGTGATGGACATGGCACGAGAGTTTGAAGAGAGGGCCTGAGCGAGCGTTGCGAAGATGATGATAATCAACTCAAGTCCATACATACGCTTTCGTCCAACCACGTCGGCGAGGTACCCGAAACCAAGTTGACCAAGAACGGTTCCACCAGAAGTAGAGACCTTGATAGCGGTATCTGAGTTGGGTGGGATAGTACCGTGAGATTTACTGTCGTTAAAGTACACTATACCCAACATGCTGGTAACCAGGTTGATGGCGAAGATCTTGGTGGTGGTTAGTAGGGTCTACGATTGGGTGTAGAGGACGTACATCGTAGGAATCAGTGAAGAATCCAATACCTGCCACTACACATGCTCGTACGTGGTACCATCCAAAAGGAGCCTTATCGATCTCGGCAAGAGCGAGTCTCCTTCGCTCATTAGGATCTTGGATATGGGCGAAGTCATTGTTGAAGTTGTGGAAGGCATTGTTGCCTCCAGATGTTTTATTCATCGCTGCAATGTTGGCGGGAGCAGCCATTGTGTCTGATGTATGTCTTCAAGACCAGTTTGTGTGTTGACTTGTCGACGGGTAGATGCTGGGGGTGAGGGCGTCGTAGTTGGCAGCGCGGCTGAAGAGGAGAGGAAGTGCAAATTCGAAGGGGGTCCTGATATTTGTATGAGGAAGCTCTGCAGGAGCGCGGTAGTGGGAACCTCGGGGGTGGGTTCCTACAGGGATACAACAAGGAGCCAGAGCCAGTACTTCCTTTTGGCAATTCTTTGGGAAGGGTGGTGGTGTGGATCAAAGACCAACCCGGGCGTGGGACACTGAGAGCCCATCCAAGCAAGGGCGTGCCGATGCGCCAAGAAATAAAGTTGCATCGTCCGGGAAGAAGGCTAGCTGCATCATGCGAATGAACTTTGGATTGTGACAGTTACTTGTAGCTGGTCCGTTACGGGTTTCATTTCATTATTGGCTGGATCTCTTAAGAGTGACAATGATAAGCCATAGATTTGTCGTGGCTCGACTTCCAGGCCAGTCACTACTGTACTGTACAGTATGTTCCGCCTGCTGAACTTGAACTCTGTATGGGCCCACCACCGCCGGCTAACTTCCAGATCTTGCAAGACAAAAAGCTAAATAAGTTTCCGCGCTGCGCTATCACTACTGTACGAAGCTGGGACCAATGGAAAGGCCGATGCCGAGCACGATGCAAGCAGATGTATCTAGATTAAGAAGTCAGGAAAACGCCTCGATGAAAGTCGATGCTTTTTCTAAGTCAAATCAAAAAAATCCTCAACGGGGGGAGCCCATCAGCACCTCTGAGAAAGCCCTGCTGACAGCAGGTTGATCTTGCCTTGCCCGCTTCTCCTCCCGCGTATCCCGGAACATCCTGCACCAAATCGATCGCAACACACACCCTCCAGCACGGCCATTGGTGTGCAGCCCCTTCTGAAAGTAGAAGGCTTCCAGAATATCCTTGACCGGTCAATGTCCGTCCCGGGCAATCCTCAGCCAGTGCCATCCCTCACAGCGCAAGTTTCCAGCCATCAATTCGAGAACCGTATCGCTTTAAAAGGAACATCTCAAGACCTGACGTTGACCATGAAAGCGGACCCTTCTTCGTGGCTGTCTTGGACATCTCTTGGAAAAGGCTTGATACACAGACAAGCACTTTTCCCCCAGGCTCGGCGTCTTGGAACGACGGACACCACAAGTCTTGGATGCAGAACACCAGACCCACATGCACACGCACGAGCACGAGCAGCAGCTGAAAACGCGCCCGCGATGCCCCCCAAAAAATTTGATGCACGCCGCCTTGCCTGGATAAAAAGATGTGGAATAATGGAATGAAGAGATGTCGTTAGAACCGACCAGTCAGAACAGCGGGATCAGAAACGTGGTCGCTGCGCTGGTCAGGAACAGCTGGGGCTTCTAGCGTGGGGAGGGGCCTGGGCTGATAGGTGGGGCTAGAGTGGTTGAGGAAAGGCTTTCCGCCTTTCGGTTGGCCTATCAGATTTTTACCACTTGCTCTCCCTGCTCGGGGTCGGTGTTATTTCGTCACTTCTCCACTTCATGCGTCTCTGATATCTGACTTCCTTTAAGAAGCGGATTAGCAGGTAGACATCATTGGATGTGGCGTGCTTGAGGAGTGAGAATTGACGCCACAGGCGACCGGATGGACCGCTTCAAATTTACCTCTGTATATAAGTAGATAGGTAACGGAGAAAGCGAGGAACACTCATGTTATCTGCACATGTCCGCATTCCTCCCTACTCAAGCACAATACGACATGTTGCTTGCTCTTGGACCACTTGCTCCCTCTTCTCTCGACTTAAGTACGAAATCGAGTACTTCGTAGAATGATCAATCCGTGCATCAGCTCAACTCAATCGAAAATTCCAAATTGATCATAACATCTCGATCGACCAACTCCCGAGGATTTCACATATGATATGATATGATATCGAAATAATAATACCTAACAATAAGCCGGACCCAACAGACGGGCACGCACGCACGCACTACTACTAGGCACCCAAATCTGCCAATACCCTAAGACGGGACGGCGCACCTTCCCACCCATGTCTTGACCAACGACGGCGTGTCCATCGAGCACGAGGATGTGGCGTGGTTAAGCTTTGGTAAGCTTTTCTTTCCGGTGCTGGTTTTGCTGGGCTTTCTAGCATTTTAAATTTACGTATCTGAGCTGGATGCGTTACATTGGCCAATCATAGCTGGATTCCTTGGTTTGGATGTGTTGAAAAATTGAAGGTGGAGACTTTTGATCCTTGAGGGAAATCTCATGCACAGAAATGGATCTGCAGATTCATAGATCGCAGGCAGGCAGAGCAGGGCTCGCAGGGTACGATCGTATGTACAGTACCGAGGTGTTGGATCGTCCAGCCCTGGTCTGGAATGCGGCTCATTTACTCATCTACCTCCAAATCATGTAACTGCCCTTGCGTTCCGGCGTCTCGGTGGCTGCCATGCAGTCAATTTTCCATCTCAAATCCTAGAGAAAGAGAAAGAACATGACCACGTCGACTCCATGTCACCTTTCCTCCTTGCCTCGCATGTATCAACTTACCACCGTACCAAACACAACATATCCATTATCTCTTTCCCTACCCTCCATCCATCCACCAAGCTCTTAGCCTTAACTCCTCCAATTCAGCTCTACCACTATTGGCTCGCCATCTCCTTCCCACGTTCGAATCCACCAAAAGTCCAGTCCGCAGATCCCAGGATCATCCAACCCACGTTCCCAAACTCTGCACTCCCACATGCAAAGTTCTGCATCTCCAAACTTAAACATCTAAAGCTCTAAAGCACTAAATCGATCTTCCCACTTTACATAAACTCCACTTTCGTACATCACATATAACGGAGCCCGAGCCTTGCAGCAAACACACTTGTGCTTATGCTTGCGCTTATGTTGTGCTGTACTGTGCTGGGTTGTAGATCTCCTCCATCAAGCAATGGATTTCACCACCACTCCACTACTGAGTACTGGTTGTGCTGTGTGAAGTTATTTAATGATCAACGTAACTACTGCGGACGTATAGTACCTTCATGATGAAGATCTTGCCACGGAATTGATATATTGTGATTGCTACATCTGATCTTGAGATGTCGCTCTATCTCTCCGGTCTGCTCAGATGATCTTTAATTTTTATTTTTTTTTATTTTTGGTGCTCTCATTTCCCGTCCCACTGTCACTTTCCTTCTCTTTGCAGATGAAATCGCACGGGAAAAAAAAAATCGTTGCAGAAATATTAATATTGAGGAGCAGCTTGACACGCCTGCGCCTGAATTGGTTGTAAAAAAGCGAAGATAGAGGAGGGAAGACAGAGCAAATAGTCTACGAGCATATTCACATGTATTTGTCTCGAGAAGAATATAAGGCTACACGTACGTACGCTCGGAGAGGATTGTACAAACCAGCACACCCCATCCTGAACCCAAACCTTCTTCTGGTACAGCTTCGCACTTTCCCTTCTGCTTGATAGGATGGGATGGGATGCTGGGGCGAGGTGAGAAGTTAAGTATATATACCCATTCTGAAGAAATTGATTTCCCTCAATATGTATACGTACAAGTATGCCGAAACTTGTTTATTATTGAGCGGTTATTGCGCCAATATAGTCAGGTGAATGCCTAGGCAGACCAGGCCTTCAAGATTGATCAATTGGGGGATTTAGACTCGCTACGGAGGTACTTCTCGTTTAGCTATATAATCTTCCCTCCCGCCTGCGCAGACGAAATGAGAAGAAAAAATGCTTCAAGCATGATGAACAAGAAAGAGACTGAAGATGACCATGCTTTGTCCGGGCAGGCGGCCTGCCGTCTCCTGAATGTCGAAGGAGGGAGAAGATGGCGGTTTCCGGAGGTTGTAAAAGCTTGGTTCTGGTGGGAGGGGGGATTATGCGACAAATGTATAATTCAGTTTAGTAGTTAGGTTAAGAAGGTAGATTTGGGAAGAGATGGTTATCAGTCAGGCTGGGTGTTTGTTGTCGTCTCGCTTAGTATTGTCAACCCCAACGGGCTCATTTCATGATTTTGAGAATTTCCTGTCGGACTTAGTACATATACCTGCATGAATTTTTTTATTTTTTCAATTTTTTTGATCTATTAGAAATTGGAGCTTCATTTTTGCAAGAAGGTTTGACGATGATGTCTGCCGTAGGTGGTCTTTGCCACGCCTCATGTTATATCTGTGCTAGTTGTCCCATCGGAGTCGGTACTCCATTCGTATCATTACCAGAAGTCTCACTTTTTATACCACCTACCAAGGATCCAATCATTCGATGATAAGAGGGCACACATATACTTTCTCTCATCTGTTGTTCCCCTCCCGTTGAAAGCGTGGTTAAAAACCACGTGACAGAAGCACTTAACCCCACGAGTGTTGATTTCAGCGGTCAGCTTGAGTGAGACCTTCGCAGAAGAATAATATAAATGTACCGTCATCGGAAACTTGGAATTGCAGAAAGCACAGTTTTGCAGTGTCATCCCAGCATCGAGCAATAAACTCAGCATAGGGTCGTCTGGTAAGATTACTTGCAAGCATGGAAAGAGCGTGTAGAAGACATATATAGACAACAGTAGTGACGAGGCTCAAGGTTTCTAAGATTCAGGGTGAGATGTGGCTTGTTCAAAGTAGCACACTTCCTGAATTCACTCATGTCCTGGCTCGCTTAGGCTTAAGGTAGCCACTCGTCCAGAGCTTGATATAGATAGAATGTAACTTTTGGTAGTGAACAGAAACTGGACCTTTCAAAGGCTGCTATATACATAAAATGTACTTGTACCGTATGGTTGGTATGTCAACGGTCAAGTCAGCTGTTGGGAGAGGTAGATCTTGCATACTGGTAGATTTGCCACCAAGAGTTGTTGACAGTAACTCGAAAACCTGCAGAAAAGGTAACGCAGAGCAACTAAGATATTCTGTATAGCTGCAGGTCTAGAGTTGGAAGACAGTCCCATACTCCCCGAAGTACTTCTGCCCCATAATAGGCATCCAAACGCACGACACATCGTCAAGTGTTCGTGAGTGGCGAAGTTAATCACGTGATCATCTCTCAGCAAGAGATCTCTCCAAGTTCCGGAAACACAGCTCTTTCGAAGTTATTCCATACTAATACCGTAATCATCTTCCCCAATGATCTTTCCCATTGCCCCCAATCGCCGCATCTCTTCTAGCGCGACCCAAAAAGCGAAGTCGTGGCTGATTTGTAATGTGGCTTGCTCATCTTCACGTGACCCTTCCTCAACCTTCCACTCCCTTCCCGCTGCCACCAGAAGGCACTCGAGTCGACTCGTAATCGCGATTTCTCACCAAGGTGATTGCGTCTTCGACTCAGCCTGGAGGGGGAGGAGGTGTATATAACAGGAGTTGGGATCGACCGTGAGATTTTCCTTTCATCATTCAGAAACAGATACTCGGATCTTCAGGCAGATTCTCAAATTCAAACTCACTTCAACCTTCAAATCAAATCTAAAAGATTCCTTCTCAAAACTCAAGAACTTCCAATCAAAGACAAAAGATCACAATGCCTTTTTTCCAACAAGCATACCTCCCCACCGAAGCAGCGCTCTTCCACCTCCTCTCTGAGCTGGACCAGCCTCAACAAAAACAACAAGCCCACCCATGCGCCCGCCGCATCCACAGACCTCAAACATTTACACCTCGCTTCGACGTCACAGAGACCAACGAAGCATACGAGCTGTACGGCGAAGTCCCAGGTCTAGAGCAGTCAGACCTCGATATCCAGTTCCAAGATGCTCAGACTCTTATCATCAAGGGCAAGACTCAACGTCGACTGAACACCATCAACACCGCAGCCACCGCTCCAGCTGCTGAAACCGAACAAGCTGAGCAGACTGTTCAAGCAGACGCAGAGACATCGTCCCAGAAATCCGGCCACAGCGCCACAGTCGAAGACGACTACGACGAGGCTGATACGCCACTCGTGACACCAGCCAGCACCACACCAACAGCTGCTGAGAAGGGCAAGCAGCCTGAATCCACTGCTGCTTCATCATCCACCGCTGTACCAGAAAATGAGGGACCAAGAGCAAGATACTGGGTTGCTGAGCGTAAGGTTGGAGAGTTCGCTCGCAGCTTTACATTTGAGCAGCGGATTGAGCAGGATTTCGTGACTGCGGGGTTGAAGAATGGGGTGTTGAGTGTGGTTGTGCCGAAGAGTTTGAAGTCGAAGAGGGTGGCTGTTAGTGTTTTGTAAAGCATGACGCTGGCGGCTTGATTTTCTTCTTTGGGTTGTAATGCGCTTGTATTTGTATGAGATTTGGGACTGGACACTAGCATTGCATTGCTTGGAGTTTAGGCATGCATTATAAAACCTAGATCAGACACTCGTTAATGAAACATTCTTTAAAATAAATTAAAATTGGTTTCCATCTTATGAATATAGACGTCAAATGACAGGACTTTACGTGACTTCGTCTTCGCACTTACATGACTTTATGATGATATCCGGTTTGGCGAGGAGGTTTGTCAAACCTCAAAGCTGGCAAATGATGGGCGCAGAACACAGCAGACAAACGCGACGAAAAGCAGCCAGATGTGAAATAAAGTAACACAAAAGGGTGATTATTCTCCAAACGAAAATAAAGTCTCAGCATCCACCGATCCCTCTCACAACTTCACTCGTTTTTTCTTCGTTGGTCCCGGATTCTCGTGATCACTATCGGCTCTCCGTTTTATTAACCTTGTCCTTGTCGATGCGCCGTAGTATGGATCTGGGTTCCTCGAAGACCGAGGATGAGTTATTGCTGACGTAGTAGGACTCGTGCGTAAGGGTGGCTGGGAGTCTGATCGCCTGGCAGATTTTTGCCTTGGACGCCATTGGACGTGCGGTTCATGGTGGATCAACGCTTCGTTTTCAACACTGGATAACTCGCTGCTGGATGACTCGTATACACTGCTTATCCTGCGTGGTCGTCGATTGCTGCTTGTTGCCTTCTGATTTGGATCCGGAACGGGATTATGATCCTCTGTGTTGGAATGTTGTCGCGATGGCTTCCGCGCACTAGTAGGGGAACGAGATACATCGCTGGGTTGCGGGGAAGGACTGGGAGGTCCATTTGGCCAGCCATCTTCTCCCTGGACTGGTCCGTCTGGAGCGACTCTTTGACCGCCGAGCCGAACCACCTCGTTGCGGACCGCTATTATGATACCACCCAGTCGAAGACATTCGGCACGAAGGAGCTCACTTGCAGCCTCGAGTTCCTCTCTACCCCCTTTGGAGTTGTCAAGGTCCTGTCCGATTTGTTGGACTTGAATCGCCAAGGACGTTGATCTTGACTCTGCGGTTGCTGCTCTGGTCTCTGCATCTTGTAGTTTGCTGTTTGCAGAACTGAGCTGATCCGATAAGCGCGTGCTTCGTCGTTTTTCTTCCAGCATGCCGTCTCTGTATTCGATGATTGCCTGCTCATCTTTCTGGGTCTGTTGCTCCCACTCGTCAAGATTCGTTCGATAATCATCTTCAAGCTCTTCGAGCAGACGTTCCAATTCTTTGACATGGGCAAGGGCCTCATCTCGTTGGGCTATAACCCGGTTCAGCTCTTCCAATGCCAGGTCATCTGTCGGATTAAATGATTGCCTAGCCAGAGAATCATCCAGGGCCATCTGAAGTTTGTTCGCTGTGCCGTGCGCTTTGTCGAGCTCTATTTGAAGCATCCCAATTCTGGCCAATGCAGCATCCTTTTCCTCCCGGATATGGACTAAATCCCCAACTGTAATGTTTCCATGTCGTACTAAGCCCATTGAGACTTGATGGGCTTCGCTCAACGCCTTTTCTAGTTTCTTAACTTCGATTCGAAGTGTCTCTCTCTCAATTCTCAGCCTATTCTGTGTCCGCCTGCACTCTTCCGACTTCTCACGCTCTGCCAAAGCTGCATTGTTGGCTGCTTCCAGCGATGTCTGGAGCTCAGTAACGACGTCGTTTGCTCTTTCGGCAGCTGAATGCGCAATGGCGTTTTCTGCTTCCAAGACTTTGAGTTCGAGACGAGCGGCGTCTCGTTCATGTTGGGCTTTTGATGCTGCTGCTACTGCATGCTCTAATTCTTCTTGTAAAAATTCGACTTCTTTGCGCTCAGCGTCTTCAGCGCTGATCTCTGTATCCAGCAGATTTGATTGTGCTCGTTCCAGGGTCTGTTTCTTACGATTTTCTGCCTGCAATTTTACTTCCCTCTCTTGGCTCTCTTTCAAAGAAGCTTCGATGATGCGGATTCGTTGGTGGGCACCGTTTCTTTCTGCTGTTCTGGTGGCAAGATTCCGACGGGCCTCCTCGCTCTGTTTGACTGCAGCGTCGCGCTCCGACCGAACGAGGCTAAGCTGCGCTTCAAACACCTCGCTGGCTCTCATTGATTGTTTTGGATGAGTCGTATTGAGGTGCTGGCCATGATGTAGCTCTTCCAACTGTTTCCTTTCCCCTCCCTCGTTCCGACGATCAGGTTCAGCCGTAACAACGTTTTGACTTTCTAATGCATCAACCTGTTCTTCCGGTTTGTTAATGTCTCTTCGTACATATTTTCGTTGCTGGATGAGTGCCTCGTATCTAAGAAGAACTTTCTTCAAGTTTTCTCGCAGGTCCTCGTTTTCGTCGATAAGTGCATCACGGTCTGCTTCAACCATGACTTTCTCTGCCTTCGCTGCATCTAGTTTGACAAGTATTTCGGATTCTGTGGATTCGTGGTCACTGCGCATTCTCATAGCGTCTTTCTCAAGTTGCGATAGGTATCCACCCTCACGATGCATCTCGTAGTAAAGGTTTGGATCAACCATAACCACGCTTGGTTGATCGAGTATATCTCGAAGGTTTTCATGTCCCCCAATCGAACCAGATGATAGCAACCGTCCTACCCTCTCCTCAAGGTTCTTTACTCGACGATAATACGAATCTCGCTGGGTCGTGACCTCAGACAACACCTGGCGGTCGGAAACTTGTTGCTGGATCGTGCGGGTTGAAGCATCAGTTTGCCCATCGTGAAGATTGGTGAGATTATCGCCGGACTCTAGGATGACATTTTTCAACGAACTCAACTGTTCCTGTAAAGCGCATACTTGCTCTCTTAGCCGACCTCCTTCGTCGCCAAATCTAATACCATGATTTTCGGCTGGATCGATATGTGCAACATCCTCGTGGCAGACTTCAGATCCTTTGGGTTGGTCTTCCGGACCGTCACTGGAAGCTGCTTCGATCACCGTATGTAATTGCTCCATTACCAGAGAAAAAAAGATTGGGCTTGCTGCTTTCGTCGTTGAAGCTTTTGATGAAGCCCACGAAGAGGTGTAACCTAACTTGATCCATTGTGCCGGATGAAAGAAACCAGTATCAAAGAAGCGAAAGATCGCACAGCCCTTTCAGCAACAAAGAAGTAGGCTGGACACAGGTCCGCTTTTGGTCTATAGTCGTACTAAGAATAGTTGGAGCACTTGCTTTTAGATGATCTGGCCCACAAATTGGTGCTGTGCTGTGGTTCCATGGAAGCTGTGGGGAATTTAGAACACTAGATTATTGGTGAGCAGAGAACTCGTGCGCAAACTGATATCAGCCACATCGAGCATCAAAACAAGTCCATTTTCAGACTAAACATAAAGAAAGGAGAGTCGTAAGAACGGGGACCAGGATTGAGAGGGCGAGGGGACTCTTGGCTATCCTCCAAATCCGTCGGCACCGCAAATCCTCATTGCCTCAGGACAGATCTTGATTTATAGAACCCGACAAAATGACTCTGAAGACACATCACTGAGCGTATGACTATTCCGACCTGGTTAGAGACTGCTCAGTCTTGATTTTGCGGTTTAGATCCGTCGTGAATTGAGGATCTTGCTTGGAGAGGTTGGTTGACGTTGAGGCGACCAAGGCACATGAGAGTTCGATGCCAAGCCTTCTGACTAATCAAGAATCGACCACCTGTCGCTCCTTCGACGTACAGTTGTGGCCGCAATATCCTATCCTGTACATCTCCACAACAGAGACTCGCCCAATACCGATATGTACCACTTGGTGGTGGATTCAAATGGTAGATTGCCTGCGAACTTCAAGACGACCCCTATGCGACAAACTTGAACGACGAGCGAACGAACCTCAAGGAATAACTGGCACAGCTAGGGTTCGAGAGGACGGACAAATCTGAACACCACCAGTACCAAAGACATATATTTTAGACTCTACATGAAGAGCTACGTCAAATGAATATCATCAGTGAACTGGATACTCCCCGCTGGGCTGTCGGAAGTCGCTATTAGAATGTTCTTTTTCTGCTGTGCTGATATGGACATGAACGAAGATACCGGATTGCCCTTCGGGCAGATGTATCTGGATAAGTGCGGCAATACACGGCGCGCAGCTTCGTTCTGGGTTTGTCTCGCCACGATGTGAGGACTCCTGGCTGGAGATATCAGCATGTGTTGGAACGAGCAACAGTGGGCAGGAGCGAGTATGGGAACCAAGCGGTTTCCGGACATGGGTTGAAGTACATTAAGACTATCTAGAACCAAAGGAAATGTCATTTCCGTCATTATTCTGCGCACCCAAGTATCTTGTACTCTCGTCAAGAGTATCTAGTTGGACATTGGACGCTCACTGCTCTCTATACTGCCCACTTCCATCTGCTCATCACCGCCATTACCATTGATTTTGGAGATGACAATCCAAAGAATTCTGTTAGCGATCTTCTCTTCATTCCTCGCAAGCTTATTGAGCTTCTTGTCCCCATTTTTGTAAATTAAGGCCAGCGCCTTGTTCCTCCTATCGACCTCTACTTCTTTGGCCCGCCCAAGAATGGCGATCTCTTGTTCGGAGCGAGCTTCAATCCTGTTTCTGTCGCCTGGAGTAGCCGCAAGTTCGGTTTCATATTGATGATGGGCCTCAATCATCTTGTGCACAATTTCTTGAATTGCCTGCTCTGACTTCTCCATCTCTGCCTCTACCTCCGGCGCCTTCGACAACCTTTTCTCCGAGCTCTTGGTTGCTGCCTTGGCCAGTTTGGTGTCCTGTCGCTTGTTTAGCCATCTGAGTGGAGCTCCTCCATATTTCTCGTATTTTCCCTTGGGAATAGCCGCTTCTTCAAACTCTAGTGGCGCAATGTAACCCATCAATGCGCGGGTTCTTCTGACTCTTGGGTCTTCGATCGTTGGCGCTGGAGCAGCAACGCCTGGATCGCGGACGACAACAGCAGTCTCCGGAGTGAGGTCGCTGAGCTCTTCCAAAGGCGGTAGAAGCAGCTTTCCCTTAGCGTCCACATTATTGAAATGAATCTCAGCCATCATCTTCTTCGTAGTCATGATTCTGGCAATCAGATTCCGTGGCGCAAACATATTTGTGTTGGCCTTCTTCAGGTAGCTTCGAACTCGAACCATGGAAACGCCTACTGACATACCAACAGATGCGACCTGCAATACACCTCCTACTACCTGGGCTGGAAATATCGGCGTACCCAAAAGAGTACCGCCGACTATATGTGCCACCTGAAAGATAGGTGACGAAATAAATGCGCTGTTCAGTCCATCAATGAATCCGATGAATTGGTCGTGAGATATGGGGTCGGGCAAACTGGCGAGAGCTGGGGAATAGGCGCATGCGAAGGGCGAGAACGTCTTGATCATGAAGAGAGAAGTTTGCTCTGCGAACTGGTAAGTTTGGAATATTTTGCCAGGAGGTATGTTACTGACGAGGAACGACAATTGGCTTTTCAAGCATGCCACCAACGTAATACTCATACTGAGGTGGAGCAGATCGCCGGTTCACTTCCTGGATCGATGCACTGGCTGAGGACATCAAAGATTTCTCCATTGCTAAGAAATCTCTGGTTCGGCGGAATGTCGCCGAGGAGATTATCTTTGAGTTTATGATGATTGAGTATCAAACTGTGGATATTGTGAACGCTGATGTGGACCACACATTTGTCGTGGTGGAGATCTTCTCCAGTATATATCGCAAGCTTTGAGAGCCTTGACTAGGATCTTGAGCCCCTGGAAGATATTGATATCAAGTCGTGTGTGCCATTTACCATCCATGGAGCAAGCAGGCCTTGTGGTGCAAGGTAAATTAAGGCATTCGCCTATTGGACTATGCCAGGGCTCCGTCCTCCTTCCTTCAACAAAGGTCGGCTTTGAATCTTTCAGGCCAGTCGAACACTACTACCCATTGTGCCGCCGCGTAAGCTTGTTCTTGGAGCAGTCGTCTTGGAGCTTTCACATCGTACAGATTGTCATGTACTGCCAGCGGACAAGCCTCCAGACACGCATGAGGTGGGCTGCGAAGCGAGGTCTGGCCCAGTACGGCTCAAGGTCCAACTAAAGGTATTTTCATATAGGGTATCAGGTGAAACTTTGCAAAGCTTGTCTCGGAATTATGGCAAGCCATTGGTTGAGATGAGCTATTCTGGGGCGGCTGCTCACGAGAATGCCGAGTCCGATTCGCATCTCCGCTCCGTAAACTCGCACCGAGAAGCTCGGATTAAAACATGGCTTTGCTCAGCCTCTTCATCCACGAATTTGATGACGAGGAGTATTAATTCCTCGAAAACCTCGCATGGTTTTGCGATGTTGCACTGAATGCTGCTATCCATCTCTGGAGACGGTATCATGACATCGTTGGCCAGTCGTTGGCAGAACTCGCCTAAGTTTCCAGATACTGCCGCCTCCCAAGGGCTGCCTGAATAGCAATCTAATGGCGATCCTTTCTTGCTCCCAGAACGTAACAGAAAATGCCTATCTATTGACGGAGAACAGTCTACAGGCATTTACGGAAACTTAAGGCGTTTTTGAGATGCAAAAGTACATTTCGAATTACTTTGCAAACCAGGGGAGTAGATAGCGTTGGGAAGCCCTTTTCCTTGGCAGAAGCTGACGGACTTTTGCCTAGCATCCCGTTCTCAAAAGCCAACACTCGTCAATCCCCTTCATGCTACCAGTTTTCTGGTCGAAGTATGACTCTGTGCCATGAAAATCCCAATATTGTCCTTCACACAAAGCCTGGCACGCGATTCTGAACCAATTCCACTCTCCCAATGGATAGAACGCAGCTCCTTGATGGAACCACAAACATGTCTGCGGATAGTTGATCTATACGGCATATTCCTACTCACAGGATTTAGGTGGAAGGACCGGAAATAGTTCATTCATGATTCGTTTCGCTAAACTCATACTTTGGGTACCGCAGACATAAGGAACGCAAGCTTCAACTACCAGATCGAAGCAAACATTTGCTCAAAGTACAGCAAAAGCATACATAAAACTAATAAACTTATAGCATATACCTCTTCTTATATGATACACCCCATCTTTAAGTAATTCACATCTTCTGCTTCTCCTGCTCTTTCATCTGCGCATCCATAACCCACTTACTATTATGTTCCTCGTACTCCTTCTCCCCCTCCTTGGTCTTCATCTTCTCCTTCATCTTGAAAGGCTCAGGCACGTCCAATTCCCTCTTTATAGCAGGTCGTTGGTTGATCCTGTCGGCCCAGTTTTTCACTTCACTGTGTATCGACATCGTCAGCATCCACATCAAAGGCACTGCGCTCCTCGAAGACCCACTCGGCACCCAATGGCCTTCCAACGACCCAAATCAAACACAAAAAAACCAGGACTTAGTACTCACGGAAACTGATCCAAGCCGATACCCGCCCATTCCGCCCAGTTTATCCACGAGAAACATGCAATATCCGCGATGGTCAATTTATCGCCCACGATCCAGGGCCCTCCTCCTTCGGCTTTCTTCTTGTCACCGCCTGCTGTGGAGGCTTGTGTGCCAGCCGCAGTATAGTTTGCTGATTTCTGTTGGGCGAGGCGGGTTTCGAGGACGCTGTAGAGGCGTTTGGTCTGGACGATCGGGTGTTAGGGGGGTTTATTGACTGCTGAGGGAATGGAGTGTTTTGAAAGAAAAGGAAAAGTAACAGAGAAGGATGCAAAAGAAGCGACGCACTTCGGTTTGGTAGCGGTTGATGGCGTAGTCGATCTTTTCGGTTGCGTATCTGAAGAAGTGGTTTGCTTGTCCCTAGATTTTGTTAGTTTCAGCAGATAGATGAAGGTGTTTCGAGTACACAGACAAGACTATTGGGACGGAAGGACGAACCTGCATGGGACCTATTCCACTCTGCAACCAAGTCATCCATTCGACAATTTCCCAGTATCTGTATCCTTGTCAATTAGTATGTCCGTTCCAGCATTTTGTCTCAGGTCAGGGATCCGAGGCCTCTTGGCTCAACTCCACAGCTGTACATTTCGGAGCTCGAGGATTCTCCGTATCGTATCTTCTCACCGGCTCTCCTACTTCCCCGGACTTACGAACCGTGAGACTCACTTATCAGAATCAAAAGCATACGAGATCACATAGTCTCGGTCATACTTCTGACATAAATACAACATGATCGCCATCCCCTCAAATACCCGCTTCTCACGACTCTTCCCATCTACTGTTTCGGTACGGTCGATGATAGCGGGGATACGTCCATTTGCTACGTAGATTGATCTCGTTAGCTCTCAAGCCCCACACCCTATGTGAATAATCAAGGTCCAGAGATCACGGCTTGCATTTTGGATGGGGACGGTAGTGAAAGAGAATAGGGATTATTGACAGTCACATACGGTTGATCTTCAGAAACCATTCCTCCTTCTGCGTGTTTTTCGAGATGTCAATGTGCTTCATTTCGTACTTCAACCCAAGTGCTTCGAGTACCATGGATACTTTCTGTCCATTTGGAGTACCAGCTGTGTATAGCCTGGATCATTGTCAGTTCTATGAAGTCTACTTCAATGGCAAATCTCTGTGCCAAGATCGAATCCGTGGGAACGTGTATTAGTTGTGTGAATCCGAGCTCGAGCTTACACGATATCCGTCTTCTGCACCTTTCCCCAGCAAGATCTCCCTGCGAGTTGAGGCTGACTCTCCTTGCTCCCGACATGCTGTGGACTGTGAAATACTCTTTGAGTTACACTGGTCGGATAGTGAATCTGGGGAATCAAATTTGTCGTAAGTCTTGCAATTAAATATCGTAATAAACCAAAACCGTAGCAAATAATTCTCTCCTTTGCAAATATCACAAGCAGTAGGTGCGATCCAAATACTTTTAACCATAATGACGATGGTGACGCCATGCCTGACCATTTTATCATGAGGGGAGGCTGCAGCCCCGCTACTGTACCCCACCAATCCACCAACCCAGACGAACCTTAACCCCGCGTTTAAGGAAGCGAGCCACCTCCTCTCGTCCAATAAATTTGACTCGCTTCACATGATAAATAGCTAGGTATGAGAAATAAGCAACTTAGTGTTTGGAGATTCAGCAAGATTCCGGGGGAGTCTCGGGATTGAAGGTGCTCGTACGGATAAATATCTCCGAAATTTGATCGAGCTGGTGGAATAACAATGAGGAAGCAAGGGCAAGGTACCTACAACCTTGCCCACACAGTGATCATCCATAGATCACGTGAGCACTTTGCGTCTTGTCTCCAAGCTCGCATTGGCAATTCAGATAAGCCTTCAAGTTCTGATACAGTAATAACTTCGTGACGAAAGAATAATGAGTGTTAGGAACTTGTCTCTGCATAAAGTTTAAAGGGGAAATGGAGAGGGCAGTGGAAGATAAAGTGGTGGTTATTGTTAGAGTTTGCATTGACTGCGAGTCTGTTTTAATGAAGCGTGAAACATTGAACATAGTAAACTGAATACTTTGGCATCTCGTATTAGAGTGATTTCGTTCCTTCGCGGAGCTTTCCAAGAAGATTCTCAGATCAATCACCGATCCCCAAGGCATGAGTAGCCAAAGTTTCCGCGGCACTGGCGAGCTTAAGGGACAGGTAGGAGAGGGAGTGTTGATGTGTGTGCCGTATTTCCAGACATGCTCATTCTGTCCTTGATTTCGTGACATTTGGCAGCTATATCGTATTTTTGTCATAAAAAGGTAGTTTGTTGCAAGCCAGATGCCGGAGGTGACTCAAGGTGGGGGAAACGAGGCTAAGTGCGGGGGATCTGCACTGCTCTACACCGAGTGAAAAAAACAAAACATTTCCGTGGTACCAAGTGTGGTTGCTTTGTATTCGGATTCTAGTTTGAAACGGAGTTTCTCATGGTGGAAAGATCACACGGAACCAAATTTCGTCCTCGCAATAGTCTCATCACCCGGGGCAATTAAAGAGCTGGTGGGAGAGATGTTCGTTTTGTTAGTAATAACCCTTAATAAATGTAATTTACTGTAGGCAGACCGTCAAAAGAATGTAAGTTCCAGCGAAACAAAAATCCCAGAACGCAACTATATACCAAAAGCGCCACGATACTCGTCTCCCATATCCTTTTCATTAATCCCATCGCTCTCAAGATACCCCTCCTAGATTGTATCATTGACTCGAACTTGTCCCGCACAATACGCCCTTAAACTTTCCACGGTCCCAGAAGAGCAGTTTCTGTAGTCTCACTCCAGGTGCAATCGTCCTGGTCGAATGGTGATGCCGCTGACGCCAAAGATTGTCTTGAAAGGTCGACCTTCATCGGAGAGATAGGTGAAGTATTTCCTCTCTCTCGCTGCCTCAAGCGACTTCAGAATGCCATCTGTATTGTCATAAGCTGCAAGCGCGAATGAATATGCTTGATCAAACCATGGACGAGCTGCATCCCATCCTGTTTGGGTCTGGTAAACAAGGCCAATCGATAACAGTACCCAGATTGTCCGCTCATCTTCGCTGCCAAAGATATCAGCAGACTTTTCTTCTATTTTTCGAAAGATTGACTGCGCCTCCGAATGGAATTGACCTTTCAATAAGCACACAGCGATTTTCAAGCAGGCTTCCATAATTTCAAAGCTTTTGAAGGTCTCTGCGTCGAAATTGACCTGGTCCAAAATGAACTGGAGAGTGTGTATTGCTTCCAGGAAGGCACCTTTGTTTTCCTGGACAGTACCTAATTTTGTGTAGAGTTTCAAGAGCTCGTTTCTTGCTTCAAGACCCTCAACCACTGAATCGAGAGCTTTGCGATCGCACTGCTTGATAATGGCTTTCAGCAACGCGGCCACAGACTCGTCTTTCACAGCAACATGTGATCTGGCTACACCAATCCCGTGAATAATCATGGCAGGATCTGCGTGATTCGTGATACTGGCTGTAATTTCTTGGATCTGGGTGTTTGAGATCTTGCTTGCCTGCGATGAACGTCTGCGGCGCTTGCGAGTCTTGGCCTTCCTGCCAGTGGAGTCGTCATGATGCTCAGAAGCTGCAGCATAAATGTCCTTCGCACGTGAAAGAAAGGCAAGTGCGTCAACAGGTCGATTCCAAGTGTCTAGCAGCTCCACCACATGCAGGATATGTTGCTGGCTTGTTCTACCCTCAACACCGAAACGGTCGAGGATCTTTTGTGTCATTTTCTCGATGAGCTTGTCTGCCTCATCCACACGATTGGTCTCAGCATAAAAGGATGCTAGTGCGTATGTGACTTTGTTCGTATCATCATGAACCGATCCCAACAGGTGCTCGTAGCCTGCGAGAACTCCCACAAACATTTGCTCTGCTGTCTCTGTATCGCCACGACTCATGGTGCTCTTCGCTGCTGCAAACTTGGCTATCAGGTCGGTTCGAGATAAGCCTTCAAAGGATAGCGCCAGATGAGCTACATCATCAACATCATCATCCTTATCGCTTTCGCTAGCGATCTCAGGAGGGCACGGGGAAAGCACTGTCACGACACCTTCCATGGCCTCTGCCGAACCATCCATTGGCGGAGTATGAGTTTCCTGGGGAGTCTCATAGGTAACGCCGGCAGGAGTATCAATGTCTGTTCACCAGTCAGCAAAATGATCGTCGATTGAACTCGAAGAGGGCGACGTACACACAGCATCAGCAGAAACATCCCCCTTCCTGGCTCGGTTCGCGCGGCTTTGAACTCGCTCCCTAGTCCACCGCAGACCGCCGTATAGAAAGTCGGTATCTTTGCCTGCCTGGGTCTCCCTCATGTTGGCTTTGACAGCCATCCATTGAGCGTAATCGCCAGGCAGATTCTTTTGCCAACCCCACTGCTTGAACTTCTCCTTATACAACTTCTTTCTGTGCAAAGTTAGCATTTGCTTGTGAATGGACCAGATATATCGGGGGACTTGCGATGCATCAAAATCATGCTGATCTTTCATTATTTCCATTGTCTCCTGCAAATTCTTTTGCCCTTCCAAGTATAGACTCTTGATCTGATTCTTGTGTGCATCCCAGTCGAGACCGCGATATTTTGTCCGTTGCAACATGGCGGGCTGAGGCGGCGCATTCATCTCGAAGGATTGATCGTGCTCTGCCGCACTCGAAGAGCCTTCGCCAGCATCTTCGACCTGCAAAGTCGTACTTGCGGGAATTGACCAGGAGGACTGGTCTCGTGGCACATGTGCAGGTTGTGCGCCGAATGCAGATTCTGGGGGCGGACTGTTGAAATGCGGAGCAAAACTATTCGAAAATGCCGTAGGACTGCTGCCAATAAAGGCTGTTGGGCTGTTCCAATCGAAGGACAAAGGGCTGTTTACATTGAACGTCCAATTGAAGGAGAAAGGGCTGTTCATATTGAACGATGGGACGCTGCCTCGTTCGAAATCCTCGTGAGGATTCATGGGGGGCTACTTGACAATAAAGTCGGAACAGTACAAAATGGATGGATGGCTTAGAAGTTTTCGATTAGGGGGAACTCTCTTATCAAATATATGTAACATGAGGCTCTGGTAGACCCTCGAGCGCCGAGTCGAGGTTACATAAGATCCAAAAAGTTCCCAAAGGGCCTTTTGCCTCGCAGGCAGCCTGGAAGGCGGTGTCAGCTGCAGGCTGAGCTGGCGATGTGGACGGTCCACAAATAGTCCCCAAAAGTTCCTTTTCCCAAATCAAACGGAATGGCCAATGAATCACATTTACGCCACCAAAGTAGTTCATCAAGCCGGGTCGTTTGTTAACCCTGGCACGAGCCCTGCCGAACCTCAATTGCAATGCTAGCGATATCTTATGACAAGTCCGCAAAAGTTCTCAATTGATCCCTGACAACAAACTTGACATCAAGAAGACGTGCCTCACCCGAGATACTGGGATACTTCACAGAAACAAATTGCTGGACAAAAGTTCTTCAAAAGTTCCTCGTAATGAGGGCTTGGTATATATAGAATGCAAAGAAGCAGAGGAAAATCTAACAGAATTCACATTCTCAAGTCATTGCGAGCACCACGCCTTTGAATCCTCACCTTATCTTCAACTTCAAATATTCAGAGGTAAGAGACCTCACCTGAAGCCCCACTTGAAACCTAGGTAGAAATGATGTGATGCAGCAGCTTGAAATGGGTTTGAAATCACGTGTTGGCAACTCGCAACACCAGCCACTGGATAACGTATGGATCAACGACGCCGCCGACGTGGCTCAAATTGGTTGACAGTGCAATAGGACCCTGGCAATGCTTCTCACAACAGCCATGATCGCCCAAATGAACCACAAAAGCGGCATCCGTACAACACAGTGCATCGCGAATGGCTAGGCGTAGCCGTCTCCGAGGGGGGCGAAACGCCGAAGCCGGTTGACGGACCTGAGGCTTCGAGCTTGAATCGGTGGCTGCAGGAGAGCATGCGTGAGGAACCATACAATGTCGTGGCTGAGTTCAGAACCGTCGAAATGGCGGCTGCAGATTCGACGGCTTGTGGTAGTTGTGTTGGTGCTGTCATGTGTGAGAGCTGTATTGGCGTGTCTTCTGAAAACAAAATGTAGCTTGGGGGAAAGATTAGCGGGAGGATGCAACGCGCAGGGGCCTACTGAGTTGTAGCTTATTTATGTCTCACAAATGGAACTTGAAGTAGCGTCCCGTCTTCGAGCAGCCCGGTGGTATAATAAAACAACCCTGTGACCCCAAAATTGTCGGCGCTTCAATTATCTCATTCCTTGCTCTTCGCCTTTTCAAACTCGTCTGGCGGCGAAGTTCTACGGCTCTCCTCAGTTGAAAACGACTTCGCACCGAGTCCAAAATTCACGATGCTTGCAGGAAAAGGAAAGTGTAGATACCTACCTTTTTTCTAAGCTCGAATTAACGTCATTCACAGATATAAAATCAGGGCGTCGCCTAGCGGCAAGGCTTCATACCCGAGGAAAGCGGCGCAATGTAAAATTCAGACACAGGAGAAAATGGACACAAGCTCTTATAGCCTCTGATTCTGCCTCTGAAAAGAATCCATTGGCGCACTTGGATGACGCAACATCTGCTACACTTTTGGACGAGGAAGAAGGCCAAGATGCTGAGTTCCACATGTACCAATCTCGAATTGATACTCGCGGTGAACGGGTAGTTCTTCAGGTTGGTGCGAAAATCGACTTCGAAAATCGCCGCCCTCCTAGCCATGCAGCTGCTCTTATCTTGACCAGATTCTACTCAGAGTCAAAAAAGCTGGTAGAGACAACATTAGCCATCCGATCACCATACCTCAAAAAAGCTTTGCGAGAAATCATCAAATACTATCCCAGCGAAGATCTCGATTCTAGTGCGGATATTGAGCTGGATGACGAGCCGTGGTTGCTGTTCCATTACCGCAAAGAGCTTAAATCATACGCAATGGCGAGCAATGACCGGAAAGTTCGGGACCTTATCAAACTTTGCCTACAGTATGTCAGTAAGAAATTTCGGAGAGAGCTTGTATTTCATGAGAATATCAAGAATAATCCCGATGCGATACCTACGCTCGAACATCGAAACCTATGGATTGTGTATAAGCCGGGCGACTTCATGTACCAGTGCATCGAGAATCACCATACAATACGCGACTTGTTGCTATACATCAGACTTCGAGCAATGGATCAATAGGTACCTATGATGGATACCATCTCATGCTAGAACAACTGCGGTGCAATGGCACGAGGTTCGGATTCGTCCGCATGGGGGAAGTTATAGATTCCTACAAAGGCAAAAAATCCTTATCTGAATTGTCAATTTACCCCTTTCAGTATCATGCCGAGCGAGGTAAGGTGAGAAGCCATGTACTCGACAGGGGCCGAAAGTTCATCTCGTTATACGGCACTCACCATAAACTCTACGAGACCTTGTCAGACTCGGATGGAAGCAAAGGCCTGGATGGGAATCAAGACGAGGATTTCAAGAAGGTTTGCAGTACCTCGTGTCATAATCGTGGAGATGCACCGCTGACACTCTCATTCTCAACAGACTGAACATAGAGTCATACTGGATTGGAAGCAGTACCATGAAACATTAGGAAGTGCTCCTGACTTTGTCAGTGGGACACCTCAGATGAGAACAAGATTGGATGAGCATCTGAATCTTAAGGACGAAGACTACCTCATTACCCACTACAAGATCCCAGGATACTGTCTGACACACAAACAGTGGAGCCGTTTTCCAATTGATGGCCTCAAAGACATTGACTTCAACGTGACCGCTTTTGACAGCCTGGTTCTCCCAAAAATCAAAAAAGATCTAATAAGTTCTCTTGTAAAGGGCCAGGAAATTGAAACCTCTTCTTTCGACGACTTGATAGCGGGGAAGGGCAAGGGATTGATATTTCTCTTGCACGGACCCCCGGGGGTTGAGAAAACATTAACGGCAGGTAAGATAAAACTCTGTCCGCCCTTCTCTTGTTTCATTGACTAATTGGGTTGTTATGTAGAGAGTATTGCGGAATACACAAAGCGGCCACTGTTTACTATCAGCTGCGCAGATCTCGGTGTTGCGCCTGCATCCGTGGAGAAGTCACTGAGGGCTTCTCTCGAACTTGCCACACAATGGCACTCCATAGTACTTCTTGATGAGGCCGATGTTTTCATGGAGGAAAGGACCCGTGACAACCTCCCGCGAAATGAACTTGTATCAGGTGGGTCTCCTGTCAGCACTGAAAACTCCTACCCGACGAGATCGATGCGAGACTAATAACCAGATAGTGCTCTTACGAACACTCGAATATTTCGAAGGAATCATGTTCCTGACCACGAACCGTGCTACATCCATCGATCCAGCATTCAAATCTCGGATTCATTTATCTATCTCGTATCCAACCCACTCATTAGAAAGTCGAAGGGAGCTCTGGAAAACATTCGTATCGAAGAGCTCAGCCACGGGCAAATTGATTTGGCTGAATGAAAAATCATTGAACAGAATGGCAAAAGTACCGATAAACGGAAGGCAGATCAAAAATATCGTCCGGATAGCGCATTGTCGAGCTGTCAATGAGAAGCGGGAAATGGCGCTGGAAGACATTCTTCTGGGCTTACAAGCTCTGGAGTTATTTGAGGAAGAGTTCAAGAAGGCCCAGGAAGCAACGGGAACGAAAAACCTCATTGGTTGGCGACAAGTTACCAGATGGGGAGCACTGGCAATGAGCGGAGCTTTGTGTTCAATTTTGATAGTTTTGGGAATCATTTTCGGAGTATGGAAACTTGGAGAATATTCAAGGCCGGGTTTCGAGAAAGTTTTCTGAGTAGACGCTTGAATTAACCGAAACAAAGGATGGGATAAAAGTTAGAGAAAACTTCGCTTGCAAATGATACTCTTCCTAGAAATATCAACAAGTTCAGTAATTCGAGGTGTTGGAACTTTCCAATTTTGTTTGGGAGACGGGCATTATGGCTAGCATATTCTCACCCCATACTCGTCAGGACTTACAACCAATGCTCGTAATTGAAGCTACAGAAACTGTTTATATACAAGAAGGTTCGATTGCCCTTGAAGTCCTATGTCCTTCAGCTGCTATATAATTACGAGTATACGGTATTTTAGAAGTTCATGTCACGTGTGTCGCTGGAGAACACCAAGACTGCTCTACCGGTGCAACCCTTGACAATCATCTTGAGGAAATTATATATTTGTTTACAGTTATATTCTTTTATACAAATAGTAGTGTTTAACTAGCCTTTTGAGGAGGTGGATACTTTTCAAAATGATTGGCTTTTCGGGAGGATGTAAAAACATCAGTGAGGCAAGGACTGCGACCGTTCATTTGTTATTAAGCTTAGGGGAAATCTGTACATGCAAGATATCTATGATAATGACTGATTTTTATGGTTACTCGCGTCATTGTTTTGATCCAAGTAAGTAAATAGGGAACCTCCACCTCCTTCTTTTCCTCCCTCCCACCTCTGGCCTCGCTCCGTTCTGCCATCTGATGTCTAAAGTTTAAATTCTCCTCGTGTCACCAGTTTAAGATGCTCAGTCAATTTCTCGGCTTGCTTGCTGTCCGTCTGTCGGGGGGAAGGGGGGAGGTTCCAGCACGTGCGTACTGCGGCGATAATCCTGCCCGGGAACTTCTTGAAGATCCGGTCCACATTTTTTGTACGAAGGGCGGAGAAGAATGAATTCTTAAATATATACAAAAGTTCAGTCCAAACCAGTCCCAGGAAATTTTCCTAAAGCTTAATCTGAACACCTCTGCGCTTCATCAAAGATCTTCCTCGCTGCACATCTCCAAGAAAGTTCTCCAACCCCAAGGCTTTCAAACTGCATTGAATTCCAACCGCTCCTCCCACCCTACCACGCCTCATGCCATGCCCAAGTACTGGCACTCACTTCACGCCACCTAGTGGTTGTAACCATTTCCATTGCACTGCTTAATCGGGTAGCTATTCGAAGTGCAAAGACTGATAGAACCCTGGACCCAAGAAAGTCCCTTGTAATCATTGCTGAAGTGCTGATCGGCCTGGAAGTAAGTGCTGCGCTGGCTACCAATGCAACCGACCTTTGCGTAACCGCTGCGGCGGTAGACGCGAGGGTTGCTGACCATGATTCCCCACTTGCCCTTGGGTACGGTGGAGGTGTAGGCAGTGTTGTAGGTTGAGGTCCATTGCTGGGTGAACGTGATGCCGACGGATGCGGAAATTACGCTTTTGATGAAGGGGAAGTCAACGGAGCTGGAGGTCGTGAGGGTGTCCTGGACAGTGTGGCCGCCTGATACGGAGATGGTGCCTGGGGAGTTGGTGGCGTGGAATGCGGAGGACTGTGGAGGAGATAGGAGTTAGTACTCACTGCTATTTCAACAGCATGGTAAGAGTGACAAGATGATGTAGGAGACGGAAAGGAAGGAGTGTCTAAGTTGGAGGATAGAGACTATAATACAATCCTCCTTGGACAACCTGTCCCGGAAAGTGAAGTAAGAAACTCAGAGAACGCTTACCATTGGGACATCCCAATCGAGAAAGTCGATGTCTTTGTTGCGGACGATGAGCTTTGTACTTGTGCAGCGCTTCTCGACGTCGGAGTCGGTACTGTTGGATCCCTCTCCATCAACAGGTGATTCCCAAGAGTCAACATTGTCGAAGGGAGACTCAGGTCGGTCGATGGTGGTATTGGTTCGAGCCAACTCGGCTTGGTAGTCTGCGAGCTTGACGATCTCGTGGCGGCCGTTGTCGCCGAAGACGAGGATCTCATCTTCTCCAATATGGCGCCGGGCGATGGCAGCAGAGCTGACGAGCGAGCTAGCGGCTAGGATAGCCGAAAGGAAGGAGAAGGCGTGCATCTTGGGGTTTGGGGGGTGGTGAAGGGGTGAACGAGTGTGGGGAGGAGAGAAGGAGTGATCTGAGCTGATGGTGAGATAAAAAGGTGAAGGTATTTCCTTGGTTATATACACTCTGAATACATCGTGAAGGAGCAAGTAACTGATCCAGCGCAGAAATCCCGAGCTTTGAGACAACAGCTATTCTGGAAAAGGGAGGTCAATTCAGGTAATTTTGCCAAACGAATGTAAATGATTGTGTCGGTACCAGATTGAACAAACCACGGGTCTTGAAATTGCTCATCCAGACACCTTGTGATCTTCTTGACTCAGTCAATTGGAAGATAAGGAACAGTTCACGTTGAGCACATGCTCGAATAGAGTAGATATGGAGACGAGCTAACATTAAGGTGGACTGTGATGGACCGTTCTAGCCTGCTCGATGGATTTATGTGCTCAATGAGGCCTCAAAATCAGACATCCGAAGAACCGAAAGGGTCGTGCTGCTGTATCGGATCAGTTCCGGGTATACAGAGCCGGCTGGGAGTTGATGGGGCTTAAACCAATATAATTTCAATTGGTGGAAAACCCATCGTAATGTGGATCTTCAAATCTGATTCCACTTTCTCTGAAGCATCAGAGATGAAGAGGGCCCACAAGGCTTAGTTAGAGTCAAAAGCTTAATTCTCGAACAGTTCTCGGTCCCCGCTCCGAACCAATGAGGTGCTCGTGTCGATACTCGAGGCAGCCATTGGTTCGCCAAACAATGCGGCCGCACATCAATGTAAACAAGACAGATTTTTTCCCCGGGCCGAGCAAGCTTGTAATTTAAGCTTAGCCCACCCAAGATCTTAAGTTCCACCTCATGTTGGTACTGGAGGAGTCTGCTTTGTTTACATCACGCCTTTTCTGGGACCGTTGCCCGACTCCGAGAAATTCCCAAATGACGGGTCGGGGTCGGGGTGATCCTTCATAGATCTCCGATGAAACCAGATGGCTGGGTTGAGTTGAGTTTACTCAAACCTTTCTACCATGCGAGCTACGTGTGATGATTAAGATTCAAAAACGCCTGAATGATTTGTTTAGAAACATTTACTCCAATAATTTGAGCAGAGCGAATGCAGCAATCGGCCTTGTGGCAAGAAGATCCAGACTACTGTTACCCTATCCTACGTTCTACCAGTCATCCCCACCTCCTTAGCAAATACAAACAGTCAAATGGATACCATCCACATATAATTCACAACGATATCAAACCCCACTGTACTTCCGAGTTCCTACCGTCGGTCACCCACTCCCGATTCTCTCAAGTTCGGTACAGAGCACCAACACCTGGTTCGAGCATCAGGGAGAAATTCGGCACAGTTTGACTCTCCTTCTCCTTTCATCTCCTTCATGTCAAATAATTTGATATACTATCTTGACTCGTTATCTAGCGGAAAGTGCAAGTGTTTCACAGTGGCCGCTGAATTTCTAAATTCGGAGTTCGTTATATCCATGACTACTCCACTATGGCGAATTTCGACTTTGATGAGCTGGATACGTTGGATATCCAGGATAGAGTGTGAGAATGGCTTGACTCATGGATTATGGATGGGTTCTCTGGAGTGAGGAGCGAAGAGTGAGATAAGGAGATGAGCGTATATCAAGAGCGAACATCCCCGTCTAGTAGATACATCTTGAGATCATCCCCAGCTGCTCTCTCCTCAGTCCATCTGGTCTTCAGTCACTCAGTCACTCGTTCACCTCTGCTCCATCTTACCTTACACTCATCCTTAATTTCCTCTACCTTCATATCCTCCCCATCATCACGAACAGTCACCCCACAACTCACAACCGCAAAAATGAAGTTCTCCCTCACAACCCTCATCATCGCTCTCGCCGCTGGGTAAGTGTCATGTCCACTTCCACTTCCACTTCCCCTCCCCTAACCTCTCTTTCGGCATCATCAAAACAATGGATACCAAGCCAAACCAAGAACCAAGCTGACATCCCTTCCCCTGATTCCAGCGCAGCAGCAGATGTGCACAGATTCTGTGTCTGCGCTAACAAAGCTGGTGGTGGTGCGGTAAGTGAAGCAAGCCAATTCGTTTGTTTCTGTTTCCGTTTCAGTCTCTCTATTGGGCTGTCTCCAACCTCTTTTATTCATCGCATTCTCAGAAGTGGCATCTCATCGATGCACCTGAATGAGTTTGAAGTTTATCATGTTCCTGAAACTTCAGCCTATTTCTTGTCATGTCATGTCATGTCAGGTCAAGCTTGCGGAAGGATTTCGAGAGGACTTTCTTCTCTCACCCACCCCTCCCCTCTCCACTTCCACATGCCCACCACCTCCCTCCCTCATTTCCACACCTCCCTACCTCATTCCCACAACCCCCCTCCCTCATTCTCACACCACCTCCCCTACCACAAACACCATTCAAACTAAACTAACCCCTTTGCCCCTCCCCTCAACAGCTAGAATACAACGACTCCGCCACCGCCAAATGTGCTCCGCCTACCTCCGTCGCAACACAGGAAACAAGCAGTGGGATAAATGCCCGGATTGTACTTTTGTGAGTCTCTTCTTCCTTCTTTCTCTCCCTTCCTCATTTTTCCACTCTGCCGGGCCTTCCCCCTTCTTTCTCGGTTCCTCCCTCCCTGGCTTCCTCAGATTCGTACCTTTTATACGATGGCATATCTACGGGAAAAAAAAGTTTGGGGAGGAGGGAAGAGGGAGGAGGGAAATGGTTATTGATAAACCTGAGCTGATGAAAATACAAACAAATAGGTCAAGAGCGATCTCCTTTGCCGCTCGAATGGGTTTCATATGGGTGGTGATGAGGTATGTTCTCATTTTCCATTCCCTTTCCTCCCCACTTTTCCTTTCTCCCTTCCATCCTCCCCCCTTTCTCCCCTTCCCTATTTTCCTCTCAAGCTGCCCCTCCATAAGAATGAGAAGGAGATAGCGAATGAGAGTAAGAGTGGAGATAATAGAGCATGAAAAAGAGAAAGAGAAAGAGAAAGAGAAAGAGAGAACTGACATAATGGTGGTGATACAGGTTAGTTTCTACTGTAAGAAGTTCGGGGCTGGGGTGGCGAGATGTTAAGTCGGTTTGGCTGGGGTGGGGTGGAGTGGGGTGGGTGCAATTGGTAAAGGAGCGGGGATTGGTGATGTTGGGTTTGAGGATATGATCGGCTGAGGTCAGGTCAGGTCATGTCGGGACTTCGCTCGCTCGACGAGAGGAGAGGAGGTCAGAGAAGACTTCTTCCTTTCTGAGGAGGAGGAGGAGGATGCTGTTATTGTAGTTTATTGTTCAGTGTATATATTCACCTTCTCCTTCCCCTTCTTCACGATCCATAATCCATCATCCATACCACGAACGACGGAAAGTGAATACTCATCAGTGTCCTCTTTGCCTGGAAGGATATAACATTATAACAATCTTTGTGTCTTGCCTGGAGGTTGGGTCGAAGTCGGGTTCGATGAGTGTTGTAGACTTGTAGTTGTGCTTGTCCTTGTGCTTGTGCTTGTGCGTGCTGTGGCTTGAATTGGTTAGTGTTGGTGTTGTTGTACGTGTGGATGTATGGTTTGGTCTTCAATGCGGTGTGCATGTGCAAGAGATGGTAGAGGCGGGAGAGGTGGTAGAAATGGGAGAGTTCAAGCTGTACTTTTGGGTTATTTATAGTGTTAGAGATAGTGAGAATGCGCTTGAAGATTGTAGTATGTTCAAATTCATGGATCTCCAAATGCTTGTGTCTGGCCGTTTTTTTATATGATATATGGTGCTTAATACATTGAGGAGCGGTGATGAGAAGCGATACGATAAGATTCAACTGATTATTAGCATAACACATTCAGTGCGAGATAGCATGCATGCATCATAGCAACAGATAAGCCAAGACAAGAGTAATGTGAAGCCAAGCCAGCACCATGACTGTTGTTTAAAATGGGAAACGAAAGTATAAACCGAAAGCTGATTTTTAATGGAATCGAGATTTATTCTGTACCTTTGATTTTGTTTCTCATCTCCGACTCGTGGACTTAACAGAGACAAAAATGAACAAAAGAAGTTCAGAAACCAACCTTCTGTCCTGAGTGATGGTGAGAACGGACGGTGTATTGTCAACAATATGATGGGATAGGTGCCTGTCCTTGATAATATCTATTCACTTCCTAATTTTTTTTTGGAAGATAGTGAGGAAAGGCAAAACAGAAAAGAAAGAAAGAAGAGAATCAGGTAATAGACGAGAGCGGGGAGTCTTGATATAAATGCTCTTGAAAACCCACAGATACTCTCTCGCGGGGCGTGCGTACTTGCGTACTTGCTTGAGTTGCTTCTGGAAAGTCATCTATCCCACCTGCTGGCGAGATGTGCTTATTATATATTTTGTGATATCTCAAGTACTTGCTTGAGTGAGAGCTTTTCAAGTTTGAGCTTGATGCTTAATACTACCTGCTATTCCTACTTATACAGAACAATAATTCCTTCTGCTATGCCCCCAGGCTAGCTGAGGTAGGTCTATGTTGTGCAAAGGACCATGACCCAAGAGCGCAAGCGAGCAAGCGAGCAAGCAAGTTCGTTCAAAGCCGAATGTTACTTGGGAAAGGTCTAGACCCAGGCTCGATCCCGTGACGTCGAGAAGCTAGCCCACTGGGTAGGTAGGTAGGTAAAGTCAGGTACCTACCTACCTTAGGTAGGTAAGTCCTAAGGTAGAAGAGTGGGTCTTCAACCAAACTTCCATCATGATTCTGATTTTGATTCTACACCGCTTTGGTTTGGGTTGTTAGTCTAGCCTAGCTTAGCCGTGACGTAACGTGATGTGGTATTGAAATTTATTATGTGGTGGTTGGGAGGGGGAGGGAACGGGTAGAGATATGGCGGGCGGACTGGAAAAGATATGGGCATGGGGGAGGTAAGGTACCCGGGACTAAGGATCGTGGTTGTGGTTGTGGTTTTGTGTAGGTGTGTGAATGTGTAGTTGGAGGGCGATATGGAAATGGGTGGAGTGGAGTGGAGTGCAGAGGAGGGTGGGAGGTTAGTGATACAAGTGGATTCAGGAAGCCTTGATATTGAGTGGATGAGAAGGGTTGGATGTGCTGGCTTATTAGGAAGGCTGTCGAGTTGAAAGGATCTTCCGTGGGCTTTGTATAAATTACTGCCATATGAGGTGTAAATCTAAGAAAGCGTGGGGGTATAAGTCCAGATACCGAAGAACTTTTTCTCACAACGATTTCCACACCTGGTTGATGTTACTACTGTACTTTACCCGCATCTAGACATTGCTTTGCAGGTGCCCAGTGTGCGTGCCTTGCATCTGCAGCACCTGCACTTGCTTGCATTTGCAGTAGATGGGATGGATAAAAGTGTGGGTATCGACTAAGAAGTTCGTTTGCTACCTAATCAATACCGATGTGGTAAGCTGATGATGGATGGCTGGAAAGGTGGTTTAGCGCGCGTGGCGCCGTCTTTGCTTTTTGCTTTGTGTGAGTGCAGGCTGGTGGCGGGGTTGGGCGATGGAGGGGTTGTTGAGGGCCGGATTGGTTGCGTTTTGAGGATGGCGTACAGTATTGCTCACTTTATTCCTGATGCGGGAGAGACGGATGGTTGTTGAATGTGGAGGTGGTAGTGGTGATGGAGGGAAAAAGTATCTTGAGTCATGGGATGCATGTTGACATGGATTCTGATGTGAGGGGCAGGAAAGTTAAAGATCTTGTGGGAGAAACAGGTACAAAATTTGTCGCAGGCATGTGAGATGTGTTGGGAATTGTGTAAGAGCCTTGAGTGTTGGCTGCGCCAGCACGAAGAATAGCAGAGGTGACTGACTTACTGGGTGTATCCTGGAGCGCATGTTGTAGCTTACAGCAGGTGAGGTTGAAAATGTCGTACAGATCCTTAACGCACCTAGCATTAGGCTGTATGTATGGAAAAGCGGTATCCAGGCACTGCATCTTACTGTACCTGTCTGTGTACTTGTACCGTACCTTGGACCTGGAGCGGTAGGATCGGACAGGCTGGCATGATCTGACCTGATGCTTGTTCCTGGGTCTCGCCTGTTTGGTGGCCTCGTGAGTGGAGGTGACTGTGACTGTGACTGTGACTGTGTGTGCCCAAGGTAGTCGGGACGCAAAATGTCGTATCCTGATTTGACATCCATCCATCTCACGAGATGTCAGCTTGGACCCTTAGCTGTCCGCATCCTTCAGCTTTGTTACCTTTCCGAGCCCTCCTCACGTCCCCCTTACCTGTCTGTCAGATCACGCCTGGCTTTCCTGGCTTGTGATCTACCTACGGCGGGACCAACAAGGAGGGAAACAAAGCTTAAGCGGTGAGTGGTGGACGCAGCGATATGGTACTGTAGCAAGAGAGGACGGCCTCATCCCTTCTTATCAAGCAAATACAGAGAAGCCATTACATCCTTGGCTGGCTGTCATGTCCGATAGAAGCCGTTGATGCCGAAGCAGCGATGCAGATGCGATGCGATGCGATGCGATGCAGATGCAGATGCAGTCGAGACAGGAGACAGGTCAGAAGAGGAAAAGAGAGCAGAGGCCTCGAGGGTCTCGAGGGCGACGAGGCAGGGAAAGAGGGGAATAATGACATCGTTCCCGCTGCTGATCCGGACACGAAGGACGACCTAGACCGGGATGTGAGGTGGGGAGGGGAGTTGGCCTAGGCGGAGTGGGATCCATGCCCGTAGAGGGAAAGGGAGGGGCTGCGATGACAGGACCAGGATGCGATAACATAACCACGATCTGTTATCGATAGCTGGCCTGCCAGATCGACCATGACCTTGTGCCATAATATTATACGACAAGGAGCAAGTATCCTACTCTACCTGGACTGGAGGTTGATATAATAAGAAGAAGAAGAAGAAGAAGAAGAAGAAGAAGAATAAACATGTCGGTCCGAGGCGAGGCTTTCTTTATATGGACGATATCCACCTGCCCTCTCGTATGCAGGCCTAGGCCTCTTTTCTGCAATATGCTGGCCAGCCTGTCCTGTCCTGTCCTGCCCCGCGAGGTTGGACGAATAATGGGCACTGTACTGAATGGTCCAGATAGCTGCCCCTCCTGCAGATTGCCCCCAAGCCCATCCCCATCTGGCAAAGGCAAGGGGGAAGGGGGCAACAGCGCAGTCATTCAGGAACCGCAACCGCAGAGATCCTGAAACAGCCCCGAAAGGCGCTAAAGATGACCCGCCTGCTCTTGGAATGGGCTGGATCTGCGCCTCGCCTCGCCCCTCGTCCGCTCTCTCGAGGCAAACCTTTCAGCCCTTCCAAGAGGAGGGTGAAGCCTCACTTACAGATGGCCTGGGCACTTGGTGTAACGACTAGTGATATATCAGGCAAAGGCTTCACTTTCTGCTTCTTCTACCTTTCAAATTCAAGTACAAGCAAGTATCAATGTTTTTTGGTGTTCGCACAACACTGTTGCTGATAAATAGCTCTGCCTGGATACGCGCATCATCTCACCTAACCTACAGTATTGCTCGCATCATTCCACCTGATCTGGTCTCACTCCGACTTCTCAGATGTAACCGTCCACGACAACTCACGCAACTACGCAACTCTATCAAAACCTTCAACCGGCGGACTGCCCCCAACCTCAGGCCAGGCACGGTTGATGTGGCTCGCTTCATCTGTTTGGGCCCTACCAGAGAACCGCACCCAAGCCGGCCTCAACCCAGGACCTCAGCCTGACACTAGATACCCTGAGTGGTCCCCATAAAGACGCTGGTCTTCAAGACTTTCTCAACATCTTATCCACGGGTCTATAGAAGAAAAGAATATATACGTACCTAGATCGTACCTACAGTAGTGTTCGCACCGAGGAAACTATATATTTGAAGCCCCTGCCCTGCCCGGCCCCGCCTCTTGACGAGGTCGATTTCTTCCCCTGGTTTTCGCTTCCAGCCTCTTTCCCAACACAACACAACACAACACAACACAACACAAGCAAACTCCTTTCTCTTGCATCCATCCACTCCCATCCCATCTCAAGCCTCTTTTCCCGCTACGCACTCACACTTGTCTGCTCGACTCCACTCTCGTTCTTTAAGTCCCCGTCGTGCAGCTCCAATTCGTAAGCCCCGACGCTGCTCACACTCGCTTATCGCCACACTAGGGGAGGTCCAAGTGCAAGTGCGTGCAAGCCCACGGCCAAGCCAGCCGGGTTTGCCCTTCCAGGGTCTGGCTTTGCAGCTTGCGCTGCACACTCCACACTGCACACTGCACCTCACTACTGGACTCCGCTGCATCCATCGTGCCCGCCCTGCCCTGCCCTGACTTGCGCCTCTCTCCTCACCTTCCCGCGTCAAGTCAGGTCAGGTCAAGTCAAGTCAAGTCAAGTCAAAAGGCAAAGGCACAGGCACAGGCAAGCCGCAAGCCCACCAGAGCGGCCGTCGTAGTCCTCTCCTCTCCTCTCCTCTCCTCTCCCTCCTCTTCTCTGCAATCCGACCACCACCACCACCACCACCACCACTACCACCTACCGCAGATCTCGCCCATCACTATCCAACATCCAACATCCGGCTTCCCTTGGTTGCACCATCCACCATTTGCCATTCCTCTCGACTTCTCAACATCAAAAGCCTCTTCTCAACTGGCTCTGCTCTGCACAGCTCCTCGTCCACCCGATCAACTGTGTTCCTGGCGTTGGAGGCTGATCCTTGCTGCCGATTATCGTCGCTATCCCCCTCCCTACCGCGAATTCTCCCGGTCGCATAACTCCCATATTACTTCGTCCTCCCCGCCTCGTCTTATCGATCGCACCGCTGTCGAGAGATAACAACCATCTTAAGCATCGCCTTCTACGAGGATCACCAACAGGTCCGTTCATTCTCGCCGGAAGAAAAGCAGAAGACTCGAGCGTTGCTGCTGGGCGAGCTTGGGACTTTGAAACAGCCGCCAACAACTCTCACTGGATTGCGGCTCAGCACTCGCAGCCTCCGCACCGCACGGTACCTGATTCCAGGCGGACAACAACTGAACAATACCATTGTATGCGTCTTGATGTTTTGATAGTTCATCCTCATCATCTCTCCGACCTCTTCCAACTCTCTCCTTCGACTTCCTGGGAATAGTGTCGCCCCCGCCATCCCGCCGACGATCCCCAGCCTCTTCCGTCATATATCCTCAAACCTGCCGACCCACAATCGATCACCACAATGGCTTCGACAACATTCTCCCCAGTAAATACAAACCTCGCCTCCGATCCCCACGGTCGCAACGGAGAAGAAGCAAATCCTTTAACCCCACGTCCGAGCACCGCACCGAGCTCACAACTCCACCCTCAAATGCCTCGAGACGACGCAAGAACTCCAACCAGGGCAACCTTCGGTCTGGATAACCAACGACCCCTTCCTCCTGCCTCTTCTCCCTTCGTACCTCCTACGCCATCATCTTCGAATGAGGAGCAATCACAACAAACGGGCTTGACCCGTGGTGACTCGCAGCATTCGACCAAATCTGGAGACTCCGCAGATGTAGATATGGATTCAGAGGATAATGGCGAGGAAGGATCTGAAGACGACGCAAGCGTGAATGCAGATGGAACCAGGTCTACGAAAAAGAAGGGGAAATCCCAAAGATTCTATTGCTTGGACTACCCACCATGTAATCTAAGCTTCACACGAAGTGAGCATCTTGCTCGACATATAAGGTAGGCAATTTTGCTTTCCCACTGTGCTGTGCTAACTTGGACAGAAAACACACCGGTGAACGCCCATTTCAATGTCACTGCTCTCGCCGATTTTCTCGACTCGACAATCTCCGACAACATGCCCAAACCGTCCACCAGAACGAAGATATCCCACCAGAATCACTGGCTGCCACTGGAACTCGATTCCAGAGACAAGTTCGCACGGATAGGGTCAGACCAGCGGGTAGGTCAAGGGCATCAACAGCATCAAGTCAGGGCAGTCAAGGTCGTGGCCACCAACGGAACTCTCTGTCTCTTTCCAGTATGACCAGCATTGGCTCGGCTGGGTCGATTTATCCAAACCGAGATGATGTGAGGAGACGCCCGCCACCACTTGTTATGGCAGATGGCCGAAATAGGTTCTCGCAGGAAATATACCGACCAGACAGCCCGTCGAGTGGGTACTATCGACAAGATTCCTATCGCCCACAGTCTCCCGGCTTCAGCACTCCCACTTCTGCGACTTTCTCAACCGGTCAGAACAGCCCTCATTGGGCATCCGGAATGCAATCACCAGGCTCCACACATTCTCGTACCGCGAGCTTATACTCTGGTCATCGAACTCCTGGTAGAAGACTCTCTGTACCATCCGCAGGTAACCCATTTCAGTCACCTCATGGTAACAACTTCGGCCCATCTACTCTTGGTCTGAACTCGTCCAACGCTGGAGCATTCTCACCATCAACAAGTATGATTTCAAGTCCTACTACCTCGACGAGTGGCTGGTCTCGACGGGAATCTATCAATTCTGTAGATTATGAGAACAGGCGCAGAACATGGCATCCAGAAACGCGGCCAGGTATGGAACACTTCACGAGCCGTCTACAAAACGTCACTACTCCTAGTCACTATGCTACTGGACCTGGTCCTCTACCTCAACCTCCCATTGTTCCTAGCCAGCCTATGCGTCTTCCAGGAATTGAGAGTTTCGATCCAGTTCCAAGGCCGACTACTCCTGTCCAGCGACAACCAAGTCCGATGATGATTGATACGCCCAGTCGTCCCCCAATGAACTACGATCGAGAGCGACCAATCAGTCAGCATTGGGAGCAGGGTATCAATCGAAACATGAATCGTCTTGATATCACTCAGGGTACGCCTCCAACGGATGCAGCAAGCCAGTGGGCAAACGACGCCAATAGAGCAGTTCAATCGGCTCGTGAACAGGTTCGACAACAACCAGCAGTTCGATTTGAAGAATCGTCGTATTCAGCCAGGCCGCAGACCAGCAGTGGATATCCTCAACACCAACATCATGTCAGTGCTCCAGTTGCTCCAGTGACTCCACGGGAATCCAAGCGTCAAGGCTGGTATCATGGTCCTCCTAACACACAACAGAATTTGCAACAACCAGTCCAGAGAACTTCTCCGGCAGAGTCGAGCGGTTCCGAAGGTGGAATTCCCGGAACACCCAGCAGCTCAATGGGCGAGTACAATCCTAGCATAGTTCACGCGAATGGTTGGGTGGAGAATCGAAATGGTCTTCAACAACACGATCCAAGAAATGGTCCAACGAATGGATACACGAACTATCCCCCTCAGAACGGTGCAGAAGCAGCGTATACGTATGGACCTGGCGCCCATCAGAATCAGGTACAACAGAACGACCAGGTTCCAAAATCGAACAGCAACATGAACAGATTAGAAGCGCTTGTAGCTGTCGCTACCGCTGCAGATGCTAAGGAGGTAACGGCGGCCTATTAGATGAGACCGAAGGGGGGGCATGATCAGTCAGCCAGTGAACAGACAGACAGGATTCTGTGTATATACACATTACTTCTTCGAGAGATACCCGCGTTTTCCAGTACGCTATGACACGACTTTAACGAATATATGATTTATGATCGCATCGGACTGGACACTGGTGGGGACTTTCCGTTACGATTATACGATGGGATTGGTGGGACCGGATGGGATTGGTGGGACCGGATGGGATTGGCTGGGCGGTTACAGTTGTGATTGCATTTTCCAGGCGTTTTGAGACTTTGACTTTGACCTTCTTTCATTGTCTAATTTGAGGTTCTTACTCCACTCTCATCGCTCATCCTGTTTTGTGTAGCTGCACAACAGAGGGAAGCATTCGCTACAAGCATTTTTTCCAAGCATCAGTACAGTATAGTACAAGAGAGGGTGGGATGCCAAAACACCATTCGTTCAGGCTTTGCATAACTTGCATTTGCATAGTTTCTCAAGGAAAGACGTTTTTCATTTTGGTCAGACGTTCAATATTCCATTACATTGTGTGCTCTCTATTACTTACTTTGATATTTATGGGTTTGTGATTGTGTTTCTTGGGTTGGGATGCGCTGCTTGCTACTACGAGAGGATTGGAGATTTTTGCGGATATCGCATTGGGCGGGCGGGTTTGGAACTGCTGCTTTGATAACCTATACCCATGCTATCGTTTGGAATCACCTGGATTCTTTGGATTTTTGGGAACTTGATTTGGGTACTGGGATGTTTGCTTTTGTGTGAAGGGTTGAAGGGGCCGAGCTTAATGTTTGGTGTTGTGTTGAGGTGCGTGAGGAGGGGGATCGATAGGTTCCGCGGTATGGGCCAGCTTGACTCTTGGGGATTGTATCTGCAAACCCTCTGCTTTCGCCTTAACTCGATGTCTCGAGTCAACACCGAGTTGCTTGAGCCTGAAGCTGAGGCTAAACCTGAGAATATTGCAAGGAGATGAGAGATTTAGGCATGGCCTTTTGAGAGAGACGAAGGCAGTGGGGTGAAGTGAGAGAGGAAAGAGAGGGTTTACAGTACAGTACTATAGGGTGTGCATTGCTTGCTTGCTTGGAATTCGGGATCCGGATTTAGGACAGGACAGGACATTTGATGGACATGATTGACAGGATTGAATTGGATTGGTACGGATTGGACTGGATAGTACAGGAGTATGTATGTATTGGTGTAAAGCAAAGCAAAGTAAAGTAAAGTCAAGAGTAAAGCGACGCAACGCAACGCAATATAAGGCAATATAACGCACTCATATTTGTCTCTCATGAAAACCAATTTGGATCTTTGGCTTGTCTTTTTTTTTCTTTTTTTCTTTCTTTTTTTTTGATGTTCTTTACCTAACCTAACCTACTTTGCAATGCGAGGGGGGGGGGGGGGGGGGGGGGGGGGGGGGGGGTGGCATGTATTCACACAAGATATAGTATAGATAGTATAGTATAGTATAGTGTAGTATGAAGGGACAGATAGGATGTTCTAACAAAAAATTAAATGCCGATTTTGGTGGAGGGTGGAGAGTGGAGTGCGTGAGGATATTTTTAGAGCTCGAGAATCGAGATACGAGATACGATACGCTGATTGGGAGCGAGGGTAGGGAGGAAAGGATCGAGAATAGGGTTTGGGGTTTGGGGGTGGGGGAGTGGGTGAGTGGGTGAGGGGGGGGGGGCTCCTTTGTTGCTTGGCTGTGTGGTGTTGTGTGGTGTTGTGTTGTGTTGGAACGGGATTGGGCTAGAGTGGAGTGGAGTGGAGTGTTTTCCTTCTCTTCTGCTTTTATGAAAGGAAAGCTATGAATCCTATGAATATTTCCTCTTTTTCTTTTGTTTTTTTGTTTTTGTTACGTTTTCGGTTTCGATCTTGGGGGTTCCTCTTCCTCGGTAGGCGGGCGGGCGGGCGGTCGAGGAGGGACGTTGTTGTATGCAGTCTGGCTGTCTCTCTGGCTGTCTGAATTCGTTTTTACATAGTCGAGTTCTCTCATTGTATTTAGCAGTTTGTGATCTTGGTTGGATAGAGCTGGATGGAGCTGGTGGAGCTGGGCCTTGAGGATGGGAGGAAATCCTGGAGTGAGTTGACTTGAGTTTAGGTTGTGGAGATTTTGAGTCGTGATAGCTTTTTTGTCATCTTTGTTGTACCATGCTATGATAGGCCTGGGGCTGTGAGACGATCATCAGGAAACGGGGGTGGGATGCGGATGTATGCATAGGAAGACATACGACAAGGAAGATGAGAAGCGAGGAGAGCGAGTGACGGCAGCCAAATGTAGGTATGTATGCCTAGCGCCGGGCCGCTCCCACAGGTTGAGTGTGGATGTTGGACGGGCCGCGTCGATATTAATCAACAGCATGTCTAGCGGATTTTGAAGTGCCGGTATGGAGTAAAGTAAGAGGGAAGTTGTGATTGAACGTGATAATAACAGAAAGGTGGAAGGGAAAGATCTTAGTATTGATCTTGAAAATAGGAATTCTCGAATAATGTCTCTGATTTGAATACATGATGCTCTCGGCTACTGCTTCTTGCGTGCGTCTGTCAAGTCGATTTGATACAAGCGAAACCCATAAGAGAAGCCTACACTGAACAGTCCCGTCTCGTATGACCGTACCACTATCTCTTGCGCTTCTCCTTGCTGCGTTTTGCAGCATGGAGCATTGCCTGCTTCATCTGCTCCTGTCTCTCGGCCTTCTGCTCACGCTCCCTTTCCTCCTTCGCCTCGTCGCGTTTCTCCTTGCTGCGTCGACCTGCTTCCAGCGTGGTATCTTCGTAGCCTAGTTCGCGCTCGAGGCTGTCTTCCTTGGCGTTGTCTTTGGATGAAGACATGCGGGAGAGTGCCTTTTGCCTGACCCTTAAGTTAGAGGGGAGCTTGGCGGGATAGACTGAGGAGTCTGGACTGAAACGGGGGGAGATTGCTCATACCTGTTCGTGTGGGTTTAAGAATACTAGTGACTACCAACGTGCCTGTCTTTTGGCGGCTCTGAAGGTATTGACTGTCGGCGGTTTTGTGTAGTGATTGTTATGGAGATATGTTGTAGAATATTGTATGTAGCTCTGCTGATTGCAACTCACAAGATTGCACAGGCCAGAGTGATGGAGAGTCTTTATACGTTTGGTATTTTTCGCACAGCTCTCAGTAAGACTCCCTCCAGGCGTCAATCTGCCTCGAGAGAGCAGCCTCACCCTCATCTTGGATTGTTGGTAGCAAGAATCCGGCCCTCAGCAAGTCCGTTTGGCGGGTACTTTGAGGCTCACAGTTGGCCTCATGGTCGGCGCAGCGGCGCTCGTTGAGCTGATTCTGGACATCCTCCGACAAGTGAGACGTGGACATAACAACTGTAGCAGAGGAAGAAATGGTGTGTAGATGGTCTATAACTGTACGAGGTGTCGCTTAATAGATGAAGGCGCCGGGCCGGGACGGTTGAGAGGGGACACCGCTTCGTAAACATCACGAGGATGATCAATTATGGCCCCATCATTCCCCTGTTAGGCGCGAGCAATTCTTGCGGCCCCGACAATCACCTTCTCTGGTCACTGCCTCAACGGTGCCTCACTTGTTTCAGGGCATGCCATGCGGCCATCAGCGCGCGCAAAGGCATGCAGAACATTTGGGGATCACGGGGTATGTAGCCAGTTTAGGATTAGTCAGGTCGCTTACTTCACGAGAAACGTGCCCCTGGACTTCCTTTGCAACTTCCTGTCTTGGTGATCAGGCAGCCTTTTGCTCTGTGCAGGTCGACATATATTTCAATCTACCTCGCCAACTGTCTTTGAAGCTTTAAACATTGAGAGGAGTATGTATAAAGACCGTCAAAATTTTGACAATCTCGCGTGGGATAAGAATGACGAAGCTGAGGAGGAGTCCCAAATGCGACTTCGCAGGAAGGATACTTGTCGTCAGGTTGAAAGTCTCGTCAAACAGAAATACGGCAAATTGGCCACAATTGTGTCACCACTGGTTATCGGTGGCTTGAATATCCATTACAGGATCCATCTCGAAGGAGAAGACTCGTCCTCGGATGTCATGGTGCGGCTGCCCTGGCCCAGCGCATCTTGCTTCCCTAGCGAGAAAATATTGTACGAGGCGGCGACAGCGGAGTTCTTGAGATTGAACACCCATATCCCTAGTGCTCAGGTACTCTGTTATAGTCAGGAGTCCAACGTCGGGCCGTTCCTCATCCTCCGCCGGATCGAACACAGAGGTGACATGACGGATGCTCTGGCCGTTCCTGATCTGGATCCTAATTTGACACCCGTTCTGAACCTGGAGCTCCCCGAGAGCAAAATTCGAAGTCTATGGGGCAGTATAGCTTCGTGTTTGCTGGAGATTGTGAAACCCACTTTTCCTCTCATCGGCTCGTTGATCGAGGTCGATGGATCGTTCAGCATTGCCGCTCGACCCCTCACTCAAAACATGGGCAGCATGACACAGCTCGCTCACATTCCTCCTTCTATCTTCCCTCTAGAACACAAGGTTTATGCCACAGCCGACGAATGGTACGTGGAACTAGCCAACATGCACCTGGCACAACTTATCTTCCAACACAACGATCTCGTCTCGTCTGAGGACGAGGATGACTGCCGAAATAAATACGTTGCTCGTCAGCTATTCCGAAGACTGGCTAAAGAAGGCCGACTATCGACTTTCGGCTTCGTGCAGGACGACTGGTCCGCGTCCGCCAAGACTATGCATCCAATATGTCCGGCACCAGATACATCGGGTCCCTTTCGCTTCTGGTGCGATGATTTCAGACCGGCGAATGTTCTCTTAAGTCCAAGCCTAGACGACAGTGTAGCGGCCGTGATTGACTGGGAGTTCACATACGCTGCGCCCACGCAATTTGCTCTCGATCCGCCTTGGTGGCTCCTTTTCGAAACACCTGAAATGTGGACTTCTGGTATTGAGGCATGGAGCGAGGCGTATGAGCCAGTCTTGAGGATATGGCTTGATGCGATGCGGGATGCGGAAAAGGGAGATGGAGATGGAGATGAGTATCTGAACGGTCTGTCACTCTCGGTGTATATGCGAGAGAGTTGGACGATGGGTAGGTTCTGGGTTAATTATGCGGTGAGGAAGAGTTGGGCGTTTGATGCTGTCTACTGGACGTTTTTGGATGAGAGGTTTTTTGGGGAGAGGGGTGGGGATGGGGATGGGGATGGGGATGGGGATGGGGATGGGGATGGGGATGGGGATGGGGATGGGGATGGGGATGGAGATGGAGATGGGGATGGGGATGGGGATGGGGATGGGGATGGGGATGGGGATGGGGATGGGGATGGGGATGGGGATGGGGATGGGGATGGGGATGGGGATGGGGATGGGGATGGGGATGGGGATGGGGATGGGGATGGGGATGGGGATGGGGATGGGGATGGGGATGGGGATGGGGATGGGGATGGGGATGGGGATGGGGATGGGGATGGGAAGGAGTTGTGGAAGAAGCGGGTGGATTTATTGAGCGAGGAGGAACGACAGGCTATGGAGCCGTTTGTGAGAAGGAAGATGGAGGAGTCGAAAGAGCGAATTTTGGTTGAGTGGGAGCCGGATGAGGCGAGGAAGAGGTTGGGGGAGTTGTTGTTTGAATAACGGCAGTTGGTTAAATGCCTCCCAAGCAGTCTTCTGGGGCAGATTATGTATTGGCATCTCAAGTAGAGATTGTGATGTTCCACTCGTGGTGGAATTCAGGACTTACTGTTTGGGAGAAGGAGATTCATCCTTGCGGTAGGCAGCGCATTTCCTCAATTGCAAGCGGCGACAGCTGCTAGCGTACCACAGCTGATGTCAACATCGACTTAGCCGAGCCTGAGTAAAGACAGCACAGATTACGTACGGTGAGATATAGGAAGGGAGGTGTGCCCTGGTAGTAGAACACCAATAAATATGTATGTACAAAGAAATTATGCAACATATTTACAGAGCTTGAGGACCAATCTTTAGTAGAAGCTGAGCTCTCCAATGTAAATAGCCCTTACAGACACTGCGAGTAATATGGGTTGGAATATGTGCAAGTCGACCCCGCTACACAAGCAGTAGGTCCCTTGTACCCAACACCACCACACTGCCCCCACTTGCTTTGTGGAGCACCAGTCGGCGAACTGATAGCACTTGTTGCGGTCGCAGTGCTACCAACACTCTTACTGGACAATGTCGTCGGAACAGCCACATAACTTGAAGTCGAGCCCGGGGCAGAAGGACCATCTGGCCTCGAGAAACAACCACCCCCCGTACAAGTCAGATCAAACCACCTCAACACCTCAGTAGCGTTCGTCTGGATATTATGCGTCACCCCCTGCGCACTAACAGCCATAAACTTCTCTCCATAAATATACGTCGTCCACCCCGGCTGCAAGCCATCTGGAATTGTCTTGACAGGCGTACTCGGCAAACCCAACACAGCAGTCCACTCCTTGATCTCCTCCTGCAAATTCTGCGGATACAGAATATCATCTGCCGTCCCATGGAAGACCTGCATCTTAGGTCGCCACCCGCTATACCCCGGGTACGCAGCCTCAACAATAGATTTCCACTCCGCGCCCGTCTTGATGACTTTCCCCGTCGCGCAGGCATCGCTCCACACCGCATACCCGTTCGCAGCGTAACACCCAAATGCGACGCCTGCCCAGGCACTTCCGGCGGCGAAGACGTCCGGGTAGGAACCCAGGAGGACGTTGGTCATCATTGCGCCGGAGCTGGTGCCCATTGAAAAGACTCTTCGCGCGTCGCCTTTGTACTTGTCGAGAGTCCATTTCACCATACTGACGATTCCCTGGCTGTCGCCTCCGCCGTTGTGGGAGAGCGTCTGTGGGGAGGAGACGTCCCAGCATTGGTCGGCGGCGTTGGGCGAGTTGGGGAAGATCATGATGTAGCCGTATGTGTCGGCCAGGGTGGCGAGCTGGGTCCCTGCGAATGCATCTTGAGCTGTGCCGTGGCACCAGTGCGGGTTTACGAGGATGGGAGGGTTTGGAGCGATTTTCTTGGGGAGGTAGAGGTAGAAGGAGACGTTTGTTGGGTTGGGTCCGAAATACTCTTTGATTTGGATGAGGGGGTTTGCGGCGGCGGAGACGGAGGAGAGGAGACTGAGGAGGAGGACAGAGAAGCCTGCTAGGCGGGCGGAATGGAGAAAGGGCATTGTGAAAAGTTCGACTGGTGCCAGGTACATAAAAGATAGTATCAAAGAGTTGATACGAAGAGCAACGTACAATACAAAACAGTACAAGATACGAAAGCAAAGCAAAACAAACGAAGCACCGAGGCAGCTTTTTCATATATCAAAAATGTTTGGATGAACTATCACCCCTTTCGGGCCACGGAGGCAGCATACCGTCGGTTAGCACATTAATCTGGCATCGCAGGAAGATGTTCCGTTGAATTATGGGGAATGGGGTCTTTTAGCTCTGGGGTAAAAGGCAGGGAAGGGATGATGGGGGTTGGAAAAGTCAAATTTCTTCCGTCCGGTCGTTGATCCTTGACCCCTCATTTTGCATCTCGTCAGGTGATGAGGGGATTTAGTGTGTGAGTTAGTGGGGTATTGCCGGGCCGGTGCCCCCTTTGTTTATCACTAAATTTAAGCGAGTAGTCAGAGAGCCTTCGAAAGTGAAGTTGATCGGATTGGTATACACTTCTTCAAACCTCACAAAAATAAGTCGAGTTTAATGCTGTGTGGAAAGTTTTGTGTTCTTGCTCGTATTCAAAATCTTGTATTTGTATTATTTCAACCTGACACGGCGCTTTCAACATATTTACAATCCGCCCAGTCGCAGCAGTAGTAGTTCGCCGTCTAACTCCAAAAAATCTTCGCATTGCTCTGAGATATGTTGCTTTCGGGAGGGCAAGTTCGTGATCCGTTCGTTCATCGTGGCTAAGCGGAGGTCGGACAGCAGTTCATGATAGGGTCCACATCTCCAGCCGACATGTGGACTCGCTCAGACGTGGTCATGACCTACCTAATTGTCAGCAACGGCTCAAGAATGATACGGGATAGAACGGTATGGAAACTTACGGCCAAGTCCATGTCCTCTCTTCGAAATTGATTTCGCTTGACTCTGCTTGATCTTCGCAAGTCTCGCCCTAAATTCCAGTAAGTATCATCGCGTCACTGCCTCCCAAACAAGCACCAGTACTTACTCTTCAGCAGCTTCCTTCTCAAGCAATTTGATATGATCTCTCGCTTCTCTCACAGCAGTCCTTGCAACTGCTAACGCTTGATCTGCCTCCTTCTCCCTCTTTTCCGCATTGACAACCCTCTCTCTCGCAGCTAGGATGGAAGGGTCTTCGTGGCGATGCAGCAGCCCGCGTCGAGGAGGCGATGTGGAATGTGTGGTATGTCTGCCAGTTGTTCGAACGGGCGAAGCAGAGCGGTTGCGACGACCGAAGAAAGTCGATTTCCGTTGTGGGGTGTCGTCGCGGACAACGTGGGTGCTTGAGGATGTTGTGGTGGTGTCTGCGGGGTGTCTGTTGAAAAGAGGCATGGCTTCTTGATAGAATTCCTTATTCGGTTGATGAATGCTGAAGTAGGCACAGTTCGAGATTCCGAGAACTTGGAGAAGCTTGAATTGGGAAGTTTTGTGGGGATTTGGGGTGGAGGGGAAGGAGATGGGGAAGGCGGAATATAAATGCTAAAGCGTGAGTTTCACAAATCACCAACCAACTTCCCTGGAATTGGAATGATGATATGGCTGATGTGGAGGATTCTATGACGTTGTTGGCAGGGGCTTTCAGACATAAACAGGGGATGATTGGAGACGCGGCAAGCATGCACGTGACATCTCACGAAAAGGATTCTTGTCAGCATATGGTAATCTTACCGCAAAGCAAATCTCTTGGGACGAAGTTAACTCCTAGATCTCAGCATTCTAAAGAAGGAACCAAAATCAATGGACGTAATGCTCAGAGAAAGTTGGTGCCCCAAAGTCGGCTCCTGGACGGTTGGGTTTCCTGCTAGGCTTTTAGGAAACCAATCCATAGGCCTCCTGCATCACATGTTCTCTCCTGCAGTTCTCTCAATCAAAGTAACTATACAGGTGGCGTTATTTCACAGTTGTTGAACCAGGTAGTCCTCAAAAGGTTCAAGTAAGCAATGTATATTCCTTTTTTCTTTGTTTTGTCTCTGTTCAAATTTGAAAATTTGTGTTATACATGTTAAAACTCCACGAACATAAGGATTGAGGATATGCAATCAACACGAGCGCCATTCAAGAGTCGTCGTTACATCGCCGTCGTTGAAATATGTATGCTTGGAAGCGCCTCCTCCAGCTCCAGTCACCGCACCACGGTTCGTTATCATCAGGTATGCATCGCTTCCACAATCTGACCACAATCTATCTCCTCCCCCAACAGTATCTGTCACGTCGTATGTCCCCTTGGTCGGTCCAGCAAAGTCACGGCGTGTATCAGCAGTATCAGCATCTGCCTTCGTCAGCATGTACATTCACTCACGATACGAGTGGACCGTACCTCCTTGGAAACCATATCTCATCAGATGGCTTGCCGTCGTACCAGCGGGAATGTCTACCACATCACGATAGGTTGTGCTGACGACAGAGAATTGTCTTCCCGCAGGACAGCCAAACTCTATTCCGATGCCACAGAACTCTTCGCTCTCGCTCTGGGCAACATTCGACCCTTTGGTCACATCGAAAGCTGGGAAGTGGGCTACCACCCTGATGGATTGTTCGTTAGCATATGTACCTAAAGACTTCATAGGGTTTAGGAGCATACTTGTTCTGATCAACCTTAACCCAGAAGTCTGTCGCTCCTTGAGGGCAGCCAGTGCCCCAGTGTTTGACCGTGGCTCTGCTTTCCAAAGGCATGCCCGCCACACGGGACAGCACCGCAGAAGCCACGACAACAACGCCTAACAAGGACGGTTGGTAAAGCATATTGATATAAACAAATGTATGAAGCGAACAGCGATATTTTCAACAGGCGGCACAGAAAGCTTGTCCTCGAAAGTGGACTTCATGAGGGGGAATAGCGAGGCATTATATAGACGTTAGTGCCAGGATAGGATCTCGTATTCCAACATGTGGTCGACAAAATTCTCAAACTTCTTGGATATAGGCTACGGGGAGTTCATTTAAGGTTGTTCAGTGTTGTTTTCTTGGGCGGCCAATGGGAAGGGGTCGATCGACTTTCTAAATGGAACGTTTTTAACCGGTGGCGATCGGGATATGTGCCTGAAGCCGGAATCCCCGATTTATCGCTTGGGTGTTGTTTGGATCGTCGGTTCTGTTCTATTGTTGGAGTGTTTGCATATATTATTGAGGTGCGTGCTGCAAGGTGTTTCTGGGGAATTGAGTGTGCCAGGTGGCAAGTTTGGATGATCTTCTGGTCTGTATTACTAGGCTTGGAATTTGTTTGTTGGCGATTCAGGTGACAGATAATTCCAATTTGTAGATATGTGAGCATTTATAACTCTAGAAATTCAAGGCTCGTGTACCTGTCAAGTTATCCTATATCCGGATGATGAGATGAGGTCCCGTCAACGTTGTTTATATTTTGGATTTTCATCACCAGATAGAATGCCAGAGTAGCTAACGATAGACCTTCGCGAGTGTTTTGATTCCCACTGATGACATTCCAAGAACCTATACCAAATCAAAAAACACTTCAGGAAATCTTACTTCGGACAGGCAATGGAGAACCAAGCATGCCCAAACATCTTAACCGCGGTTGAGCAGTCTGCTGGATCGTACTTGAGAGCGCCACTGAGAACATTCATGAACAGCTCAAAGTCTACGCAGGATATTGGAGCTTTTAGTACCTGACTTCCTGTCGGCAAATATTCCCAAGGAAATGTCACAGAGGAAAGCGATTTAAGGGGGGGGTTCTTGCCATTCTCCACGTCGAAGCTAGTCAGGACTCTCAATCGTTTCGACAGACTCTCTCAGCTTCAATCCGCTTCGAGTCTCTTCGGTTCTTTCCAGGCAGCTCAAATCTTGTAGATGACTTGGAAGAGGTCTAAGTCGTGTGAGAACAGCTCCGAACGCCTATTTATCGCTCCCCATCAGTTGAAAGACAAAGTCCAAAAGGCCATGGAAACATCATCCACTTGTAGAAATAAAAGCCCAGCAAATTTAAAGTTTTATCAACCAATGGTATTGTCAAAGCTTGCCCATGCCTTTTAATAATGCTCTGTGGATATCGTACAAAGAGTCTTGTGCATCAATGTCAAGTCAAAACGACAACCCGTCAAAGTTTCAGAGCTGGAGTATATGCATGGAGCTCAGAAACAAATAAAAATCATGAAGGGATCAGAGCTCGCACAATTTGAAGTAAAATTACTTTTCGTAACGTCTCTGTTTATAAGGGTTCTTTACGGTACGCTTTAGAGGCACGAATCGCAGCCATAGCAGGCCGAGGATGCGTTTCGACGCTAACGAAAGTAAACAAACCAAGTCAATCGTGGCCACCTTATACCTGTCATCCTAACAACCCCAATCCCTCACACCACCTCTTTCTCAACAAACAAACAGTGACTAAACCCGGTAGAGGCCAAAGTAGTGGAGGAAACACCACTGTCCACAATCCTCAAGTCAGCATCTGGAAATTGTCCTTTGTTGTGTACCTGAAGCTGACATTCATTTCTTTCTATAGCTAGGCCACAATTCCAGCGATGCCCAACTCTCAACCAAACACCACCTCTACCAAAGACTCAACACCATGGCAACCATCACTCGACCTACAACTCATCACCTACTCCTCCTCCCCCTCTCACCCTCTCACCCTCCTCACCGAGCTCCCCTCCGATCTCCCCACCCTCGACAACAACAACAACAACAACAACAACAACAATACAGCCAGTCAGTCAGTTTCTGAAGAAAGAGAGAGAGAGGGACGCGCTGGGGGGGATTGAAGGGTAGAGAGGCATCGAAGCTCTATCCATCTGGTGGTTATGTTGCACTGATGGGATTAGTTGGGACTTGGTCGCGTTGATAGATGCATAGGTGGGTGGATGAGTTTGGGACGGATCAACGAATGTATGATTGCAGAGAAGAAGGGCAAATTCAAAAGCTCAGCAAGTAACATGATTTGGTATACAGCCTTATTTGAAGCTTTGTCTATCAACAATAACGCCAGGAATGCCACGCCTACCCGCTAAACACAACAATTGATATGTCCCCCAGCCCATATGTACCTGAATTTTCGCAACATTTTCGGACCATGTGTCCACACTCTTAATCATCGCCCCTCCCCAAGCACCTTCTTCATCCTCCCCGACCACGCCACAGAACTCCAATGCATCCTCGTAGCCTTCAAAAGCGCATACGCAAACAGCCGATAAATAACCGTGCAGGCCCCCAACGCAATCAAGTTCTTCAGACCATCCGTATTCAAATTATACAGATCGAGAACTTGTTCTCCATTCTCGATAGGACATTTGCCATCGGGTAGACGCTGTGCGTCGCTGCAGGTGAAGTGGATGGCGTGGAGGGAGTATGGTGCAAGATTGCGGATGGCGTAGCGGAGGGGAGAGAGGTAGTTTACACCTTGGAGGAAAGCAGGCATGTTGATTGACATGACGCCAGACATGAATTGCGAGATTGAGAGGAAGACTGAGGTGAGGGAGATGGCGAAGCCTGTGTGAGGGAAGAGAGTATTGAACTTGATGTAATGGTTAGATTGGTGGACTTTAGGTTGGAAGGTGCTACTTACTATAATACCAATGCTTTCGCCATAGGAGACAATGCAAAAGCAGTTGAAGAAGCAGACGAAGAACATTTCGGTCGTGCGGGGAAGTCCAGCAGCCAAGTCTACTAATATGGCGAAGATGAAGCTTGTTGCAACTTCAAATGGGATTTCGAGAGTGATATATTGTGCGAGGAAGGCCTCGACTCCATATGTACCATCGTCGTTCTCTCTGTAGAAGACGTCCTTTTCTTCAGGATACACGGCAACATTCTGGAGCATACCAACAAAATTGAAGGCGCAGAATTCTTGAATGAATCCTAATCGCGTTTGGATTGAAGCATAGTCATTCTTCAATGGTGCAAAGAACAGAGCAAGAATGACAGCCAATCCTATCACTTGCATAGTACGAGCAATGAGTAGCGGAGGTTGACGACGGAAGTTGATGAAAGCCCGGTGCACGAGAATGGGATACGCGGCAAAGAAGGTTGTCGACTTTCGGATCAAAGATCCTAGCTCAGCAGGTGTGGAGATTGTTGTAGGCTGGATCACGGAAGCAAAGTCGCCACTGGTCCAAGATGATATGAGTGAGCGAACTTTCTGGCGAGTTACGGCTTCTCGCTCTGAATGCTGAAGATCGATTGTTATCAGATCCAGAGCAAAGTCTGCAGGATTCGTAGTTGTCGGGCAAGGATATCCGAGAGAGTCGAAGTGTGGGAGAAGGCCTGCACCAGTTCCAGCGTAAACAGGAGATCCTCCTCTGGCGAGAAGTAGCACGTTCCCAAATTTCTGGAAGAGATCGGAACGAGATTGATGAATGGTTAAGATGAGTGTACGACCTTCTTGGGCCAGACCTTGCAACACCTCCATGATAGATGAAGCCGTGAAAGCATCCAGGCCTGAGGTAGGCTCATCGAGTAGCAGAACTCTAGGGTCGGTCAAAATCTGGACAGCAATTGAGACACGGCGCTTCTCTCCACCTGAGATGCCCTTGACCGTGGCAGAACCGATGAGGTTATCCGCGCAATCTTTGAGACCCAGCTTCATGAGGATTTCTTCCGCACGCTGATTCTTTTGGGCGGTAGTCATGAAGGCTGGAAGTCGTAGTCCAGCAGAAAACCGAAGTGTCTCGCGTACGGTGAGAGATGGTAAAAGTGCATCATCATCTTGACACACGTAGGAGCAGACCGAGCGAATGACAGAGTCTGAAGGTACAGATCCATTAAAAGTCATTTCTCCGTAGTGCTTGTACCGAGTTCCCATTCGATTATGTAGACGTAGAGCCATTGCGTTGAGGAGAGATGTCTTGCCACTTCCCGATGGGCCCATAATGACGTTGAGTAGTCCTGCTTGAAAGGTTGCCGTGACAGGATGGAGGATGGTCTTCGTAGGTAACTTTCGCCCAATGGCTGATCTCTTGTCCAGATCAAGCGCAAATCCGTCCAATCCAATATCGACTGTTCGCACCTCTGCATTTGATCGTACAACCATCTTCTCCTTTCCTGCCGAGTAGTCGGTATCTGAAGTTCGGGCTTGAGCGATATTCATCTCAACGCGGAGAAATTTGAACCCAATGAACGCCGCCAGATAGAACATGACCACGAAAGCAACCATTGCGATGATGGGCTTTACAATCCAAGCCTCGGGGAACCCGAGTGAGTCCATGATGAAAGCCCCTGTGTATTGAATACATGCTGGATCGGATTCTCCTCCCGGCAGAGGACAATCATAGAATTGGCCAACGAATTCGTTTGCACAAAGGCTGCCAAAGGCATAGAACACGTACGCAGTCCATTTCAGCCATCTCACATAGACTGGAATACTGTTGCTTTGAACGAAATATCCACAAGCCATGCTCTGAATTGTATATCCCAAGTTGGCGATCAGAGACGCAGTTGCGAAGTCCCGAGCCGCTGCCACACATGCTGCAGCATAAGTAACTGCAATGTATTGACCGATGAGCATGATCGAGAAGTATATGAGGAATGTATCTGCTTCTGCTCTGAATCCTGACATCCAGTAGGCTGCAGCAGAGAAAGCAAGTGGTACAGGTAAGTCTTCTGTGAGGAACCTGGCGATACGTCTGCTCAGTAAGAAAGGGACAACATCCACCACATTCTCATTGTGCTCTCGATCAAAGAGTTGAACATCGACTGTCAGTCGATAGGTCTCAAACATGAGGATAAGATATCCCTGTAGGGCGGCTGCGTTGTACAGAGCTCCTTGTCGACTTCGAATCCCAGACTGGTCTCGGCCTAATGCATAGAACACCCAACCACTCAATATTCCCATCAATACGGCTTCCGAAAGCGAACCAGCCATACCCATAGGATCTCGATACGTGGTGAGAAAGGTCCGCGAAGTAAGTACTCTCGTCTGGCGAATAAATGGAGATCGTGTCATGCGAGTATTTCTTGTACGTGTGGGTTCCACTGCCAGAGCGCCTTTCTCGTCATCAGCGGCATATTTCAGTCGACTTTCATCAAGCCATGCGGCTTTGAGCCTCTCAACTCTCTCTGAGGAAGCAGCCTCTAGCTCCGGAGATCGATTGTCGATTGCTGCGATATCGATCAAGAACTCTGCTGGGTTCACAAACGGAGGTAATTCCATTCCAACTTTCTTAAACCATGGTATGCAATCATCCGCTGGGCCTGAGAAGACCGGACTTCCTCTCGTGAGAATCACTAGGCCATCAAACATTCCCCAGATTTCAGATCTCGGCTGGTGTATGGTGGTGATGATCGTTCTTCCTTTCTTCGCCAAAGACTTCAATGTTCGAATTAGTTGAAATGCGCTGGTAGCGTCCAGACCTGTAGTAGGCTCGTCCAAGAACAACACGCTTGGGTTGCTGAGAAGTTGTACTCCTATACTCGTTCTCCGTTTCTCCCCACCAGAACATCCCTTATGTTGGTGATTTCCTATCCGTGTGTCGGCGCATTCTTTCAAGCCCAATTCCAATATGACCTCTTCTACTACCTTTCTTCTCTCTTCCTCCGTCGTAGGAGGCGGCAATCGCAAATCTGCAGAGTAGCGCAATGTCTCTCGAACCGTAAGTGTAGGTAGTAAAACGTCCTGTTGCATCACATATGCGCTCCGGACACTGTTGACGCCACCCATGCCATTGAACGAAGTCTTTCCTCCAAATGATAACCTCGCACTTGTCATGCGCTCTGCCATTGTGTTCAACATCGTTGTCTTGCCAGATCCACTTCCGCCAATGATCGCTGTAAGTGTACCTGCTGGCATGGACGCAGACACCGAGTACAGAATCTGTTTCGATCTGGGAGTCTCGCTGCCATCTTGTCTTCGTTTTCGTGGCAGGTATTTGTCTATCGAGAACACGGAGGGCGAGAGATCAACCGTGACTGCCAGGTCTCGGACCTGGACATCGACTGGATCAACATCGCGGAGAGATATGTGGTTGCTGTGCACCGTTGCAGGTTGGAAAAGCTCGTTATTGCCGTCGTCTTTGGTATTGCTCGAAGGTGGCGATGATGCTTTGGAAGCTATCCGCAAGCTATGCGCCTCCGTGCCCATGCCATCTTCTGAATCCCGCCGTCCAGCTTCAATGTCTTCCCCCATGATGCTGGCCTTTCATGAAGCTCTGGATTCCATTTCCAGTAGCTTCGATACGTGGAAGCCGGTCCGTCAGTAGTAGTGTGGAGTAGTGGGCGGATATCAAGCTTGGTTTAGCATTCTTTCCCGCGGACAGTTGCAACAAGTGAACAAAGAAAGCAATTGAAGTTGCAGTGGCAAGAAGAGAGATGTCCCTACCAGTGAATGATACTTACAATATCTGCGGCGCATAATGGCTGCCATTATTACAGTGCGTAATGTAGGAGAATTAACTGAGTGTGGAGCAAACGACCCATACATGGAAGCGACGATGAGCGGGCTCGCCGAGGAGCCGAGCAAAAGAAACCACTCCACTCACAGCACTGGAAAAGCGCCGGCGCCGCGAGGCTGCAGAAAGAAAACATCGGCTGCGAAACGAGGAGCAGATGTCCACTTCGCATTATCATTTCAGCCAAAGAGATCGAAGGCTATACCGTAAGCGAGGCTTGTGGGGAGAGAAAATGGAACTTCGAGCCGATGTCCCCCATGCGTGGTGAAAGATGAGGGGGGGGAGGGGGACGAGGGGACGTCGGGGAGGGCCTGGCTCCTGGCTCCTGGGAGTGAAAGGCTGGAATAGCGCACCTCGCTTGGAACAACTTCGTCAATACCTTATCACCTTCCTGATAAGGAACCTGGATGAGAAGGCATGAGGTCGACATCTGATACCCAATAATAATGGCAGTTTGTGGAGGTGCTGTACGGATGATATATAGCAATGTTGGTCTATTTAAGGTTGTGTCTGTGTAAGACAAGGTTTAAGGTTAAATGCTGTGAGCAACTGCTGACGCGGGAAGCCTCTTCCTCGATCTGTACAACTCCAGAGCTCGTTACCATCCTGCTGTGCTCTCACGGAAGTAAGCCCTTAGCTTCAGAGCCCAATCACAAGTCGATGAGGAGTGACCACACAGTGCCACAAGGCTGGTGGCATTATTCCGGCGGCGTCTCGAAATGTTCTGTTTGTGTAGCATTTGCGTCCCAGAGCTTGATTATTCTGGCTACATGTGCGAATGTCCAGAGGCGAGGCATCACGGATGTTGGAATTGCCGTTTCCAAGACTCTGGGGAGATGCTGAAACCCATGTTCAATCGCAGCTTTGGCGATTGACTGGGCCTCATTTCATGCTGATTTGCGACATGTGCAATTTGACGCGAGTGCGGATTGCCTATCATGGCTTTCTCCGCATCTTTGAAATGGTGGCGTTGTGGGGGTGTCCAAACTCTCGGTGTCGAATTGTATGCGTTGGTAGGAGCACTACCATGATAGCAGCATGTGCGTGAGAAGTCATAAGGTAACATAGTCGAATTAACAAACTTCCATTTTCTACCGATCCAACTCAGTGTCGCAGGCGGAGAGGGCTCCGGGCGAATGGGTGAGAGGTTGAATTGGCGATCAATTTCTGTACACACCGCAGGATACTATTTACTTCATGTGTCAACAGGCTTCGCTTCTTTCTGTCAGCCGTTGTTGCATGTGCCTGCTTCCTCGCAACAGAATAGGCATAAACTTCCACAACAGGAAATTTCACAAAGAAGGTGAAGTTTCCTTGCAGGAAATCTGAAGCGTTTGTAAGTAGCCAAATGGCTAGAGACCATTGAGATGCCACATTGAAGTGGCCGGCCAACGTTGAACAGAAAATATCCTGCCCATTCCATGGCAGCGATAGACACCAGGAATGATGATAAGAATCAAAAACAATACTCTGAGACAACTGATAAGATCAGAAGAGTACTTGGAAAGCTTGGGAAATGCAAATTACCCCTTGGAGTTTCCCATCTTTTGTGGAAATATTGCATTTTTGGGAAGACAGACAGACATACCAGAAGTTCGGGATGCAACTATGATATTGCAAAGCCACCAAAGCAGATTCCAATGAGAATCTCCTCTAACCGAAATCTAAAAGTCGGCGTATCTAATTTACCATTCGAAAGTAACGCTGCCCAACCTTAATCTTGAACTCGTAGCCCCATGTCAACTGCACTTGGTCCTTACCCCTACACATGCCACCATCTTCAATGCCACGGCCACGTATCACTTCAATCACCACCCAGCACATGCATACAACAATACTGCATCATCCAAAGCTAAACACACTCCTCCTCCTCCAAACTAAATACCGGCCAAAAACCCTACCTCTAGGCTTTTGTCTACAGCCAACTATTGTTCAACAAAATGAGCTATTTAAACTCTAATATCCTCCAGACCTAACGAACTAAACCCCCACGCCTAACCTACCTAGCCTCCTGTTCGCTAAGTAAATTAGGTAGGCTAGGAGCAAAAAAACAAACCTTCAGCGGGCGGTTCGGCCCAGAGAAACAGGCTGATCTTCCTAGAGAAAAAAGAGGTTCTTCAGGCGAACCACAGACCAATAATAATGATGAAGAAAATATGAGATGCATAAGCAGGCAAGCCCTTAAGCCGCTGTACGTCCGGAGGTTGCTACTACTGCAGGTTTTTCTCCACCTATTGATCCTCTAGCCGCAAACTGTGTTGGAGGGCAGCCGCATATCTCGAGCTGCAAGTCCCACACTTCTGCTGCAGATTCTCGCAGCACTTTCATGCCTTCTCATGTACTTTACAGTAGGTAGGAAACCTTAGCTCCATACGTAACATCCATTGGCACAAGATCGTCCCATCTTCCCTTCCCTTCCCTTCCCTTCGGATCGAAAGATCCCCCCCAGCTGAAGTTTGATAAGGAGATATGGAAAGTCCGGCACCGTGCAAGCCAAGCCCCGTTCTCCAGACTCACGCCCTGCATCTCCACCTGCCGACGGGCAAGTCCATATCTATTCATGCCTTGGACACCTGCACAATATTAATGCACATACAGCAGACTATCAAACCCTCTCCCCTCCTCCAAGTCCCCACTCTTCACTCTCCACTCCTCAATTCCCCACCCCCACGCGCATCGGCACGTCTTCGGATTTGCAGCTCAAAACAGCGGGGTTATCCGTTCCCTTCCCTCCAGGGGAGCGGGAGTTGGGAACAAGGTTCACCACGCCTCTGTCCACAACACTGGGAAGAAGAACTTGGTTGAAACTCGACCCTTTCTCCCTTCCTCTTCCTCCCATCTGCAGGACAATAATCAGCCAGCCAATTGCTCAACAGAGCACACACGCAAGATATTCAAAAGCAGTCTCTCCTCCGAAGTCGGGTCCCTCCCAACCGGAAGATTTCTTGATAACAGACCTGCACCTGCACCTGTCGTCCTTGGCCGAAATACCACCTAGATAGATAGATAGCATGGGATGGGATGGATATCCAGTCTGGCGCCGCGATGGAAAGGTACACGGACTACTGAGGTGACGAAAGGCGCTCGCAAGAAACTTTGACTGGGGAGCGGTGGTGCGGCCGCTCGGACTCTGGAGGAGGTGGACTCCCTCATGGCGCGGCCGGCGAACACGGCTTCGACGGGACGACGCGCGACAATAGGTACCTAGGTAGTGAGTGATGTCGGGCATGGTTCCCTGCCTAGGTACCTCCCCCACCTCCCCCACGCCCCCCAGAATCACAAGGTAGGTAGGTAATGTGCTCTCTCTCTCCCCGCATAAACTTATATATATTATTATGACAAGGTTGTCGACCTACCTACTACCTTGCTGTTCAAATAACTTCTCAAGTTACGGATGGATGGTCAGCATCGGCTTTCCTTTTCCACCCACGAGTCAGTTCGGCGCAATGAGGTTGCATCAACAATAAAACAGCTCATAGGCGTAAGGTTATGGTATCCAGGTATCATAAAGTTCCCAAGACGCTGGTTTGCATATGCCCCTTTTAAGCTTTAAGTTTCAATAACAAGGTACTCCGGGATTTGAAAAACTTCGAAAACTTAGCCATCTGGATTTGAAAAAAATGAAAAGGAACAAAAATGAAAGAGAAAATTTGGAAGAAGCTTTCTGCAGCAACCGTAAAATAATAGCTCCGGAGAAAGAGTCGAAGCGCTGTGTACGTTTCGGCAGTTGAGAAAATGGGGTGGTTTGTAATGATCCACCAGTTTTCATTTGAGCTATCTTGTTTCATTCTTTGGAGATACTACTTCCCGGTTGAGTCTTGTTATTCTTGATTTTCTTGATCTTCGTTATTTGCTCCACTTCCCTGCGTCTCCGTCTGGGGTTCTTAAACTTATGCTGTGTTTTCGGCCTGTTGAGAGCTACGTGTTGGTCAGCAATCAATTAGTCTTTATCCAACCTACCTTCGGAAGTGTCTCCGAAAAATATAATCGTTATTGGATTTCTTCGTACCCCTCCTTCCTTAGCCCGAAGTTTACATGTGGCAACTACTGTATCGTGTGCGGCTACAGCTTGTCTACCGAAGCGAGTCTTCCTCGTCGCACAATACTTCAGCATCAACACTTCCTCCGCCCTATCTCCTTTCCCATGCAACTATCCATCCGATGACCCCTCAAATCCAATATCTGCAAGGCCTAGTTGCCTCTTAGCGTTGTTTATCCTCCGGGCGTGTGCCTGTCGCTCACTGCTTCGCAACCATCCCAACCGCAAGATCCGGTTAACAGTCCTTACATGATTACAAAGTACAAGCAGCCACTGCAGTTTCCCAGAAGCACAAATGAACAACCCATTACCATGTCGTCTTACAAGACCAAAACCATTTCGTATGTGCTTACGAAGGGCCCAATCGCTCTCGTTCCCTTCTCGATCTCGCGTTCTTCATGCAGGGGTCATTTCTCTCAAGCGAAGTGATCACATTGAGATAGAGTCACATTAAAGGCGCTGGACACCTATCCTGTGCCTTCGGAGAGCGGAGTTAGTTCGCATGTTACATGTCCGAAATACCATTCATGGAACGCGGGCTTTTGCCTGTATTTGTTATGCTTCCCAGAATACTGGGATGTTGTGTCGATCCTGAACCGCAATTGCCAAAAAAAGCCTCTGTAAGATGCAGTAGATAGACTGGAGAGTGGTGTAGATAAAGACATAGATTTGTAGATGCTTGCAGTGCCATCTTGTGGAACCAGTAGTATGCTAAAATAGAATAAGCGGACAGTTGACAGGAAATCCAAACTGCTAGCAACCTAGACTCTGTCCATACCTTTGAAATATAATTCACACACTTTGCTTAGGAGGGCCGAAGCAACTACAAGACGGTACATGAAAATACCTCTCCAAAAACAAGCGAGGTTAACTCCTGCCACTTGCCGTTCTAGGGGTCATGCGAATCCCGTCAACACTATCTATTCAATAACCCTACAGTCATCCTCATATAACCCTTCATTGTCAAGTCACTTACTCATCCACCCTCGACCAAGACCCCCATAACCATCAAGCGTTCCGTTTCTACCCACAATCCTCGGCAGCTATTATTGTCCACACCATAATCACTCCCCGTCAAGATCTTGTGCCTCCACACTTAGACATTCCAACATGCACTCCTGTCTCCGACCTTCCACAGCATAAACTTACCATACCGTCGGTTTCGAATCGATCATGTGATCAGCCACATTGTACCCCATGATCCCCCTTCTTCTTGCTTACACCCCGCATTTACTCATCTTTCCCGATGTTTGCCTTCTGCCAATATCAAGAAAACAGGAATTCGGCGCTCACCGAGTATCCCACTGCTATCACCATGTGTCCACAAGACCCTATCCCCATTCGAATCTATCCCGATGTTTTGCTTGACTTGACTTCCAGCCAACACATAAACGAGAACAACCACACGTTCGGAGTTAAGCGCTCGTAAATTTCTTGGATTTTATGACATCTGACAGATATAATATTACTCACCATCCCAGCCTTCCGCTAAAGAACATTAATGAACGCGAGACAGACCCACTCTACTACCTCCATGCACCGCGGCTATCCTTCCTCACCGACTGCTTGCCCCCTATCTAATTCCTAGCCCACCATCCCTCAATTTCAATTATGATATCCAATATCACAAGACAACGCCACTACACCATACGAAGACCAGCATTCCCACAAGGCAGCCTAGTATCATCTCCACATATCCATTCGTCTTCCCCAGTTCCACCTCGTCACACCTTGCGTAACACAGCATATTCAGCTCAAAAAGCTTGTTTTTGTTCTCCTCTATCAAGCTTCAGCTCCAGCCATGAGAGGCCAGCTAGCCAGTGATTCGCTACAGTACGACCAAACGATAGATTGATCGATCAATTGACTAGATGTCTCTCTTCACGAACAAGAGAAAGCCCAACCAAGCCATCGGTCTTGGCTCACGAATCTCATGCAGCCATCCATCTCACCTCGTCCCCTGTTGCCATGTTCTTCGTATCATTTCTGCAGCGAGCGAACGGACATGTCTAGACCTTTGAGGGGAAAAAAGTGACAGATTTATTAGAAAATTGACGAGCAAAGCTAAACCTCAAAACTAACCCAGCCCGACATCAATCAATCAATCATCCAACCCACCAACATAACACCTGCAGCAAATCAGCCGCTGCACGTCTTCTCCCCGTCCCCTCACTTCCAACACATCCGCCTCCCTCCCCGTTCATTCATTCATTCATTCATTCATTTAATATTTCCCACATCCGAGCTTACACGATCACTCATCCATCCATCCATCAATTATCCAAACCCAAAGAATATATCAATCAATCACCCCCTCCATACCCCATACCCATCCATCCCATACTCTATTACCAATCCCCCAATATGCGTAAAAGCCCCAATAATTACCAAGCGAAAACGAAACGCGCATCCTGCAGGATGACTGTACTACCACCCTCGACCTCGACCTTAACCTCGACCTCGACCTCGACTCTGACACCCCGTTCCGTCATCTCATCTCATCTCATCTCATATCACAGAAGTAGCAGCCAGCCAGTGCGTGCGTGCGAGTGCAACATCGGCATGCCGATCCGGCCCAACACGAACCACCGCACCGCACCAACCCACCCTCGAGCCACCACCCATACGCCTCACGGCAGCCAACCGACCGAGCGAGCAAACCCCAAAAGACACAAGCTGACCCGAGCACCCCAAGCCGCTCCCTGCCTCCCCTGCCGTATTCCGTTCTTTCATTCATTCATTCCCTGAACCCATCTCAACTCAACCCAGCACGGTGTTTATCCCAAGTATGGAAAAGATGGATGGCTAATGGATACCGCATCCCGTCCAGCAACTTAGTGAGTCCAGTCCAGTCCAGCCAGCCCAGCCGTGAGCATCCATGCATCCCATGCATGCCAAGATGCATGTAAATTTACAAGTACTGGTATGTGTGTGTGGTGTCCACTGTGGAGAGAAGAGGCCTAGGGGGCTCCGCTCCGTTCCTTTGTGTAACACATGGCTGGGACATGACCTCACTTGCAGCTGCGCCGATAGCATATCATTACGATGGATGGATGGATGGATGGATGGACGCCATACAGTTAAGTAAGTAAGTAAGTAAATTTGAGCAAACTTTACGGCCACGGACGCCATACGGTACGGAGAAGAGTTCCAAAACTGGCAATTCCAACAGACGCAACGCAAAGGTCTCTCAGGTCTATCCATTGGCTCGTAGACGTTTCCTTCCAAGACTCTTTTTTGGGGGCTCCGTACCTTGACAGTAGAAACTGCTGTACTACTACCTACCCTCTCCGGAATCTTCTCCGTAGAAAAATACAGTTGTGCAAGCAAGCAAATACGATGGTGAGACATGGGTGAGATATGATCGCCGATTGCACAACCACACAATGCACACACCACCCTCGCCCTACCCACCCGTCCGTCAGCAAAGCCTTCCGAAGATGGAAATATGCCGTGCTGTGCCATTCCATGCCCCGGGCCGTGGTTGGGTGTACAGTACAATACAGTAGTGCTAGCGGTAGCGGTAATGGCCGTGGCAGCGATGCGTGGTGCTGCCCCAGTGGGAAATACATTATGGATATTGAATATCAGGTATTGGATATTAGATATTAGATCAAGCTGAATGCTGATTGATAATGTGGAGGGCGGTGAGGTGAGGGAGGTAAGTGCGGAGGAGGAGAAGGAACGAACGAGCGATCGACCCGTCTGTATGCAACTGCACCTGCATAAGTTCGACGGAGATGGCTTTGGTTGAGGTGAGAGCTGCGTCGCAAAAGGAAGCAAGGGGGTTGAGGGAGGCTGACGGAGGGAAAGTCCGGTGCGATACAAACGACCCGAGAGCGTATTGTTGATAGCTATGAAATTAGAGAAGATGCACGAGAGAGAAGAAAGAGAAACCGCAAGTTTAAATGTGTGGTAAGTGCGTGGTGTGTGGAGGATGCAAGATGAATGTATAAGTAAGGCAAGGTATAGCTATCACACAGAAGCATTGCTGCTTATCCGTTCCGGTATATCTTTAACGCATATCAAATCCAATCCAATCCCCTCAAGACAAGTCAACCATACCAAATCAATCAATCGATCGATCGATCGATCGACCGATGATTTCCGCAACGCTCCTCGGCATAGAAGCGCACCTCCATTCGCACTATCCTCGTGTTCCGTCCTGATACCCATGAAGATAAACATCCTCTCTTCCATAAATACAGATAACCCCCTGCTCTCCAAACCTGCGAACACGCAAAACATATCGCAACATATACACTAACATCAAAATATAATGTGAAACAAAACTCGCGGGGATCCAGAAAAAAGTTTCGAGCAAAATACCACCTTGCCTTGCTCAAGAACCTTGCACAAATGTTAACAAGAGACCACCCATGCCCAATCACACCCAACCGGACCCAAAACCCGACCGCCCAGCCAGTCCCAGCCCATTTTGACCCGTAGCCCCAAGGAGAGAAAAACAAAAAAAATAACAAAAATAACAAGCCAGATAGCCGCCACTAATGGGGTATCATAACACTGTCTGAGATGCATAGCCGACAGTCGACAAATGACATGGCATGCTAGGTAGGAGATAAAAAAGCGTGCAGCAATACAAAATATATAGAAGATGAAGACCGCCCTCCAGAGATGCGAGTCGAGATAGAAACGGTAAAGCGGGATCGAGATCGGCCCATGTGGCGAGTGAGGCGAATGAGAGGGGCAGAGGGGAGGTGGAAGTAGGGTTAAGGTGGGGTATCATATTCATTCGTGTCGCGTCGTCGTACAAAGAGGCCATCCAGATTAAGCGTTATCGTATGAGATGTCGTTCATGACCAAAAGAAAGAACAAAAAGGGATGCTTGCAGCAGGGGAGTGATAAGTGTTGTCCATCGCTCCGCTCCGTTCATGTAGCGAGGAAGTCCATCTGCATGCGAGAGGCAATAGCCTGCCAGTCCCAGCTCCGCTCATCCTTGGCGTCCATCAACCGCCACACTTCCTCGAGCACCTCCAGCGCTGTATCCGTATTCTTGTACTCCATGTAAGCCTTGACGGTCTTGATGGCTTGGCGAATAGGCTCCCTCTGCTCGACCTCGAAAGCTGCGCAACCGATGACGAATGCTGGGGCGAGGATGAGAGTTTGACTTGGATCCCGGGGTCCGAAGCGAGACAGCAGCGCAATGCCGTCGTTGACTGCGCTGGTGATCTTGGGATCGACTTTCCAGTTGGTGGTTTGAGGCGGGAAGACGGAGCGCCAGAGATAGATCCACATCATTTGGCGGTACAAGAGACCGGCGTTGTCGCGAGGGTCTCCTGGTGGCCAAGCGGGTGTCCACTCTCTGATCCCGGCGTCGATTTCGGCTGCGTCGTGGAGGCTGCTGTAGTCCAGAACAGGGTCGATGCGGTGGTCTAGGTTGTAGCGAATCTTATTCCTGATGTTGGTGATCCTCGACATGTACAGGAAGAGACCATCAAATACACCAAGCAGACGCACTGCGGAAGGCTGGAGGACGGTAGCCGGGAGATTCCACTCGTCTGCCGGGGATATGTACTGGGTGTGAATTCCATCTTTGGGGAAGAAGATCAGTTGATCTGCATGGATATGGTATTGGAAGAATTCATGGATGAACTTCATCGATTCGTCTTGCTCTGGGGGATTCTCTTGGATAAGTCTCTGATAGTGGTCGAGATGGACTCGATGCTGGCCATTGGGGTTAGGATCTGACAGCGTCTGTAAGACAAGACATATCATTTGAGCATAGATTGCTGGGGTGGGTGCTTTAGGTGCTGAGTCGGCAGGCTGACCCAACAATTCCTTCATTGCCTCTTCCTGATGAAACTGAGATCGTTTCTCAAGAGTTTCTACATCGAGACTGGGATGCTCTGCAAGAACTTGACGGCCGTATGCTGAAGCGTAGTCGATATGTTTGCTGGAAAGGGCTAGTATCGAATGCATCAATCCGGAATGCTGTTGGGCCATCGGTAACAGTATGTTTCTGAAAGCACTATCATGTTCTCCTTCTAACGTGAAAATGATGCTCAAGCGTGAGATGTAGTGATGTAGGAATACTCTGTCTCCTTCTGTCTCGAGACCATTGATGAGGAACGGTAACTGAACACTTGACAGGGTTATGCTACCTGCCCTGCGTAAACGGGCTGTTGACGAGATCAGTTCATCGAGTGCTTGCTGGCGAATTTGCGTTTTACCCCTACCTTCTTCAGCTTTCTCTTTGCCGCTCTTCCATATCGTCTTCTCTGGATACCCTTCACACGTGACGGAGTTCTTCTCACAGTTCAAGCCTGGGACAGATATCAGTAACAACTAGGATGAGATCCATGTATAACTTACAGCCAGGCTTTGTCTCATCACACTTCTTTTTTCGTTTCCTGCAAGTGATACATCCTGTTTTCGACCGTCCCTTTGCGACTTTAGATAACGACTCGGGTGTTGGCTTGGGATGTTTCCGAGGTCGTCCGCGCGGTCTCTTGACAAGAGTGGGAGTTGTATTACAAGATGGAGTCTCTGGAGGAACGCTTTCTTGCATGGTTGACATTTGTGGGAAGTCCGACATATCCATATCGACCACATCATCCTCCATTGGCTCAAGCTTCGGAACCAACAGCAGCCCCTCTTCTTCATCCCAGTTGAAATCAGCACCATCTTCCTCTTCCTCCACAAAACCTGACGAACTCCACGGATCTGTAGACGTCGAACCTGCTGAAGTAGCCATTGTCAAAGCTGATGCCGACGATATATCAGACCCATCCATACTCCTCCTCGACTCCAGTGAAGTGGATATCTCAAACATCTGATATGTCTTCGTGCAGGTTTCTTTTGTATGAACTCGACGCCGGATGGGAGGTCGTGGTTGGCGGTAGCGGTTGCCGAAGGAGGAGTTGTTTCGTATGGGATGTCGGGGAACTTCTTCGATATCCTCCTCTGAACTGGGGGTGAGAATGCCGAATGGGGGAGAGTGTTGCTGTGCTTCCACCGAGCAATGCTGTTCCATCTTAGAACTTCCTTCTCCAAATGCTATCGAATGCTCCCACGTACTAACGACCACATCTGCTGGGCGTGGACGAGGAAGGCGGATGGAGAGGGAGAGGGAGAGGGAGAGGGAGCGGATAAGCGTGGAAGATGGGGGAGGTGTAGAGAGGAAGCTCACGATAGTAATAGGTTTTGGCCCGCTCACTCCCACTACTCATTCAACCACTGCGGAGCAATTCGTTCTTCGGGGGTTCACTTCGCTTGTAACCTTCCCTTGCTACTTGACCAGGGCCCCAGTAATGATTTAGCAGGGGCTGCGGGTCTTAGAAGGCAGGACGTGCACCCAGGGTACGAACGGAAATTCCACCTGTTGTGGAATAGGCCAGAGGCAGGTCGAAGGGGGGGTGAAAAGAGGAGCAGGAGGGCAGGGTGAGGAGAAAGACAGGGCCGTCTTTTGGCTCCGAGACACAGGTGGCCCGTTCAGGGGAGCCTGTAAAGATATGCGTTTGCGTACTCCATGCATCCTGCATCGTTGTCGCTTTAGCTAGCCATTCGGCCTATGGTCCCTGAGTCGTGGCTTGAGCTTGGGGAGGCAAAGCGAGCACTAAGTTAGTTGCGTAGCTTTTAGATCCTGAGATCCTCGATGCCTCTGACGCCAAACAGAGTTGGCCTGGGCTGGGTCAGGTCGGGACATTATTGTACGAAACCAAGTACGAAGTCCTGTACAAGTATTTACAAGACATGGGCAGCAGAGGCCAGGATTGGTCTTAGCGTACTGTAGACAAGGTGTATTTCTGGGCTGTGGACCTCTTCTAGCAAGGATAGCGTATGCTCTTTGGTTTCGCACTACTTTCGATCTCGCGGGCATCTTTGCGGGCACGATCTAGATGACAAGTGCCCACCAGCCGTAGCCGTCTTCTAGGCTCTAGCCGTCCTTGTCCAGCGCTCCACTAACTCGATTTTGGTAGGCTTGGAGCTGGATCGAAAGGACAGGAGGAGGTCGCTCTAACTCGATCTACTTGTACTGTGCTCCTGAACCAGATCGTGCCATTGAACTAGTGCGAGACTCGCTTGTCTACTGTTTTATACTCAATGCCGTGTGTCTACTGACTGGTTGTCTACTGACAGGACGAATGACAAGTTCCATCTTGACTGACATCTGTGAGGGTGCGCCGAGCGGGCTGAGTGGCATGGTATCAATCGATAGTGCCTGCTTACGCTGTAAGTTTAGAGCACACACCAACAAGTAACTCTACAGCCTGCTGAACGCTGAGTGAGAAAACAAGATGCCACCACCTATTCTCCCGAGTCTCCCTCCATGGAACAGGCAACAAACCCCGAAGCTTAACTTTCCAGTAGTACAGTAGTGGTGTCCTCCCGCTTCGCCTGTTCGTTTCCCAAAAACAACCACTTGCATTCCAGCTTCGAAAGCAAGACAAGACCAAGTGCATATCATGACGGCAGGCAGACTTAGAGAACGGCAGGTGATTTGTTCATTCATGCAAATTGATTCCTCCAATCTCACGATGCCCCCGCTTTCTCGCCCGAATAACCCTATCCCTCTTCTGCACCTCACCCTCGACTCCCCTCCCCCTCCCCCCTCCTTCGTCTGAAGTACCGAGCCAGCCATCTCCCAGCGGCCAACCTCGAGCCAAGCCTCCTCGCATCTCGCAGCTGCTGCTCTATGGTCCCAGCTGGGCGTAGCAGCAAACTCAAAAACCCCACGCGGAAGGCATTGGTAAGGAAGTCGTCACGGTGGACCGCTGGGAGGTTTGTGGGCCATTATTACCCATAAAACCTATGGTTCAGAATACAGGGAGCAGGGTTATCGCCGGCACATGAACCGAAAGAGGGCAGGAGAGACGAGAAAAATGGGCTCCATGACGATCACCCGAGGCTGCGTGGAGACCGTTAAGACTTGAAATTAGCTCCAAGCTGGGAGCTTGCGAGTTTACAATGGGTCATCGAGACATGCTCCATGCTACTAATCCTCCGTGACTCTGCTCCTTGCACTCGCTCACTGGCACCTGCTCCACCCTGAGGAATGAGATACATGTTCCAGATACAGCCAGTCTGGTGGTTCTCACGGCTTCTTGGAACCAAAAAGTCTCAGATAACTTGAGGAAGCTGCAGCGGGAATGTATCCACTTATTTCTTCTGTCCCCTATCCGAGACTTAGGTTCTGCAGCAAGCAGCCTGCATGTTTTAGGGACTTGGGGCAATTTGAGAGCCGAGTTGAAACATGGCGTCTTGCTACCCCTCATTCCCCTTTTGAGTTGCAGCAGTGTCGTCTCCAGTGCCTTGTCCACGGCAAGCTGGCATAGGATGCCCTGTCCATCAGAGAGCTCCCACGAAGCCACAATGTGCCACGTCCCATGATGACAGCAACTGTGGGGAGAGGAAGAAACAATCCTGAACAACTGGCCACCTAAGCTGCATCTCACTCCACTGAAGTCCCTAGAACCATACCCCATAAGACCTAATCTTAATGCCCAGTCCCATTCCTCCAGGCGCACTTGATGATGATGACTGAACCGTTTCAGCGTGATATCTGCCGTACCTGCTTCTCATCACTGCTGTTGGCCGCCCGATAATGTTCCGCCCAGCAGTCCACGGTAGCGAAGAAGCGCTGGGTTCAGGGCTGGGCCGCGCACCGAGATTTAGTGGAAACCGTAAAGCCTCAGCCAGTATCCACAGCGCCTTACTTCCTGGTCACGGAAATCCTCCATCCCTTCAGGGTCTTCTTACCCTAGACCCCATCACCTTGGACCCTTATATGAAAATCCCCGTGGATTCGAAGTTCCATCTGAATCATTCATCATGTTGAGGCGGGTCAAGAGAGGACTCAACTTGAGTCAAGGAAGAGGATTCGATCTGCTCGCCACAACATGGGATCCTCTTTCGCAAGCTTTCCTAGAAGGGGAGAGCTCCAATTGTCTCCACAGAAGCTTCCTCCAGAGGGGAAACTGATAACAAACCGGTCGTGGAGAAATGATTTCCTGTCTACTTCCAACCTCAACATCTAGAACAAGCGATCTGAGACTCATACTGTCGCGGCTCTAGGCACACAAAAAACTCCTTTTGTTTTCTCGATATTTCCTGGATGAAATGCCAACAGACTACAGCCCCATGACTCGTGGGCAGTCTAGCCCGAAACATATATCCTGTAGCAAATTCTGCAAGCAAGACCAAAAAAGCAAAGGAGAAAGATGACAACGTCGCGGTTCAGGATGTTGGAACCGGGCTTTTGGGACGACTCTGGGTTCAGGATTGGCCAGTTGCATGTATTCTGAACGAGTCCCATGCCATGCAGTTCTCCACACAAAGCACACGGGCAGAGCCTGATTCGAGAGTTGGAATAATTGTCTCGTGCATGAAGCTGGGAGTCGTCTTTTCCTTTGGGGACCACGCTGCGCTGGGATTGCCGATGAGCTTCCGCTGAGGCGTGTCTGCGCTGCTGTAAAGACCAGCCTGGAGCCCTCACGTTCAGGGGACGTCAAACAGAGTTTCGGGCTACGTCCCGCTGTGGAAGCCGTTGAATCCTATCAAGCCTCTGGACTCTTGGCTTGGAAATCATTGCCCTCTCCGAGTAATGATAGCGAGAGACATGTTCGCAGGACGGGTGGCCCTCTTACAATTGACTTTTATATTACCTGCCCGCCGCGACGCCCTGTGCACAAAGAGCATGAAGCATAGGTTTACTCATCTCTTGACCCCCTCTTGCAATCCGCAAGCAAAGGTCGATCTGGGCAGCTCTCCGATTATCCGTCCACAATTCCAGGCCGCTAGGTATGGTATTTTAGAACAAGGTCAGTCCCCGTAAGTCAGCGGGTTGATACGAATCCCGATCTAGCATACCCAGCCCATTTCAAAGACCGTGCAAATCTATCGAAGATCGGTTCCCTCCTCGTCTCGTGCCTTCCCGTCCCGAAAGCAAATGCAAGTGGTGCTGCCATAAAACAATGCTAAGAAGCGCCTTGGCTCTTCATCCGTGCATCACTCGTAGGTGAACAATGGTCTCTCGCTAAGAGACGATGTTGACAACCAGTCAGCAATCTCGATTTCAACCTCCAAAACATGTGTCTCTCATGCAAGCAATTAGTCCTCCAATAGACCTAAGGTGACACACACCATACACACCTTTAGCAGAGACATCTCCAGCTGAGAAAAATCGTATCTCAAAGTGGTATCCCGGAGCAGCTCCGCTTTCCTATCGTGGGGGTTCTAAACGCTACATATTTCCCTTCTCGGTATTCCAGTCAAGAATTCCAGATATCAGCATCAGCATCATTCAGGCTACATCGGATGAATTGGAGGCGAGATAGATACGCCACCCATGCCCTAGTCTCAGCAACACAGCATCAATCTGACCAACGAATGCAGCCTCGACCTCTTTGAGTACAGTATGTCGACGAACAATCTCGAGCTCGCAAAGAAAGCCGCAAATGCAAGGGAGACATCATCAAGACTCAACAGAAGTCTGCAGCAGCACTGCAGCAACGCCAAACCAACTCCACATCAAACCAGGCCGAAATCGACCTCACCGCATCCGTTACACCCAGCCAACCAATTATTCTCCAAGACAGCATTCCTCACAGATGAGACCTTTCGGCAACAAGGACCGAGCCCGTCCATCAGCCTCGCCAAGCTGCCACAGTGTGTCAAGTGCCACAGAGCACAGCTGGGGCCCCGTTGATTTGCACAAGTCGTTGCACAAAAAGCCGCATCACCATCTCTTCTCCACAAGCTAGAGTGTCGATCGATCGTCCGCCTTGCATCGCAGTCAAAGCTCGTTCACCACGTTGGAATATTTCCCGATAAACTATCACATTTCAAGTGGACTTCATCCAAAACCCCATTTACCGAAAGCTTCAAGAGCAATCCCACCAAGAAGCAAATATCGCAAGAATCGATTCCGAATTTAGAGCCTTGGCTCGTCCTTCTGTAGTCAGCATCTCGCCGTCCGTCTGGACGGTAGGCAAAAAGCCCGACCTAATCCTGTGACATATGCAACCAAGCCATGGTGCATGAGTCGTCTAGCGTAAACTCTATGCAACTTATATGCAGGTCTGTCCCAAAAGCTCATAGTCCACGCAAGTCACTTCGCCCTGTCCAACAACTCGCAAGCCGTCCTCGAATTGAATTGCAAACCTCCCAGCTTCTTCCCTTCCCTTCTTTGGTTTGTATGCAGGGGTGAAAGCAAGACGCTGCCTCGTGCAGAAGATCAGCAAATCTTCCTTCAGATCTTCGGGACGATCATCCATATTACTGCAGTGTACTTGTCTCGCTTCACCTGCTCTCGTGTACTCTTAAGTCCTTCGTCATCATGGACTTCTTACATCCCCCGTCTCCAAACGCCACCTCGGGTAAGAGTCTTGAAAATCAATAGCCTCATCTCAGCAAGCTGCATACGCTCTGAGACTATCCTCACCAGCCTCACAGTTACGGCCATCCAATACTATCGCTCCTCAATGCTTTCATATGACAAACCTATTTGCAAGTGAAACAAAAAAGCAAGCAGCAGACAGCCTTCCTGCAAGCCAAACCCTTAGATGCCGTCTACTTCTTGCTTTTTCAAACCCCCAGAAGTCAATTTCCTGCTGTCATTGGCGTGACCTTTCGGATCTAGCCGGTCAAGTATCTCCGTACCCATGCAGATGTACCCAACTCCTTGCTTTCGCAAGCACCGTATTCGGGCTTACCTACCACACGCACACGGAAAACAACTTCGTATATGTTGAGAATTGTCTCCGATGCCCGTTGCTAGAGCGCTTTACAGGGTTTCTCCATTCTTCAACGCAACGGACGGCTGACATGCTAGTGGGCCTAGCATCGGTCACATTGTGACAGATGTCTGAGATGATGGCTTCCGTGCGGGCACTAACTCCTTATCAAACTATCGAATACGCTGAGCAGTAGGTCGGTGGCGAGTAGCTGCAGATGGGCACTCATGGGGGAGATTGAATAATCTCCGAGTCACATCGAGAGTACGAGCCCTTCTTTTGGTTTCTTTGGCATGTGAACCACACGGATTAATACCGCGAAGAAAGTCGATGGGGATCAAAAGTCAAGTACCCTTGTACATTTTGGTGTTGTTAAGCCAAGATAATTCAATCAAAACCGAAATTGAACTAAGTGGAGTTGGAAACTCCCCGAGATCGATGGTATCGAGATGGTCGGCTATCGGTTGACGTTGTTGGCATCGAGGTTGCTGTCCTTCCTTTTTGTGTTATTGTCAGGGATTAATTAAGGGTCCAAGACATCTACGAACAACTTCAAAGTAAGGTGCTGAAAATCAGGCCAGAGCAGCCGAATGGACCGGCGCAACTGGTATAGAACTGATATATCTCGTCACGGTGCTAGGTTCGGACCGCTCTTTCAGTGTGATGAGCCTCAATACAGCAGGTGGGAGCACCAGACAATCCGTTGAACTGACCACTTGCTTCGCTATTTCTAGCTCTCTTGGGAAGACGACAAACACGACATGGTCGTTGGATCCAACGGCGCCAACAGCTTAGCTAATGTTCAAGGTTGTGCGTTACAGACGACTCCTAGCTCAGCCTCTCTTTCTGTCATGCTAACATCTAGTATCCAGGGACCAGCATAAACATCGACATCTCAAATGCCATCCCAATAATATCACCCCCATCATGTTGACCCAAAAACTCAAAAGCTAAACACCAACTCAGCCATCTAGTGCTCCGCGTGGAAACTAGGATATCCACATGCCAACGTGGACATGGAAAAGAAAGACATCCCCATGCATATCATCCCCCACGTCATGGACAGATCGCAAGCTTCAACACATCAGGAGCAACCGACATCTGCTTGTCCCCATTCCCACTTTGCCCATGACTCTACGGGATATCACTATCGCCACCGACTTCACACCGCAGCAGTTCCATACACTTCCCACGCTCCGACGCCAGTCCCACTGTTGCTTCATCTCGCATCTAGATGCTTCGGTCATATATGCCCCCCAAGAAACTGCATCACTTCAACTCATCCATATCTAACATAGCCGCAGTCCACCCGTTGGTAGCGTGGGGTGTTGATATCGGGTTTGCGAAGTGAGAAATTACTTGACTTGACTTGCAAGTGGCAATAATCACATCTGTGCTCGACCATGAGTGGTACTTACCTCAAGTCAAATGCCAGAACAGTCCAGATGGCAGCTTTCCCCTCTTCGATCCGTGCATACTCTTTCCCTCAGTCAAGGAGCATGGACTGCAACGGCGACGGCAACGTCAACAGACCGCCAACCGCACCCACTATTAGGCTCAGACTTAGACTCGGGCGAGAAGAACATCCCATCCATCCATCCCAAACCCCAACCATCACAAACCCCCATCCCCATCCCCAATCCCATTCGCACATCCCCCAAACTCAAAACCACAATCCCCAAGCCAGGTGCGCCGCTCCAAAAACCTTCTCGACTCCTCACCACGCACCAGCACCCACGACCATGACTCGTCCCCAACTCCCCCCAAACCAATTAAATTTAAGTTTTGAGCAACATCCAGGGAGTCGCGGAGGAGGACTGACAGCCGCCATCGAAATCCAGCAGTTTGGATCGGTATCGCAGAGGTTAACTTTTCCTTCTGGCATGCCATGCTTCTTAGCTGCAAAAATAGAGTTTCGGAGTCCTTCCATAATGCCAGGATAAATTGTGACAAGCACAGTGCTTCGCCGTATCGCAGCCGAGTACTGGACTTCAGTCTGACTACTGGAACTGCTGGGCATGAGGCGAGGCGAGGCGAGGCGAGGCGAAGCAAGGCAAGACAGGCCAGAAGCAGAGATGAGAATAAGATGAAGTGAGGAAAGGTGAGATCAGCAAGCAAAATTTCTTTGTGGCTGAAACTCTAATTGATGAAGGGTCTTCGTTCTTGAGTGCGCCCGCCATCTTGACGATCCCATCACTTTTTTGGTCTCCTGTCTCCTGTCTCCAAGCGAAAGTGAGTTCTTCACAAGCTCAGGCAACATGAAGATCCTAAATGTTTTGTCTGTGCTTCAGGGTCCTACGGACGGGTCCGTAGCGCGTGCGGGAAAGTCAACTCTCCTGTTCGGTGGCGAGTGGTGATGTGTTTCTTCTAGGACCAGGGAGGAAGAAAGATGAGTGGAAAGAGTGAAAAATGTAAACTAAAGTGCGGGAGGCAGAATGTGAGTGAGCTCGGATCGCGAATTGGTCGAGTAATGGGTCTGAACTTTGACAACTGAGGAGTTCTTACAAGTTGATATCAAACTGTAATCTTACTGTTAATGTAGAGCAGGGCAGTGTAGAGCAAACCAGAAGTCTGATTTATCCCAAATTTTCGGACCCAAGCGTCGTGCAAAGATGGTAGGCAATGGAGGGAGTACTGGGTACATGAATCATGGAAAGATAAGCAGGCCCTGGATGAACGTGAGATTGAGCAAGGGGAGTGAGAGAGAAGGTGTTCATGCATGTGCCGGATGCAGGTTCCAACGCTCTTAGTCTACACTTGCAGACAGGTCTTTGGAACGAAGGTCCATAAAACGATGGTAAACTTTAGAAGCGAGAACGGGATTTGATCTGGAGTGGACGAGAGTCTAGAACGGCGTTTGAACGTTGCGTGTACTATACATGGTATAATAATTTAGTAGACCTGTGAACTGCTTGGCAATGTGATTGATGTGCGTGATCAACGGTAATACTTGGAACTTGGACGCCGAAGCTGCAATGCATTCCCATCTCACCCTTGCTCTGACCACCAAAGAGTTGATGCTAATAATCCCTCCATCAAGGATGGTGAACCGAGACCATACAGTAACTGTTCTCGACCAAGACTTGTCACTTCGGACTTTCCTGCAGAGAAACATGGGTCCGTTCCTGTTCAAAGCCAACAGTGAACCACCTAGCGTAGGTATGAACCAAAGCCTAGAGCATGGACTTTCACATCATTTACCGGCTCGAACGAGAAAGAAGTTGAAACAAGCTGACCGCAGAACCATCAACTCCCTCAGCTTCCCTCCCTCTCTCTACAATGCACCAGCGAGGTTGGGTGGCTTGTACTATATTGCATCACTTAGCAAGGTTTTCCATGCCACGCGTCGTGTCAAACTTCGTGGATCCGATCACTTGACGACCTTTGCATTCAACTTAGGAATCCATGAAACCGGTCTTTGGCTAGTCCGAGCATATACCGATGATAGCCAGAAACAGCACATGTCAAGCCACATCCGCAATTCGAGAGCGGTGAATCTCTACACCATGCACGGTCCAGATCCTAAACTGCAAAGCTTGTACAGGCTTTCACTAAGGTACTTTGTTCGAATCATGTGATTCTCCCCGTCTCATTCTGGCGCAGCGCGTCGATTTCGCGTTGCAGTTTGCTGAGGTCTGCCAGTATGTCATGTTTATTTGCGGGTTCTGTAGCTTTTTCCGGTTGTCCGGATGAAAAATTAGAGCCTCGTCGAGCACTCTCATTGCTTCGCCGAGAGTATTCACCGCTAGGTCTCTGTGAATTGCCAGGGGATTGGGCATCCATACTACTGCGTCCATGACGAGGTGGTGGAGGTGGGGGCGCCATTACGGAAGCTCTTTTGTTAGGAGGATTAGGTGATGTGAGATCTAAACTTAAGACTGATGGAGGTTTACCTCCGGACAAAGATCGAGACGATCCTCGAGCTGGCGGTGGAGCTGGCAATGACGCCGTCGACTGAGATGTCAAGGTTGTGTGTGAAGTTCCTCTTGCTGCTCCTAGCCGCCGTGATGGCGGAGGAGGAGGGGCTCTGACACTATCAATCGATGGCCTCCTGTTCTCTTGTAACGGTATTCTCGGAAGTTCTTCCTCTGGCTTGAGTGACAATCTGGCAGAATTACTCCTTGTCAGCTTCAATCCGGACACCATCTGGCTATGCCGTCGAGAGAGGGGCGGTGCTGGTGGGTTCTTCTTTCGTATAGATGTGGACGGGGATGGTGGTTCTGGTGTCTTCCCAGCTGATTCTTTGTCAAAAACAGATTCTCTCTCTGACTCATGGCTGGCGCGAGGCGGCGCTGGTGGTAAGGGCTTGTTGAGATCGGTTTGGGAGCGAGGACTGGAGCTGAAGTAATTTTGTGAAGTGATGGATCCCGGCGTGGGAGGCGACTGCAGTGCATTTGGTGTACCTTCATCCCGCAGTTCAACCTTTATCAATTTGCCATGGCGCGAGCTCGGTGGTGGGGGCTTTTTCCTCGGTGCTGCTGACGGCTCTGATATCAATCTTCTGTCATCTTCTGGCTCTGATATCTCGTGTGATGTGCGAGGTGATTCCGGCAATGGCTCCTGTACTGCCTCGAAGATAGACTGTCGGGATATCGACGATGTATCTGTGCTACTCCCCCCATCTCCGACAGCATGTGCCACATGGGCAGGGGCCGAAGGTTGTGCTGGAGGTGTACCCAGCCCGGCGTTGCCCGTCATTAACAGTCTCTTGAAAGCCTCCACATCCATAGAAGCCCTACCTGCAGCTGCGGTATTCGGTGGATGCGCAGCTGGAAATTCTCGTTCCGGATTTTCCATTGTCTCCAGGGTTTTAGAAAACGGATTCGCCGGAGCTTTAGTAGGCTTATTAGATCCCTCATCTTCAGATGTGTCCGAGTTTACACTATCGAATGGATCGTCTGCCCGCGGTTTCGGGGGTGACGGGGGTCTGCCGGGTGTTTTGTAGCTATCATCCCCAATCGTTGAGGAGGAATCAGGTATCGATGGTGTTGATGGAGATGGCGGAGGAGGGGACTGCACGCGCACTTTCTTAGCGATCTTCTTGGGTAGAGCTGTCTGCTCTATGCCAACAGCTCCTGACTGTATATTTTCGTATGGAGAGGATATCTGGATGTCTGCAGTGGGGTGTTGTGACATGGCCGAGGGGAGAGTCGAAGGTGTTTTCCTTCGAAAAGGGTTCGAGGATGGCAAATCGGCAGACATATTGGCGCAGTGGAAACATCCAGTTCCTCAATCATGCAATTCTGGGACTGTATCATTTGAGGGTATCGAATTTTCATCATTCGCGGGGTTGTCGTTGTCGTCGTCGTTGCGTGGGCCGGAAGCTCGGTGATGGTGAGGCGTCTTGATCTTGTCTTATCAAATGGCGCGGGCTCGCTCGGCCTCGAAGCTTATTTGGCAGGCAGGCTCAGGGCATGCGCACGCTGGCGGCTTTCCCCACAATCGGCGCTGGGGTTTACCCAAGGATCGTACACTTTTCCCCAGATCTGGAACCACAGACTTTTGCTGGGATTTGCGCCGAAACAAATCATTACTGTGGGCCGGAGTGAAGTCTGTTACGCTCTTAGACCAAAGGGTTGGGAGTTATGAAATTGAGTCAAGCCTCAAGACAATTATTATATCTTGCCAAGCAGTTCATCCCTTCTCGAGTTTCTGACGATCCTGAAAACCAATACGATGGAAACTTCTAACGACACGCATAAGATTTGGAATGTGGGAAACATAGCTATAGCAAGTAGAGGCCTTCTGTTAAGATGCATTTGAAATACAATTCAGTTGGGTTTCTCGTGTCAACACAGGATACTTTCTTCTGGAGTTGAATTACCAGTTCAACATGGTCATTGTCACATACCAAAAGGCTCCTGAAAAGTACGGTGTATTGTGTCTGAAATTGACACTCATTCTAACTTTCATTCCGCAAACGCCTTTTATGCATGGGTATTGCCGTAAACACAAGAACTCCCCAAATGCCAGATGCCTTCTATGCAATGCAGCACAGTCAAGTCATTCCGATGGATGATTTCAATGAGGTACAAATAAACCTTCCGTCACGATCCCATACGCTCTGAATCTCATGCTAACACAATTCCAGGCCCCGTCAACTTCAGATTGCGCCAATTCAGACCGGTCCAAGGGTCGATTGTAGCTGCGATGTGATTTCTGCAGGCCGCATACGAGTGATGGGAGTTTCGGAATCGACATTGATAAGTAACGTGGCCTTGATATCCGGAAACAGCTGATCGTGAGAACCTCGGAAGTAGTCGCAAGCGAATTTGTAGCCTTGGTTTGTTGGTCTAGAGAACGCAACCCGTGCCCGAGGGATGGTGTAGCTGCCAACGAAATGGCTGCGAGCAATGTCGAGCAGAATCCTAGCAAGGTGGACACCATGAAAAGCGCCCCGGCGATACTTTTCATCAACCCAGATGCGGTCAACGCTCATGACAATGTCGTTGACAACATGGTCTCTGTGGACTTCTTCTTCTCCATTGCCACCCTGGCCTGGCTTGAGAATTCTGGCAAAGGCTACAGCTCGTACGATAGGCTCTGCGATGATAGCGGCAACAGGACGACGATCAACCATAGCAATGAAGACCTGGAATCGTTCGGTGCTTTTTCCAGCGAACTCTGGGTCTGGATTCTCAGTCTCGGACCACATGTCATCAACCTTCGGATATCCCAATTCTCCGTCAACCTTCTCAACAACACGTCGTGCGAAAGAGCGAACCACAGCAGCATCATTGCGCTTGACTCTGATGAAGAAGAGCTTCTTACCATCGAAATAAGTTACGCCAGCTCCGCCGCCTTGAAGAGTGACACCGCAAAGATTGACACCAGATGAACCACAATTGATTCTCTCCTCATGCATATCAGAGTGCGAGGCACGATCTTCCGTCAAAGTCTTGTCATAGCGCGAGCCGCATTCCTCGCAGACCACCTGGGAATCGGTGTTGCCGAGCGAAAGCTGGGACTGCGTCATTCTTTGGGCTCGAAGTCGAGGGATGGGGATGGGAGAGCTCGTCGCATTTGGAGTGCCAACGCCAGACTCGCATGTTTGACTGCTACTTTCGCCGCCTTCCTCAGCATAATGATCGGAGAGTGGGTAATTTTGCTGATGACGGTGACAAATGTAGTCGTCGATGCACTGGGAGCACACACTTTGCGATGATTCGGAGCCTTGAGACATCTTGACAATTGGCAGCTCTTTCGGTCGGGTGGAAATGCGCCTTTTCGGTCTTCTCTGAATTTTCCGATGCGGAATCGAAGGGCTAGCTGCTCTAGAAGGGGGCGAAGTAGGCGGAGTTGGAACCAGCTCGAGGTTATCGGAAGATTGTAGACTAGATCGAATAGGCGCCGGACTCGGGCAGCTTGACAAAGGCTGGAAGTAGCTTTGAATCGATGATCGCGCGAATTTCTTTGCAGGAGGTAGTTCAACAACAGCTTGAAAGTCCTCGGAGAGCTTCCTCTTGCCAGGAGGCTTCTCTGTGGTGATGTTGACGCGTCTTGAATATGTCTTCAGCGGCGCGGCTCTGGAGATTTTATATCAGTGACGTTGCAGGTGAGTATGCGGGGAAGCGGCCGTACCTGGTGCTGCCCGAGGGTTTCGCCATCTTGGCCTGTCGGCCAAAGGCCTAAAAAGCCGACAATCGTGTTCTCTTCGAAATGTGGTGCTGTACAGAATTCGAGGTGTTGAAGAAAGTTGAAGGAAGACGCGACGCGGACTTCGAAGTTGGGCTCGCTTATTCGAAGCGCTACTGGTGGGGTGCGTGGTCCACGGAAGCACGTGCAGGCCTCACCAGCCCAAGAAGCGAATTACTCCACCTGCTTCCAACTGCACGCCGTTTCTCTCTTCACGATCAAGTTAATACTCTGAGACTTTTTCCAGAGGATCGATCACGTTGAGAGGTAGTTACTAGACTAGACAATGAACAGCTTTATTGTTTTCAATCTTGCAACAGCCAGTCTTGATATATGTGTAACTACTGGCTCGTCAATATGCAACGCTGTAGACTGATCACCACCATGTCGAACCACTACCTACAGCAGGATGGGGAAATCAAAGGAAAAACACCGCATACTGTCCAACTATGAAGCCAATTCTCTTTCACGCGTCTACACAGGAGAAAGAGAATGTCTGGTCCCAGAAGTCAATATTAGAGCTTCAAAGTTCAACCTACCAATAAAGCCATGTTTCTATCCTTTGACTGGCAACTATCGAGCCTCAGCCCATCTCAAAAAGATAGTTGCGTCTTCTACAATCAAAACTCTATATTTCCTTCAGCTGAGGGAGACTCTGAGAAAGTATGTACTGCGGAACGACACCATTCGCCGATCCCAGATGTTTGATGACGATGTCCGAACAGAAGTGTTTCTTTACGAAGCACTCCTACCCTATTCACGTTTAGACTGAAAGGCATCTTCACAAAAACAGGATAAGCCATCTATGATCCCCGGTGTCGTGTACATTTACGCTTTTTTCTTTGACCATCATCTTCAATCATGTTTGCGAATGGGGTTCCAGCAAATCCATTTCTAATGCGACACTAACTCATGAACATGGCTGGAAAGTTATGCTAGCAGTCACTTATGATATATGGCACATTAATTGGATCACATGGAGACATTTTTTCCGGCCAGCAGATGAATAAATGAAAGGTTGAAAGGGCTGCACCCACTGGCTGCGCAAACATAGGAGGTATTGGCCTACCCTGCCCCTCGAGGCCATTGCATGGATTGTACCGGAAGATGAAGCTAGATGAAAGGTATGAAAAGTCTATTTAGGCTTTCTACAAGCCAAGGTGAGGTCAATTACATAACCCAAGCTATTCATACATCTTCTATGCAGATCCTCGTACATTCGTAGTACAAAGCAGCCACAGTGCTGCCAAGAGTAAGAGGAGGGTGTTCCAATTATTCGAATCATCACTTTCTCCGCTTCAAAGTCTTGATAGCCATCTCTACCAAGCCATCTTTCGCTTCACTATCCGGGAACGCATCTAGTGAGGCAATCGCGCGGTTTGCGTACTCCTCAGCCAGAGCTCGCGTTTGGTCTAATCCGTCGCTTTGTAGAACCAGTTCTCGAGCCTGTGATATTGTAAGTATTTGCAGAAACTGTGGAAAACGGTCAACATACTCTAGCAACATCGCCCTCCTGGGCGAATTTCCTCCCCACCAGAGACCCCAGCTCTTTGTTGTTTTTCCACGCAAATAGTAGTGGTGCGGTAGCAAGTCCAAGCTCCAGATCTGCACCTGCCGGCTTGCCCAATTCCTTTTCGCTGATCGTGTAGTCCAGCATGTCATCCACAAGTTGGAAAGCAAGCCCCAGATTCTTTCCATACGCATATGCTGCATCTACAGTCGCCTTGTCCGAGCCCCCGAGTATCGCGGCTGCCCTACAAGACTTCGATATCAAGCTTGCAGACTTCAGATATGTCTTCTGGAGGTAGTATGTGACTGTTTCCTCAGTCCATACCGGGTTCTTCTCGTCCCGAGCTGTATTCTTCAATTGCATGAATTCTCCTTCCACCAGATTCGCAATGACTGTTGCCAGGAGCTCAGTAACTTCTGGATCCCGTAACCTGGCGAGTGCTACAGAAGCTCGCCCAAGAAGGAAGTCCCCAGCCAATACGGCCATCTTATTTCCAAATTCGAGATTTGCAGAGGGCGATCCGCGCCTTGAGACGGAATGGTCAATCACATCGTCGTGCAGGAGAGAGGCAGTATGTATTAGCTCGGTGATTTCTGCCAGTCGTCTCTGAGATGGTAATATGTCGCTGTCGGCCGCAGAGTATGATGTTTGTGTGTGGGTGAGAGGATTCGTAGAAGGAGCAGTTGGGTTGACATCTGTGAGAACTGACATTGGAGAAATTGCCTGGTCGATATCTGTCGGACTTTGCGGGCTATTGAATCTTGGAGATTTTGGTGTAAGGGCTGTAGCTCGGGACATCAGCAGCACAATGAGCGGTCGCACATGTTTCCCCTCCGCTTGTGTGTAATACTTCGCAACCGTGTCAAGAGATGGATGTCCAGAGCCCAAAAGCTGCCGTATATTGCCGGTCAAGAACTTCATCTCCTTCGCCACTATCCGTAGTGGATCTATACTGACATCTCCTGGGCCTGCCGTCCGAGCCGTCGCGTTGGAGAAAACATTGGAGGCAACGGAGACCGCTTGCGCCCAGCTTGATTGCCTCCTCCGTGAGGGATGCCGATATACTGAGTTCGAAAAAAGCCGCGATGGCTGTCGCGGAGTCAATTGACACCTATAACATGACGAATATAAAGGTATTATTGAGGTTGAGGAGCTGTTGAAGAGCGATGAAGCTCTAGCTGATCGGATTCTCATAGCCCTAGTCCCTGCCTCTGCAAAACCGAATTGAGACCCCTATAGCAGCAATTTGAACATCCGAAAGTCCAGATATATTCCTACACTCGAAAGAAAGGTCGTGGGAGTTGTTTTTGGGTGGAAAGATGTCTTTGAAGGGTTGACAAAATGTTGAAGCCGTGGAGTTCCGATATATTTTTTCGGCTACACTAGACCATTGTCGGGTCATCAGAGCACCGAGGCAAGTCCAAGCGACAAGCTTAAAGGCTTGGACAGAACCGACAACTCATCTACATAACTTTTTTCTACGACAATGGAATAAACCACCTCAAAATGGTGCTGCTTACCATGACGGCTGCCATGGTGGGGGCATTGGAGAAGATTCAGGGTGGCGGGCGAGCGGCAGAACAAAACGATTCGCTTCGCAACGACAATGTTCTCACAGCAGGCAACGATGGCAGCAACGGGAGGAATAGCGAGCAGACGCAACAGCATACAGAGAATAGACCTGGAGAAGCAGAAAGAAAGTCTGCAGCGTCAGAAAACTCGTCGTGTTCGAAAGAGAATCCAGAGAGCAATGCGCTGGGGGAACCAACCCTTTCAAATCCAAGAATAGGCAATCCAATATCCCATGGGCAAATCGTGGACCTTTCGCAGAATATGAAAGCTCAGAAGCTTCGACCATATCTTCTGGAGGAGTTGCTCAAAGGTGCTAGAATGTACAATCCTCCACCGCCACCCAAGCCCGAACCTGTACGTACTTCCCTGTAGGCAGACATGCTACTAGATATAGTGGGTGGTGCATATAGAGGACTTTCAAGCTTCTTTGTCACTTGTGGGATAGAAGTATTAAGTGTCCGGCGATATCAGAGTCTTTGGATAGCTGACTAACATTCGTTGAATTAGACTTCCGAGTATAAAGCCCTCATGGCACGACTCCGACGTGAAGAAGAAGCCCGCACATATGAACGAATGACGAACCCTCCTCCTCCTATGGAAACCTTCTCCCAGAGATTCCCTGCTGCCTCTGCTGCGAGAGCCTTTGCCTCCAGTCACCAGAATATCAATACATCAGATCCGGACGATGACGAAGTTACATATGCGGATGTAGACAGGCAAATGGCTCTGATATTCAATGTTCTGATCAGTATTGTTGCATGTGCGGCAGCTATCTGGATTGCTGCCAAGTGGTGGAGCACACCTGCGAGACTGGCATTGAGCATGAGTGGTAGTGCTTTGGTTGGTGTCGCCGAAGTGATAGTTTATTCGGGATATCTTAGACGAGTGAGCGAGGCGAAAGGGAAGGAGAAACAAATCAAAGAAGTCAAGGAGATTGTCAACACGTGGGTCGTTGGAGCTGGAAATGGCACTGAAGAAGCGACTGAGGATAATTCTGTTGCCATTGAGTCAAAAGAGATTGACCAAGGCTTGAGGGCGAGAAAAGGGATAAAAGACGTCTCTTAAAGACGGCATAATGGACAATTCCACTTCACCAACATATTTGGACTCCACAATTGCTACCATGCATGGAGTCTACAGAGCCGTTTCAGGCTTTGCAGCAACCCACGAGCACCAGCCGAACCACATTCATCGACGTCAAAGACCTGCGTCCTGTGGCAATGCGGAAATGTTGATTATGCACAAGTCCTAACTATGTACCGAGCAATGCTGTTACTTGAGCTGCTATACTTGCTAGTGATGCAGAGGTCGCTGAAGCCGCCGCCGCCGCTTCTGAGGACGAAGATGCTGCAGACGCAGCAGCGGAACTCGCAGCATCCCTAGCAATGTCCAGACCCTCTTTCGAGATGACGAACCCTCTGTATGCATAGACTGCGGAATAAATGGCCGTAGCAGTCGATATGCACCCAAACACGAAGGTCATGATCAAAATCGCCACAAGCCCCATCCAGAAAGTAAGCCATTCTTGAGGATCCCGAAAATCGCGCAGACTTCTCCAGAAACTAGTCGGCTTGGACTTATATAAAGTATATATGGTGTCCAGGCGATCCCGCCAATGTACGAAAGACGACATAGATGGGCGTTCGGTGCTTGTCCATGACAAAGGGTATTCAGCTGATCTGGATATGTCCGGATGGTACTCTTTGAGATAGGCACTGGACTTTTCATACTCATGTTCGGACGAAGATGGGAAGAGTATCCCAAGCGTTCTGGTAGTCTCTAATATGAGACTTTCGGGAAGAATATTGGTTTTACTACACCATGTCAGACTTGTTTGCCCCCTTTCGTTTCAGTTGTGGAATTTACCTTCTCTTGTGTGCTACCAGAAACAACTTCATGGGGAAAACATTCAGTACCTTATCGTCCTCGTTGCTGTCGTCAAACAACAGATGATTAATTATGTTCTTTGTCACATGAGTCCTGACACCATGTAAAGAATTCAACGATTGCGCTGAGAAGTTTCTCTCTAATTTTGGGCCGAGTCTTTGCGCAGTTGTCAGCGCGGTTGCGCTCCGGCGCAATGCTCCGTTATCTGGCACGAATTGAGCTGATACGAAGTCAACAAGTCGAGTATTGTCGTCCCAAATGATAGAACCCGGTTCATCGGAGCCATAGTTGTCAGTCGTAACTGGTTCAAGGAACGGGATGGTGGTCCACAGCCGAAGTGCAAGATTGATTGAGGCGTTCAAGGCTGTATCGGTACTTGCTTGAAATTCCTGATGCTGCTTCAATGCCCTTCGCAGCTCTGGGCGTCCTATGGATGTCTTGGTCTCTCCAGTTTTCCAGACTTCGTTAATAATTGTCAGAATGTCTTCGTGGTTCTTTCCAGCAAGAGCAGTGAATTGAGTGCCCCTTCCTCCTGCCAGTCCCCTGCACACTTCTTGGTAGAATGAGAAGTAGGCGTTGAAGTCATTCAGGTCGTCAATTCTTATCGACCAGAACGCGAGTAAGATGGCTTCTTTCATTCCATCATCGAGTGGAGCGTCTATCCTTGTTCCCGGCATTTCAAGAACAATGTCAAGTTTCGCTTTGGCCGTCTCCAGTCATAACTTGGGCCCAGTGTTCTGAAAAAAAGATATACGGCTTGCCTCGTGAAGTCGTCCCTTCAAGGCGTTACGAAAATCAAACTGCGCTGGCACAATTTTCGCATATCTCACGCCGATTGGTTGGTGTGTTCAGCTGTGGCTTGTCCTTGCGCAACCTTCCAACTTGCAGCGTTCAGTCTCCCTACCCATTTGGTGTGTCCGGATAAAGTTGGTGCATGAGATGTGACATTAGCGCTGGGATGTGCATTTCAGCTGGAATATCAGGGGCTCTCTGCACTTGTTCGTAGCCTTGTCGCTTTTCATTGCCTTCCAAAAACAATACAACGCCATGACTATGCTGGAGAGATTGTTTAGAAATCATCTCAGGGTCCCAAGGAGCAACAAGAAGAATAAACGCATCGTTGTCTGAATAGCTGAGGACTCAAAGCTCCATAATCCTGTGAAGGTGGACGAGGACGAGGAGCTGCGACCAAAAGGCAATCCGATTGCACCATCCCATCATCCTCCGGCAGTACAACAGGAGCCAGACAACGTAGTTACAGCAAATGATGGGCAACAGACGAATCCAGAAACTCCTGGAACAGCTTCCGGGTCTACCCAGACTGCTACGACTCAAAATGTCCAACAACCAGCTACAAGCTGTAGCTGACACCGATCAGCCTGCTCCAGCGCCAGTACAATTAGTACCACCGTCAAATCCTAGTTTTGATGCGTTGACTGCTGGTTTACCGATGAGATATGAAGATGGTCTCTACATTTCACGAGTTCTCAATGTCCCTGACAGCCCAAAGAAGCAGAAGTTCTTCGATTCGGACCCTGACTTCGGTATTCGGGCGCAGCTGATGCCTTTCATCAGGTTCAGAGGGGACGATACGAGACTAGGTAATTATGCCGACTATGTCATGGGAGGCAAAAGCCCAAATGAGGTCAATTGGCAGCCCTTGGTCGTCATCTTCTGTGCCAACAAGCACCAGCAGGAGACGATTGTGAAGAGGCTGAAAAACATGTCACAAACAATTCTGAAAAGCTATGAATATGTCATAGTAACGGAAGAAACGCTGCTTGCTTCTGGAGAACTTGATTCGTCATTTGTCGATATCGAAGAGGATCATCGCAATGTATCCGGAGCATTTGACACCACTTTACCCACTCTGTGTGGAATGACATCCAGTGTTAACTATGATTTGTTAACGTCATCTCAGCAACATACTTGCTTCAAACTAGGGGGCCTCGTTTCGATCAATGAAAAAGTTTACGGTCTGACCACGGCTCACAAAATCAGCAAGAAAGATCCCAACTGGCGATTCCCGCTGAAGTCTCGGGCCGGAGCCGAGGCCAACACGGAAGGTACTTCCCCTACCCATTGCTGTTGTATTGTCTGACGTGTTCTGCTTCAGGACCAGGTAAGCTCGTTGCGGTCGGTCATCTGGAAGCTTTTGAGTATACATTTCCTCGTGATGTTAACTTCCGTGGCCGTTCCTGGGACTGGGCATTAATAAAGCTGCAAGATGACTGCATACGTCCGAACCTCGTCTCCTCGCCTTATCCTCACGATGGCAGCACTCCAGAGTACCAGCATGTTCCAGTACAAGGATATCTGCCTCGATCGGCTCTCTCTTTTGGTGAGGTTTGGGTGGTCGAAAGTCCTAGTAGCTCGATCCTCGCGGTTCTGATTGAACAGCCCGTTTTATTGGCATTCGGCGATAATAATTTCGAGGCATACTCAATAGGACTCACAAAGCCGTTAGGTATGAATATGACTCAAATATGTTGATCGATTCTGACAACCTCAAGAGGACGGATCTTCGGGTTCTTGGGTCATTCGAGACGGGAAAGTGTGCGGCTACATTTTCAGTCGAGTTGTGGGGAAACCGTGGGCATATATGCTACCTATCGAACCTGTGATTGACCGAATCTCGGAATATTATTCCTCGAAAGGTCCCTCGCCAGTCTCAGTAACCATTCCTCTCTACGACAAACAAGCAATCCATCCTACCAGTGGCGAAATGGTCCAGGTTGAGCCCATAAACGATATTACCCTTGATCTGTCAAGCATCGAAGAAAACAAGCCAGTTGCGACTTCCAAGCCAACTTCATTGGATGTCAGCGCGGGAAGTAGCGACAGTTCAAAGACGAGTACTGCTCCAGCGCACCCAGCCGGAACGCTAGCACCATACCATCCAGCTCAGCCTACGCCACTATTGTCTGGATCAGGTCTTGATGCTATTGAGACTACCATTGAAAGCAGCAGAGCTAATGACAGGGCAAGCGATGTGGCAAGTGATGTGGCAAGTCTAAGACCATATTCTCGTTCTTCCACTTCGCAACCTGAGGTTTCATCTGGTCGTCAAGTCCGGAAACCAGTATCGCTCGAGCCAAAGATGCCAGCACCCGAGCCATCTTGGGCGGATCGGGCAGGCGTTTCTCACATGGGATCATCTATGAATCTCCCTTACTCAAAGGACAAAAGGACGGAACTTCCTGAGAATCTTGTGGCCCGCCCGGCCAACCTCAATGGTCTCCATATTCAGCACATGTCATCTGCTTTAGCCATGTTCGAACGTTCAACAACCCGTGTCAGCCCACCACTGAAATCAAAAGAAAAGCTCTTCTTGTGGATAACATCGCGAGATGGGCAGCACCTGAGAGGACGCTTTATGACCGAATGTGTCATCTTCCAAGACTTTTTATATCGTTTCGCAAATACGTTTGCCGAACATCCCGTCACGTTTCTCGACAGCAAGACCTTGGCAACAATGTTGGAAGAGCCATCGTTCAAGGAAAACATCCGTCGTAGCATGAGTCAAACTAAAATCGACACTATTGGTCTCACCTGCCATGATATTGACAAACACGTCGAAAGATTGATGTCTATGATAGAGGCTTCGCACAATCGCTTATTGGTAAGTCTAAAATCATGCTGCAAGTACTTTTATATTCTTTTATATTTGCTAACAGTTCCACCAGTTCATGATTGAGATGCGAAAAGTTGTTTTCTCGAGGAAAGCAGCAGTAGGAAAACAACTGGACTTGATCACCGAGTGCAACACTCGACTCAGTCAACTCATGGCGTATCTTCGCCCACGAGAACCAGATTACGCACATCAGCATGCGCCTGATGTGGAGATACTTCAAAGGCGTCTTTCGTTGACAGACTAGGTTTCGAGTACCTTCTATTCAAGCTCTCAACCACCAAGCATACTGGAACGTGTGCAACCAGCCTTGTGTGTTCCAGCTGCCCGATTATCGTTCAGGACGAATATCACACGATAGTGGCTCTGTGAATACGCTCGTGACAAACCTGTACAATCAGTGAAATACAAAATCAGATCGACACATGTTTACAATACAGATTTGACACTATTTTGCAGCTCCAACCCCATTATACCCCCTTCGGACTCAAATCATAATCATTTGTCACCCTCCCACAAGCATACTTTGCCGCAACATCTACCCCTTCGCTTTTCTCTTTCTCAATCTTCTCCCTCAATTGACGATTCTTCTCCTCCACCTCCTTGCTCAACCTCACCTTATCCTCCTCGGTATACTTCGGCGGACGCAGATCATCCGCCGGATGAAAGAGCGCTTCTTCTCCAACGACATTCCGTCCATCTACTCCACGAAACTTGTCTTCAGTCTCCTGGCTCCAGGGCTCTGGAAATCTGTCGAGAAAGTTTTTTATTTGAGCTGGGCTGAATGCAACGGCGTCAACGACGTTGCGCTCGTAGGAGCCGTCGAAGGAACGCATCACGCCGTCATGGCCGAGCATGACTACGCCTTCTGGGTCGAGCTTCAGAGAGCGAGTGGCTTCTCTGTAGGAGGACTCTGCTGGAGCTGGCGATGAGGTGGAGGGAGTCGGCTGCGAGTTCTCTTGATCGGACATTATTGGCGAGTTTTATGAATGTTTGAAATAGGATTTTGAGTGCTGGATCACATCGAGCCAGACATGAATATAACGAGTAGTGGTCTTTTATGTGCGGCTTGGGATTCAAGTGATCTGCAGACGCCCTGTGGCTGCCTGGAGTGAGGCAATCTGGGATCATCTGCACTGCCACCAATAGGCTAAAAACACTGCAGGATCAGACATTTCGTCAGCTTACTTCTGACTTTGTAGTATGGTGTCAAACCCTTTGAGTTTCTATTGATATAGAAATTGAGTCTTGAGACACCAGGATGATTTAATGTTAGTCCACGAAATCCATGGTATCCCTGCCTGCACCCTGTGTCGATATTTCTCTGAAGCTAAGCGAAGCGTGAACCCGAAAGTAAATATAGGTGAGGGGTCTGGACACAATCAAGTGGCTCTGATCGAGTCTTCTAACTGTATTTATTGAAGTAACAATCCAGTGCTTTGACCAGATACCGACCTAGGACTAAATTATATTTGGATGTGGGTTTTCAGAGAATGACTTACGCTGAAGTAGATGGCCATGACTTCTCAAGCTTCTGGGTCTTGCCCAAACCCACAAGCGTGATGAGTAGTCCTCTTTTAGGCCTGAAAGTAAATCTTAATGTTATCCTGTGCCCCTGGTAGGAACAACATTCTTGAATTACCTTCTCAACAGCGTTCGCTCATCACGTGAGCACTAACTCCTGGCAGAAGAAATCTCCCTCTTTCCCCTCACATGGAAAATGAAAGAATCAACCGTAGTCGACGCAACGACCTCATTTACAATATATCATTTGCTAGCGCGATCACGAAATCGACTACAGATTGATAAGCGAAAGGGCGTGGTGGTGACAAAGTGGAAAGAGTCTGATTGGGTGAGTCACTTGCAGAGAGCCTCGGACGTAATTAGTGCTTCAGAGAGCAAGGAGCATATAAATCAACGAACTCTACAACGTGGACTCCATATTATCTCCGATCTAGAGTATTCCACTGATACAAAGAACATTTATAAGGTACATCAAGTTCCGTATCTCCTCCTGCACATCGTCAATCATCACGATTCATAGCTTCTCGTTAGCACAATTTATTCCTGCCATCTCAAAATGAAGCTCTCCTACACCACCCTCGATGTGTTCACCTCAGAACGATATGCTGGCAACCCTCTCGCTATTATTCGAGTTCCATCCGGCACCACCCTCACCCAGTCTCAAAAGCAAGCCATCGCAGCCGAATTCAACCTTTCGGAAATCGTCTTTCTTCATCTACCGACAGAAGGAAGCACCTCTTCCGAGCGCAAGATTGATATATTTACCCACGAAGCAGAAGTCCCATTTGCCGGTCATCCCACCATTGGAACCTCGCACTACCTGCTCCACACCACGTCCCAAGACGTCAAGACTGTGATTACCAAAGCAGGAAAGATTCCTATTGAGAAGGATGAGCAGACAGGTCAGGTCAAGGCTGAAATTCCGTTCGATTTCCATATTCATGAGAAGACTTTTGAGAGTCCTTTGAATGGGATCAAGAATCCGGTTACGAGCATTGTCAATGGAATGAGCTTTATCTATGTCGTTCTACCAGATTTGGAGACTTTGGCGAAAGCTAAGGAGAACTTGCATGGGAATACCTACGACCCATCTGTACTGGATGACGGGTGGAAGAATGGACTTGTAGGTACGATGTACCTTGTCGCTCAGGGAACGGATGAGTTTGGACGGAAAAAGTATCGTACGCGCATGTTTGGGTCGAGAGAGGATCCTGGGACTGGAAGTGCCAGCAGTGGATTGGGATGTTGGTTGGCTGGACAGGAGGATAAAAGTTTGGGAAAGGGGCCTTTCAAGTATGCTTTCACTCAGGGCGTAGAGATGGGGAGGAAGAATGAGATTGGGGTTGAGGTCACCAGGGGGGAGAATGGGGAGGGTATAAAGAGGGTTGTGTTGAGTGGTACTGCGACGCCGGTTATGGAAGGTACTTTGGAAGTTTGAGTTGGAGATCCAATTTTGGAGTTCGAGATCCAATGTCATAATTATATTTCATGGCATATAAGTACATTTAACATCCGCTCTCTTGTACCTTGAGATTATATCCAGCGCAGACTTCACACTCAGCAGAGTTCCAGGGCAGGATTCTAGACTATGAATAAAGTGTTGCGAGGACGGGTGAGTGCTGATATTCAGCTCATCGGCACATGGGAGTGAGAGATCGAGAAGTGAAAATTAATTATCAATTGTAAGAAAAGCTTTCAAGATCAAACGGCTTATCCAACAAGTATGACTCGAAGGCATGAATGAATAAGTCGCAAGCTTCCAATCATGCCGTCCGAGGTCTTGCAGGCAAGTCCTCAGACGTGGTCTGACTTATCTGCTCTTGGTTTGACTCTTTCTCCACCTCACTGGACAGACGTAGATGAATTTCCGTCTTCCCAAAAGTTCGCACCCACTCTTTCGTACTCATGAGCCCCGTCTGTTCATCCACACCATTGGTATCGACAGCAGCAAGCGACCTTCCCACCGAAAGATAATTGATCATTCTTCTCAACCTGCTCAAAGCCAGACGTGATCTTGACTCCTTGAAAAGCAGCAAAGACAGAATGAGAATCACTGACCCGAACCAACTAATCCAGCACACCAAAGCTGGGATGGCGTAGACATACTTGTAGGTGATTTTCCGTCGGAAGGTTTGGATTTCCATTTTGTGGTCGGGGAAGGCGGTTAGGACGGACTTTGATCCTACCATTGTGTTGGTCGCGATGTCTGTCCAGATTAGACGAGGTATTCTGTCGATTTTTTCAGGAGAGGAGGTCAAGTTGGCCCATTTGGCAGCCATTTCCTGATCCTTAGTAGCGTCGAAATCGAACATGGAGCCTTTCATGACAAGATTGCGCTAGGTGAAGGAATTGACTATCCCTGGAAGTCTCGTCGCTGCCTGCATTTGCTTAGCAATAATTTTCTAATGACCTTTTCATAAATAAATCACCATAGAGTCACCAAAGTACAGCTCAATTCCATCTTCATATGTCGCAGGAATGTAGAAGGTTTCGCTCTGATGTGTCCATAATGCCTGCGAATCTGAATAGTCTTTGTCGACAAGCCCCCAAAGAACTTGCATCTGGTGGATGCTCAAATTCAAGCCTGGATTTTCGATACCCCAGAGTGGTAAATCCTCGTTTGAGGCATAAACCTTGGGCTCAGCCTTGATGACCTTCAAGCCATCTAGAGCTGGGATGTCGCTAGTCTCGTTGTACTGAAAGTGTACGGTCTTTATAATGGCGCGGGGCGAACTTGCACAGACGTTGATTGAACTCGTCCATTCTTCAGGAGAACCTTGAGAATCATACCTCTTGGCACGAGGTGGAGTTATAAGGTATGTGCAATCCACATTGACGAGTCCGGGTCTGAAAAGTTCGGTTCCGTTTAGGGACTTGCAGGATTCAACTTGAGCAATGTAAGCACGATAGTTCTTGTATGTGAATATCAGAAAGTGCTATTTTCCACCTGCATGCCTTGAAGCCAATTGCAGATTTCAAGTGCTGCCGAAAGAAGCAGCAACACGATGCTACGATCTACAAAAAGAGCGCTTACGTCCGAAAGACCACGTCAGGTCTGATGTATTTCCATTCGATGCCCATGGCGAGTTGATGCCCAGGGATGTCCCGTTCAACACGGTTCCCTAGAGCTGGGTCAGATTGGACGAGAAATATAAACGGGGTAGAATTCAAAATACATTGTCAGTATTTATGACGGAGTTCCACATAACCGCGTACGTTGGCTCCGTTAGGCTACCAAACACAAGACTGCATCTATCATAACCGGAGCTCAGAAAGGAGCGCACCAAATCACTGTCTGAAGTGATGTTGTACGCGCCAGTGCTGAAATTTGACTGGTCGAGGTTCAGTAGCCATGAAAGGTGGTAGTCAAAAATTGCTGCGGCAGTGTTTGCACGTCCAAGAAGATCTGGGCTTGAAATTGTATTTCCAAAAGTGGGAAATTCAATATCGAGTTTTGGGTCGACGCCATCCCCTTCACGCAGGAGCCATGTATTTGTACCGACGAAAAGTCCTCCCACCGAGAATGGAGCCAGCTGGAACTCAGTGGAGATGGACCAGTTGGTATTGACACAAACAGTGTCCGGTTCGAGCCAAAGGATATCTTCTGTCCAAGCTGCTCCGTGAACTGTTTGGGGTAATTCTGGGACAGTATGATTCCGAAAGCCAACACCGCCATTGATGGCATCGATGATCAGTCCTTCTCTACAAACAATAGAATCGAGAAGCAGGGTGTGCTCAGTCCAGTAAAAAGTCCCTGTTGTGTTCTTCTTAGCGGTCAAGTTATGCTCGTTCGATGAGGCATCGAATTGCCGAAACTGGATTTCGAAGGGACTTGAGATGAGGCTCCCTCTTGAGCCGCTGGAGAAACATTCCGTAATGTTTTCGGAGATATAATTCTGGTAGAAGGTCACTGGCATTTTGCCATGATCAGTCATTTCAGCTAGGACTGTCACGGTATCATTCTCCCTCACGCCTGGGCAGGGCGATTTGCCAAAATTGCATGTTCGAGAATTGGAATACTGCTCTCGACTGCCCGCTGCTCCTCCAAATGCCGAGCGGTCCTTTGCATAAAGAAATGTGGCTTCTGTTTTGCCGCTCAGAAATATAGCTTCACCCAGACCGATCGGAGTCAATATGCCAGCAACAGCTAGGAGCAGAGTTGAGATCAGTGCCAACCAGCTCATGAACACTACACGGGTCATGACCCCTTCTCGTCGCCCTGCGGCAGTATCGCATGACAGAATTGATGGCCACACGGTCGATTGAATGAATCGACTTATGACAGACCTAGAGTCGTCTAAATATCTAAACTGTGGATGAGGGTACCCCGCTTACCAGGAGATGGCTGTGCTTTTGTTTCTCAAGGTGCCAACTAGCACTAAAACGTGAAGCAGTGGAAGGGTGACTTGCACTTATCGTCGGAAACGTTAGTAACCTCAGAAGGGGAAAACGGAGCATAATAGACTTACGAAATAAAAGACCAATGTTGATAGCACCTGCGACCTGACCCACTGTGTATTCAGCCATGTCTTAGTATGGTTCAGGAGGGTTTGCAAGAGCTTGACTTTGTGGGTGGGTTCGAGGCAGATAAATCGAATGCAGACATATGAATGGGAGACCGTGGAATTGTCACAAGAGGAAGGTAGCACAGTTAATGCAGTAAGATCCCGGTTGAAGTGCAAATGATAATATGAATGTTACACCAGCGAATCGGTAGATCGACGGTGACATTGTGGCAAAGCAAGGAGGTTTACGACAAGAGTCGCCGCAATATATTGCAACGGCCCAAGGCAGGCAAAGCAAGAAGTCTATTAACATACGCCATCTTGGGGCTGGCTTTCGACGCAGATTGAAGCCTCAATTTTTGCGAGTAAGACAACAGCTGAAAGTCAAGTTCATGCAGAGTGTCGAAAAGTACGTGCAATGTTTGCCTGAAAAGAAAAACAAATAAAAAAGATAAATCCCTCAACAATAAAGGGCAAAAAATTAATTTAATGTATTGCGTTCGCCGGGAATCGAACCCGGGGCCCATCGATGTTGTCTGTATGGCAACGATGGATTTTACCACTAAACCACAAACGCTTCTATACTGCTTGTTGAGCAGCTGACTTGTCGGGAACTGCTTATTTGAATATGTTTAGTGGATAGTATTTTGCATGGAATGGGAATTATGAAGTGAATGTGCGGTGGAGTTGAAGTGGAGTATTTATGCAGGGTAGAGAGGTGAATCCACTTTGCTCGCTTGCTTAAGCAGGGTAAAGCAAGGCTAATGACACATAAGTTTGGTCAAGTAGGTAGAAGGTATCGAAGGAGAAGAAGTTGTTCAAAAGGGGGATGCGCTGTGGAATTCCTTGGAATCAGATCCAGAGATGTATTGGGGAAGGATCAAGCACAGCACAATATTAGACAAACACGACAGCTTCATCTGCAATGGCTTGAAACGAGACAATCCATTTATCTGTTCGTGATTGGTGATATTGTATACAACGCCGCTGACTCCTCGCTTCATTAGAGATATTTGCCAAGCCCTATTCTATTTCATCAAACTTGTCATCTGACCCATTACCATCCCCCACGGCCGTGGTCAAAGAAATGTCTTCAAATCTGCAAACAACAAGAACACATCGCACTTCGATTGAGCCAATCGTGTGCGGCACCAGCCAAAGAAACTTTCTGAAGGCTCATTCGCTAGAAACAATCGCTCACTGAAAACCAAGATCTGGAAAGCAGAATATACAAGGATTTACCACAGACAGACGTCCGGACTAGGAGCCTACATGAACATGGCATATGCTTCGGTTGGCACACACGAACTTCCAGGCGCGCCAGCGGGCAGTCGGCCAGACAGTCTAAACATCTCAGCTTCAACCTGACTTGCTCGGCAGCGGCCTCTCTGCGTGCGTTCTCAAGAGCCGCAAACTGAGCTTGGTAGCTTGCGATTACGCCTTGACCCGCTGGAAAGGGACCCTTCCCCCGTTTGGCTTCTACTTGCCTGTTCGAAGCTGGTGGTGGAAGAGTAGGCTGTGGTGCCGCATCTTCCTCGGTCCTCCCCAGACGACAGTTCGTCTGCCAGGCGACTGCACCGCTGTCTGCTTCACGCACTTCCTCGGCAAGTCCCAGTTGTCTCTAGGTTTGCTCTTCCAGCAACAACCGGTGCTTCAAGTATGATGCATGGTCTTTGTCTTGGTAGCTTCCAGCAATCGCTTGAGCTTGAGCATCGTGTCCTTGATTTCGCGAATCGTTTGCGACTGGTGTATGTCCAGCCAGCTAATGCCTCGTTCCAGTCAATCTCCTTCCATTCTCCTGCTCCAGAACCATCTGTTGCATATGATAGTCTTCGCGCGAAGAAACTACATTGGACTCTAGCGAGTCTCTTGCTCTCGTGTTGTTGGCCTGCTTCTGCTCGGATTCCGCCATCTCTTGTCTAGCCATTAAGAGTCGCTTCCTGTTCTGTATTTCCAATTGTTTCAACTGCGCCCAATATCGCTTTTGCCTATCCTCAGACACTGGCACTTGAGGGTTGTTGACGGCATCGCTCGCCAGGCGTGGCTCGACATGGAACCTAGATCCATCTGCCGCTTGAGGTAGAGGTGCTTTCGCGGAGGTGCTTTCAGCAATCGATTCATCGTCCGAGAGGGGCTGGCTCTTGGGCCTCAGTGGCACATCAACCCTGACAAGAACCATCTTTGGGATATATGGTTCTGGATAGGAAATGGCAACTGTTATCGCGGAGGCTCGAGGAGGTTGTTCGCCCGGCTGTCTTACAAAAGTGCAGCCCTCGCTCAAAACGTCACCAGTTTAACGTCCTGTTTTCAGCCGCCAAGTCTTATCTTTGGGCTATCTTTCTTTTAATGACATATTGACTCGACTAAGCTGGGCGCATGTACGCCCTAATGCTTGTGTTGGTGGACGGGAAACGCAAGATAAGGGGGAAGTTGATATCTGAGGAATGGAGGAGCACATGCAAGCCAGCAAACACCTCTCAGGAAGCTCGCCCCGCCAGATCCGTGTCGTTTACCAGGGTGTCACAAACATCGGAGCATAGTTCGAGCACGTTTGGACTGGAGAATTCCATGGGTCCATATGGCTATGATAGCGACTACTGACCACAAATCTCTGCAATCCTCAAACAGGGACGGGCATGTTGGTGGTTTTGGGATACATATAATTCATGAAAATGTATCGGGTCACATGACTTTTCATACTGTCACTGTGCAATGTCCCTTACCTATGAAGTCCTATCAAGGAATGTGTAGGGGGTACCCCCTACAATACCCGAATAGCTTGATTCCGAAAATACACCTGCTTCAACAGCACCTGACGACGCATTCTAGCTCAGTGGGAAATCATCCAGGCCTCGCTTGTCTATCATGTTTCAACTCCACCTCTGAATCGTTATCCTCGACACCCCAGGTGTCAACCAAAGTATCGCGCCTGTGCGAGTGACATGACTAGTTGCCGCGAATGGAAACACCGGAAGGAAACTTTACAGACGGCTTCCAACTTCAACGAAACCAGTCACGGATGTAATGGCCTATGAGATGGTTCCAATCGCATCTAGCCAAGGTCTCACATGCTCAGATGACAATGGTACTGGCAGAGATGTCCTGGTGAGTGCTGCAAAGCCGCGTCAGTCCAGCCAGACTGTCTGAGTTCGAGGAGTTGCACGTTGAGAGCACGCCCGGTTGAAGGCTTCAGGTATCATTGAAAGCTTGGCATCTGAAACCCTGAGTGACAGTCCGCCATCTCAATGCGTTCAAACATAAGGCATACACTTATTACCCCTCTCATCACGATACCCTCCATCTTCTGGTCTTTATCTGTCTTACTTCTCTTTTCTTTTCTTCCGATAGTCTCATCGGCCGGTCCGCTTTCCAGTACATACCTTTCCAGCATTCTTAGCTTTAATTTCGCAGTATTTTCAAGATGCAACTTCATTCCATTCTGTTCTCTCTTTTTTTGGTCGCCTCAGTTATTGCAAAAGGCGATAAACAAAAGTCCGAAAAGTCGCAGTGTAAGCAAATTAGGAAGCTCCAGAAGTTCGTCGACTTGGCCTCGAACACCACCAAATTGGAAGAGGTCACAAACAACAATGCCACAAAGGTAGCAGAAATACAAGCCGAGGCATCTGCTGCAGCGACACAGCTTACAACATTGCAAAGCAATGCTACTCTGGTATCAGACTGTGCCGTTATAAATGCTTCAGAGGAGCAGGAGGACCGCTGCGAGGAGACACTTGAGCTTCAAGCATTTATTGCATTTGCATCGAATACCACTGCCCTCGCCGCCCAGACCAACAACAATGCAACCAAAATGGCTGCCATCCAGGCTAAGGCCTCTACTGCAGCCACCAAGCTCCAGGCTTTGACGAGCAATTCGACACTGCAAGCTGCTTGCCCGGCGATCCTGCAGAAGGAGGAGTGCAAGGGTATGAAGAAGCTGGAGAAGTTCATTGAGAAGGCGAATAACCAGACACTTCTCGACCAAGCTACGAACGGCAATACCGCGAAAGCAGACAAGATCAAAGCCGAAGCCGTGCAGGCTCAGGCACAGTTGACGGAATTGCAGAGTAACAAGACTTTCATGGATGCCTGTGCTGCTTTGGGTATCACTGGAAAGACTGGGAAGGGAATTGATAGTGGAGCTTCTACTGAGGCAGCAGCTACTTCTGGCAAGAGCTCTGCAACGCTTGTGCAGGTTGGAAGTATTCAGTTCACGATGCTATCGACCATTTTGGTCGTCGCTGCTGGGATGTTCTTTTTGTAAGGGGATTGAGGCAAGGATGGACAAGCTCCTCTTCATCAAGATTGGCTGCTTCACAGAGAAGGAATACATTCGTTTCTTGTTACTATAGATTTTGGGATGGATTTTGCTTTGGTCAGCTCATCCTCAAAATGAAATGATTTCCTCAGCTGTAACATTGCATTTCCATGAATGGTGAGTGTAGGCTTAAACAAGGTCACGCGGAATCAATCAACGACATGAGATAGACACCTCTTAAAAGTCAAGAGCTCACCACTCGAATATTCTATTCTCTAAACGGTACATGCACATATCTCCACAACCTGCCTCCTCTATCTGGATGCAAATCCACCAATTGGCTTGATCGTCTTGATATCAAGTGGAGCACTGACCAGTCCCTCTCCTTGAATACTGGCTCCCAATGCTTGAAAGTACTCGGTCTTGAAATGAGCATCAAACGCAGCCTGGTTATCATCTACGACTTCATCAGCAACACTCCCGCCCAATTAGCCAAACTACTTACATGTTTCTTCGACAACCAAGACGTTCCCCTTCTCGCCATTGAACTGCTCGAAAACTTGGTACTTGGACTGCAGAACACCGTTAAAAGTCTGACCACAGTTGTCTATATTTGATTGGACATACAACGTCTTTCTCGTGCTTGGAGACTTTCTCGGCAAGGCCAGTTAAGAGTTCCTTGAGCTGGAGACAGACAGGGGAGCCTGGTCAGTATTACGATCTCACAAGACCTGCCATCGAATCCAAGGACTTACACGGGCTTCCTTCCCCGCAGCAGGAGTCAGAATGGCAACAACTTGGACAGACATAGTCGGTTTATTTCAGGGCTGGGCTTAGTAGGGTATTTTGACAACGGATGTATCTCGTGATCAGGGATTGATTTTGGAGGTTGAATACACTTTGATATCAACATACGTCTTCCTTCTCTCCTTATATACTTGTACCTTCATCGCAAAGTCCGAATCTCCACCCCTTCATCCTCGGCCATTCGTCCGCTCGCTAAGCTCGCTAGTAGTAATCAGTACAACTAACTCGAGCCATTATCGCCGCGGCGTTAAGCTGATGCTGAACCGCTGTGCTTGCTTCCCATGTAACAAAACATCGCCTCGGCTTCGGACGAAATCCGGAGTTCACCCAGACCACAACAGCTGATGCATGTACATCACAGCCTTCACCAACACCATCAACAACTCAATACCGAAGAGTCGAGACTGGCCCAGAGAACCGTCTCCCAAATAACATCCTTGCTAATGATGCATTCGTCGGTCATCTTCCCTAGTCTGTAGCGTTTGACCCCGCAATGCGGGGTCGATCCTGGCCCATGAGCTCATTCGAATTGGCACGATGGTGGCACCTCAGGTAAGCTGGACGGATGCTACGGAGTGAGGAGGGGATGGTGAGAAAAGTGAGGGGTTAGAGGGGATGAGATGAAGTACAGTAAGAACAGGGGGTTGTCCTTTCTCTCCCCGTTCTTCAATTATTCTCTGTTAAATGTTCTGTAAACTGCACTTCTCATCGTCTGCTCTGGAACGATTCTCGACAAAAGCTATACCGTAAACTACGATACGAGCTAAAGCGGAAAGTCAATTCAGAAAGGATAGTATAAGCAAGCCAATCACGATGTCTCAGACTCAGACGATGAAAGCTGTGGTCTATCAAGGTGTGCATTTCCTGTCTCCTTTTGGGGACTCTGGTTAGAAGAACTAGTACTGATAGAGTTACACAGAGCCCTTCAAGGTGACAGTTGAAGAACGTCCTCTGCCAAAGCTTGAGCATCCCGATGATGCATTGGTCAAAGTGACGACTGCTGCTATTTGCGGATCGGATTTGCATAGTATGTACACACCTCAATAACCGAAATCAGACCGCCGTTACGAGGGCGGTTAATTTCGTCAAAACTGACCAATGAGAGAGTACTGACACCTCTTCCAAAGTGTATCAAGGACGAACCGCTGCAAAGGGTGGACTCTGCTTCGGTATGTACTACATAGTGGAAAGATCTCCTCGCCTAGAGTCAAGACATTGGCTAAATCTACACAGGCCATGAGAATATGGGCACTATCATCGACACAGGGACCGGCGTCTCTCTCCTCAAAAAAGGCGACAGAGTAGTCATGCCATTCAACGTCGCCGATGGACGTTGCAGAAACTGCGAAGAAGGGAGAACAGCCTTTTGTACCGGAGTCAATCCCGGCTTCGCTGGGGGCGCTTATGGTTATGTAGGTAAGTCACGTACCTTCATTTCCCAACGCATGTCCCTGAACGCTTCAGATGTCCAACAGGTAGCTGATTTGCCATATCTCTGTAGCCATGGGCCCATACCAAGGAGGCCAAGCTCAATACATTCGCGTTCCCTACGCAGACTTCAACTGCCTCCCCCTCCCAGCCGGGACAGACCACGAAGCGGATTTCATCCTCCTGGCCGACATCTTCCCCACCGGCTGGCACGGCGTCGTACTCTCTGGCTTCAAGCCCGGCGAATCAATCGCTGTCTTTGGCGCCGGACCCGTAGGTCTCATGGCAGCATACAGCGCGGTCCTCCGCGGCGCCTCAAAAGTCTACGTCGTCGACGCCGTCAAGGAGCGCCTAGCAGCCGCTGAGAAAATCGGTTGTGTGGCGATCGATTTCACGAAGGTGGATGCGGTGGGGGAGATCATCAAGTTGAATGGCGGGATGGTGGATAGAAGTGTCGATGCAGTTGGGTATCAGGCGTCGGCGAAGGATGGGAAGAAGGAGGCGCCTAGTATCGTGCTGGAGAATTGTATCAAGGTTACGAGGCCGACGGGCGGGATTGGAGTTCCTGGTTTGTATGTACCAAGTGATCCTGGGGCGCCGGATGAGAATGCTGGACAGGGCATGCTACTAATTAGTTTTGGGAAGCTGTTCGAGAAGGTCGGTGGTGATTCCCGCTCACCGTTTCCCCCTTGTTTGTCTGAAGTGGCTGCTGACTGGGGGAATAGGGACTCACGATTGGCACGGGCCAATGCAATGTCAAGTCTTATAATCGGTACCTCCGAGATATGATTATCTCTGGTCGTGCGAAGCCGTCATTTGTCGTCTCGCATGAGATTGGGATCGACGATGCACCTGGAGCGTACACGAAGTTTGACCGAAGAGAGGATGGATACACGAAGGTGTTGATTCATCCCAATGGAGGATTCTGAGATCGGTGCCTTGTGATGGGATGTAAGTCGGTTGCAGGAGTGACGTGTCGTTTGTCCTCAATTCAAACTTTAACCCCGGACTTTGAGGCTTCTTTATGAGAGGCCGAGCTGTACTCTGTAACCTGACTCGCTATTAGTAAAAATGGTCTGTGTGAACGGTCGATACTTGATGTTAATACATCCGATATAAATTATAGGATTTCATAGTGAATTATGCCCAGGGCCCATGCGGTGGTTCTTAGGTGTCCAAATTCCGTGCAGCAACTTCCTATTAAATTACCAGCTATAGCGCATGGGAGAACTGCATAGAGAATTGAAAAGCCAAAAACGCGACTTCGCACTGTGCGAACAGTCGGATCAGGCATGTGAGGAGTTGCTTGAACATATGCTGGCTTCCAACTTTGAAGACAGAAGAGCGTTTGGAGAAAAGAGGCAGAACTGGAAGATATTCTTGGAGCTGAGGGAAGTGATGATGATCCTTTTGACATTGAGATATCAGTGACAGCGAATTCGACCGTGACAGCAACACCAGTACTGACTGTCCAAAGTTGCCGGCCAGGTAACAGAACTAGATACGACTCCAATCTTCAGTATAAATTTATCCGACAAATGCGGCTGTTGTCCACTAATCGTGCCTCACAAGTTCCTAGATCAGGAGGGGCAGGGGCTTGCCAGCACTACTCTCCGGCGCAGCGTAAGCATTGCTTGATACCGAGCAAATAGTTCCGGTTAATCGTTGTTATTATAAATAAGTGCGTGCTTACGGGATAGGGAGTATGGCATCGCCTCTACTTATCTAGGTAGGTACCTGGTGGAGCTAAATCAGGCTAAATCACGTGATACACTGACTTGATATGGATGGCTTCGTCGTCTCGAGGAATAGATCGCAAGAATTTAAAGCGGAGAATATAAAGGACTTGGATAGAAGTGAAAAGTGGGACACACAACTGCAAAGGTACATTTGACTTTCAATGACGAAACCCCGCCTCCGAGTCTAGAGTCTACGTGATGTGCCTATGCTGGAAGCCACACTTCCCTACAATGTGTAGTTGTCCGCAATAACGTTGAAGGGAAAACAGTTAGAATGAAGTCAAAACAGCAGTCATGTCCAGGGCGACGCACTCAGAGATGTATCGAGTGACAGTGGAGAGAGAATTTGCAGCAACTCGACAGTTGACACCACTTGGCTGGAGCTTCATACTGAGAGCACAATGCTCAATGTCTCGATATAGATAGAACTAGAACAACCAGTTGCATCGTTTACGGCCGACGATCAGATCAAGATCCAGACAACATGTGACGCGCATGCATTTGCATGCCAGCTTCCGCTTCAAGTGGGTCTGTGGTTCTGTCGACTACGAACGCCGAAGAGGATAGAAAGTGCACATGGCAACGGTATATATATAGCGTATAGTCATGTGCCTCCGCGTAGCTGAGTCGAGTCAACCTTCCGAATCCTGGAGAGTACTCTTGAGAGCAGCGGTAGCCAGCCAGTGAGTGCTGCTGTGGGCAACGTAAAAGATCACTTCCGCAGAATCATGAGAGCAAAGGGATCAGGCCAGCGAAGTAACTAGTATGTAAGCTTGCAAATGAGTGAACCTTTCTAACCAGCCGCAGCAAACGAGTAGTCATTCGACCTATGGAGGTCGAGATCGTTCGCGCGAGGTTGACCATCACAGTCGATTTGAGATAGACCGAGAGGACTGGACACCGTGTTGCATGTGGGCGATTCAGTATTGATGATCGCGACAACGGAGCCAGGCCGTGGAAGTGGTGGAAGAAGGTCATGGAGAGCGACTGTTGTCAGACAGCTTGTCGCCGTCGCTCACTACAGCGTTTGGTACAAACGATCCGGTACAAAGTAATGGAATGATTTCGGAACATTCAATCTGTGCTCCACCAGCTCCCAACCTCTCAGAGAGCGACAGCCGTGCTGTCTAGATGCATCCCTGCTTGCGGACGTCCTTATAATCATGCCAGAGCGATGAAATCCCTGGTTGGGTAGTATTTGTTGCTGATTCATTGCCAAAGTCTTGCTGGATGTGGCCGGTCGGCTGGTCAATCAAGAGCTTCGTTTGAGAAAATTGTTCACGTGACCAATAGCCAAGTGTGGGATGTTGTCCAGTTGAGCAAGAAAGCGCACTTTTGGACGATGGGAGTGTGTTCGTGTCTGCATGTGAAGGAAAGAGGTGAAGGAAAGAGAGGTCGACTGAGGGGACAAGGCAGGTCACGCTTCCTTCACGTGACGTATCGGAGGTCGAACAGGTTGGGGCATGGTTAACAGCATCCACGGTGTACGGAGTTTACGCCACAAGAGTTGGATTGTTATTCGAAGGACCACTGGTCGAAGCAAGCTCGCCTGTCGTTGAAAACAGGCCGAAAGAAGACATATTGACCGCACGTGATTCGCCCTCCTTTTCGTAACCGATCTCGGCTATGAGTCAGCATGTTTGGTTTTCATGACACATCAACAATGTCCGTACAACTGGCACTACAACTGCCAGCACCATAATGTGAACGAGGAATGCGGTTGTGTCTGAAAATGGATCGCTGGTCGTATTTTTGAGGCGCTGTGAGACCCAACAGTGGAAGTTCGTTTTTGAAGTTGGGACGGGTGGGCTGTGTTCGATATAGTTTGAATGGATTGCGTAATGGCTCAGATGGTGTATGGCGCGTCTTGTATGGGAGGAGCAGATTTGAGGTCGGCGACGAATTCATAGCAGACACATAATAGCATCATCATTCGAGAATGGGATGGAGATAGATATGGCCGACTTCGTGCATTTGATCTTGAAATTTGTTGAAGGTGGTGTTGGACCAGAGTCTTCTCATCGGCGCAAAGGACTTGACAACCAACAGCTGTCTAAGAACGATTTATTTAATCCATCCTAACAATCGAAGGTGCTCGGATATATTGAGCACGCTGGAGTTCCGCTCTTGAATGCTGTTCGTGTTGTCGGTGGGCGCAGAATTGTCGCAACCCGAATGGCAAAGGTCATGCGGTCGCAATTGCCAAGATCTCCGAAGATGCCGCAAGGCTGAGAAAGTATGAGGCCGGCGGCGCTCCAGCCTGAGAAAAGAAGTCGGCTTGAGGTTCCTGAACATGATTATTGTTCTTTTGAGGCTGGAGTGTTGGATGTGCTGATTTGCAATGCAAGCGCTGATGGATAACCGATGCTGCTGAGAGGCGCAGATGTGCATACCCCATTGGCGCTTAACTCCACATGCCGAACAAATATATCGTCAAGCCAATCCAAAATATCCAACTGAAATAGTTTGTGATAGTGGGCAGCGCGGGTCGGTGTTCAGTGTATTAAGCCTGTGTTGCGACTTCGGTGTTGCGGTGCTCTGAATAGCAGACGGGAGCTGATCATGCAGGACTGGTGGCCGCTCAACAGAAAATTTCCATTTTCAAGACGTTGTGGTTAGATAGACCTAATTGAGTTTGACTTGGAACTGGGCATCATGTCTCGTTGAAAGTGATATCTGTTGGTCTCATGTCGAGTTGGTGGGAGTCCAGGCTCAAAATCAGAGTTTAAATTTGCCGGTCGCACAATTGTTTCGGGTGCCGAACAGACAACTGGTGGAATCATCGACTGATTTCCATCGAGGTGCTGAATGAGAACGGCTGTCGGTGAGTGGAAACAGAATGATGTCTTGGATGGAATGACACGTGTTGTGATGTAGGCAATCGTGAGGCAAGGCGATGGGTGGTTGAAGGTCATGTCACACACCGTCTGCCTGCGCCTATCCGACTTTCGAGGACCGGGATACAGATATTCAGCAACCGAACATGCTGCAAATGAAGGGAAAAAAGTGACAAGAATGACAGTCAAGCCAAGTAGGCATCAGGAAAAAGTAGAGTTCGTGCCAAGGTCTTATGTATTGAGGTAATTCGTGTGGGTGGTCCGCATCACGGTCGCAAAAAATCGCGCGAACTTTCACACACGACTTTTCTTGAAAACCTCCACGAAACTGACAACCACGTAATAAAATAATACTGCGTACATAGAAATATAGATAATCAATTGAAGATTCCGCCATTAGTTACAGCGCAAAATAAAATTGTGGTGGTGGGTTGTGGCTGATGATTCGGTGCTGGTGGTGGGAAGATCGTGATGGCTTCATCTTGGGGAAATGCACCACGCAGCTTTCTCGAGCAACATGCTCTCCACGCGTACAGATTTGGATATTCTGCTTTGTAGTATGCATTCATATGATGAGAGGTTCAATCACAAGGACAGCTGGTGTCATACCAGAGTGTGTGTGTGGAATGGCTATTGAAGTCGCATCACGACGTCTTCTGGAAATGACGGATCTCGACGTTCGATGATTTTGATATCATGCGGCAAGTTCGACAGTGCTAGGAGATACATGAATCAATTGGGAACGGAATTTGAATACACTAGGACAGATTGGAATGGCTTGCAATCGACAACGAAGTTGATGCGTTGGCACGTCGCTCCTCTGGGGGAGGGAGTTGGGAAAGAGATGGTGGGCGAGGGTGTGTCTGGCAACTTGCAAGAGTCTGGCGGGAGTGTCCCGGATCACACGACTGCGAGAGACGTTGCTCTCTGGCCAATGAGAAACCTGTACCTACAGGCACTCGCTTAGCATGAAGGAAAAGAGCAAGAGTGTCTGGCAAGATTTACGCTAAATTTGGCGCTAAAAGCAAATCACTCCTTCCATTCTCTGGGAGTATTTGAAGTCAACGGCACCCCCGCCCCGGAACTTGCGACCTTTCCTGACTTCCCACATCACCACATTCACGTCGACCACAACACTCAACGCGACCCAATTCCAATACCGTCTTCGGTTTTTACTCTTCTGTTATCTAATACTTGTATCCATTCTACACATCAACAACAATATTCAAGATGCCTCCAAAGTCCACCACCACTAAGCCCAAGGCCGCCTCCGAGCATGCCTCGTACCAAGGTAAACTCAAGCTCAATGCTCCTCCACCACAACATCGCGTAGCATGAATGCGCATTGTTTCTCGGTCGCCTCGATCGCCTGCAGCTGGTGCAAGCTTTGGATTTTTGATCAGAGCTTTGACTGACGCGTTATTCTAGATATGATCACTGATGCCATCGTGAACTTGAAAGATGTATGTTTCGCTCCATTCTCTGAACGATCTACACTTGCTAACAAGACTCCCAGCGCAACGGTTCAAGGTACGACTACTTCCACTGCACATCCCGCAACTTCGAAATAATTCGACGCGTCGGTTGTTTACCTGGATCATACTAACTCGCGCCTAGCCGTATCGCCCTCAAGAAGTACGTCCGCGCCAACAACAAGATCAATGCTGCCGATGCCATGTTCGACTCTCTGTTCAACAGAGCCCTCAAGTCTGGTGTTGAGAAGGGTGTCTTCGCTCAGCCAAAGGGTACGTGGTTCTACTCCAGTCTGGCGTCGCTTGATCTAACCCTCTACAGGAAGCTCCGGAGGAACCAAGCTCGCAAAGAAGGAGCCCAAGCCAGCTGCTGCGAAGGCTGCCCCAAAGCCAAAGGCCGAGAAGAAGACCACCGACAAGAAGCCTGCCGTGAAGAAGGCAACAACCGCAAAGAAGCCCGCCGCTGCTAAGACCGCAAAGCCCAAGGCTGCCCCAAAGGCAAAGGCACCAAAGAAGGAGAAGGCAGAGGCAAAGCCAAAGGTCGCAAAGCCAAAGGCTGCTGCTAAGCCAAAGAAGGCTGCTGCTGCTAAGGATGTAGGTTTTCCAAACTCATTGATACTCGACACGTCTAACATCTTTCAAGGCTCCCGCAGTTGATAAGCCAGCTGTTCTCGGCAAGACTAAGTCCGGACGCGTCACCAAGACCACCCCCAAGACACCCGCTGCGAAGAAGGCTACACCAAAGAAGAAGGCAACCCCAAAGAAGGCATAGGCTCTCCGCATGTGTCTCTTTTCCTGCTTCAATCATTGTTTATAAAGGCGTTGTGAATGGGTATATCGCGACGTGATAGGGGCTTGATCGCGCGTTATTGTGGATTGCTTTTACGGATCTTATTTTTTTGTCGGATTACTTATTGATGATGGATTGGCTGGGCTGGTTTGCTTCTGTATTGAAGTCTTGGGTTTCCTCTTCATTGCAAGATGAGGTCTGGGATTCTTGCTAGATGGGAATGGAGGCCACTCACTCTGGGTTTGGAATTGCCTGGGAAACGGGAATGGAACAGAAAGGTGTGGGTAAGGTGCTGGATGGATGAATAGCTGTACTTATACCGCATCAATGACACAAAAATACTGAACTCTACCAATTGGTCTAATCTGCAAATGCGCACGCATTTGATTCCCACTGGGAATCCCACATGCGACAACTTCCAAACCTCTTCAAATTTCATGCACCCATGTCGTGGTCAGTGTCAGTTCATGACGCGTCGCTTATCGGTTTGTTGTGATTTCACAAGTGGGTCAACAATCGCAATCACGGATTGCAGGGGCGGGGGACGGGACCTCAGCTCAGACCCTGAGAGGGGAAGAATGAAGAGCCGAAGCCGAACAGAACCACACTGGACTACTGGACAGCGAGAATAGTTCGCCTGGTCCGCCTGCCACGCGCGCATTATTATCGTCTCCAGTTATTTTCAACAGTGCCCGCGTGTCCGTCTGGCGTCCGGCATCTATTTTTGGTGGAGGTGCCGAGGCGATGGGACCTAAACAGACGTCGTTTCCTTGTGGTACTGTCCCGCGGGGTTGACGATTGTTCTCTAGATCAACTCAATTCAACTTAAGTCTCCATTTTGTGGTTGAGGTATATATCGATCATTACTGATTTTTCTTGGTGTGTCTGGATAGTTGCGAGATTTTAGACTTTTATGGATGTTTCTAGGAAGGGGGATTCCTGGTGTATTGAAGAGTACATAGACCGGAAATGTAACTTTGCTTCTTCACCTGGCACCCGACGCTCCCTCCTTTTAATCTGTACTTGCTCCTTCAAGTATGGAATTAAGAGCAAGACGGTTTCCTTCGTGGAGAGTGTTGCTTTGCTCTTGATTCGATGGTGGTAGCCACGTGACAAATACGAAGTGAACGGCAACACGTGCTTTATTCAGCAAGGCTTGGATTTTCCGCCCCCAAACTTCATCCCGCTTCAAACTCGAATGCTTACCCGAGTCGAAGAGGAAGCAAGCCACGCAGGATGCATTGGCCGATATTCCTGGTCTTTGCATCTGAGGCAGGATGAAAGCCCTGGCACGGTAGGTCTGGATGGTTTGATTGATTAACCGTCAGTCAAGGCACAGGGTGATCGTGACCTTCCTCTGCGGAACATCTGAGCCTCTTTCGAGCTGCAATCCGTTGAGTATTGTTTCATCGCTAAGTAGGGCGCGACTTTCATTCAAATTCTCGAAAACCCTATGAATCAATGTATCAAGTCACACTGCCGTGATGGATCCCCTCTCAATAGCCGCCAGCGTAGCAGGGCTCTGCACACTGGCAGAATCCGTTGTCGACCGTACACGCGCATACGTGCGAAGTGTCCGTGGCTCAGAAAAGGAGATCGCAAAGCTTGTCCGAGCGGCAGCACAGCTTTACGGGATTTTGGAGCAGATTCGACTATTGGAGGATGACTTTGGCGGTGGCGAGGGAAGGGAGAAGGGAATGGGTATGGGAGTTGGAGCGGTTAGAGGTGTGCATTTGGTGAAGGGAGAGGAGCTGTTTGAATGTGAGAAAACACTCCGGAAATTGGATTCCGTGCTGAAGAAGAGTGATTCGGGAACTGCGACCGGATTTGTGAATGTGGCGAGGAAGAAGTTGGAATGGCCGTTCAATTCGGAAAGAGGTATGTTAGATGCTTATCAAACTCATCTCAGGTAGTCTACTTTTTGACAGGTTATTGACCCGGTATTAATGTAGGTCGCGGAGTTATTACAGGACATTGACAACCACAAGTCCATGCTGAATCTGGCACTCAATGCAAACGAAATGTATGCAATTATGTGATGACTTTGCTGTGCGGGAGGACTAATACGCTACAGGGCTGCGATTTTGTCATGTCTTGACACTTCTACTCACATTTCTCAAATCGTCTCTCGGGAGCAGGTAGAAAATGAGGAGTTTCGTGCATCTCAAAGGAAGTTCGCATTCAGTACGTTTGCTCATCAGCTCTTGGCGGTATGGACTGATATGGGATAGGTCGACGGCGACAGAAGATCCTTGACTTTATGACTTCGCTTGATCCTCGGGTAGATCAAACGACGTACATTCAGATGAAGCAAGATATGACTGGATTATGGTTCACCGAAGGCGACGAGTTCAAGGCTTGGATGAGCAAGAGGAATTCCACTTTGTGGTTATCAGGAGTTCGTAAGTCACCAAGTCATTTCACATAGTAGTAGAATGACACAAACACTTACATGAAAACCCTAGCTGGGGCGGGGAAAACGATCCTCTTGTAAGTAGCTCCACAATCTGGATCGTACTAGACTAAGTAGCAAAAGCTCCTCCATAGTTGATAAGTTACAAAGAGCCATAGGCGAAAATGCTGGTTTGTTATGGTAATGGGATACACGAATACACCATTAACTGTTGGATAGTGATGGCATATTTCTGCTGCGATTATCGAAATCCGGTCAAACAAGATGCCACAATGATCATTCGGTCATTGATTAGACAATTCGCTGAGCACAACGATTTGTGTTTCGACAAGCTTGAAGAATTCTATGAATTTCATAGCTCAGACGACAAAGTTACACTGCCAACACAACGAGATCTCGTTACAATGCTTATCGACATGAGCGAAGACGTTGATGATGCGTTGATACTGATCGATGCACTGGACGAATGTCTCACAGAGAGAGCCGCTGTCATCAAACTACTCAGAGACTTGAACATCCAATCCCAAAAGATCAAGACTCTGTTCTCAAGCCGAGATGAGGTCGATATAAGTGCGCAATTGCAAGGCTACACTACTGTGTCTATGGCGGAAAACACATCCGATATCTCAAGATATGTCAAATCTGAACTGAAGGTGAAAGAGTGGGCTAAAGATTTAGGTCAGAAGGAGAAAGAATCCATCAAAGACTCGCTGATCGAGCCAGCGGGTGGCATGTGAGTAATCATGATGAGATATGTGGCCAATTACTGAAAGACACAGGTTCCGCTTGGTGGCATGTCAACTTGATGCTCTGGCCAAGTGTAAGACGGCCGCTTCCAGGAGGAAGGTGCTGAAAACACTACCTCGAGATCTCTCTGAGACTTACTCTAGGGTATGCTTAATTGTCAATCTTCCAAGGCCTGGGCTCTGTCTCAATGGAGAGCACGAATTTATCACTGGATATAAAAACTGATTCGACTACAGATTCTCAAGCATATCGACTCTACGGAAATCGCGGACAATAGAGTCATTGTGCAAAGGGTATTGAGGTGGGTGACATGGGCAGCAGAAGGGCTTTCATCACAGCAACTACAAGAAGCCATCGCGATTAATGCAGGGAACGAGGAGCTCGATCCTGATGTCATCACTCCAGAAAGCGATATTCTGGATCTTTGCAGCAGTCGCGTAAGATGCAACCCCACCGGCATTATCGAACTTGCCCATGCTACAGTGAAAGAATTTCTCACCACCATCCCGCCCACGAGCGAGTACTACTTTTACCATGTAGACGAGAAATCTGACATGGAGGAGCCTGCAGTCACGTGTCTGACCTATCTCTGTCTGGACAATTTTGGCGAAGATAGAGACTGGGACTCAGAATCCATCTCGTCTGGAAGTACAAGAATCAGCTTTAACTCCAAGATCACGGGTAGCGATCAGCCAGAGAAGCCGGACGTGGTTTTGTGGTATCATTTCCTGGACCACGCTGCCAAAAACTGGGACTATTATGCTGGGAAAGTCACAGAAAACTGCTCCCCAGTTTTGGCACTAGAAAAGGTCTTATTCACATCCGCAAAATCACCACAATTTCTCAACTGGGCGAAACATCGATTGGAGCCAACTAAATACAGACGAAACTACGACGGGGGTTTACTAGCAGAGAGTACAACGCTGCAATTGGTTGCGTTGCTTGGACGTACTGCAACGTCTCAATGGCTGATCGACCAAGGTTCTGACGTGAACCAAGCGACTGTTGTGTTAGGAAGTCCCCTCACTTGCGCAGTACTTGGTGAGAGTGTCTTTCATCTTCGTACAGACCATGGAAGCGATTCTGGTAGCGACAATGGGAGCAGTAACTATGACGATGACTACAACGTCAGAAAAAGCCGCGCATGGCACTCAGAGAATCGATACAGAACCATTGCTACTCTGCTGAGCTGTGGAGCGATAATGGATGGCATGCCCTCTGAGGAATCAAGATCTCTCATGGAATTGGCCCTGTTAATCGGAGAGCCCAGCCATATCAAGCTCCTCTTATCCCACGGTGCCACCCTCGATACTGACTGCTTGGCGTATCTGGAGACGCAATGTTCCGAAAGCTCCCGTCAAAAAGAAATGCTTGATATTCTCAGCACAGTCACTAAGTCCAATTACGCCTCTACCGATGCCCAAAAGGCGACGAAACTTATTTTCCAGTTCGGGACATCAAGCGGTCAGGCAGCAAAACTGCTTGCCGATAGTCTGGAAGACTTGACGAAGGGCGAAGGTACCGAGGTACAGGATAAAAATGTAGCTCTGAGAAAGGTGTCTGAATACGGACGTAGGTATTAGAGGGCGTCATTTACTTATACGGTCTAAATGCCATAACGTGTTCTAGTTGCATTGGTTTCATCCCCTAAGCAACACAAATAGGAAACTGTGTCACGCCTAGAATATGAATTGGTGGCCCAATTATTGGACCATCCAGACATTATAATCGACCATGCAGACACATCCGGCTTCACAGCTCTACATGAAGCAGCAGAAAGCGGCCACTTACATGTTGTGCGCCTTCTGGTAGAAAAGAACTTCAATGTCAATGCACGGGACAAGGATGGTGATACTCCGGCAATGCGAGCTGCGAGTTGTAATCATCTTGAAGTCGTACAATTCCTTCTACAGCATGGCGCCGCTCTTGCTGATCAAGTCAATACTAATGGCGAGACCATTGCATATATTGCTGTAGAGAGCGATTGTCATCGAATTGTGCAGTACGTTACTGAAATAGAGCCTCGGTTAGTCAGTTGTGCTACCACAAGCCCCAGTGGAGTTACTGTCCTCATGGCTGCCGCAGAAAATGGAAGCCTCAAAAGCACCAAATACATCTTGGATAAGTTTCCCTCTGATGAGCTTATAGCAACAGCAAAGGATGGAAGGTCGACGCTACATTTTGCAGCAGCCTCTGGCAGTAAAAAGGTCGTTGAGGCGGTCCTAAAAGATCACCCAAATGTCAACATCAAATCAAGGGATGGTTGTACAGCGCTTCATTATGCTGTGGACGACGACTGTTTGGACCCAGGTGTAATCAGTGCCTTGCTTCGTGCCGGCCTCGATGGGGCACCGAAGAATGACATGGGTGATTTACCTGCACACTATGCGTCGGTGCGCGGTGATTGGGATCATTTCTCTGTTCTGAAGAAGCTACTAGAGGGTGCTGGAGATGAGTGCCAGTGGCTCAATGAGGAGAATGGTGCTTGCCGATCGGCCCTCCAGATCATCACTTCACATTCAAACTTCACAGATTATAGCCTTAAGATGATCAACACCCTCTGCAACTACCGAGGGTTGGCTCTCGAACCCCCAGGCCTGGGACTCACTGGTGGTATTCCGTTATTGAATCTTGTCTGGAAACTCAGTCAGAGAACGGTCTACAAGCCAGCTGTATCTGGGCTTCCTGGTCCTCCAATCGATGCTTGGCGGCTGTGCGAAGCAATCAAACTTCTGGTCCGAAGGGGCGCTGCTGTCGATTGTAAAGATCCCAAAGGCAACACAGCACTTCACTTGCTATGTTTTGGGAATTTGAAGTAAGTTGACTCTTGGCTCTTCTTAATCTTTGAGGCATCTGATCATGGCCCAACACCACTTTCTCGATCTAAAAGAACAGAATGTCAAAAACTAATTAAATGGATAGCCTTGCAGTCTGTGATACAGTAGAGTTTCTGCTCCAAAGCTCTGCTCCGATCGAATCAATCAACAAGGACGGCTTAAGCGTGATGGATGCTCTCTTCTCACGCCTCAACAAAGGGCCGGTCTCTCCAGATATGCAAATATATACACAGCGAATCCTCTCGCTCCTCATTGATCATGCCTCCGATGATCAATTGGACAATTATCGCCTCGATGGAATGCAGCTTCTGAACCTCTGTATTCAGATCGGAAACTCATCTATCATAAGGAAAGTGCTGGAACGTGGAGCAAAGGTAGATAGGCCTGACAAGTCACCTAGTCGTGATCCGGGGTTATCCCCATTAAGGGCGATTTGCATCTACAAGACTTCAGATGGAGTGGCAGACGAGATCTTGGACAAGTGTTCAGATCTTAATTGTTTAGATGATGCGGGAATAACTTTGCTTGTTCTTGCTTGTCGCTTCGGGAGACTGGAAGTTGCTCGGTCTCTCATAGCAAAGGGTGCCGATAGACCTACAACGGTCCAGGGAGTTCGTGCAATCGCGGATGCTGCATACAAGGGCCATACGGATATTGTCCAATTTCTCATTGAGCTGGGTGTGGATATCAATTCCACGTATGGAGATCGAAGAATGACGCCCTTGATGCATGCAGTTGAGCGAGGAAATCTACGAACGATGAAACTTCTTCTTGAAAATGGCGCAGATGTCAGCATCAAAGCTGTCAGACAGGTAACATCATTTTTTTCATGGAGACAAGGAGTTCATTCCCGGGAAAGATATCGCTCTGTTATCCTACACCTGACTAGGAAGATCTATTTACTAATTAGCGAAATAGTGGACCCTCGCTCATTATCTTGCGTCAAGAGAAGACCTCTCTCTCTTGCACGAAATGCTCCCATGGAACCTGACCTGGGACGAAACTGCTTCAGTCATAACTCAGCAAGGTAAAAATGTGGGAGGTGTGACACCCCTCCACCTCGCTGCCGAAAAGGGCTTCACTGGGATGATCACGTTTCTGCTGGACAATAAGTTCATCCCACATGTCAACCGTGCAAACGACCTGAGGACAACACCACTTCACGTCGCTGTTAGGGTTGGCAACTGCCATACTGCTAAACAACTGCTTGAGGCGGGCGCAGATGTCAATGCAAAAGATGCCGAAGGATTCAGTCCTGTCCACATAGCTGCGAGCCACTCAGGTGGTTCAAGGTTTTCTCTGATCATTCTTCGGGACTTGCTGGAGACGGGGAAATATGAACATATCGCGTTGACACACACAGGGCAAACGGCACTTCATGTCGCTGTAAGGTAAGCTATTCAGAATGCTCATCTGGCAAGAGCCCGAAACCAAGTTTTGATTCTCACTGGTAATATTTGGAGACCACGCTAACGACGCGCAGACTTGGAACGAAAGACATGATAAGTCTTCTTCTCGAGACCCCAGAGAATGTCAATGCGAAAGATCATAGCTGGCTGACACCACTCCACTACGCGATTGTCAGAGGAGATCCGGAAATTATCAAGATCCTGGAGGCTGCCGGTGCGAAACATGTTGCGCCGGATTCAAGTGCAGCTTCACTTGACGGTGAAGCTTTTCACGACAAGGAAGTCGTTGAACCTCCGCCAGTCTTCGGCGCAAACTCACTGCTTTTAGCTGCTATCAAACAGCGAGACCTTAATCTCTGCAAAAGAGCTTGTGAAGAAGGAGCTGATTTATCCTTCAAGTTCTCAGAATGCAAAGAAGGTAAGTGTACACCTTTGCTCTGTGCCATCGACGGCCATAAGAACACAGGCAACGGATTCTTCTACCACACCACAGCAATTGCGGAATTCCTCGCCGATCAGGACATTGATATCAATGCACCGAGCTGCATATCAGACATGCTGCCAACCCATTTGGCGGCTGGCCGAGGTTCAGATGCTGTTATACGGAAGTTACTGGCACGTGGTGCGAAAACCAAAGTTCGAACGCTCGAGGCACTACATCTTGCCGTCATACATGGTAGCATCGTCGCGATAAACGTATTGTTAGAGCATGAAGAATCTATCGAAGGGGGCTCGAAGCAGAGAATATTGAACTCGCAGGTCTCAAGTGAGGATGCTGTAGCTTTTAAAGAGTATCCGGAGTTCGCCGAATGCAAATTATTACAGGAACCGTATTGTGGTTCTGCGATGCACATTGCGGCATACATGGGCTACGATGATGTCCTGGAATTTCTAATCAAAGAAGGGGCTGAGATTGACTCACTGAATCATTTTAATCACACGCCTCTTATGCATGCTATTTGGTACGTTCTACCCTTCAAAGTCGGGTGCTGGTGCTCGATAGAACTCATGCGATGCCCTGTCCGCGAAGAGCTCGAGTAAATCTAGCATGTCTAGCTCTAATCAATGCACAGGACTGATGCACTAAAATCCATTCAAGTACTGCTAGACGCAGGAGCCAGCATTTCTCATCGCGACGCCTTCGGTCGTACGCCAGCATACGTAAGTCCAAGTATGCCCAGCTCACCTCCTTCAGAAAACCTAACAAGTCACAGTTCGCACTCGGCAACAAAAACACCATGGCCCTCAGAGCCCTCCAGAAGAGAGGCGCCGACTTCTCTGAAGGCGAATACCCAAACACCTGGACCACAGAAACTTATCTCAGCCAAGCCCTCTTCCTAGAATCATGGCCCGTCGTCGATTTCCTTCTCAAGCTTGGACATGACCCAAACCGGCGTTCTGGTCTATACGCACATACTCCGTTGCAAGTCGTTTTGCAGACAACAGATGCGGTCAAAGTGGAAGCCTTCGTCGCTGAACACGCACCAGCATACGACGAAAATGGCGAGCGCTATGGCACGTTGCTCGCGGCTGCTTGTTCACAATCGAGTCCGAGCCTGGTGAAGAAGCTGCTTGAGAAGGCGAGGAAGAATGGGAGAGATATGGTGGAGTATGTTAATGCGGGTTGTTACGTCTACGCCACGCCGCTGTATTCTGCTGCGTTTAGAGGAAATATGGAACTGCTGATGATGTTGATTGAGGAGGGTGCGGATGTTAAGAGTAAGGAAGGGGGATGGTCGGGGACACCGCTTGATGCGGCTTGTGCGATATAGAGGGTGGATGTTGTGAAGGTGCTGTGGGAGAGAGGTGCTTGCTTGAGGAAGTCGAAGATGGAGGGTCCTTGGATGGCCGAGGGGTGTATGGGGAGTGAGAAGATGGAAGTCATTAGGGGGATCCTGACGGGGAGAGATCCATATCTGCCTGGATCTGAAATGGTAACTGAAGCTGGAACTATCGTGGCGAGTCGGGCGTCGAAAGATGGAATTGGTGGAAAGCTGGTCAGTAGACAAACATTTTGATGTCGGGCGTTGAATATGGTACTGGTATCTCGAACCATTTGGTTACACTGTTGCAAGACATCCAAATCTCCATCCATGATGAGACGTACTTGATGTCACAAAAGGACTTCCAGTAATAGAGCATCATCTCAAAAGATATCCTGACCATCCATAGGCAATCCCATATTCGCAATCCTCTCCTCCAACACTCCAACATGTAAGTAAGTATCGGACACTCATCCACCCTATAATTGTCTCTCTTCAACTCCCAACTTCGCAAACCCAATCTCAAATTTCAAAGTGATACATTCTTAACACGTACCTGTCCACCACCAAAGCATAATACGAATCATCAGCTCCTCCATGAAAACGGAACAGAACAAAGATCCCGCAAGTGATTTCCACGGTCTTTCGGAACAAAACCTCCCTCCTTCCATCCTCCTCACCGAACCCCGACACCCCGAATTCAAATCCCACGACGATCAAACCACAGAAACACCCATCCAAACCATCTCATCCCAAACCATCCCATCCCATCCCACCATCCCAACTCCTTGCTCTCACCATCCCATCAATCCCAGCACTACAACTATACTCCCAAACAAGCTCGGGCGAGCCCGCCAAGCCCAGAAATAGAACAGGGGAAAGAATCGTACGATTCTCCCGCTCGCATATCGGCGATCAAACGCATCTCCGATACAACACAATACATCGGCTCTTTATCCCCTGCCTCCCCTCCCCGGTTCAAGGCTTATTATGTCTTGTAAAACTAAGTAACTGTATTAAGCTCATCTTCATCTTCGTTCTTATCAATCTTCCGAGTTGTCATTGAATGATTTCGGGAACAGCTCGGTCAGGAGTAGACTCCGAAGGAGCTGCATTGTGGTGATGAGTTTTTCTGGAAACAGAGAGAGGTACAGAGGAGAAGAAGTAGAGCGATGGAGAGCAACTGTGCATCTCCACTATTGCGATTTCAGAGTGCCATCGTCTATTATCAACCCAACTCATGTCATTCCAGTTCATCCGGTCCATGCTATACCATCTGTCTAATGAATTATATACATAAACCTTACCATCATCTCTTCATGCCATCCGAACTCAACAACCTAAGCTCCTCCCAGCATCAAATAAACGCGCCAGGCGCTGCTGAACCGAACCGAACTGGAAAAATTCATCAAAAATGACAACCAACAGTAGGGGTTGGAAAAGCAGAAACGAGTAAAATACACATTTCTTATAATTTGCTTTCCGATAAAAAAAGGAAAAGGAGATGAAGACGACAAAAGGTCCATCTGGGTGGCGGACATCTAGTCCCTCCGATATATATACCATCGCTCGCGCTTGCCCCTCTCCCCCAGATGCATCCTCAATAATATCATCAGTCCCATCACCTGATCCATTCCGTCCATCTACCGCATACCATGCACGCTGCCTTAAATGAAGAATAAACAGAAAAAAGTTTGCAAAGTTGCCATTTTGTCCGTCTAGAAATTCTCTTTGCCCCACTGGAAGGCGAATCCTGTAATCAATTAGTACATGCTCCAAATTGGGAACATTCGGTAGACGGAATAGGAGAAAACGTACCAGGCTCGGTATACATATTACACTTGATATGTAACTGACTTCCCAAAACCTTCGGACCACAGAAAAACACACCCGCCTCGGCCGGGCTGTGAATCTTGCGTACACTCTTGAACACCATATCCCAATTGGGACGGCCGAAATTCGTAGGTGCTCTTAAGCCGGTGATGGCATCGCGGTCGGCGTTGGCATCGTTGATCATGATGTTGGTGGCATCATCGACCTTGATCTTGGCGGTGAGATATGTGTGGATCTCGATATGGTTGTCCATATCTTGAGCCTCGATGGCGAGTAGTAACGAGCGGAACCATTCGAAGGAGCCAAAGTCACGACAAATCCAGAAGAAATAAACTTTGCGGAGGCGAGTCTTCTTTTGTGGGTAGTTCATCCGGTACCAGATGGACTTCAGAATCGATGCGAATGGTGTAACTCCGATACCTGCTCCTACAAGCATAGCAATCTCATACTTGAAGACATCTTCCGAGGCGGAACCGAATGGACCATCGATATAAACGCGGGGGAGTACTCGGCGAATAGCTGGGTCAACACCTTCGGCTCCTGGTCCGTTCTTGTTGACACTGACGACTTGGGATGCATCCTTTTTATCTCCTCCTCTTGGCTTATCGATTTCGCATCCAAGAGCCTTTCCAACTGCTTTCGTAAAGTCGCCCTGCATTCTCATATGGATGGAGATGTAATCCTCCTCGGGTGCTGAAGTCAAAGTGAAAGGGTGATATTGCCAAACGGAAACCTCGGGACAGCAGAAGAAAATATACTGTCCAGCTCTCGTCTTTGTGTTTTCCTTCTTGATCTGAATCTCGCAGACCATGCTGGGATGTTGAACAACCTTGGAGATGTATGTCTTGTGCTTGCCTCGGACCTCACGGGCAATTCTCTCCATCAGGTAGATATACCCTCCATACATCCAGTATTGCCAGAATACTCCAATTGCCGTGGATCCGAGTCCAACGCAGTATGGGGCGATATCGGGTTGAATCATACAGTAGGCACCGTGGATAGACCAGAAGAAGAAGAACACTACGAACATGTGGTGAGTATACCAGAAACGCTCAAAGTTGGCACGACGCATCTTCTCGACTGAAGTAATGACCATACACATCAGCGCAGTGAGCATAATATATCCTGTCCATCCTGGGCCGGTAACGAAGTTGGCGAGTAACCATCCGCCAAATCCGAGGTTGTTCTTCGCTGAAATCTGCGCGAAGTTGTTCCAATGCGCAATCGTATGGACCCAAGAAAAAAAGACGATCGACCAAGCTGTTGTCATATGGAATGTAATGTTCTTGTCGAATTGTACAATGCCGTTCAGAGGCGTTTGTCGAGCCAAAGAAATGAGTGTTCTACAGACCGGGAACAGAATCATGGCTACGTCAAAATGAAGCACGAGAGCCGCAGATCTTGCTATCGGATATGTCAGACCGAACGTACTCCTTGCTATCGATAAGTTGTCCTTAATCTGATAGTTCATGAAACCGAAGGCGAAGACCATTGCATGAATGGCAGCGAAGACGAAGACGAAACTACCACACGTTAGCTGATGTTCATCCAACACCTACGACGGCACCCACAATCGTCGATAACCTTCGTTAACCATCCACCTGTCGAATCTTTCACGCGCATTGAGGTCCTTCGGCCGTTCACCACTCATTTCCCCCGACATCAACATCCTCGTCAAGGGCGGCCATCTCGCTCGTTCCGATACCTTCATCGACGACGTACTACTCCTCGCATATCCCTTTTCGTCCATCTTGCAAGCGGTGCGACTTCAAGTCGGCCTTTCCTCAACCTTCCGTCTCGCTTTGAACCCCTCTTCTCCTACTTGAACTGGACGACTTCTCCCTTCCTTCCTCCGATTATCTGTGGCAAAGAACGGTTGTGTGTATTGTATTAAAACGGCGATATCATTCAGAGCCTGCTGAGATGAGAAGCCCGAATGTGTAAAGGGTGGTAAGGTCGAAGAGAAGGTGCTGGTGTTGTGAAGGAGCGTGAGTATTCGAGCCTGCGATGAGACACGACGGTCTGGTAAGCAAGAGTTTGGAACGAGTTGAGGACGACAGGCAGGTAGATGTAAGGGCGGACAGGGCTTGGGAGGATCGACAGCTAGCTGAGGACGATGAAGCACGGCGCATCCAATATCTGCTGAGCTGTGGAGAGGGCGACGTAGACGCTGTCTAGAACAAGACGAGATAAGAAGATTTGAAGCAAGATAGACGTACCTGTACACAATGCCTGCACCGGTGGCTGCTTCCAGTTCAGCGAAGTATTATAAAAGTTTACTTTGCGGTAGCATGCAGAAGAGAAGACAGGATACAACACAGACAGGTGGAGCGACAGACAGGCAACAGTAGCACAGCCGAACAGAACAGGAGAGAGAAAGTCTGTACTGCACTGAACTGGACTGGACTGAACTGACCTGAGCTCGTAGGGAGAAACGAAAAGTGCTGGGTTTAGGTTTGAGGGGCCGTGCCAAGAGAAGAAGGAAGTGCAAAGGAAGAAGAGGAGCCTCTTCACAGCCAGTCACGCTTATGCGGCAAGAGCAAAAGAGGACCCCCGGGGGATCCACGATGGAAAGGATGGCCTGACTTTGCTCATCACTTGCCGCAGGTTGCAGAAGCGTTGTCTGAGCGATGCTTGATCCCGTACGCTACAAACCCTACCGAACGGTGCCGGTCTCATGGGAAGAGGCATGCCTTGGTGGGCTCCTGGGCTGGGAGGGGAGAGCACTGCTTGCGATGCCATGTGTGATTGGTGGTCGGATGCTCGAAACAGGAGAGAAGCCGCCATGGATATGAACCGCATGTTGCTACGAGTAGTGTACGCTTGGTAGGGGACGGACTGCGGTGTTTTGATACACCGTAAGCTGGCAGTTCGTCTGCTGGTTAACTATTCCCGCTTCACAGGGACAATTGAGGCTTGTCTGGCTTTAGCTCACCGTTCTGAGGGAGACATTTGGAGATCTTTCTGGCATCCACAACAGATGTATCTTTTGATAACATCCATATTGAATTGCTGCCATCGATAGGGGTTGATAGGACGTGGATGCTGCTGGATGCTGGAAGCAGCAACCGCTGTTGAGTCTGTTCTTCATCCCCTGCGCTTGGAGGGCGTCTGTGCGACACGCCCCTGTCACTTCGCCTGTCACGGCGTCTTCTCATTGGTTGCTGTCAACGTCCTGCCGCTCGCTTAGTTTCAACATTGCCATGTCGTTTCGGACGGGGGTGTCTGACACGCAGGTACGCAGGTACGGAAATGAGGGCCGTGTCAGAATCTATAATGCTTCATGCCTAATGACCAATTGCTTTGCATTTCGCAGCCAGCAAAAGAAAAAGAAAAGCTCCATTACCTCCGTCTTGTTAAGTGGCAAAGAGAAGCGAAGCAACACCAAATCCGGTAAGCTCATCGCATGGAGGTTCGTAACAACCATCGGCGCTAAAGCGTTGAAGTCCTCATTCCTAGCCGTTTTAATCAATATCCTTGGGGGAGATCTCTAATCATACAACACTCGGTAAGTCCAGACGACCCCTCGCTTCCATAAATCAACGGCCTCACTATAAAATCCTCCGACACTCCCCATTTTGTACTGTGTAACCCATGTATAAGTGGCGTTGTTGATGTTTGGTACGATTGATGATCATTTCAAGTGTGAAGGAATTCCCGAGTGGGTGTTTCTTTCACCTACGCGTTCTAGTTATCTCCCTCGTTCGTATATTCGCAAGCCAGCCTCAGCTGCCATCAGATAAAAATAGACCTCGAGCGAGATCCAAACCTAAACTCGACTTCGCTTCCCCGTCAATCTGAACCTAGACCAAGCATCGATATCAGAAACCAAACGCTGCCCAGACATCAAATCACATCATCTTTCAGACCATCCTCTTATGCCTCACACAATCCAGCTAACCGCATTTCCTTAGCCTGTTTCTTCAGCATCAGCATAGCCTTACATTGCCCTTTCCCATCCCCCAAACCTCCACTTCGGGCTTCGGTGACTTCAACGCAAACCCGTTTCTACAAAGCTTGTTTCGAGCATGTCATGACAGTGTTTGACACTCGTGGTCCCAACTCAATAAACAGTAACCTGATACCAAGCTGTACCAAGGTACCAAGGCACAAGGTGCAGTCTTGGGGCGGGGTAATTGTGCGATTTGATGTTCTGTGTCTTACGTCCTTCTTTTTCGCTTCTCAATGAATCGTTTTCTTGTTTGTGTCATGTCAGGTGCTGTACCAGATCCTTCGGGTCATTCCGGAGAGCGAAGTGGAGAGGCTCGGAGAATGGATTTAAGCTTGCTTACACGACATCCAAGACAAGAGGTGTGGCGTTTGAGGTGTTGCGAAGTTGCGATGGACTCTACGGAGGTACGTAGCAAGTCTTCTCGGGCCGGAGTCACTTTCTCAAGCCGACAGCTTGACCTAAAACCCCTCAAAAAGGAATTATCAAGGACATAATGGACAGATTCTCCACTTCATTTCGCCCCCCACTCAAAGTCAGGAGACGAGTGAAAAATAATATGCGATTCTTTCCAAATCCGAGTAACAAATATTGGAAATAAACCCATCCAGTCCCATACTTCGTATGAGAGATAAATTTATCATCTCATTGCCACTCCACGGGAAAAAACAAACAAGAATGAGAAAGTGTCTGAAATTTTGCCATAGGTCAACTGACTCAACTCTTGGCTGTTGATGGCTATCTAGTTTATCTTGGTTCTGCTGTTACCGTAATATACCGAGTAATTCTAAATATTGAACAATCAATTTACAATTTCCTCGTCCTCCCCGTCATTCCCCATCCACCTCTTCAAGGCACATTTTTACTACTCGAAAGCCACATCTCTATACACAAACAATCCAAAACTTCTCCAAGCGTAGCCTCCAGATCTCCCCTCCTCAAGCCACAGTAGCAAATTGTCCACCGTATATACAAGAGATCCATATCCACATTCCGTTTTGTGCCTCATCTTCATCCAATTTTCTCACCCATCACCTGCTCTTCAAAGAAGTAAAGGTTTCCTCTCCCTAAATTCTAGTTCAAGCTTACAGAAACATGAAATTAGCTCTGGCAATCCAAGAAGATAGAATATGCCCGAATGTAGAACACCAGTACAGACCTTACAATTATCGTCTCCTCCGACACACACGCAACTTGTCAGTGATTAGTCTTGCAAGGAAGAACTTTCTTTCCCTCCCTTCCCGCCTTGAGAAATTCAACACTTCAGTCGTGATCACCACCATCCAGACCATCATCAACCTCATCATCAGCATCTACGTAAGTATCATGATCATCAACTCCCTCCCCAACTCAAATCTCTTAACCTATTTTCTTCACATCCACAACCGCAGCCGCAAGCAATATCAATCACAACATCACCCATTACCACCTCTTCTCTCCGCCCTCACTCTATTTCCACTCTTTTCTTAGAACCCTACTTCTCTAGGCAGTCAAAAGAGAAAACAGCATACCTTCATCAACTTTACCCCAACCTAATCTAACCTACTCTCCCAAACGAAAGCTAAGGAAAGTCAGCACACTTACTTGAATTACTCTTCTTCTTCTTCTTCTTTTTCATTGCTGCAATTTGAACACAAACTTTCCGACCGTCTGTCTAGCATCCATCTGCCCTGCCTAATACTCAAAGCAGTTGTAAATCCCAAAAAGTTCAACTCATATCAGCTCCACCGCATCGTTGGTATAGATTCTCGGGAAGCAGAACTTAAGATGTAAATCCCCGCTAGGCTCTCTGGTGGACTGAAGTCAGATTTAAGTTTTGGTTCGGACGTCGGCTTGTGAGTGAGTTGTGGCCAAATCTTTCTTGCTTGGAGGACTTCTGATGAAGGAGGTACTAGTACTAATATCGATATATCCTCACAACAACCAATACCTCCTACCTCCTCACTCCCCCATGTCCACACCTTCATCCTTCTCAACAGCCTTCATCCCACCCTCAAAACCTCACTACGCATCTCCAACTATCTCCCCAATCCCCTATCCCCTTCCCTTCCCATTCCGCATTCCATTCCAATCTATCCCCACAAGAACTCAACTACCCAACAAACAAATACATCCCAGACACAGCTCTATTCATATTCATATCCATCACAATCTAAAAAAAACAAAGAGAAAGAAAACTCCACACATACAAATCAACATAATCTACTTATTTCTGATCCCTGATACTAGACTGAAACTATAACTCCTCCTCCCATTTCCCTTCCTCCTTTGCTCCCTTATTTATCCTCAATATTCCCACCTATTGAACAGATGCTTATCAACCTACTTGTTCAACAACTTACAGAGAAAGAGCAGCAAAGACAGACTTAGTCACTCTCTTCTCTTCGCTTCTATCCTATCCTATCCTGGGGGTATCAAGTTTCAAAGTACCTACGTACCTTGCCCTACACCTCAGGACTCTCTTCTCAAGGGTGCTTCCTTTCATCCTTCCTTCCTTCCATCCATCCGTCCATCCAGCTACGCACACACACAACCAGATAAACAGAAATTCAAGCAACAACTACCCGAATTCCAGACAAGTACCTACCTATGCGATACACTTCCTGGCTTCCACGAGGTATACCATCAAATCAATCAATTAACTAAGCATAACGAGAACTCAACACAACACAACAAGGACAACAAGTACAGTAATGATAGTAATTGAGAAACATTTAGTACTTGCCTCCCTCCCTCTCTCTCTCTCTCCTTCCCCTCCGCCCCCCTCACATATATACACACATTCACACACAAAAAAGTCGAGAAAAGAAGGCCCGAGAAAAAAGAGAGGAAAAGAGAGAAGTATATTTTAAAAGGAAGATAGAAAGAAAGAGAGATAGAAAGAAGGAATCTAAGAAAACGAAAGCAAGGGAGCAGAATGCCAATACAATACCAGCTCTCTCTCTCTCTCTCTCTCTCTCTCACACACACACACACACACACACACACACACACACACACACACACACACATCAAGCAGCCATTGCTCGCTCATTGAACCACCACACACACATACCACCACTTCAATCTAGTCCAGTCTAGTCCAATGCAGTCTGCACCACACCACATCACCTCTCTCACATCTCTCACACGCAAATATGAATTCCCCATCCCATCCCATGCTCACAACAGAAACTCAAAAGTACCTACCAACGTACCTCCCTAGACAGTATAAACGTATAAGAAAGACTGACCGAATACTATAAGCAAGAGAGGTAGAAGAAAGTCTCACAGACTCACTCACTCACTCACTCACCAGCAGCGCACGCTCACCTACAGTACAGTACAGTACAAAATTTTCTACCAGGTTGAAATAAAATTGTCATGATGAATGGAGAAAGAAACGCTTCCGGGAAGACGAAAGGAAAGGGAACCTCATTTATGTCAGAATGCAATGATCATCTATTTCGCTCCGATGCTATCGAATTCCACCAAACCAAGCCGAACCCAACCCCGACCCTCAATCAATCCATCCCTTCCTCCCTCCATTCATCCATCCATCCATACCTCCAATCCTCCACACTAGGAATCATTTCCTCCAATGATCCATCCATCCGTCCATCCCCTAGCAATCAAAGCACGCAACAGACAGATCATATGAATTCAGAACCCAGGTTTCCATTCGATTTCGATTCGATTCTACCATCCTTTTGACTTCCCTGCCCTGTCTTGCTTCCCAGTCCATTCATTCCAATCCTTCCTTCTTTCCTGCCATTCCACCCCAGCCAGCCAAGTTCATCGTCAACCCAGACCCAGCCTTATTTGCAGTGCAGTAGCGTCAAGAGGAAAAGCGGAGAATGTTGGTCCCCGGGGCAGACGGACAAAGATCAGGCAGGTACGAAAAGAAACGTATGAAGAAAAAAGAGAAAACACCAAAGCAGCATGTTGACGCCAGAGCCAGATCCGTAATACGCGCGCGAGGAGGAAATATCGGGAATTTCGTATGCTTGAACAGTGCCTTGCCCTTATCTAGATCGCATATTTACGTGTCCACTCTCTGGCTGTTGCCTCATATCTGGATCGGTCGGTCTTGTAGACGTGGGCGATTTCGGGGACAAGTGGATCATCAGGGTTGGGGTCGGTGAGCATAGAGCAGATGGAGAGGAGGACTGAGATTGGATTAGCAGACATCTTGACAAGTAGAATCGAGTATACATACCCTTCGAGATTGTCAGGGCTGGGGACCATTGATCACGGAGGATGTCTAAGCAGATGGAACCGTTGGAGTTGATATTTGGGTGGTAGATTCGGGTGGTGAAGTTGACCTTGGGTGGCTTGAATGGGTAGTCGGTAGGGAAGTGGATGGCGAGGAAGAAGACACCTCCGGAGTATGGTGAGTCTGACTGTAGAAATTGTTAGAGCTGTATTTCAATGTTATTGCATCATGCCATGGTTGGCCGGAGCCTCATGTTTTCAAAGGCGGGAAATCCCGTGAAAAGACAGAAGATAAGATGAAACTTACAGGACCCATGATGGTAGCTTGCCAGTGGAACTATTCAAACCAGCCAGTCAGTATTTGATTTCGAAAAGTGAACTTCTCTTTGCGACATGTCTTGTGCCAGTGTTCACGGCCTTGTTTGTTCTCCGCTCGAGGCTGTCGGGGGAAGGGACGTACCAGATCATCGCCAATAGGACCAGCAGAGCACGATGACGGAGGGTCACTACAAATCACACAAATGTCAGCCAAATTTCCTTTACTCTCTCCTCTCTGAATACTCAAAGTGAGGTATTGATGAATCTTCGTGGAACCCCGCTTGCAAGCCGCCCCACCAAGCAGACAGGATTTCGAAGGGCTGCAGCCAGCCTGCGCAATGTAAAGGGAGATGCAAACGTACCGGCCCAAGTCTGTAAGTTCCTTATTGATTCTCTTCAACGCCATGGCGACGGTTATGTGTGTGTTGTGTGGGGGGGTTGGAGGGTGGTTGTGTTGTTCGAGTCGTGAGGTTTCTTGAGGGCGCAGCAAACGGGAAGAAGTTCTGGTTCTGGAGTTCTCTCTCTGTCCAGGCGAGGTTAGCGACTAGATCCTAATCGGCGCGCGCGGCTAGGCCGAGATGACGCAGATGCAGGGTATGTAGAGCCAGTGCGGTACACTACGTACGAGCAGAGCAGAGGATGGTCAGGATAGTTGTTGATGTCGATACAGACAGACAGACGTCGTGGTGTTGTTGTGGTTGAAGGGGTGCAGACGAGGAGGGGCTGCCCTTTTTATCGTGGCTGATGTTGGAGGGGATTACTGTATGTGGGATGACTGGAGGGGGAAGGAAGATGGATGGAAGAGGAAGAGTGAGAGGAAGAGTGGTGGTAGAGAAGTGGAGTGGAGTTGAGTCGCCTGTGGTGGACTGGCTGATTGACTGACTGCGACTGGACTGGACTCCCGTCTCTGGAGTGGAAGAGTTGGGAAGGGAAGGAATGAGGAAAGCGCCGCCAAGGCTTGCAGTAGTGGGAGAAAGAAAAGACGAGAAACTCGGCAGCGCTGGGCTTGTACTCACTGGCCGGCTTTGCCTTCTTTGACTTTGACTTTTCCTTTGCCTTTGAGTTCTACTTGACGGACTTTGACCTCGATGTGATGTGATGTGATGTGATTTGATGTGATTTGTGCTTTGCTGTGCTATTATTACTCAGCTTGACAAAGAATAAAGAACGCACGTTTTCGACCCTTTCGTATCCTAAAACCGCGTTCTGAATCACCTCAACGCCACGACCACCTTCTATTGATTTCTAGCCTACCACTGCAAACAATCTACCATCCGTCCATCAATCAATCATGCATTGATTTCTTCACTTTTCCTATCCTCGAAAAGTCGAGTGCATTCGAGTATCACGCATGATTCATCTAAATATCAATTTGTCTGTCTTCAGGGTTACTGTATCTATTTGGCATGACGTCTTACTTCCACGACCGCAGCCAGCCAGGCTGATATATCATGGAATCAGACATGGTACTTTATCAGTCAGCCTCATCGATAGTCTCGTGCTCATGTGCCAGGTGCATCCTGATATCTCCGAGTCGAGGTCGGAGAAGGCCAGGCACAAAAAAGTGGAGATATTTCGGGAGTTTGCCACCGCCAATGTCAGTCAGGCTGGAGTGAGGCTGTACACTCAGCCTTTGTTGGCCCAAGGCTGGCATTGTCTTGATTTCTGCTGTGAGGGACTCAGGTCGTTGACTACTCGAGGGTTCGGAAGGTACAGTAAGCTAGTCGTCAGAGAAGTTCATCATTTTCCCATTCTTCAGTCTTCTGAGCATGAGCTGTTGCAGCCAGTAGTGACTGGATTTCTTTGTGAACCTGGAAAGCCTCCAGTAATTGTTCCTTTTTAAATTCAAGTCACATCTAAACAGAAATATCAAGAGATTCAGAGCTAGGATCCAACAAAGAGACCAACCTCCCTCGTGATAGGAATTGGCCAGGTTCACGCAACCTTGATGGCAAACGCTGGGTTTGGGAATCTCTGGAGCTGCATCTCATGTACTGGGCGGGACTTCGACAATCAGTAAACCTAGGTTGATAGTGATTGGGAATTGTTAAAGGGGATACGAGGTTATCGTTTTAGGAAAGTGCCCCTCTTATTGCTCTTTCCATGGCAGGGGCAAATGTGCCTACTCCCCCAAACTCGGTTGGCATGTGATATACTTTTTCGCTTCATCTTAACTACATTTTGATCTCAACTCCTCCATCTACACAAAAGCCTGCAACCCCGTAATAGCACGCCCCAGGATCAGAGCATGAATATCACTCTGCCCTTCGTAGGTCTGGGTCACGAATAAATTTGCGACGTGCCTCCCAATTCCATACTCATCACTAACCGCATTCCCCCCAAAGATCTCCTGCAAAATCCTCGCATTCACCAACGCACGATCACAGTTCTGCCTCTTAATCATACTGATCATCTCCGGCGCCGCCAGCCCCTCATCCTTCAGTCTCCCAACCTGAACAGCAGCCAGAGTCCCGAACGCTGCATCCGTCGTAGCATCAGCGAGTTTCTTCTGCACGAGCTGATACTTGGCGATGGGGTTTCCCTTGAACTGCTTGCGCTCGAGTGCGTATGTTCGGGCGCGGGATATGCAGTCTTCCAGTGCGCCGATTGTTCCCCAAGCGATTCCGTAGCGCGCGCTGTTCAGGCAGGTGAATGGACCTCGGAGACCTTCTACGTCGGGGAACATGTTTGCTTCTGGGACGGGGCATTCGTCGAGTTGGATCATGCCGGTGAGGGAGGCCCGGAGACCGTTCTTGTCTTTGATGGCGGGTGTCTCGAGTGTTCCAGGTGGACATTCTGATCTTTCGACTAAGAACCCGCGGATCTTGCCTGTCTCTTGTAGTTTTGCCCATACGATCAGGACATCTGCAATCGGGGAGTTCGTGATCCAAGTCTTCGCCCCGGAGAGCGAGTAGTAGCCTTTCTTTGTAGGATGTGGTTTGGCAGTAGTTTCCATAGAGCCTGGATCACTTCCATGATTTGGCTCCGTGAGACCGAATGCACCCAGCAGTTTCCCCTTCGCCATCTTTGGCAGGAACTTGTCCTTTTGTTCTTGTGTGCCGAAGTCATCAATGCCTCCCATGACGAGAGACGACTGAACAGACATGCCAGATCTGTAACCACTGTCTACCCGCTCGACAGCCTTGGTGATAAGTCCAGACGCCACATTCGACACACCCGCACAGTCGTAACCCTTAATTGTAGCGCCTAGCAAGCCCAGCTCGCCCATCTCCTCGAGGATCTTCTTGTCATAGTTTTCGTCTCTGTACGCCTCTGCCAGTCCATATTCATCAGTACACTTGTCTCCCCACTCTCCAAGTAAATACCTGGATAAATCAAGCGCATCACTTACGTAGAACTCGCGGTAGCATCCGCTCCTGACAATACGCCTCCGCCGTCTCAGAAATAGCCAATTCCTCCTCTGTAAATAAGCTGGCGGCGTTCAATGGATCTTCCCAATTGAAGGGTTGCGGGGCAGCGTGTGCAGAAGCATAGCTTCGTACAGCCACTGGACGAGCAGCTGTTGCTGTCAATTGACGGCCGACCGTACTTCTGATTACTGATTTGTACATCTTGGAAAATGGTAGTAGAAGAAATTGCGCATAATTAGAGAAGAAAATGTATTGAGAGCGAGTGTTCAAGAAGTCATGTTTGCCATGACTAGGTACTCTAGCTCTCCGCTACTCGGCAATGTGTCCGGGTTGACATGCCTCTCGCCGAGGCCTGCCATTTCTGGCGTGCAGGGGTGGGAATACTGGGGAAAAGAAGGGATTTTGGGATGAAAATGGTCAAACACAATAATACAGAATAAGACAATTATTCTATCATACTGTCTGAAAATGGATCACCGAAATCGTACTCCCTAATTGGAATAATGGAAACCGGAGACTTCATAATTTGCACAACGCAGTGACATCAACCCCTGCCTTCAAACTGACCACTCAACGCGGTCTCACGAAGCAAGCGCGCCGTGGCTGTCCATCATCGCGTCACCTTGCACTCTTTCTTCAACACCACCACTCAAAAGCACGACAATCAAACAGCACAACACCACAACCCCACAACCACCGCAAAGATGGGTATCAAGCAGCTCTTCCAGATCATCAGGGAGGAATGCCCCAATGCCTACAAAGAAAGCGAGATCAAGGCGCAATTCGGTAGGAAAGTAGCCATTGTACGTCCCTTCCCTTGTTTGCCCAGCGCATTGCTAATTACTCTATAGGATGCGTAGGTTCCTCCTCCCTCACGAGCGTCAGAATACGAACTCACATAAATAAAACAGGTCTATGAGTATCTACAGTTTCCTCATCGCAGTCCGCTCCGGCGGCGAGATGCTCACCAACGAAGACGGCGAAACCACATCCCACTTGATGGGCATGTTCTACCGCACCCTCCGCATCGTCGACAACGGCATCAAACCCGTCTACGTCTTCGACGGCGCCCCTCCCAAACTCAAGTCCGGTGAACTCGCCAAGCGATTCCAGCGCAAAGCCGAAGCCACTGAAGGTCTGGAGGAGGCAAAGGAGACGGGTACCGCGGAGGATGTAGAGAAGTTTTCGCGTCGGACGGTCAGGGTTACGAGGGAGCATAATGCTGAGTGTCAGCGTCTATTGAAGTTGATGGGTGTACCATATATTATTGCGCCGACGGAGGCAGAGGCTCAGTGTGCGGTCCTGGCGAGAGCGGGAAAGGTGTATGCGGCTGCGAGTGAGGATATGGATACATTGTGTTTTGATTCGCCAGTCTTGTTGCGCCATCTTACGTTTGCTGAGCAGCGGAAGGAGCCTATCCAGGAGATTTTCTTGGATAGAGTTCTTGAAGGTCTGAATATGGAGCGCAAGCAGGTATGTTATTCCCCTCTTTGCCCAACACAAAGTCTAATCCCAGGACCAGTTCGTTGACCTCTGTATCCTCCTCGGCTGCGATTACCTCGACCCCATCCCCAAAGTCGGTCCCAACACAGCTTTGAAACTCATCCGCGAATACGGTACCCTTGAGAAATTCGTCGAAGCAGTCAAAGCCGGCAAAACCAAGTTTACCCTCCCAGAAGACTGGCCCTTCGCCGACGCCCGCGAGCTCTTCTTCAACCCCGACGTCCGCCCTGCCGACCACGAAGAGTGCGATTTCAAATGGGAAGCCCCCGACGTCGAAGGCCTGGTCCAATTCCTCGTCACCGAGAAAGGCTTTTCAGAAGACAGAGTCCGCTCTGCGGCGCAGAAACTCACCAAGAATCTGAAGACGGGACAGCAGGCTAGATTAGAGGGTTTCTTTAAGGTCATTCCCAAGACGGCGGAGGAGTTGAAGACGCTGAAGAGGAAGAATGAGGAGAAGAATGAGGAGAAGAAGAAGAAGATCAAGGAGGAGAAGAAGGAGAAGGCCAAGGCGAAGGCGAAACCTAGAGGTACTGCGTGAGAGTGCGAATGTGGTTATGAATGGCGGAAAGGATTGTTTGCATTGCTATGGAGCACTAGGAACGGCGGTATGGAGTTTTGGGCGCATGAGATGAGTAAATGGACTTTGCTGGTATGGAAGTCGGATGAGGGAAGTACACTACTTCTTATGTGTATTTATGCTACGTTATGATTTGCTCAGAAGCTACATGCCACGGCATCTGTTTTCTCAAAATGATGAATCAACCTATCAAACATGTCGCTGAATTGGAATTCGTCTGTCTACCCATATTCGTCTTGCTTTCTTGAAAAGCCTTAAGTTCTTACGGAGCAGAGCGAATTTGCTTTTATCAACCTAGCTACTCGTCTTGTTTTTCTGGTCTCTCCTTCTTGGCTGGTCTCCCCTTTTACATCCTCTCAGTTCCCGCTCGGAAAAACAACAACCTTTCCTCCGCACCAAGTACAATTACACCAAAACACAACACTACACCATCATATGGTCCCAGAACTCCTATCTAAACTGAACAGTGCAAACAAAACTGATCCCAACTCTAGCACCAAGCATACCTCTCTCACTAGTCCCATCAAGCACCAAAACAATCGCAAAAGCACAGAGCAACACATCTCAGAATCAAAGACAGCAATCCGCAATCTTCACACTCGGCACACCTCCCACACCACCTCCACCTCCCTGTTTCTCTCCCTCCCCTTTTCCAGAACCAGAAACAGAAAGCCCACCATTAACCACCTCACTCCTCTTACACACCATAGCCAGGAGATGGACTTCCGTACGTGGTGTCGTATTAGAAGTTTGCAGGAACTGGGTTTTTCGTCAGTCAGTCAGTCAGTCAGTCAGTCAGTAAATCCATGACCAGAATTTGATCACGATGAAAATTAAAGGAAAAGGAAAAGGTAAAACCTCAACTCACAACCTTATAAACCTCCTCAAACCCCCTCAAACCCTCCTCCACTTTCTCAAAATCAATCGCCATTCCTCTTTCTAGCCCCACAACCCTTGCCATCTCCTTCTCATTCAACTCTCCCTCTTCTCCCTTCTTTCCTTTCTCACTCTTACTTTTGCTGTTGTGTTTGTTTTTTGGTTTGGTTTTGCCGGAAGAAGTTGGAGGAGGAAGGGGAGGGGGATGAAGACGACGAGAAGAAGGTCCGTAAATGCTTTTAAGCATTTCGATGTCTTTGTAGCTTTGGGCGATTAGGGTTGAGAGGGGGGTGAGTTCGAATGTTGGTGTGGGTGTGGATGTGTTTGTGGAGGAAGTTGTGTTTGGCTGCGTCTTGGTTGTTGTCCTTGTCTTGGGAGCTGGATTTGGATTTCCAATATCCGGGGATTTTGGAGTCGTTGAACCTGAAACTGAAAGTGGACTATTTGGTGCAGTTGACGATGGACTGGCAGGTCGTGTAGGACTTGGACTTAGCGAACTGGGAGAAGAAGCGGATGAGGAAGAGGAGGCCAAACGGTTGCTGGATTGGCGGCGATGGGTGAGGAATTGAGGACTTAGACTTGGACTTGGAGGCGTGAGAGCATTCAATTGTTTCGCTAGGAGATTATTGGTTGATGTGTTTGCGGAAGGCTTTGTCGATGGCAGAGCGGAAGGGTTGGAGGATGGATTAATATTGTCTCTTCTGGACGAAGCTGTGTGGTGGAGGTTCAGAGCTGATTTGGCCTTTCTGATATTCATATTACCCGGTCAGTAAGGACTCCTTTTTCTTCTTAGGAAAACAAAGAAGGGGGTAGTGAACTTACCCAAGTCTCCGCATACCAATCATTCCCTTCTCCTTCTCTCTCCCATCCGAGTTCAGAGTCAAAGAAGAAGCAGCCCAAACAGTTGACTGAGAAGCAGAAGCATTTTGATTACCAGAAGTTCCCTGATTCTGAGCATAGACAGTATTTGAATCCGAATCATCTTCAGAAACGTTGAAGAAACGGCGAAGTGTAGAGCTGAATGTACGGTCTATGGTGGGTAGGTGTTAGCTGCATACCCCTCAATGACAGTGGATTACTAGACATACCTGGTACCGTGGGCGGAGTAGGAGACGTATTTGCCATCTTTGCTTTCGCTCATATGCTTCTTCTCGGATCCAAATCGACGAGAGATCCCAAAATTGGCTTCGTTTTCGAGTTCCAACACTATTGGGAACAAACCCACATTCCTCTTTTCAAAACGGAACAGGTAATCAGTCTATGCCACCAAGTCTGTTTCCCGGTTGCTCAAAACGAAAATATGGCTCACCCATATGACAAAATGCCGTACCTAGTAACCGGAAAGGACACTTAGTACAAGTCGAGATTTGCTTCCATCCAATGCAGGAAGGAAGAGGATACACACACACACACACATATATATATATATACTTCTCCTCCTCCGATCGCCCAAGACGGAGGCTTGAGAATCGACATCTCCGGTGTTAGAACTCCGAAATAGGAGGTTATTCAATTGAATCTACTTCGGTATGCGTCACTGTGGATGATGAGAATTTTCAAAATTTGTTGGGCTCGGCTAGTCTTGTCATGGTCCAAAAGGGTGAGAGCGAATTCAATTCACATTGCAAAGCGACATATGGAACTGGCGAGAAGCAGGTAGAAGATCAAGAAACTTTTGGCTTGTATTCATTGGTATGTACGTGGGTACTCTAGAAGTACTTTGTCGCTACATACTGTGTATGCTGTAAAGAGCTGAGAACATGAATATGTGCAACCGATTGTTTGGTGACAGGATACTGTTCCTCGCTCATTTCACCCCGAACTAGGAGCCGAGATGAATGAGAACTCTATCGAATGGTAGCATTTGCATGACCCCATCCAACTCCAAGTTACAGATCAAAAAGTCAACTGAAGAGAAGCCACAGCTCAACTTCATTGTTGACATTGCCCAGAAGTCCCCCTGTCCTCCTACTCGCCCCCAATCAAAGAAACCAAACGCCGCCCACCTCGTAGAAACTCAAGTGAAAAGAAAAACCCCCTGTCCTCCTACTCGCCCCCAATCAAAGAAACCAAACGCCGCCCACCTCGTAGAAACTCAAGTGAAAAGAAAAAAGCACTACATAATCGCACAAAATCCTCCACCGCCCTGTCCACGACCAGCCTGATTGCCAATCTTGACATACAGTTCTCTCGCCGCAACAACCTTCTCTCTCAACTCACCACTGATACGACCACGCCCAGCCTTTCTCTCCACAAGGTCCAATTTCTCACCAAGAATACCATCGCCCTGCGGCCAAAGAACTTCTCTAAGCTCACCCGCCTCCCTAGCACGCTCCATCACACCTTGCATCTCCTTCGCCTTCTCAAGCCATTTCATCAGAGCCTTTCCGTTAAGCTCTTCTCCATCATTGACACGACTTAATGTCTCCATGTCCTCCTTGACATCTCTAACTTCCTCAAGGAGGACTTGCAACAGGTTTTCACCCTCTCCCTGTTCCTCCTCGCTAGTTTCACGTCCTGATTTGGCCATGGTAATTAATTCCTCGACCATGTTCTTGACTACCTTGTTCTCACTAGCTAGATCGTCGATCTTGGTTGATAGAGCGGAGACCTTGGTGTCGATGGCAACGATCTGCGATTGCGCGTCTTTGAGCCAGGCGCTTAAGCAAGCACTTACAAGAATGAGGCCGGCTTCTTGGGCGTTGGTGTTGAGTTCGGCGTCGATACCGGTCTTGATGGTGGTGAAAGCCTCTTTGTCGTTGTTGTCGGGATGTGGAGAGGCGATAGTGGTGATGGAGGATGTCCCGTAGAGAGCGCTGTGGATTGCTGCTAAGGTGGACGAGAGTGTTGCGAGGGTGTTGTGGATTGTGTGTAGATCGGGCTGAGTAGATAGTTCTTCAGATGTCATGGGTGGGGTAGGAGGAGCGGTGGTATTTTGCATCTTCTCGGATGTATCTGTAGTAGAGTCTTGGTGGGTAGATTTCTGCGAATTGTTGTTGGTAACAGGGGAAGGTCTGTCGAGGATGGAGGAGGGAGTATTTGAGATTGAAGAAGGAAAGGGCGATCGGCCAACAGATGATGTTACTGATATTGTTAGTTGCATGTATTGTTCTCCTCTCAGGATCTTCAATCAACTTACCATTGTTTTCGGCGGCATTCACCTCGCGGCTAGCTGGAACAATGCTAAGCGAGGTTGCTGAGTTTGTGAAGACCGACGAAGGCGCGATGTACTCCTATGAATGATTGAACAGTCAGTAATCATTCGTGCGCTCATGTTTAGAGAGCACATTTGGGGATTGAGCACCCCTCTGACAATGGAATGGTTGGGGAAGGGTCTGAACCACGTACCATGCTCTCGTGATTGACATCAAAATCATCCTGCTCAGCTTCACCTTTTCCCTTCACCTCAGGCATCTCAAATTTCGGCTCAGCAATGACATGGGACACCACAGCCTTTTGTGGAACAGCAACAGTCAAACTCCGAGTGACTTCCACAGCCTTGGTCTCAAACGCCTTTTTTACAAGAGCAACGCTCGAGGATCCAGATGCTACCTCCCCAGACCTAGGGGTCAGAGGAGACGCATGGAAACGATCAAAATCCTGCACAGGTTTCTGTATGGTCAGATGAGTCTGAGCTCCCGTTTGTACCGGCATTGTATGCTTTGGAACTGGCGGAGATACCTCAGTCGCTTGGAGTGCTTTAGCTGCTTTCTCTGGCGTGGTCACCAAGGCCTCAGGAATGGTAGTTGGCAATGCTGCGGATACAACCTTGGGCGTAGATTTTTCGATCTGAGGCTTGGTCGGCAACTGCACTGTGTATTTCTCAGGATGTAGAATAGCCTTGACATACTGACGATCCTTCTCCATGAAAGCCATCAAGTCGTCCTCCCCATTCGGAAGAGCCTTCAATGCCCTCTCTTTGATCACCTTCATATCACCGCCTGTAGTCATCCAGTGGGTGATAAACCACATGGTATGGCGTCTTACGATGTTCATACGCTCATCCATGGATATACGCTTGTTGCCAACCGCGTACCAGACAGCTTTCAACATCGCTGGGAGACCTTTTCCCGCCGCCTGCTCTTCCTTGCTTACTTGAAGATGGATGAGGTTCCAGAGCGAGGTACCGCCGTCGAGGAAGGTTGCAAGAGCGAGAGCTTGCTCGTCCGGATCGTCGGTTATGTCAGAGAATCCTTCCAAGATTGGTTGCAGGGATGCCATGATCTCTGGAATGGTACGGCCGTACTTGGACATTGTGTTGGTTTTGGGTTTGAAAGTCTCAAAATCGTCTTGATGCTCAACCATCTCATCAGGCTCGGCCTCAGCCTCAACTTCGACCGCAGCTTTCTCGAACCAAGGATACTGAGCAATAGAAGCCTGGATCACTTTTTCTCTCGCAGGGAACCGCAAGTGCTTTGTTCCGATAGCGTAACCGAAAGCCTGAATCAAGCTATTGTCGTCCGGGAAAACCTCCTCTGCACTCTTCGCAGTTTCCTTGAAGTTGCCATACGCCCAGCTATATTCCTCGATAAACCACAACGAGAGAATGGTCAAGGAAGACATGGTATCGTCCAACATCTGATAGTCGTCTTTCCCTGGTCGAGCGGCCTCTGGTATCATTACGCAGATGGTTCCGCTCAGACTCCACAGGCCGAACCCACCTCCGAAATTCAGCTCGCTGCATTTCTCGCCGATCAGGCCCCAGAGCGCTGCACAGCTGTTGACCCAATTTACCAAGATGAGGATCTTCAAGGACTCAGATTCGCCGTTTTTGAATGACGGATATATCTTCTGGAGAGTGTATTCTATGCAGGTGTTGATGTCAGTGCCGTACGACGGCTTCTTAGCTAGTAGGTTTGGATGCTTGAATACCCGGACAATAATGTCTGGTGTAAACCACGAATCGTCGAATACTGGCTGCGGAAACGCACTCTCGAGGCTAAGTTTTAGTTGGTCTGGAGTAGAAGCCACGGTGTCCTCGATGATGCGCTTCACCCTACTCTTAATGACTCTGGAGCCTATCTTCGTAGCTTTTCCCTTCGGGTTCTTGATATTAGTCGTACCAATTTTCAGGGCCGGGATCCCATCTCCAAGCTTGTCTGAGAAACCAAGAAGTTAGCATATGGCCAAAGAGTCTCACAACATGAATAGAGGAAACAAGAAATGAACGGGCTTGACCAATACATACCGGTATCCTCGCTACCCTTCAGTCCCAGCTCTTTTGCACTCAATCCATCCGCTTCCCGCTTATTCTCGCCGCCGGTGCTCGTACTGGCCTTGACTTCATTGGTAGCACTTTTGTTACTGACGACTGCCATGGTGTTGATCTTGCCACCCGCAGCTCTATCCAGCGCAGCCTTGAAGTTATTGCTCAAATTTTTGCCTTCACGGCCCAGAACCGCATTCGGCTCAGACCAGAAGTCCTGCGCGCGGCTCACAACAGCAGTTCTAACATCGACTCTATGGTAACGAGATAGTCAGCAATTGTCAAATCTGGAATGCTTTGTAGAAGAAGGCATGTCTCTGTAGAATCTTGAAAGATCAAACAGAAACACCAGGAGCTCTCTGAGTACTTACTTGACGATAGATTGACCCTGCAGGAGATCCGTAACAGGTTTGGTATCTATAGCTGTACCTCTCACACGAGACCGGTGGACTGAATCCGCAAATGTATTCAACAGTTTAGCCACATCAGGATCATCCAGCTCCAGATCCCGAGACTCTCCCATATTCACAGCGAAGTTGACGTCCTGCTCAGGTACGGCCCCCTCACCAGCGTGGTAAGCCATTAATTCCCTCTCCTTGATCCTCTCATACTGCTTCTGAAATGGGTTATCATAAAGCTTATACAGCTCAACCATACGAGCCTGCTTCTCCTCCTGGGTGGGACTTCTGATCTTAGCTGGCGGTACGTCTTTCGACTTTTTCTTCTTCTTGCCCTTCTTTTTCTTCTTTGGTGAGACGGCGTCCTTCACTGTAGGGTTGTTTTCCGTCTTTGGGCTCTTAGGACTCTTGGGGTTCATGTCGATTTCTGAGGCGGGAATGTCGCGGTAGGCGGCCTTTGAGTTCAGCTTTGGATTGGAGGTTGCCTTTGCCCCCGCAGGAGGTGTGACGTAGACGTTTGGATTGACGTGGTCGTCAGAGACATCCTCGCAGGTGGCTCTCAGAGGAATCTTGCTGACGGGTATCTTGGGTTTTGACTTCGATGTTTGAGTAGTAGCAGCTATGGTCTTGTTTGAAACCAAAGTTGACGTTGTGACGGCTACTGAGGCCTTGCCACGCATGTCTGAAGCTGCGGACGCGCTGAGACCTGAAGCTTTCTTGGGTGTGTTCTCCTGAATCTCAGGCTTAGACGCACGAGGAAGTGCAGGTAGTTCTTTGGTAGGGGCCGAAACCGAACTCGAACTTGGAGTCGTGTTCGCAGCCATGGTGGCTTTGCTGGATGCGCCGAAGACCCGACGCGATGAAAGCTTCGAAGATGGCATCGCGATGGACCGATCGATTACGCAGGAGATTAACGGGAGAGATGGTGTGGGTGTCGTCGTGGTGGCTTGTATGCTTATTCAGGAAGAAGATGCTTGTTTGGTACAACGAGGTAATGCGCAAACAGGCGCCGATGTTTGTTGTGTGCGAGGTTGCTATTCTTGACGAAAGGCGAGTGCACAAGATAGATGGATTGCCTTATTTAGGAGTCGTCAACGCGAGCAAGGCGATGTTGTCATGCACTGCGGTTTAGTCGATGGTGTTGTTTGTAAACAGTGAATGAATGCGGTCGCGTAATATCCGTCCTCGCTTAAGCAAATTTTCAAGAGCTCACCTTCAATGTCAACATCAGCAAAACAACAAGGGGGCTCTTCAATACACCATCCATTCGCTTCATAGTCTTACGACCGTCAAAAATCTAGCTTACAGAGTCCCTAATCCAATACTTTCGCGCGCTATCCCCCCACCTCTTCATCTCAACTCAGCTCTTCCAATCCCGTCTATAGTTGAATTATCTACAATTTCACACCCTTTTCAAACCATTCTTATCAATTCCAAAAGCGGAGCCGACCCAATAGTAAACACAGAATAGGAAAATAGGACACAAAAGGGAACTCGTCAATGTGGTGAAGGATTTATGAGACAAAAGAAACTGCCCATCGAATGGGGGCATCTGGCATGCGAACGATAAAAAAAAAGACACAAGGAAAACGCTGGACAACAGACGAATCGCTGACGACAGTGGTATCATCAAAGCTCCCTTCCCAAAACTCTATTTCTCCTCCCTCCATTCTTCGCTATTGGCAAGGGCAATATTTGGTGGACCGCCCATGCTTGGTCATGAAAGAATGGACTCCTTCTGGCTCATTTCCCCCGGAATTGATACCTTCGGTAACGGAGGTAGCTCTTTGTCCAGACTGCTCCGACTTAACGGCCTTCGAACTGCACCGTTCCTATTCGGACTACAATCCTTAGCAGGAGTTAGCGGTCGACCATCGTTGGTATCTTTTGCTGGTGTGAGAGGGCGCGCATCTGCATCAGGATCGTCCCTCCTACTCCTCCAGCTTCTCCCACTCCTACCACCAGTGCTACTTGCTTCACCCATTTCCTCCACTACTGGTAGAGTCTGGCCTTGTAAGCCACCAGTACGCTCCGCACTCGGACTTCGAGCGGTGGTGATCATTCGAGGATCTGGTCTGTGACTTTCATCCTCTCCTTTCTTCTCTCCCTTAATCGCTTCATTCTCGTTCCTTTGCACTGTTGCATTGACGTTGCTGAATCGACGCGCATGCGCGCCGTCGGAACGTCTGCTGGAGTCGATGGAAGTCGTGTTGCGGTTTGACATCGAGTTTGTATGTGGCACAGGATTTAAAGCTGCCTCTTGAGCTTCACGTGCTGCTTCTTCAGGGCTCTTTGTGACGCCTTCGATGAACTCAATGAAACGGTTACCATACGGCTCAGGCGAGATAGGCGAAATAAGCTTCTTATCCTGGCTCAAGCCCTCTGTATCATGGTCAGTATGGATTCCCAGCTAGGTGCAGTATAAACTTACTGAAGAAATGCTCGAGCTTCTTCACGGTACCGTAGTACGTGAGACAGTCAATAATGGAAAGGAAAAAGATCTCCTCCCCTGGGCTGTTATCTTCATGGGTTGCTCTGAACCCTCCGTCGTCGCTGTAGAAGGTAAATTCGCGCTTGGCGGTGTTTTCCTCCAAATGGTCTGGCATCCTCGAGCTACTTTGACCCATCGGGATCGGCTTTTCCTGTTTGATGATTTGCCTCAGTTCCCTTGCTTTCCGGATGTTTTCCAGTTTGCTGGGAGTTCTCATCAACATCCCTCTGCTATCTGGACCTTGAGCTTCATCAGCGGGGTTATCCCCTCCAGGCTGGAAAACTTGAAGGGTTTTGTCGCGCAGATTATCCTGATTTCCTCGTTGGAGATCATGAATGCCAACGAGCATACTGTAGTCCATGATTTTTAGTCTCTGCAGAAGATGTACATCCTTCTCCATTTGTTCGAAAAACAGTCGCTTCTTCTCTGGGCCAAACTCTAGATGTAAATTCCGTCGCAGCCAGTTAAGGTCCTTGAGAGTCGCCCGTGGATTCTTCTCCAAGTCTTCCTCCTTGAAATCACGCCCAATTGTCGAACCCTTCAAATCGAATGTTTTGTGAATGTCCCGGTGTGGAGGAAACAAGTTGTTCATGACGACGAAATGTATTTTCCGTCCGTATGGCATTTTGACTCGGTGAAGCCCGTAGAATTGCGAAAGTAGTGTGTTGGGATTCTGCTCAACGTGTGCATAGTATTCCCTTAGGATCTTTCGCAAGAACTTGTGCTCGGCATGGTGGATTGTCTTGATGATATACTTGTAATCCCGCGAGAAGTAGAAAAAGCTTCCACTCTTTCCCGGTGATCCAAGCTCCGAGAGGATGTATTTGCTTGTCAGCGACATCAGGTAATCCGCCGGATCAAGCTTGAATTTGGCTCGTAAGTGTCGAAATACCCATGGCGCATAATCCTTAAACTTAAAATCGTATTTCGCAGATGGCGTCAACTCGTTTCCGGTACTGTGTAAAATCAGCTCTGTCTTCCCTACCATCTAGATCGAACCTACATATCGAAAGAGAACTTGTGTCGAGCCTCAAAATCCGCATCTGTTAGCGGTCGGTCCAGCTTTGCATTCGTTCTCGAGACTGTAAACCGAATTCCAGTCAACATGTTATATGCCGTGACCCAGTTCACATGGTTTTGGTCGACCTTAGTCCCAACAACTACTCTGTCATCATCCTCCTCATCTTTCCTCCTCCGTTTGCTTGCCCGCTTTTGCCGTACTGCTTCTGCCCATAACATTGCGTCTTCATCTGGGGGTATCTCTTCGTGTGGCATATTCGAATGTATTGATTGTGTGTGCCTTCGATTGAGACTCAATGAACCTCGTCGTACACCTGCAGCTATACTTGTTGGAGAAAATCTTCCACTTGTGAATACGGATTCTTCACCATCCCGAGAGCTTCGACTGGGTCCAGGTTTGGGTACTTGCAGCGTATGCCTGTGTTGCAGCTGCGTAGCCCCGGGATGTTGTGGAAGTGAAGTGGTGGAAGGGGAAGGCACGAGTGGAGGGGGGTATGCTGGAGGAGAGGAGAATCGGTGAGGAGATGGAGGGGCTCTAGTCGGACATTCAGGAAGTTGAGGAGTTGCTGGTAATACCGATGATGTGTAAGTCAAAGGGCCTGTACTCTGAGGATTCGTCGATATGGGTGCCGGGACGCTGACTCGTTTATGGGGTTCTGTATCTCCGTTTGTCGGCTGCTTTGTGTCGTGGGTATTTGGGACGTTTCCATTTCCGTTTGTTGACGCGACAGAGCTTCTATCGCCATAAGATGTTCTGGTCATTCCGTTCGTCGGCGCTGGACTCTTCCTCCCGTTTTCTATTCCTCCATTGACACCACCATTTACAGACAAGGTACTGCCACTCGTCCGCCCATTCGGCAGGGAATTGAGTCCTCCATCATGGGCCGTGTCGCCATTCGTCTGCACTCTACCTCCGTCCATATATCCCTCCGGTCCATCTACTACGCTACCCTTTGCAGATGTGTGCGAGTAGGATCTATTGTTCCCATTGACCTTCTCATGGGATTGCCGGAGGTGACTGGGGGCATCATACTGGTGGCTGTTCGACGAAAGCATAGGTCCTGTGTCATCGGCCAGAAACGATGGCATCTCAACTGCGTGGGGCATTCGAGAGACAGACGTAGGTGTTACCACCTTATCAGCGTCGTCCGGGTCCCGGTTGGTCGTGATGGACTATTGTCGTCGAAAGGAGGCCGGATCTGCGCACTGGGCCGGGATACTTGGCAGATTTTGTTTCTTTGATTGAGCAGAGTTTCCCTTTGAATTCGAGGTCGGGGAAGCTGCTGCAATCGAGTATATCGGCATATCTCTAAATGGTGGAAGGCATTGGCATTGTTGAGTTGTCGTCGGTGCGCGGTTGTCTGAGTGTTCTTGGGCTGGTGGGTATGGCTTCGCAAATGAGTTGTGTTTAAAATAGCGTGCACATGCATCCGCCGGGATTGAAGAGGCTGAGCCAACTGACAACACAGATGTTGGGTAACGATTGGAAGGGAAATACAGGGGAATTAGCAAGATACACGCGAAAGTCTTCGAATGTATGTATTTTCAATTACGCAAATCACGATTAGGTGAAGCAACTCCTGATCGATGGTTCTCGCGGTGCTGTCGTCCAATTCTTGGTAACTGGGCATGGCGCTTGTTCGAGCCTAGCGCCGGAGCGAGGTAATGCCGGATCCGAGAACTGTTCATCACCAGAAATAATGGCCGAGGTCAGGACAAGTTCAGCTGAAACGATATGAACTGGTGTAATGTGTATTGAATGATAGCTTTGATTGGGTGATTGCAACTCCTGATTTGCCAAGTTCAAGGTTGAGAAACAGCCTTCTTCTTCGCCTATTCTGACTTTGAACTGCTGAATTTCAGTCCATGAAGTCAAATTTGTACCTTGAGTCAATCAGAGAAATTAAAGTAGTTTCAGCCTTGCAAGCTTTTGCTGGGCACTTACTAAGAGCTATCCTCTTCAGTTAACGTCTTGCTTCAGGATTGCAGGGCTATTGAGGCGCAATGAAGTTAGCCGAGACGTTTCCCTCAGGTACCAGAGTAGCTGGGTCCATCGTTCACTATCACCAACAGTCAATCATGCTTGATTTTCTATCTAGTGAATAACTTTGACTCAATTTTGCTCAATAAAATCTCTAGAGTATCTGGATGGCATTTCTTTCATGCTCTGCACCCAGATCCTACGAAGCAAGGTGCAGATCTAAGTTACATTACACCTCCCCTTGCATGGTTCTATTTACCCGACTACCAACAGTTCATGACAAGCTACATGATGACATATGGCATCTATCCCCAGATACAGTGACGGATGACCCATCATTATACACAAGCCTAGTCTTCTGCCTCTGGTAATTGAGAGTATGGGATATCAGACATGGTTAGTAATCATACCCTCATCAGCGGCTTGGAACTGAAGAAAGAAAGAGCAGACAAGTAAGATCAGATAAATTTGGAATATGGCTTTTGGCATCTATTGGTATTATCTATGTTACACGTAGATATTCGAATCCCTAACAGCAGCGTGAGGACACGTGAGGCTACATTACCAGCTTTGGTCCGTGGAAACGAGTTGGCCCATCCTCGACCATGCTGTACTTGACACTCGTTCTCTTTGGGAAACCCTTGAAAGAGACAGCGTATGTAGCAACGGAGTGAGCAACAAGCTGTTTCAGATTAGCAAATGTCTTCGAAAGCCGAGCGCGAAAAGGTGTTACTAACCTTGGTATTCACCTCCCAAGCCTCCATAGCCAAATTGTCAACAGTATCACAAAGCTGATGATAGCAAGGATCGAACCACTGTCCAGCAGTTCCGCCAAACATCTCTTCCTCTTCTTTCGTCTTGACGCCCTCTGCTCCAGTAGCGATTCCGCCACCAGGAATACCATTCTTGATGAAAGCATCATAATCACTTCGCCCATCAAAAGGAATATATGTGTAATTCAAGCCATGAGCCTTATACCATTCGGTATATAGATCCCTTAGCTCCTCAGAGCCAACTGGGTTTGCGGCATCTGTTGCGTTGTACACCTGGTAAGCGTAGTTCGGAGAAGCCATCATATCATAGTCCATGAAGAGACGGATCTTCAAGTTCTCCGACTCGGACAGCTGGGAGACATAGTAGTCCGAGCCAAGTAAGCCCTCCTCTTCACCAGCCCACCACGCAAAACGCACACAATTGTTGACGCTGTATTTCGTGAGGTGGGTAGCGATCTCAAGGAGAGTGAGAGAGCCAGTGCCATCATCGTTGATTCCCGGACCCTCAGAAACAGAATCACTGTGTCCACCAAGCATGACGCAGTTCTCCTGGTCACCACCCGTGGTCTGCGCTACGATGTTCGTGGTTCCTGTATTCCTGACAATAGCATCGATATACGCAGACGAGGAGATATTCTTTCCGGCCTTCAAGTCCTTGAGGTATTCCTGCGCATCCTTATTCGAGATACCGAATGTAGCGATGTGGTGCTTATCAGGGGTACCCAGCGTTCCAGACAAGCTCCCCTTCTCATTGTTATACACAACTGCCGCCACAGCTCCAGCTTTCCCAGCAGCAGCCGACTTGTCCCCAAATGAACATGACCCGCGACGTATGAAAGCTATCCAATTCTCAGGAGTATCGGTGGGGTAATCGGAGGCATGGCAGCCTTCGTTCTCGACGAAGAGGAGCTGGCCAAAGACTGCGTCTTTGTTTGGTGTTGGAGGGGTCAGGGACATTGCTTGTGTGCTCTCCGGCTCCTTATCGCCAAGCACCAACCTGTATTCGAAGACATTGCCCACGACAGCGTTGAACGTTTGATTTGAAAGGGTGTAATAGTCTCCTAGGGAGCTGAGGGTAGAGTAGATATATTCGAGCGTGCCGAGGTGGCCTGTACGACAGAAGTTAGCTATTGAAGCTGTCTAGCGGGATCTCTCCGACGATTTTGGGTCCAGAACTTGCCTTTACTCCCAATCACTCTCGTAGGATGCCCATATTCGTCTACACCCAGCTGGGCAATATCAAACAGCTTTTCGGCGCGCTTGAGGAGGTTCTTGGATTTGATGTCGGCTTGAATAGCTTCTGTGCTAACGAGTGGCTTGCTATTGGTGTCAATAGCTTTCTGGGAGCTGGAGCTGTCTTGGAGAGGCTGTTGTATACGGGATGCGCTTGCTACTGCGGACAGCGCAATAAGAGAGAGGAGACGAGCCATACTGAAGCTGTGATTCTGCAGCTTCAATTGAGGTTGTTGGGAGAGGAATGATGAGGGGGGTTGTATGACTCGTGGGAGGCTGGAGATGTCGACATTGGACGCGCATCGGCAAGGCAACGGAGATCACGATAAGGATCTCTTGGCAGTGTAGCCTTGCATAATGCTCACGTGGCATAATCCAAAGCTGTGATTTGCGGGCAATCTTAAGATGAGCTGATGAAATTACGGTATTTCCGTAGTTCACAATGCATTGATGGGATCAGAATGTCGAGAAATTCTTTTCACGTGAGTTTGTTTACTGCATCTTTACCCCTAAATTTGTAAGCGAGCCATGCCCCAAGACTTTAGCGAGTAAACCCGTCATGCTCGTGATCATGTAGCTGCAAATCTTCGATCGATCTCACCGAGTATCAGAGCCTCATACATTATGGAGGCTCACAGTATATTCGATAGGCCTCCCCACCACTACCGTTACTAATGACTGTCGGCGTATCCGACATGCCGAAACGCATTTGAGTCATGCATCCAGTTCATGTGGTGAGTTTAAACTCAACTTGAAATGGTCTGCTTTTGAATTTGAGCTTCACCAGGATACAGAGATCATGTTATAGCTACAATCGTCGGCGCCATCTCGAATACCGGCGAATAAGAATATGGCGACACAAGTACTTCAGGTTGTGGAACAGATTGTACCACGGAGAAGCTTTAGAAATTCCACAATTTGCCACACCTAAAAGCAAGCGCATAGAGTAAATTACACAAACATTGCAAAAAAGTGCTTAATTTTGTGTTTCGGCGTCTTGAATAGAACTGCTTTCATGGAGACATCACGATTAGGCCCAAGCAAACTCTGAGAAGATCCATGGATCCCTATCCCTTCTGACCGGGAATAGGATATCCCACAAATTCTTGGATAACCCAGAACAAGCAAACAAGGCTCATGGTACACAACCAGATGATCAACGTGACATTACGGACTGGAACCTCCAATCCCGAAATTCATTTATGTTGATCTCCGCCCTGTGGTGTCAAGCACGCCAAGCAACACATAGCAAACCCCAGAGAACAAACTGCAATCACTCTTTCGAGATGAGTTGTTTCTTTCTATGCAAGAAGTCTGACGCCTATAGCAGTTATCAGACTGTAGACTCAGAATCGGGGACTGAGGGTTCGACCTCTACGGCCTGGTCAACGGACACCGCTCTGACAGCTACAAGTGCCATGAGCGAACTTTCGAATCAAGAACGAGCGGAGTTTGTGTCTTTCACGAGAGTTGCGGCCTGTATGATCAATGAGAAACTCGTCGAGTCGACCTTCACAGAGAAGACGGTAACGATCTCTCATCCCAAATCCACAGATGCAATCACCCTACAGCTGGTAGAGAAGCACCACTTCCCAGGTTATGTTCACCCCCTCGACATTGGTACCGAAATCACATACAATGGTGTTCCAATCCATCTCAAAGGATCGTGTATGATGAACATATGTGGGAGGTGGGCTGGTATGGATGTTTCCAAGCTGCTCCCAGAACTTGAGAACTCGGCCCTCAATTTGGAAGCGGTATACAACAACCCCCCAGTCATCAGATTTGAGTCTCCATCAATCGATTGGGAACAAAGTCTCATCGAAGGACACCGCGCGCATCCGTGGCATAAATGCAGATATCCTGAAGTGGATGAATTCAAGACTGCCAAGCTATATCTCGTTTCCATTCCGAGAGACCAGATGGAGGTGGTTGGCGACTACAACGACTGGATGAAGCAGCTTGTAAAGGCTGAAGTGGATGACAACCGAGTCATTCTACCAGTTCACGAACTGCAACTGTCGAATGTTCTCGATACCTTTCCCGAGGTTCAGGTTCTGCCGCAGACAATGACTGGCCGTCCTCAAAGCTCACTACGCACAATATCTATCGCCTCGCCAGATTTCTGTGTCAAGATCCCGCTACCTATCAAAATCACTTCCATAGTTCGAACATTACGGCCTTGGGCGATAACGATCGGACACCGCCTAGAGCCTGTCCTGCAAGTTGTCGAGCAAGCTGTCCATGCTTATGGTGGTTCCCTAATAGTCGCCCGTGAGGTCGCAGCAGCGGCATCCAAAAGCGAGCATTTAGGCTGCATCATCCGAGAGAGCACCGAGTCAATAGCTGCGAGAACGGGAGACCGCATCATTGTATGCGCAGGGATGATCGAGCACATTGACGCAATATGGGGAGAAGATTTCGACAAGACTCTAGTGCTGAGACAATTCTGCAAACAACTATTCAGGGTTACCTTGCCTTCCGTCCTGCTTCACGGTTTCGCACTACAAGCACATTTGCAAAACCTCCTCATACGACTCGATCCCGTAACTCGCGCCATCAAAGGATTCGTTGCCCGAGATTTGGGTTCCTTCAAGGTCCATCGACCGACATTCTTGGAATCCACGTCGCTCGACATCGATACGTCGTGGATGTTGACGAACATGAACTCGCTGGAGAAGGTCTACACGTACATATTCGGCGTCGTACATGCTGATGTCGATTCTATGGTACGAGCTCTTAAGCTTGGGATAGGAGGGTGGAGGATAGCGAGGGAGGAACTGGAGAAATTTGTTCTACCTGGAGATAACTTGGCGAGGAGACTGTGGTTGGACCGTCGTATGGGTACGTGCAATGCACATGTGTCTATGCAGATTTATGGGGCGGAGAATGAGTGTCGTACAGCGAGTATTCCGAATAGGTTCTATTATTGTCAACATATTTGAGAGGGGGGCATTCGGGTGGGCTAGGTGTAATCTTGAACCACACCACTCGATTTTGCAGCAGATAGATATTAAGATAATTGACTTTGTTGAGAAACATCAATTTCTGAAGGTCACTGCATTAACTGTTGTGATGTCCGTCTGCATGGTCCTCTGCTAACAATTCTACAGTCTCCATCATGGACGAAGTCTGTTGCAAAATATGAGTGAAGCTCCTCAGCAGTTGTAAATGTGGCAAGTTCCTTCATGACGTAGCCAAATCACTTGCTCGCTGCAATATGGTCTATAGCAGCGAAGGCGAATGTCATTGCTGGACCAAGTGTTCCTCCAGCACCAGGATACGTCCGACCCATGACAGATGCAGAACTGTTACCTGCGGCATACAGGCCTGGGATCGGTGTACCGTCCTCTCGAAGGACTCTCCCATATTCATCCGTCAGTAGGCCGCCTTTAGTACCAAGATCCCCAGGCCAGACTTGCATAGCATAAAATGGAGCTTCGACCAGAGTTCCGAGATTCGGGTTTGGTTTGAAGCTAGAATCACCGAAATATCGATCATAGATGTAGTTACCACGATTGAAGTCCTCGTCCTTCCCTGTAGATGCCATAGAGTTGAAGCGATGAACTGTTGAGACCAAATTTTGGGCATCAATCTTTATCTTTCCAGCCAATTCGGAAATAGTGGCACCTTTAGTGATCAAACCAGAAGAGAAAGCTTCCTCCGGTGTCTTTCCAGGAGGATTGCCCCAGAGCATGTACTTCTTACGGTGCTGGGAGTCGAAGATGAGCCACGCTGGTATGGCAGGGACCGTTTGGTGCCGTTCATATTGGGCATGGCCACAGTCAACATATGATTGAGCCTCATTCATGAATCTTGCGCCCTGAGAATCGACGATGATTGAGTGTGGTAGAGAGCGTTCGGCGAGTGCGAAGTGAGTCTCGCCGCTTGCAGGATTGACGAATGTTGGACCCCACCATGCATCGTCCAGGAGAGTGACAGCTCCACCTACCTCTTGACCCTAAATAGCAAGAGAGTCAGCGAATATCGGTCAATTTTGCGAAGTGTAGAGCCATTTCCACAAATACTTTGAGATCTTTGAAAGAGAAATTCGAGTTGTATCAGTACGTACAGCTTTGATCGCATCACCCATGTCTCCGTCTGGGACTGATGTCCATTTATTGGAAATGGGCCCCTTTGTATGCTCTTGACGCATTGTGTCATTCTTTGCAAAACCTCCTGCACAAAGTACCAGGCCTCGCTTGGCACGGATTAGTGTATCAATTCCGTCCTTCTTGACCACGACACCTGCAACGATACTATCCTCAACATGGAGTTTGACCATCGGCCATCCTAGCCATACCTCGATTCCACGCAGCTTAACAAGATACAGCAGCTGAGCCACCAGAGATATACCTAGGGTGACTGGCAGGCATCCCCAGAACTTCCAGAAGAAAGTTCTGAGCATGACGAGTAGGAAGGTACCGAATGCCTCCCAAGTCCGCTTGAAGTTCACCACGCACCGGTACTCATACGTGTGCATCGCAAAAGCACCCGCAGCCTTCCGGTTCGTCAGGAGATCCTGCCAATCCCCCAGTTGCTTCAAGTCAAACACATTCCCCTCAATAGTCCTACCCACAGCACCACCATCCCTCTCAACATAGTAGTCTGGATACCCGGCACAGTGCACCCAATTGAAGTCCTCATTCTCAAGCCACTTTACCATCATCGGCCCTTGAGTCAGGAAAGCCATCTTGCGTTCTCGAGATGAGGCGGGCCCGACATCATCGATGATTGTCTCCAGGTATTTGAGAGCATTGGGAATGCTGTCTTCGATACCGGCACGCTGACCGAGGTGGTTGTTAGGAATCCAAACGGCGCCGCCTGAAACGGCTGATGCGCCGCCGATGTGGGAAGACTTCTCGACGAGGAGGGGATGAAGGCCGTGATAGTGGGCCCGAAGTGCTGCGACGAGACCGGCCGCTCCAGAACCGATAATAATTATGTCATATTTCTCTTCTAAAAGGTTCATGGGGTTGTTGAGCCTGCGAGATGCGCCCGTTGAGGCGATTAATTGAGACATGTTTGAGGCTCAAGAGTGCTGAAGCAGAGAAGTTTAGAACTGAAGTCTCCTCGTTTGGTTTTTAATGCGAGTCGAATGTTGACTTTCTTGCTAACAGGTTTACTCAGTGTGTTGAAGTTTCGCGAAATGAGAGGCAGAGACGTTGACAACTTATTATACGATGACATGCGTGTCAATGTGTACTACCAAGTATACCTTGTGTAACCCTAATGACCATGAATTGTAAAGGTTGGTACACAAGCATTTAAGCTCTGAGCAGAGAATGTCGATTGCCTGTTTTCCGCCCATGACATTGAGGAGGGCTAGATGTAATCTTGGACCACACTGTAATAATCACTAGCACGCTGAGGTGACGAAATTTCCAGTAGGAGCTACGCTCTCCTAAGAGCTGTGATATCTCAAGAATCTCATCTCAAGACCCGTGATCTCCTAAAAATTTCTCTCTAGACTTTTCTTTTCAGATTTTTCAGGTCTGATAAGAATACGGCTCTTAAGATACTTAACTTGAGACAGCATAGCTCTTGGGACACTAGGAGTCTCGGGAGAATTCCTTGAGAATATCTACAGTCTTAGGAGTATTATTTTCATACCCGTAGGGTCCCATGAGCCATAATATCTCAAGATACTTATCTTCAGCAATAGAAGAAGTTAGGGGTAGGTAAGCAAGGAAAAGAAAATAAGTACGGCCCACAAATACTAACAGATAGTGACCTCATAAGTGCAGCTTACTCGCATAATACACACTCGTCCTTTTCTAAATTAATAGAGGCAGTCCAACCAGAAGTCCAGGATCGAGGCTTGAGCGTCCGAGAGTGGCTAAATTAGTAGGGAAATATTCTCAATGTATCCTGCCATTTTCTTGTTCTGTGTGATGGTTCTAGGATGTTTTCGCTCGGATGCAAGATTGCTTTATGTACGTGACAGACAAGATATATACTGGGTAAGGAGGTTTGTGTCAGGTGGATCGATATATTCGGGCAAAATTCATGGATTTGATGATGCTCTTGTTCATATAGGAAGTTGAGTGCTGAGTGCGGTGCGAAACGCATGTAAAACCACTGAAACTAACCCAATTAGGCAACTGGAAGTTACACACGACCTGCTCAAGCCAACAGTTTGGAAAGATAATTGAAAATATGGATGTTGGGGAACACCGAATGTGATGATCGGTCGGAGGAGGTGCTGCCAGCTCTTCTCTAGCCACTAAAGATGAGTTGCATCTGGCCTACATTGGTCAAGCTCAAGACTCGAGGCGCCGTTGTATCCATCAATGCCCAAGCCTCTTTCTCCTCTCTAGTCTCTTTCTAAAATTCAGTACAGGGTCCGTATCGATGGAAGAGAGAGCCGCGCTGCAACCGTAGGCCGCCAGTTCATCCAGGGGCAAACAGAATCAGCTTCCTTAATCTACCTCCCCGCGTTGGCTGCGCAAGGATGGACCTCCGTTGAGGACAATGATACGACAACCAATGAACATATATGAGCAGAGATCCCCTTTTGATGATAAACATGCGACTGCGCATAATCATGAATTGTGACCTTCCCTTTGATGTTTGGTACATTATACACGACGTGGCTGCGAATAGAGATAAAGAAACAGAGATAAAAGATGGAGATGAGGCATAGAGATGAGGGATAGAGATGAGGGATAGAAATGAGGGATAGAGATGAGGGATAGAGATGAGGGATAGAGATAGGTAAGTGAGTTGCTTCGCTGGACCTAAAATAGAATCAATCAATTTTATGATCTGTAGACTTTGTTATGTGGTCTCAGACTAGTTCCGAGAACCTAAGGGGGTCCACCCCTTACAATTATTGATATTAGCAGGTGGTAAAGATATTGTATTCCTTTTCTCGTTTACTGCCTTAGTTGTTTGAGCAGTAACCTACCCGCTGGCCGACTATACTTTTTCACAAAGGTAGGTAGGTTCTCGCTTTCCTAGCATATGTGTATGATTGATATTTCAGGTATCATCGGGAAGCGGTAGTTGAGAGAAGAACGATCCGAACGTTGTTGGGCAGTAAGAGGTCAGGAGAAGCTATGGTAAGGATGACAAGGCATGACATAGCATAGGTAATAAATAGGAACAAGGAACCCCCCCTAATATATCTGGATTGTCTCAGGATATATATATTTTTGATATTTTCCAGATCTCTTGTACAGAGTCCGAGGTCATCAAAAGAGACTTGACCTCGTAACAGACTAGATTATACAACGACTCATCTTTCCACATTCCTTGAAGCCCACTCCCGGTGTCGTCCCCTGTGCAAATGCTCCAAGCCTTTCCCCTCGCGTAGAAAGAGTCCCCAAAGCTCCTTTGCAGCCTCACACTCCTCAAAATGTAATAGATATTCCTCCTCCAGATATGCTGTATCTAACACTCTCTTGTAGCAATCACTGGACCACTTGCGACTAGAGTTTCTATACCACACCAACTCGCATCCTCGACACCAAACTCCTGATTCCGTATGATGATTTCGGGTGTTGAGATAGGGAATAGGCGTCGAGACCATAAAACGGATGGGATCATTGTAGTGTTTTATAAGGTCTTTTGCGTTCTCATCGAGATTTGTGAGGTCTTCTCCCACCGGTTGAGTTTTGTTTTGTTTTTCAAGGGCAAGAGCCAAAGCCTTTCTCACGCTCACAACTTTCAATATCCTTTTTTTTTCCGTGCGCTCGATAGTGTACATTCCTGGGAGTGTTGTGACAACAGGGATCTTCTTCTCTATCTCGTTCTTGGAGAGACCAAATGCAGAAGCAGCGGTAGAGAGAGTGGTTGGAGCCATCTTTGAGTCGTAGAGACACGAGAAGCAACAGCGTTCACATGTAATGAGTGAGAGATACGGTCCGAAAGCTTCGCAGCATATGCATCGATCGTTCGTAAGGACAGTGTAGAGCTGCCCTACACTGTAAGCTGACGCGAGATGTGTAGAGTAAAGAACGCGGAGGACTGAAGATGCATAAATAGTAAGATCTCGGTATGGCGGAAACAAGTCTACTATGAGTCTGCTATTCCAGCTCAGACACCTGACAGACCCGATCGTGCTAATGTCCAGGTGGCCTAGGACGTTATGAATGAGCTCGAGTGGTAATCGTTTCAGAGCTCCTGTTGATATGGAGGCAGTGGCAGAAGCTGGATAATCCTGCTCGTTACTTTTCCCCATCGAGGCGCAGATCATGGAGTTGTCTGCTTCAGACCAATGGTATGTCACAACCTGTAAGTACGGATATTGGGCCATCTCAAGGACCTAATTGTTGGATCAGAGACCACGACCTCCGGCAAAGCTGCGCCTCCAGGTCGGGCTCACCAAAAAGCAAACGCGCATCAAAAAGCAAGATTCTTAAAAACGCATACAAAATACGGCCGTGCGTTCTCGGTTACAGCAATATCAGTAACTAGTATCAATCGGTATTTTAAGCGACCCTCACGAAAAGTGTGGAATCTGCCTTTCCGACCCACCTCTAACTTCTCTAAAGTAACTTAAGATTACTTAGAAAATAGATATCTATAAAGGTTAATATTAATCTTGTAATTTTATCTATTTTTAATAGTGTGCAGCGTGTTATCTGTTAAGAAATAATCGATCTGTTGAAATCGCGATCTTTTGAGATTCCTTAGCTTGAGCTTAGCTTAGGCTTAGTAGTATGTTGTGAAAGCAGAGCCACAAATCTGTGTTTCAGGCCCCCTCTTATAACTTTACAAATAACACACTGCACTTAAACTGCTCTGAGATAAATAAAATTGAACAGTTCATTATTAATTCCGCGTTTAGAGCCTATAATATAAAGTTGTTATTAAGGTATAGTAATTCGAGGCGTTTTCCAAAGTTAGGTGAGGGCCAGAAAAATCGCGAGGGCTCGCCCCGCAAAATTGATACTAGTTACTGATGTTGCTGTAAGGATTTAGGGTGCCTGTGGTGAAGCCTGTCTCGCCTGTGCTTTCTGTGGCGAACCCTAAAAAAATCTTGCTTTTTGGTGCGCCCTACCCAGAGGCGCAGCTTTGCCGATTAGGTAGGGTCTGTGGTCCTACGATTAGAAGATCTTGTAGATTGTGATTTCAAGCAGCACGCGCAAATTCAGCTGCGGCCAGCTAGCCCTGGCTCAGGCCGGAATACTGTAACGGTTTTCCGGAGGAACACCGAAACCTCCATAAAATTGTTAGAGGTAAATAAACCATCGAATTCCTCAATTGCACCACCACCACGATGCCTGAAGAAACTATATTTGTGTATTCCTTTTATTGTGCTGTATGAGTCGGAGACTATATAACACTAGTAGGTCCTCTCTGCCTACGAGCCAAGAAAACACTGACATCGATCGGTGTTTTTTTCTCATCTACCCATACTACCAATCCTACATCAACGGCACATAGCCCCTACAGATATCCCTTCGGCACAGTATTAAGGGGGGGTATTACCCCGTTATTCTTACCCCCAACAACTAGCCGAGCGCATAGCCATATATGTTACTACCCTGCCAGGGAAAAGCCTCCAAAGAACCAGCATGCATGTAAGACCAGGCGAGGCCTGCCATCCTCCCGCTCAGGGGCAGGTATCTGCATATGCCTCCGTCACCCTACTCCTCAACAGCCTTCCTTATGCCTCCTACCAAGCCGCAGGCCGGGACCTGACACAATGCCAGAACAGTCGTAGTCGTAGAGTAGAGATTGTACACGTAGTGTTGTAGCCACTGGCCTGGCCTCCGTGATATCGCAAAGGACTTTGGGGTCGTCGTAAGCTCAGCAAAAATGGAGGCTCTCTATAGCCAGTCAAGGTGCGAAGAAAAGAGCAGAACGACGTGGCCAAAAAATTGAGGTCGGGAGGAGCAATAGGAGGGGCTTCGTATTTTGCGAGTCATAAGCTCAAGACACTTATAACAGACGGTAGATGTTGAATCTAACCAGGGTCCTCTGTAACCGTCGTTGCGTTTCGTTCCAACTAAATCCAAAACCCTTCCTAATGTATTCGTCTTCTGGTATTGTCATAAAAGTTGATCAAAGTGGGAGTTTAGAACTGAAGTCTTCTCATATGGTCTTTTATAAGAATCGACTATTGACTTTCTTGCTAGCTGGTTCAGTGTGTTGAAGTTTCACAAAATGAGAGACAAAGACGTTAATAACACATTATATGAGAATTAGGGCTAAATGACATACGTGTTAATATATACTACCGAGTATACCTTATTCAACCTTAACAACTATAAATTGTAAAAGTTAGTGTATAAGCAATCAAGCTTTAAGCAGAAAATGTCAATTGCCTGTTTTCCGTGCATAGCTTTAGTGGAATAGCCAGGAACCGGAGCCGTCTTAGTATGCAGGAAGGTGTGACGCTGACAAATGCTTCTCAGTGACCAATGACACTGATACTGCATCGTGGCTTTCATCAACCTTGAGATGTAGTAATTGTCACTCATTTTGTCTGGAGTGGCGCATCCCGACGTCGGCTCGACTTCGGCATTGCAGCTGCTGCAGCATCTGGGTGATGACATTCTGCACTTTTCGTATCAGTTCCCTGCCATAGATCGGTTGTCACTCCTCTTTCGTTTACACAATGACCGCTCGTTAAATTCCCTTCGCTAATATATCTAGTATAATCAGACTTTCCATGTACTGCTGCGTGATTCTGGGTTGCTTCCTAGAAGCGAGGCGTTTGGGCGTGCCAGATTTCCTTACTCTTTGAGCAGAAACTTCGACCGCAACAGGTTCGATCTTTTGAGTCTTGCTGAGAACGCAATCAAGACCCAACAACGGTGGGGCTTCCGGACATGTGCTCACTCTTTGATATGTTAGCAAAACGAGAGCTAGTTGTATGCCTGGCAAGACTCGTTCTTGAACTGGCCTGTTCAGTCTTTTCATAAACTAGAATGACACAATGAAACTTAGCAGCAATACACGATACGAATTTAGAAGCCAATGAAAAATTAGGAATGTGTCTACTCGTAGGGGCAACGGAAAGGAATGGAACTCGACGACGATGAAATGTATGAGACGAAGACGTCGTTTCGTCACTTCTTCACTTGAGAATAGCCGAACGAAGGACAGCAGCAACAACGCGAAGACTTAGAGAGTGAAAGGCAATCCCTATGAGGACATAAAATTCCACCATGGCCAGACTCATAAGCCGGCTGGAAACTAATCCGAATATGGGCTCGTTCACCCCCCTTTTTTTCCGCCGGCAGCGGGTCTCGCCTATCTTTACCCGTACAAAATATTGTCTGTGACGCTTGTGGATCTTCAACCTTCGCCAATGCAAGCAAAGAGGATCTATAGATAAACACCCGCAGCTAAGGGGAATTAGCAATGCTATGGTCTTGATAGCAAATGAAGCTACTGGTGACTCGAGACTGTGGTTTGGTCGGCCTGACCATACGGTAGGATGTTGCTGACGTGTGAGTAGCTCAACCACTTTTCCTGGTCAGTGATGGCTTTGTTCGTTATCTTCGAGGAAGCAATGGTATTTCGAGAGCTCCAAAATTGTAGGACGCATGGGATTGTGATGGTGGCGTGGGCCGTGGCTGACAAGGATTTGTGAAGAAATATCCGCAAGTTATCCGAACATCCTTGGCATCTGAAAACTCAAACCAACAACACCACACCCAGAACAACATCGTCGTCGCCTCCGCCGACAACATCCCCATCTCCTCCACGACATTTGCCATCGTGGAGAACGAAAAGGGTAAAGGTTCCACTAAGCGGACCAAACACAAGTGCAAAAACAATCTGAACCATGGATAGCCGGCAATATAGTTCGCTACCAAGGCCGGGCTTTGAAGGGTTTGTCAAATTTTCCACAATTTTTCAGGCCTAACAGCCGCATCACGTGAGTTAAACCGGGTGCTTTTCGCATCATTCCGGGGGTCCACCTGCACAAACGTAAGATTTTCAAGAAAATCTTTCATTTCGTTCTTTGTATAAGTTGATCCGGGGATCCTGTTCGAGTCAGCGTTTCTTGCTTTGCACCTTCATTCTTGTTTGTTTGCATTCAATATCAATTTTCAGTATGGACCAATCAAATGTCAATGCTGGTGCAATGAAGGAGGCCAGAGATACGAGTTCTGTGAAGTCATTGCCGTTGAGTGGCAGTGATCGCGCCCAAGATGCTGAGAAGCAGGGGCCACAGCATGCTTCTGGACTGAAGAGAAAGCTCAAGAGTCGTCATCTTCAAATGATTGCCATCGGTATGTTTGCCAAGACTTTCCACGAAATCACTCACTTATGATTCTACAGGTGGAACAATCGGTACAGGTCTCTTTATTGGATCTGGTGGTGCGATCGCAAAATCAGGGCCTGCTGGCGCTTTGATCGCATACATTTTTGTCGGAACAATTATTTATTCAGTTATGACTTCGCTTGGCGAGATGGCAACTTACATGCCTGTCACTGGAGCTTTCACAGCCTACGCCACACGTTTTATCGACCCTTCTCTTGGATTTGCGATGGGATGGATCTACTGGTTCTCGTGGGCTATGACGTTCGCTCTGGAACTAACTGTCACGGGACTTATCATTCAGTATTGGGCACCCGAGCTCTCGATCGGCATTTTCATCGGGGTTTTCTGGGTCGTTATCACTATCATTAACATGCTGCCTGTCGGATTCTATGGAGAGTTTGAGTTTGGTCTTTCGATGGTTAAGGTTATCACGGTTTTGGGCTTCATCATCTTCGCCATTTGTATCGCTTCCGGTGCCGGACAGCAAGGTGTTATCGGCTTCGACAACTGGAAGAACCCAGGCGCTTTTGCTCCATACCTCTCGGAGCAAGTCGGTGGAGGAGCTATGGCGAAGTTCGTTGGCTTTTGGGCTGTCTTGATCCAAGCTGGTTTCTCGTACCAGGGAACGGAGTTGGTCGGTATTGCCGCTGGAGAGACCGAGAACCCACGAAAGAACGTCCCAGCCGCCATCAAGAAGACTTTCTACAGAATTCTGTTCTTCTTCGTCTGCACGATCTTCTGCATTGGTCTCCTGGTCCCATACACCAACGAAGATCTGCTTTCCGACAAGTCTGATGCGAATGCGTCGCCATTTGTCATTGCTGCTAAACTTGCTGGCGTCAAGGTTCTTCCAGGCCTCATCAACGCCGTCCTCCTCTTTGTCGTCATCTCAGCCGCAAACTCGAACGTCTACTCCGGAAGCCGTATCCTCCTCGGTCTTGCCAACGATGGGTCTGCCCCAGTATTCCTCAAGCGAACCACCAAATCCGGAGTACCGTACGCAGCTGTGATCATCACCTCGCTCTTCGGCTTCCTCGCTTTCCTGAACTTGTCAAACAACGCTGCCGTTGTCTTCGATTGGTTCATGAACATCACTGCCGTCGCCGGCTTCATTACATGGGCATGCGTCAACGGCTGCCACATCGCATTCATGCGCGCTCTTGCTGCCCGGAACGTATCCCGCGACACCCTGCCCTACAAGGCGTTCTGGGAGCCCTACTTCGCATACTACGGACTGTTCTTCAACATCTTGATCATCATCACGCAAGGCTTCACGTCCTTCCTCCCATGGAACGTTTCCGATTTCTTCACATCATACGTCAGCGTCATTTTGTTCGTCGTGTTGTTTGTTGGACATAAGTTGATCATGAGGACTACTTATGTGCGATGCAACGAGGTTGATCTGGATACCGATGCCTCGAAAGATGACGATGCTACCTGGTCCATTGAGGATCCTACTACACTTTGGGGCAAGTTCTGGGCCTGGATGTGCTGAGTCTGATTATCCCAGCGGCGGTTTTTAGCGGAAGTGTCCTGTAATTTTAGCGTTGAAAAGTTACATAATGTAATGATATTGAAAAATACAGATTAATTAGCAACCCAGATGATCCTAGCAGAATTTGAAATGTTTCCTAGTCAGTTTTCAACAATCCAGTGATGATCCAGAGCCCCGAATCCCCACGGTATCTTGCGTCTCCAACGCATCTTCAAATATGTCGTAGCCATCACCTTCTCTAGAGAAATTCTTTACCCCAAACCTTTCATCGTTGCCTTCAGTCCCAGGGCCGCTATTCTCAAACTCGCCCCAAGAATCGTCTGCGTCATCAAAAGTAACCCGCTCTACCCCAGACATTTCCGTCCCCTCAGCCTCATCGGCAGCAGTATCTTGGTCCTCCAGAATTGCACTGATCAGTTCATCGAAAGCCTCTGCCCATTCCCAGGACACATCGTTCCGCCACTGTGCATATTCTACTGGCGTTCTGCCATATTTGTTTTTCAAGTTGACGTCCAAACCAATCAACCGTGCCCGCCATCTGATGAAAATTCGCAACGTCTCGATATTACCCCGATGGGCAACATAATGCAACACATTGCCATTGTAAGTAGTTCCCTTGCATTCAGCTCCAGCTTCCAACAGCATCTCCACATAACTGGCGTGCTTCCAGTAAATGGCAATTGATATCGGAAAGTCGTCGTCGTTGTTTGGAAGATTTATGTCTGCACCTTGTTGTATCAAGCACTCAATAGCAGCAGCGTTGTTTTTCTTTTCACACGCATAAACCAAAGGAGTCAATCTCCCATGATTTTGAGCGTTTATGTCTGCCCCAGCATCCAGAAGCTTTGACATGTATGGGAGGGGATCCCGAAGGCATGCGCGAGCAGCAAAATGTAGCGGGGTTTCGCCACTTTTTTGTCTTGTATGGGGGCTGGCACCTGCATCCAAAAGCAGAGTGATAGACCCACTATCAAACATTGCAGCGGCATGCAGGGGAGAGCGCCCTGCTAAATCAGGCAGTGCAACATCGGCTCCATGTGATAGCAAGCTTTTGGCAATGCCAGTTTTACCGCCTAGAATGGCCCAAAGTAGGGCCGTTTTCCCCAACGAGTCTTGGTGGTCAATATCATTCCTGGTCAGTTCAATCTCTTCTTCCACATTCCCTTCTACTTGTTCGGTGATCATAAGTTGAAGTTTGCTCATTCCACAATTACATCTTTCGTCATCAAAGTCTTTGGGAAACAATTCCGATATCATTTGTTTAGTAATAGGCGTTTTGATTATCGTGTAAATCTGCCAAGCGAGCAGAAACGGCGTCCTGGGGCAATATTAGTCCGGAATGAAACCTTCTAATTGATGAGAAGCAACAAATGATCAAATAATCACAGTTTGTATTTATCTTCCAAGAATGGGTCCGACCCTTGTTCGAGTAGAAACACAATGATTGGATATCGACATTCGCTAATGGCAAGCTGCGATCCGTGAGCTGAGTGCTATAGAGTGAGCTTTGAGTGCTGATGACTTACCGTTAGCGCAGATTTATTATTTTCATCCACATCCAAAACCGAAGCTTCGCCTTCTGCAAACAAGTTCTTGACACGTTCAAGGTTCCCAGTTCTCACGTGTACGAATATCTGATCCCCGCCCTGTCGCACTCTCAAGGTCCGAAAATGGAACTGCGGTTGCGTAAAGCTGTTGCATAATACAGATATAGTTATCACACGACTCACAAGCCACTTTGGAAAGCCCAAGTGGACCTGCAGTCTTGTTTTGGAGCGCTTCTTGCAGTTTTCAATGTTGCAAGATCCGTTGACATATGGCATTCCTGAAATCTGCAAGCCTACAGATCCTATCCATTTTGTTGAAATGTCGGTTTGGTAGGGGACATGACATCTACATCGGCACCATTGTGAGCACGCATATTTGCTCTCGATTTCTTTACGTAGATTCCGCAAGATTACCGCTGGACTTTCGCAAACAACAGAATCTTCGTTCACGAAATCGGATTCTGAGTCTGCTACACGTGGGACGGATCTGTTTGATACTGATTGTTGATTTTCTAGCTGTTGGCAAAGTATGTTACGATTCTCTGGGAATTCTTGTAGTAAGAATCGTTGGGTTGTTGAGTGCTCGGTCAGAAGCTGGCCTGCTTGGATTGTGATTTGGTCCAGCGATTGGTTACTACGGATGACTGCGAAGCTACGAAGGGATGAGTAAGACTTTCTCTCCAAGGGCATAAATAGCTCGCACGTGTAGCGTGATGTGCTGCTGAGGGAAAGTTCAGGAAATCACTGAAGGGCATTCGTCACTCACATATGCAACGTGGAAAGTTCGACTGCTACAGAAAGCCGAAGGTCCCTCATCCTATTTCTCAAGTTCTCAACCTCTCCCACTCTCCTCGCCCAAGTCCCGCGATGGACTTTAAGTTTGCTCTCGATGCCAGTTAGTGGCTTTTTGAACGAGTCGATGAGCCGATCAAGCTCGCTCAGTATATCCTCAGCCTCGTCCACAAAACTCTTCAAGGTCTCGATTTTCTCAGCCGGAAGTATACTGGAGCGGTCCATTTCCTTCGCCGCTTCAGAAACATTGACAACTAGGGATTTCAGCGACTTCACATCTTTAATGAGCTGTTCAACCTCTCTTGGAGCCTCAAACAGGGGTTTCAGCTGGCCGAGTAAGCCTCCGATGCGATCTGCTGCCTGGACAATGGCGATGGTGCTCGCCACGAGCCCGACGATGGATATGGGATCCATGGTCGCGCAGAAAAGTTCGAGAAGTCCAAGTTTGTGGTCATGAAATTGAGGTCGTGATGGTGTTGAAGAAGGAAAATGTGGCGGCAGCTGAGGTCATGCTGTGTTGGCTGAGAAGTGCCTTGCGAATCGCCCACCTGCACTCAGCCACTGCTGCAAGGCGGAGCCAATCACAGCCTGCTCAATTCTATCATCCTTCTTTCAACGTAAACAAACAAGAAGTTGTGATGAAAGTTCTTGATCGACCCTACAATAAAACCAATTTTTTCTTGAGGCTACCATTGCTGGTGGGCTTAGGCACCTGTAAACAATCTCGCGATGTAGCCTTCGGCTTTTACAATATGCTCCCCCTAGGACAATGCCCAACCGCCTTTGCCCAGCAGATCTGCCGAGTCTGTATTATTATTAACTTTTCGTTCAGACTAATCTGGATGAAGAGCGGACCTGTTGAATGTAGGAAAAATTAATGGGTAACGTCCCGTGGAGGTGAAATCCTGTACCCCAATAATCGCTCTCTTGATGGCGCGCCATCTTCCTGAATCTCCTACCAAGGCTGACCGATGAGATCAGGCGGCTAACCAGAGACGCAGTAATAAAAACCAGCAAGTAAGCTCCACTGTGTTATAAGTTATCCTAGCAAGCATCAATATCCCAGGAGAGCCCCAACCGAGGCGTCAAACAGAAGCTGCGTCACTGCGTGCATCGAGCTACCCACAACAAACCCATGTTGTCTTGCGGTTTGTGCTTCTGGAGACGTAACATCCATCAAAGACCGAAGATATTGATACAGCAGCGCTTGAGAGCCAGTCCTCACTCAGTCAGGCGATAGATCCGAGTTGATGTGCCAGTGTGAATGAGTTCTGGCCGGAGGATCGAAGTGGTAGATGTGGATTGAGCGAAGAATCAATCTCAAAGGCTAGTGTGACTGTAAGGCCCGGCAAAGCACATCGGTAACAGCAGTTATCAAGGTGAATCGAGACTGGTCACACTGATACTATTGGAGCTTTTTGGACATCATGAAGTTTCTTTGTTTGTTTCAGCGAAGACCGAAGAACCGCAAGTTTAGAGTCATGGATTGGTGGGAATTGGAATACTAGAGCCAGGTGATTGGAGCGGTAGTGGGTCCACCTGCACAGAAACCCCACATCAACCACGGAAACTATGGTAATTAGCCGAATCACTCTTACTGAAGGACTAATTGGAAGACGAGCTCGCCATGTCCGAAGTACCGAAGTTTGGGTATTTGCCTTGACTCAATCTTACTTGGGATACTCTGTGGGTAACGAAATAAAACTCAAAGTAGACGGAACCATAATAAATATTAACGGACAAATGACTGACCGCCATATGACTGCCAGGTGAAGTAGAGAAAGCATGGTCATATGTTTCAAGCGCAAGAGGTCATGATATATACAATCATGATGTGCCGCAGTCCAACTGTAGCTTGAATTAACGTATCGACAAGCGTTTTTTGTCTTCTCATTATGTTGTTCTTCCAGACTCTTGCTGTTGGCAGCATGCTGACCATGAACGTCAATGCCTTCCACCCGCTAATTCCAAGGCAGAACGTCAACCCCGAGCCAGTCTCAGGTGCAACTTTTATTCACGATCCAACCGTGGTCAAAACACCAGGAGGAAGCTACATTGCCGCATTCACAGCAGATGGTGTAGGGCTCAAGCAATCCAGTGACCGCACCAACTGGCGTGATGTCGGCGCTGCTTTCCCCAATGGCGCACCCTGGACGACTTCTTATACTAATGGCGACAAGAATCTCTGGGCACCAGATATCTCTTACCACAACGGCCAGTACTACATGTACTATTCAGCTTCCAGCTTCGGTAAATCCAAGTCAGCCATCTTCCTTGCAACGAGCAAGACTGGAATGTCAGACACTTGGACAAACCAAGGACTTATTGTTGAATCCACCGAGAACTCCGACTACAACGCCATCGATCCAAACCTCATCGTCGATGCATCAGGAAATTGGTGGTTGGCTTTCGGTTCCTTCTGGTCTGGCCTCAAGCTAATTCAACTCGACTCTTCAACTGGCAAGCGCTCTGGTTCTAGCATGACATCCATTGCCGCTCGTCCCAATAAAGCTGTAGAGGCACCCTTCATCTATCGCAAAGATAACTACTACTATCTCTGGGTGTCTTTTGATAGCTGTTGCAAAGGTGCCGCCAGCACCTACCGGATCATGGTTGGTCGCTCCACGAATGTGAAGGGACCCTACCTCGACAAGGCAGGCCAGGACATGATGCAGGGTGGAGGAACACAGATGATGTCGAGCCAGGGGTCGGTTCACGGACCTGGTCATTGTGCTGTATTCACGGATAATGACGGCGATGTGCTTGTGTACCATTACTACAAGGTAAGCACTCAGTTCTGCATTGTTTGATGACTAATTACGTCCATAATTTTCTCGCTTACTGTACTGACTTTGGCACCAAGGATAATGGCGATGCCACTCTGGGTATCAATCTCATCAAGTATGTTGACGGCTGGCCAGTTATTTATTGAACAGGGCTACTGATGAGTGGTTTTCGTCCTCCTTGGAAAGAAATCCAGCGCAAGCTACCTTACGGTACGAAAGTACCTAAGCGTGTATGTGATTTCTTTCTCCGGGAGTCTCGGAGATTCTATTGGGCCGCGTGTTCTTTTAAGTTTCTGTATTAGGTTCCATTCTATTCTGGAGCTTGAGTTTATTATTAACTTTTCGTATTCTCACCGCTGGTGGAAATGAATATTCTAAATATACTCGTAACACCGTCATCGAACCGATTCCGAACATATGTGCATACTTTTTGGTGGCTGTTGAATTTTTTTCCCGTGTACATATTTATAGCCCTATCCTTGAAAGCTACTTCTTTCTTTAATCCTCACCAAGAACTGCTCCGCTGGATCTAACGTTGCCAAGGTATGCTTCGTGGAAACTGCAGGCACTTTCCATTTCATCTCCCGTCCTCCCTCCCCTTTTGCATCTTTATCATGACTCACCACTTTCTCCCTTGCGGGCTCAATGTCATATTTCATCAGCACCCTCGCGACGAATAGAAGAACCTCTTGCTTGGCAAGTGCGCGTCCAGGACAATGCATATGCCCCCCTCCAAATGGAAAGAAGCCCCTCGGTTTCTTGATACCGCCATCCTTGAGCCACCTATTTTTGTGGAATTTTAATGCATCGTTCCCCCAAATAGACGTTGAGTGATGCATAGGTAGGAATTGGCCCAATAGGCGATCGCCGACATGAATTGTTTTGTTGCCAATAGTGGTAGGGGCGACGCAAGTGCGAATCATTGCAGAGGAGGCATACAGACGAAGAACCTCGTTCCATACTGCCCCCAGGATGGGACACTCATTCATGAGATGAGTGATGGAAAACGTGTTCGCGTCTGAATTAAATGCAATACTCGTTTCCTTCCGGATAGTCTCTGTCAGCGATGGTGACGACAAGATATGTGCTAGCGTCCAGAACAGCATACGGTAAGTGTTCAAGTGAACGCCCCAGAGAACGATGAGAGCCACAGTTTCGGCGTCATGGAGACTCATGCCGAGTTGTTGCTGTTCGTTCTGCATCCGTTCAAGTAACCAGTTCAAATTTGGACGTTTGCTTGGCTCCAAGGAATAATAGTTCATGAAAACTTGGACCAAAGTCTCGCGAGCTTTGTACATGTCCTGAGATAGAATGCTGGGATAGTTCCAGGGTATCTTCCAACTCAGATCCCCCCAATCGATATAGTGTTGAACGAAATCTGGATCGATAGCAAGGATCTCCATGCCTAGGAAAGCTCTCGAGCCTGCGTCTGCGAGAACACATCGTCCCCATTTGTACAAATCGACCACTTGTCCATGTACACTATCTCCATCCCCCGCCTTGACCCGAGGGTCCGAGAGGTACACAGGAATCAACCGCTCTATGTGTCCCATGAATACCTCAGACAGTGCATCCATCTTCTTCCCAGGCTGTAGAGCCTCTTTCATCCACCCATCTTGCAGATCGACATATCGTTTCTTTGCAGGGTTTTCCTTCACAAACAATGGCACCTCGTTCTCATCCCCGTGCCAAAACCTAGCGGGGTCGTCCTTGAAAGCGGAAGTATATCTAGATGGTGGGATATCAAAGCCAGCGAAGACTGCTCGAAGGTAATCGTCAAAAGAAAATGATTTGGTATCATTCCATACGGCTTTCACATCCTCAGGTCTTCTGAGCACGATGTATTTGGTGCCGAGGATGAAAATCGCGAAAGGTGCGTCTCCAGGGAAATATTTGCTGGTAAGTTATCAGCCTGCGTTAATCTATGAAATGATTTGAAGGGACTAATTGCCTGCCACAATAAAGGAGCTTTTCTCGATCCCAGAGAAATGAAATTGTATGTCCCACGAAGGGAAGAATATATGGTAGGACAGGCGGATTCAGGGGACGCAGCTTTGGCTCAATGGTAAATGTCCATACCCTCCACGATATCCATCCTATGGCAATCCATAACATAGGATTCAGAGTGAACGTGCTAAAGCTCGACATTGCTCCGGACAGAGACCCATAACCTAGAATCTCCGCCAGCATTTTGGCTGCTGATAAATGTCGAGCCACAATCACTTAGCAAATAACAAAGATGCGAATGTTTGTGGTCCGAGTACGATGGCAAAACAAAAGGACGGGAAGGATTTCCTTAGTATTGTCTCCAGCCAACAAAGAAAAGTGATGAGTGAGGGGCAAGAATGTTGAATGCTATTTACCGAGCTCAGCGTTCCCGTCTCTAACGGAATCTCGGGTCGGTTATCTCTCTCCAGCATCATTTGGATTTCAGAGCCACATTCTTGTCATGTTGAGGATCAGGTGAAGGCTGTTAAAAGGAAGTCTGTCAATGCTTAGCAACGAGCCGCTAGAACTCAGCATCGGCATCAGCATCCCATCTTTTTTCGAGTTTTACAATACCTTGTACCTGGTATCTAAGATTTATGTTTGTCAGATGTCTTTGACTCTTTGAATATCTCAACCTCATTGAAAAAAAAGGGCTCCAGTTATCTTGGATTACGTCGCATTCTAGGTAGAGTCGGGCAACTTCTTTGTCTACAGGAGTCAGTGCGCTGTATTTTCAGGCTTTCGTCGTTAACGTCGCAAGCGAGATTTATGAGAAGTCAACATTGCAGCGCGAGCAGCGTTGAGTGAGATTCGGGATCAAATAAATATCTTGGCGACAGTCATTCTTTTTATTCCCCATATTACCCAGAGTTTTTAGAAGACACCACTGCGTCACGATTGCCTCAGACAACCACGCACCAAAATGCATCTGATCAACCTTTCCAGAATTTCATATTTGATGAGCCCACGGCTCAGTGACGAAGCTTGAATCCAAAAAGTTGTTTGGATTTACAGGCATAGCATGAGTTCGCCTCCGGCGTACTTCTCCAACCGCTTTGAAGCACACGTCCTGCAGTACCCTAATGTCTTGTCGCTCGTTTTTGGCTATCAAGTCACTAAGCCAAAAGAGAGCAGTATCAACAAGCTGACTATCCCGGTACATCTCACTATGCTCTAGACTGCATAAATCGTTGGCGATAAGTATAACCATGGCCGTGAGGTAAGAGCATGAAGCCATCCTATCAAGATCAGACTAGAGGCAACCATCTCTCGCAAGATTCACTTACCAGCTAAACCATACCTCTTTTGAGCACGTCTGACCGAATAAGGCCATGTAGTCTCGAGCTTGACGGACCAGATCATCCCAACCTGGCGGAAGTTGTAGCGCCCCGAATCCCCTCTCATGATCTCTCAGACCGAGGACCCACTTTTCATCCCAAGCATTAGCTTGGTTGATGAGAGTAATACAATGAAGAGCGGCTGAGTGCAGGAGACAAAAAAAGCCATCGCTTGCAGGATTGTGACCTGTTGTCGAAGTGACGACTGCAGCTCCAAATTCCGGAGGGATCGAAAGTTGCCAATCCTTAAGAGCACTTAGGATATTGTGTCTCGCCATGGATCGCTCTTCAATACTACGTTTGGAAGCTCTCATCGAGTAGAGACAGTCGTAGACGCTACCCTCGATGCTAGCCAGCTGTACTCGGGCCAGGAAGAAATTCATCTCTGATTTTCCGTCGGCTGTCGCGATGATGCCGGCCCTGCCACCATCTTCCTCACCAGATGTGGGCAGCAAAGATGGCATCTCTAAGTCAATATCATCGTTGGATTGAACTGAGGGCTGTTTGGCGCGTAGGCTCAAATCCTTGTCGAGAACGTACGCCAGCCAGAAGACACGGGCCCGCTGTCTCCTTTCCACGAGATCCAGATGGGCGGAGGCTTCCCGATTGTGCATTTCCATCTTGTGCACAAGACGCATCGTGGCTGAGATGAACAACAGGGCAGCGGTAAGATCATGCTCTGTCTGTAGCACCATCACTACGCCAACTAATACCTGGATATTGAGGAGCCGAGTTTCGCCCAGCATTACCTGGGAGATGACGGATTGTGCTTTGCTCAGATACTCGAATTTACCATCAGTGTAGGTCTTTTGATTGTAATCTCTGTCATCTATCGGGCTTATCTGTGCAGCCAGTGCAAGAACTATGTTTATAGCTGCCCATGATACAGGGTCCCGCTGATGAGGAGAGTGTGCATAACATTCACCAACAAGACTCAATAAAGTATCGGCGTGAAAAAGGGGTAGGACGGAATTGAAGCTGTTGATGAATATACCCAACATACTCATAGTATACTGTAGCGGTGGAAGCTTCAACGCGTTGGAGAACTCGTCTAACTTCTCTGAAACTCGGTCTTCAGCCAGTTCAGCTACTTTGTTACTGGTTGACAGGTTCCCGCCTGGATCTGCATTTGGACTTTTATTATGGGATCAATCATTGCGGCTTTCGGATTTCGAAGACATTGAAGAACTTACTGGCGGGGCTGCTGGAAGATTGGCCGTGGCTGCAAGCGTTGCAATCTTGAACATATCCTTGCCTACATTTTTTCGGTCCTTGGCTTTAGACTTGCGACTCTGCACCGAATGTGTGCAATCGGCCGAATACGTGATGCAATTTGCGCATCGAGGCCTGAATCGATCACATTTGAGCTTGCGAATATAGCACAGATCACAGGCCTGTCCGCATTTATCTTGTTAGAAAGGATGTAACCACCAAGAAAGGGATGGATTCATGTTTACCTTCCGTTGACGATTTTTGACCTCCATTACAGTTCCGAGATTTTCTGTTTACCACTTGTGACACGAAAAACTTAAAGTAAGTCATCCTTTGTAACAAGAAGTATTGATGATGAAGATTTTCCACGGAAGCAGCTGACAAATGGGCATGTTGCTTATGTGCCAGATTTGGAATAGCGCGTCCACCTCCATGGGGGTTCAGTCGCTGACAAACGTATACTTGGCATCTTGAGACTTTATGCACGATTTAGCGACCAACAGTCAAGATCAGAATACACCAGGATGTGATGATTAACTGTGGTATATTCAACATGATTGAAAGTTTCTCTGAATTTATGGATCTGGCAACCTCCGCGGATGTTCGATCTCAAATACGATTGCTCAAGCGTGACAAGATGGAAGAGCTCAAGCCCTGGTATGGAATAGAAGAAAGTATAAGAAGGCTCGAGTAGCTCTTATAATAACGTCAAACATTCATTCGCTCCCATTATTGCACAGGTTCTTCACCCGAGACTTCATCTACCATCTACCTTCAGCAGAACTAGATCAGTCAACAATGTCACTTTTAGATTTCGTCTCCTTCACCAAAACATGGCACAATGAACCCTACCCGGCAATCGATCCCAAGAGACCTGAATTGAGCGCCAAGGGGAAGTTCGTCGTTGTCACCGGCGGTGGGACAGGCATCGGCAGAGCCATTGCTGTTGCGTTCGCAGAAGCCGGTGCCCAGACTATCGCCATCGTCGGAAGACGTATCGACAGGCTGGAGGGCGCCGCCGCCGAGATCAACAAGGTGGCCACAGCCAACAATGTGAAAGTTCTTTTCGAAAGCGCCGATATGAGCAAGCGCGCCAGTCTGGACGCCGCAGTAGAAAACCTCACAAAGAAAGCCGGTGGTTCCGACGTCAAGGTCGATATATTTATCCACAGTGCTGCTGTTACTCAAGATCGAGGGAATGTTAAAGGCTATGACGAGTCCAGTTATCGCTATGGGCTCGAGCTGAACGTCCTCGGCGCGTTCAATGCTTTGCAGGCTTTTGCTCCTGTGCTGACTGCCGATGCCCATATCTACAACATCTCGTCGGGCATGGCGCACATTGCGCCGATCTGGATCGATGACTGGGCGTATGCTGCTGGAAAAGCTGCGGTTGTGAAGATGTTCGACTACTTACAGGCGCAGCAGCCAGAGTGGCATGTTGTTCAACTCCAGCCTGGAGTGGTTAGCACGGAGCTCAATGCGAGTTTTGGTGTCGTGGGACCGGATACGCGTAAGAACTGCCCAATTGATAGTATTGTTGAATATCTTGCTGACACAGATGAGATGTAGCTGAACTTTGTGGCCACTTTGCTGTCTGGCTCGCTTCACCAGGAGCCGCCTTCCTCAAGGGCAAATTTGTTTGGGCCAATTGGGACGTCGAGGAACTCAAGGCTCGAGCTAACGAGGTTCAAAGCTCGAGCTTGCTTAGAGTGGCGTTGAATGGAGTGGATATGTAGAGCAAAGTGGTTGCATGATACATTCAAGCGCTTTCTCGCTTACCTGTAGAGAGTTCTGGGAGGGTTGGTAACATAGACCATGGGTCTGAAGTTAGTCCGGATGATGTAGAGAGATTACAATGCTTGGCACTTCGAGCAATACGTAATTATTTGAAACAGTCGATAAAATAAATCAGTGACGTGAACAATTTTGATTTGAGTAACCTCCTCATTGTTGAACGGGACAGTGGGACACAGGCTCTAGTAAACGAAAATCAACAATACCTCCTCACTTCCGAGAACATGTTACCTGGAGATATCAATTGAAATCTGAAGAAGACATTACTCGACATTCTACAAAACGATATCTTCATAAGTATCGGACAGGCATGTCTAACATCAAGAACTCAAGCTACCTTTCCATACCAGCGATCCCATTCGATCGCACAAGAAACACTCAACGGCAGCATCTGTATTTCGCCGGACCCGGACAATCAAATTTACTAGATCACCACATCATCAGCTCATTCTTCACCCTTTTATCCTCATCACCACCACACCAAGTATGAGCCCCTCAATGGAAACGAGAGCCACTGTGTACTTACGCTCCCCAAACACCCTCAGCGCAGCTGTCTCTTCCACCAACGTAATCACAATACCAACCATCATGCTCTGGCAAACATTCCGGCTTGAAACAACATTCTGTCTTTTGTGGGGAGTCGTCCGGACAGAGACCTTGTGTAGATGTGCTGAGATGTCCGTTATGGGTGCGACACCATGAGGTGGTTTGGCAGGTTCCGTAGTTGCCCTAGATATAGTTAGTTGACGGGTTTTGTTGAAAAGAAGCAGAAGGATTGATTTAAATGCTTACAGAATTATCGTGGCAGAGTTCTCCAACTTTCGCTACACATGTGGTTGCCAGCATAGAAAGAATAAAGGAACCGAGATTGAGCTTCATGATGGCATCAACGAGATTTCTAGAAATGTATGTCGTTGCGAGTTTTACCCACTTTGATGTCAAAGATCACCTAGGTGCAAGATATCAGGGCCGGCGAACTTTTATAAGTACGTAGCTCAGCTGGCGCAAGGATCAGGGCAAATCTGCCCGTCTTACAACTCCATGGCTTCATGAACCGAGAATATGAAAGACAGACTGATCGAAAATAGAAACGTGGGGTAGTGAGGCTGCAATCAAACAAAACGTGGTATGCGATCTCAGGAAAAATCAGCGAAGGATCGTGCCGACGGGTAATGTCCATATTGGAAGGATGAGCTATCCCTGTAGTCTGGACAAAGTACGCTGTAGTGTAGTCAAAGTACGCTGTAGTGTGGTCAAAGTACGCTGTGGTGTAGTCAAAGTACGCTGTAGCGTGGACAAAGTACGCTGTAAACTGGCCAAGGCACGCTAAAGCCCAATCCAGCTGCGCTAGGACCCAGGAAGGATTTCAGTTACACAACATTAGCAGCACTGTTTGCTGCCAACCAATTCTTCAAATCATCGCCCGAAAAGAAGAAATTGTGATTTCACGGAAAATAACCTGGGAAAAGATGTAGACTGAGTTTCAAAGCCCCCGCACTACATTTCAGCTACATATTGTCCTATGACCGTGATTGATAGATTTATGTTGACTTACTCTCCGAAGACAGGAACACTGCCCGCTCCCTTCGCTAAATCTCGTGAAAAAATTCACCACTTTCCGAGACCCCGAAAATTGTAGAATCAACAATGAATGCAGTCTTCACTTTAAATCCGGTGATTTCGCGGTGTCTCCAGTTCAGACTCCGGACTTTGCTGTCCAGACGCAGATTGCAGTACGCCTGTCAAGTCAGGGCACATTCTGCAGCCTTAACCAATAGATTCCGGGCTAATATCAGCCGGAGAATGCCAGGGGTTTGAAAATGAGGTTACACAAGATTCAAATGCCGTATGTATGGGACCCCGCATCAGCAGAATGCTGATGAGTAAGGATGCTAGAAGCGTCACTTCGGTAAGGGGTCCAATGGGTTGGGTTCGGGATTGCTTCCTAATCGCTTGTGGCTTGCAGGGCTGAGGATGGCGGTTTGGTTTGGTTTGGTATTTGGGGGGTACTGGATTGAGGTTTAGGTGGGATTTTGGGGAGGACTACATCGTGGGCTTGAAGAATATAAGGCTTGGGCAACTCCCGTGAGATTATTTAACAATCAACTTAATCTTGCTCGGTACTCGATCAATTACCCTCCACGGATCTGAACTTTCGCAATTAAACCCCATCACCAAATCCATACACAACTCCAACCACGATGAGCAGTACTGCAACTCTACAGAATACCTGCGACACAGAGAGTTGTCAACTTCATTTCCATAATCATGACAATGACACCATGTTCGCAAAGGATGAGCAGACACCAACGACACAGAACCAGCCACAACAAGTCGAAGAGCGGCAAAACATCAGTAATACAGACTCCTCCGAACCATTAGCGGTCCCAACAGGGAAAGTCGTGGACGAAGAGCACCAAGGAAGCAGTACTGCTGACAACAGTCCTCAAGACCATGGCTTCCAAAGAATAGTCCGGAACTTCACTCCCTCGTAAGCTCCGTCATCACCAAAACCTAGAAATTGGCTTGAACTGACACGCACAGCTGGTTCATAATAACCATGTCCACCGGCGTCCTCTCCATCATGCTCCACCAACTCCCCTACAACGCTTCCTGGCTCCAAATCATCTCCACGATATTCTTCGTCCTCAACCTCACGCTCTTCCTCCTCTTCACATTCATCTCCAGTCTACGGTATTTCCTTTACCCGAGGATCTTCCCAGCCGTGCTCAAGCATCCGCATCAGAGCTTGTTCCTGGCTACGTTCCCCGTAGGCTTGGCTACCCTGATCAATATGACGGTGCTGGTGTGCGTGCCGGTTTGGGGGCAGGGCATGGCGACGTTGGCGTGGGTGTTGTGGTGGATTGATGGGGTGTTGGCGCTGGTAGCGTGCTTTCACTTGACGTTTATGATGTGAGTGCCAGGTGCTTTTACTCAGTGCTCTAAGCTGACCATCTCTTCTGGCAGAATGTCTAACCAAAGAAGCGACCTCGAAGAGATGACTGCCTTGTACCTCATCCCCATCGTCTCTGTCGTCATAGCCGCCACCTCGGGAGGTCTAGTTGCAGGAGCTATCTCAGATCCGAATCACCGCCTATGGACGCTTATTATTTCGTATATCTTCTGGGGCATCGGATCCCCACTGTCATGGATTATCCTCACGCTGTACTTTCTGCGCATGACGATTCATAAGCCGTTGAAGCGGGAGGTTATCGTGAGCTTGCTGCTGCCTATTGGGCCATTGAGTCTGTCGGGGTTCTCGTAAGTCGTTCCTAATTCTGTTGCTCTGCTGTCCGCAATACCCCCTGGGGGGTTTGAAATCCAGAGATTCAGAACTGACAAAATCGCTAAACAGAATCATCGTCCTGGGCAAACTCTCCCGCAACCTCTTCCCCGTAACTCACACACTCCACAAATTCGCCGGCGCAGGAGACGTCTTCTATGCAGTCGGGTTCCTCGTCGGTCTCATCCTATGGGGATTCTCGATTGTCTGGTTCTTCGTTGCGGTCGTTATGATTGCTACGTCTGGCGGGTTTCCCTTCAATATGGGGTGGTGGGGGTTTATTTTCCCAGTTGGTAAGTACTTATCCTCACACACCTCTTGGTGTCTGGAAGGGAAGCTGCTGGTAAGAGTATGGCTAATCGTTTGGCTGAATAGGTGTCTTCACGCTCTTGACGATTTCGATTGGCGAGGAGTTGGAGTCGGAATTCCTAAAGGTACTTTCTTGTGTAAGTCCTAGTCCATCCATCCACCCAAAACTTATCCCTAGTTTGATCCTGGATCATACCTTGAACACCAGCTAACGTCGACTCCATGTAGGTACTCACTGGGATATGTGTGGTGATGTGGCTGGTAGTCGCTGCCGGCACGATACAGCGGTCTTGGACCGGCAAGATGTTCTTTGCTCCTTGTCTAGGAACGGATCTTTTCATGAAGAGGACTATTGGTCGGAAGGTTAAGACGCAGACTGTGTGAATCGTGCTTCTAAAGTTGGAAATTGAGGAGGCTATATACTTGTATGGTGGGTTGGGTTAGATTGGTATGGAGTTTGGGGCGCGAATGGCGTTTGGTGATAGACAAATGTGGGCATTGTAGATAACCATTGTGCTCAAATTTATGCGAGAATTGAACGGCTCCTATTCAAATCCAATCTTGGGAGTTTTCAGGAGACCGAGCAGTGGCTTGAAATGTTTTCAACGTAGGCAGGACATAGAAACTGTTCCAAATCCATCACCTTGAGCCACTAGCATGTACAGGTGGAGGGGAAAAAGTGGTGGGTATCAAATGGTTATTGGCATTACGATCGACAAGTGTCCATGTCTAAATAGGATCATCAGTATACGCAGGAGGCGCTTCCTCGTCTGTTGTCCCCGGCACAGGCACTGGAGCCTCTGCCACCAACTTCTTTTGCTCCTCCAGCTTCACTGCCCAGAGCGCTGAGCCAGCCGCTGTAGTCAATAGAAAGAACATGGACAACACCGGCACAAGTTGCAGGACTAACGCAACAGTTCCAAACCTACTAGAGTCAGCACCTCTAGCCGTAAACTTTAACAGGCAGTAACCTACCAAGTATACTTCCACTTTCTCTTGCGAATCTCGTCCTTCTTCTCTTTCCTCGACGCGCCCCGCAGCTTGAAATATCTGTAGTGGTGGAATGGTCCCGCTCGGGCGCCTGTCAGGACTAGGAAGAATGGCGTGCCGATTATGGGGATCAAGTTGAGGGGGAGGAAGAGTATGAACTCGGCGATCTGGCGGAAGGAGAAGGGCGAGTAGACAGCAGAGGAGGTGGGCTTGCCGAGCATCTTCACGGAGTTGGGGGCGTCGTGGAAGAGGATTCTGGAGGGGGAGACGAGGTCAATTTGACCTTCGCGGATAAGGGTTGCCTGGGATGTGTTAGCTTGGCCACAGTGAGAGGAGGAGCAGTCGCAGGCCGGCACCAGAATGGATGAGTTGGGCGACAACATACATCAAAGACATTGACCAGAGTCTCGTCCACGAGCAGGGCTTCAAACAGCAGTGCAATAACCACCTGCCCCTCTCCCAGCACCAAGAAAACCGCGTTGAACCACGCAATAGGCCCATGGAAGATAGCCAGGAACGCAACCTGCGGCAGGTACGTGAACGTGAATAGCATACCGAGGACTACAATCGAAGTCACCAAGAGGGGTATAATTCGCCGTCCAAAGAGAGGCCAGAATTCGCGGTGGGCGCAGAAGTAATAGATGCCCTTGAAAGGATACAGAGCGGAAGCGGAAACGACATTGCGAATGGGTTGGGGGGCCATCGCCGTTGATCCACGGGGGTTCGACATTGTATAGAGAGTTTGGGGGCGTATGCGCAACGGGCCAGACAAAGAAAACGAGGAGGAGATTTGAGGTTGTTGATAGCTGGAGCTGAATGCCGAGGACATTGAACTGCCCCTGCCGATGACGCAAGTGGGACCTGATGTCTTGGCGACGCCTGGAATTCGAGGCTGGCATTTGCCGACCAAAGCCAAATCAGACGACTGCTCTTTCCCACCATATGATTTGGGGGGATGCCAATAATCCAACTTTCATAGGTATTCAATCTTCGATGGCTTAAAAAGAGAGAGGGGTAAAGAGTGCTAATCAGGAGCCAACGGCAGTTTCCAACTTGTCCACTCCAGTGCCCCAAGTATTTCATCAACATCTGCTGTCAAACTGGAAGACGACAATCAAATGCTAAGCACATCACGCACGCCCTGCTAAATCATCGTTCGAAGGAAGTATACCTAGTGGGTGCCTTGAAATAATCACGCTGCAAAAGTAGCCTTCGGTAGGTGAGTCTGTTTGCCCAAGCCAGCCCAGTACGAAGATGTTATATAGTCAACCGGGAGTCTGACTTCAAATTCTTCAATCTGCCAATGCAAAGGGAGAACGTTTCAATCTGTTTGCTTTACAGTCTTGTTCTGCTCCAATTTCACCATCGGAATCTTGCTGAGCACTCAGGCCAGACCACTCAGGAATAAGTCGCTGTCAACGGGTAGTTGCAGAGGCTCGGGATTCGGGAGCGGGTGTAAATGCTGTCCTAAGGAGCGGCTAACGCGGTGTACTCACTCGTTTGCTTTTTGGAATTCGAGCTGATAATTTCAATGATTCACTGGCTCCGTTTCTCCAGATGAAATACCTGTCTAAGAGACACGGCGTTTCTGCTCCTCAGCGTCTTTTCGGTTGGGCAGAGTTTTTGCCATGGCTTGTGTTACCGAGTGCTGCAGAAGCTGTGCATATCTCTCTGCAAGTGAATGGATATCTGATCAGTATCAAACATTCCCTGGACTGTTGGTTTGAAAACAGGAGAAGCCACCTTGCATCCGATCGGGCCTGTTGGTGTGCGTTTGCTTCAAGACAGAGCTGGGACGGCTCTAAGTGGTCTTCAGCAGCTCCCTGCGCGCCGGTTGAGTCCCGGGTCTTGCTTGGATATCATTCACTGTCTTTGGTGCCTGGAATATGACTGTAAGTTGTGCTGATAGATGTGGCGGGCTTCTTGGGAGATAGAAGGGCCACGGTGGTGGCAGCCACGCTAAACCTTCGGCTAATTGCCTGCAAACGGAAAGGGCCAAAATGTGACGATGTTATTTCAACCTCCTTCAATTTCTCCCCACGTAAACAACTTCCTTTCTTTCCTCACCTTCGACTTACAGCAGCGCCTTTCCTTCTTCCATTCTTCCCCACACACTCTTTTCAGCCCACAGACGCGTCTCTCGATCATCATCGAGAGCACCGCAGCCCTACATACCTACACAGTCTTTACTGTAAACAAAACATCGTTGATTCCCGAATCACGCCTCGTAGCCTCAAGATGCGCTCCAAAATCTTGAGTCTCCTCGCAAGCGCCGTTGGCCTGGCTGCCGTCGTCCTTGCCGCCCCTGCTATCTCCTCGTAAGTACAAGTTTCCGATTTGATGAAGTGTTTCTCATCAACGTCAAGGGACACCGATGTCTGCGAGCCTGTCTCTACCGTCTTCGTCACCGTTCCGCAACCTATCACCATCACCGTCCACGACGCTTCAACCAACACGGTCGGTCTTGCGACCTCCGCTGACGCGCTCCCTACGATCACCGTTACGCGTCATGCTACCCTCCATTCGACCTTGACCCTGCCCTACACCAATACCATTCTCCTGTCCCACCCGGAGACCAGCAAGGGTGTCCAAGCTGTTGTGTCGACCCCAGTTTCGTATGAGACTACCGTTTTCGAGACCGCCCACATCACTGTCACTGTTCACCAATCTGGTCCTTCCAGCTCCAGCGTCCTCGCATTCATCGTTGAGAATGGCACCACCTTCTGGCTTGGAGGACACACACCGGTTTCAACCAAAGTCTACGTCACTGCCACCAGCGTGGTCACCATCGAGCCTCTCCACACTCCAGCTGGAACAACCCACCTGACCTCGACCGTGACTCTCCAGAGCACTCGCTATACCACTCGGTCGGCGACTCAGACTCTCACCCGAACCTTGTCTGCTTTCAATGGTACCACAACCCAGACCTCCAGCGCTCACATTGCTTCATCTTTCGGTACTTCCCCTGCTCCTGTCCGAACAAGCTCTTCATGGGCTGGATGGAACGCGACCTCAAGTGCTGGTGGTGTTGTTTCCCCAGGGGCCACTGATCCCGCCAAGAGTTCTAAATCGGTCATCACCAGAAGCTTCATCACCAAAGAGACCGTCGACATCTACAAGACTAGTGATTACTCCTACACGGTCTCGACCTACACTGCCAAGGATGGCTTCGATGTCTTCACCACGCCTTTCACTTGGTCTGCCAATCCAACTTCAACATCAATGTCTGGAGGTGCTTGGACTACAGCTGTTATCAGCGGTCAAACAGTTTCTTGGAATGCTCATGGAGTTACCCAGACCTGTACCGAGTCATTAACTCGCGCACCATACTCAAACACCACCTCAAGCAGCCACCATCTCACCTCTGCAGAGCCAAGCTCAACTTCCTCCATTCAAGGTGTTTGGACTACTGCTGTGATCGATGGCCAAACTCTCTCCTGGAATGGCAATGGGATCACCGAAACTTGCAAGGGGACTTCTACTCATGCTCCGTACACTAATGCAACTTCAACTGTTCACCATATTTCTACCAGTACGGCTGCCGGCGAGGTCACTTCCTCTAGCAAGCCAACAAATATTATTTCCGCTACCACACAGATATCATCCAGCTCTAGTTCAAAGTGGTACATCTACACCCCGGCTTCCTCTGTTGGGCCCTTTTCAAGTACTGGCTCCGCGCTTGGAGGTCTGACCTCGGAATCATCAACCTCCACCTTGTCCTCTGCTCACTTCGTCTCGGTTTCCACCGCCACTGTTGTTCCGATCGCGGCCTCCTCTGAAACCCCTCTCTCGTCATCTCAAGCAGCTGATCCTAGTGTCACGTCTGACAATACCACACTGCTCATTAGCTCAACTGTCACGCCCAGCTCTCACTTGGGCGTCTTTCCTACCAGTAGCTCAACCACCTTTCTGACCTTGACATCTTCCGCTGCTATTGAGCCATCCACCTCTTTGCAGGTATCGGGCACTACTTCAAGCACTGCATCTACAACTTCTACCGCCCTGTCTGCGGCCTCTTCTTACCCCAGCACTTGTGGAGAAGTTGGTGACTTTGTTTTGAACGTAAGTTGTTTCAGTATCAGACATCTAAACACAAGCTAACACGTCCAGTTCGATGACATTCCGCCATTGAGCATCAGCAATAACAGCACGTTCGGCCAACCACAACCAATCTTCAGTCCATACCATCATTTCGACTTCTCTCAAGGTTTCAGAGTTGGCCCTCCACCAGTTGACCCATACCTCCCTGAGTCCAAACCTCTCCTCGCTGAGTTCATTCCTACGGCCGACACTGTCACGCAAACACGAACCGATGCTTATGCAAGTACCTCGGGCTACATGGGGAATGCTGATCACGGTCTCACAACCTGCTTTAGCTTTAATTTCTATGGTGCCTCCTTTGGCTGTGATTCCTCTGGCCCCGACTGCGACTTCACATTCACTGGTTATCGATATGATCCCGCCAGCAAGTCGACTGAGCCTGTTGTCTCCCAACAACTTGCCATATCTGCTTGTCCTGATCTGAAGAGCCTGGAATGTATTCTTACACCCGTCAATCTCAACCCTGCCTTCGAGAACCTCGATTCAGTTCGCATCGATCTTACAGTTCAAGGTGTACCAAATATATGGTGGATGGATGATGTTCGCTTGGGATGGTTCAACAATACTTGTGAGAAGGGTATGTGTCGCGCAAAGGCTCCGGCCCATGGATTCGCCAAACCTCTTCCTGTTAAGAAGATCTAACATCTTCTGCCATGCCACACATCTGTTTCTCAACTGAGTAATCTGGAGAGACGATATTTTGTTAGAGTTCCGCGCATTTGTACGAGTTCTTTCATTTGTTTTCAAAAGTCGCGACGCATATTAACGAATGAGGTGGCGGGCTGGACCTTCTCAGACGTACTTGGGATTGAAGTGGAGTTGGCTATACGCCGAAACAGTTTGCACAAAACACTCATGAATCATGAAATGAATGTATGAGTAGACGAATGATATGATCATGAAAAAGCCAAGTTTCATATGGTCCCATGGTGATATGAAGACAGAAATAACTCGGAGTTTTTCTTGTGCGGTAATACCCAGTATTAGAAGGCAGATGAGATGGGACCTGCTTTCCAAGAATAGTTGTGACCAGCTCTTTCCTCCCTCGATACCGCTAGATGGTACCTAGAAGCCGCCTTTCCTTATGTTAGCACGCTCTCCCCATGTCTTCATCCCCACGATCATTATTGCCTCTACTCAAACTCCACATTTCTTATGAACAGAGTCTATCTATAATTTTGGTTGAAGCTCCAACGTATCTTGCCGCTGAAAATCGTTTCCATTCTAGACAGAAACCTTCGATGGCAGCACAGCCGATCACTCACTCCCTTGTGCAGTAGCTTCCAGGACTTCCTAGCATGCGAAACCCTTTGCTAGCAACTGACTACCTACCCGATGACTGGCGTGAAAGCATGCACCCTCATTGTCACGGCAGGGTGATTTTAACAGTCATCGAAGAACTGGATGCATACATCAAAACCCAGCCCATGTGGGAAAGCCTAGAAGAGGCTCACGAACAAATATTGGAAGGTCTCGCTCAAACCAGTCCTATAGAAGATGATGATCAGTGGGGGAACGAAAGAGACCATGCCCACTATTGGGCGGGAGAGATCTTGTAAGAGTACATTTTTTCCAGGAATTGCGATGCCACTGACATCTCAAAGCATGCGTATCTGCAAATCCCCAATTGCTATAGACTCTGGCGCCGATCATATCAGACAAGGTATCCAGGACATCATCTTGGAGCAAGATCTCCAGCCTGAATTGGATGGTAGCGTTATGTTATCGACAGGCCAGAGGAAAGAGCGATTGTTCAATGAATCTTGGGCATTGCCCACAGATGATCCTTGGGACGCTGAGTTACCGCTAGGGAATCCGAATAGCCACTGGTTCACACGATACAAAGCACTGATTGATTCCAATGATACATCGGTGATCTTTCTCTTCATTGAAACCCTACAACGGCCTGTCGGACAACCTTCGCTAAATGAGGCCTACGAATTTATTACCCCGACAATATATTGCACAGGCAATCTGAGAAAGCTGTATGATTGGACTGAAATTGAGGATGAGATGGACGATAGGACTGGAATTGAGATTGCCCTTATTGACCCACCGTGCAACAGGAGGACGGAAATCGAACCTTCGTCCGAACAAATCATTCAGATGCCAAAGATCCCCAGTGATTCTTTTGTCGACCGAGTAATGCTTCGACTTTGGAATTGGAAAGGTCGTATTGACTTGTATGTCAAGATTCCGGGCTACAAGGTGATGGAGCTTCTATCCGCTGCAAAAGACCAGGTCCGACAGGCAAAAAGAGAGATCAAAGAGAAGCCTCTAAATCCTCCAAGCTGGATCGGGAACCACCTTCCAGACGTCAAGCACAGAACGAGAAGCGACAGTCAGAACTCTAGCCTATCGCACACGAACGCACTTAGCGGCCTTTTCTCGGATGAAGGAAACTCGGGCGAGGAGGACTAGAAGAGACGTCAAACTACGAACAGCCCAGTTGAGAGACAAACCAAAAACAATGTATTTATATCATAGAGCTGGTTCCATTTAATGCTGGAGTGTATTGCTGGTAAGGATGAAGACAGAGACCATGAAACAATCCTGACCACAGCTCTGAATCTTCCTCTTCTCGTAGTCCCAAGTCTAAACAATGACGGCTCGGATAAAAAAGGGGGGTTTCTGCCGCCTTCGTCTTCACCGCCTTGAGGAGGGGTCGTCCGCTGCAAGATGATTACTGAGATGGTTCTAGTGATGGCACTTCTCAAGCTATATCTAAGGCAATTGCCCCCACCACTCGCAGAGACCGCAATGACTTATACATCCCCCGCTCCCTCCCACTGTGTCCTAAGTGGTCTACATGCTCACTCGTACCCCTGTATCCATTTCTCGCTTACGCCTTCACAACATCCACCCAACCCCACACTTTCAAAACAAACCCCTCACAATCACTCGCAGACTTACCATGGCCAGTACTCCCTCCCCCGAGAGTTTCCAAGCCCTCATCATCGGCTCCGGTCAAGCCGGCACGCCCCTCGCAGTGGCATTTGCCAAAGCGGGACACAAGACCGCTCTCATTGACCGGGCACACATCGCCGGCTGCTGCGTGAACGAAGGGTGCACCCCGACCAAGACGCTCATCGCGTCCGGGCGAGCGGCATACCTCATGCGCAGAGGGCAGGATTATGGTAATCATACTAGCAGCCCTGGCAAAGATGGTAAGAATGAAGTTATTGTTGACATGCAGAGGATAAGAGAGAGGAAGAGGCAGATTGTGGAGAGCTTTCGTGGGGGTAGTGAGAAGCGTGTCGCTGAGGCGGGAGTCACGGTTCTAATGGGAGGTGCAGAGTTTGTGGATGGGAAGACGGTTAAGGTTGTTATGAATGATGGTGGGAGTGATAAGTTGGTTACTGCCGATAGGATAATCATCAATGTTGGCGAGCGGCCTGCTCGGCCTTCTCTTCCAGGTGTTGAGACTCTCGATCCGAGTCTCGTGTTGAATTCAACTAGTATCCAGGAACTGGATGTGGTGCCGGAGCATCTGGTTGTTGTTGGGGGTGGGTATGTAGGTGTGGAGTTCGCGCAGTATATGAGGAGGCTAGGCGCTAAGGTTACCATTGTGCAACGAGGGAAGCAGTTACTCCCGAGAGAAGATCCAGATGTCGCGGGTGTATTTCTTGATATCCTTACTGAGGACGGGATTACGACGTATCTCTCTAGCTCTACCACCAATATCTCCTCCATCCCCTCGTCAACGTCCTCCTCCAGACCCGGCTTCACACTCAAGCTCAAGACTCCAAGTGGCGCCCTCGATGTCCAAGGCTCGCACATCCTCTTCGCCGCGGGCCGAATACCCAACACCGACACTCTGAACCTTCCCACCGCAGGCGTAGCCACTAATGAAAAAGGCTATATCGTAACGAACCCCTTCCTGGAGACGTCCACAATAGACATCTACGCCCTCGGCGACGTCAAGGGTCCACCAGCATTCACGCACATCTCATACGACGACTTCCGCATCCTCAAATCAAACCTACTACTCCCTCCCTCCCCAGACAAGCCCTTACTCACCACCACCGGTCGCCAGGACAGAGTCCCGTACGTAGTGTATACGGATCCGCAGCTCGCCCATGTAGGGCTGCATGAGTGGGAGGCGAGGGCTAAGTATGCCGCTCTAGGGAGGGAAGGGGATGTCAAGGTCGCGAAGATGCCGATGGGGTATGTGGCGAGGGCGTTGGAGACGGATGAGACTAGAGGGGTTATGAAGGCCGTTGTTGATGGGACTGATGGGAGGATTCTGGGGTTTACGTGTCTTGGTATGGAGGGCGGTGAGGTTATGGCGGTGGTGCAGATGGCTATGCTTGCGGGGACGAGGTATGAGGTTTTGCAGGAGGCGGTTTGGGCGCATCCGAGTTTGGCGGAGAGTTTGAATAATCTTTGGGGGTTCTTGGAGTAAGTTGGGCTGGAGTATGCGAGAGAGTAGATGTGTTTGTGACGCGTTGGTAGAAAATGTATGTTGTTACAGTATCTACATCAATAATCTGACCGGTTGTCCACGCATATGAGTTGTGACGAGGAAGGTGTTCCCAAGTCAGCTGTACCAAGAATCTTCTTTTCGTAGTCTACTAAAATGGCGTACGCTTTGATGTTCACTATCGTGAATTGATGTCTTTGTTCTCAAGGAACAGCGTTGGTCTACTCGCTTCATTGTCAGGCCAACGAACTATGAGGCGATAAGCGAGCGAGCTTTTGTAGACGACATAAACAGCGAAGAGAGTCGTCATTTATGGTTGACAGCACGAAGCTAAACTCATAATGTGACTATCCTGAGCTTTAAACCCGCAACCACCCTACATGTACCCACGAGTAAACAGGAGTGGTGTAGAATTTCTTGAGGGCAGTTTCCTAATCGAACCAAGCTCCAGCCCCACTTGGGGAAACTTGGGGTAACGTGATAGTCTTACCATTCTGTTGGTCACTTCGGATCCGGAATTGCGGAAAGAAACATGCAGCAGTCATGCATTAAATACTCGCTAAGACTTCAAAGACAAAAAATATCTGCTAAGAAGGATCGGTCCGCTTTAATTCACAAGCTGTGCCTCAACCTTGACATACACAGACATCTCATCAACTCCCAATGATGAATGCCATTCCAAAAGCCGGCATCCCAAAAGCCGATATCCGTTTTTGGGCTCTCCCTACTTTCTTTGGAGCCAGAAGATATACCATGCGAACCTCAGCTCAGATGATATTACGCTGTTAAAATGAAAAAGAGCTGTAGGTTAGCGTGGTATCTGAAAAGCCTGCCAAGAATAGTACGTACATCCTTCGTTGCATCCGAAAGCCGATGGCAACCTCGCATTTTGAGCGAGTCACGAAATCCTCGAATGAAGATAGCAATTTCGATTTACACATACCTTTCTCTTCCATCTCCGGAAAATGTTAGTAAGAGAGAACCTTGAATCACCGATAAACAGTTGCATTTCACAAGCATTTTAACAAAGATCGTGAGATCAATGCCAAGAACGCATTAGCTCAATGCTACCCCGTCTCACTTCCGCCGACGATCTTCCACAGTTGCCGGATGCAGATATCCATGCGATGTCTACGATGCACTTATGAATGATAGTACAGCTTGGCAGTGAGGCACAGGATCAGAAGATGTTCTAATTTCTCACCAGCCAGTTGCATTCCCATACTGTTTGTCGTCATAGGTGCCCTCAATACATATATTCAGTACAAGAACACATCTTCACCAACAATTCTTCGAGCACAAAAGCTCTTGAGTCTAACCTCTTCCTTTCAAATTTTATTCTTCTCCATCACGACAAAATTCTTTTAGTAAAAAGTAAACCACATCTTCCGACCACACGACCAAGACAACCATGAAGCCCACCAAATCCCTCTCCCTCGCCTATACCCTCTCCAACCTCTCATACCAAGCATCTGCTCAACCCTCTAGCATGCTCCAAACAATAAACGGCATCCTCTCCCCCGGCCGCGGCAACACGCCCGCAGCCCAAGAAGTCTTCTCCTCAGCGGGTCGAAATCCCGTCGTAAGCAGCTCCGTCTCCTTCAATCGTACGGACTTCAACAGTCTTCAAGACTGGACCTGGAGGATCAATATCACGGATGTTCGTCTCACCAATGATTTCAACGATTTAGGCGAGCCTTCCGCGAACGCTTCTGAGAATGTGCATGTGGTGAACTCTCAGTATGAGTTGCTATGGCCTGGGGCAACGGAGAGTGAGAATGGGACTTTAGAAAGTTATCTGAGGAGCATTAACTCGAGTCTGTTGATGACCGCGGTGGAGATTGTGTTGCCGGAGAAGTTGACGGAGAAATATGAGACTGGGATGAATGGATCCTGTGCAGATGTTTTGGGGAGTCAGTGTACGCAGTCGTTGATGGAGGCGGCGGCTACGATGGAGCAAGGGTTCGCGATGGAGGGTTTAGCGGGATGTGGAGATAGTATCGGTAAGGGGGTAGGGATTGGAGGAATTGGTTATGGTATGTTTATTTTTGTTTATACTACCAATGTTTACCAATGTGTCCCAGAAATTCCAGTGTAGGGAACAATTACTGACATAGATAACACGACTTAGAAATGTCTCCTGACAGCAACTCCACGACACGGCAAGGAGATACGTTGTATTATCGTACATCAGCGGCATTCACTGGCGGCAACGAGACTTTGCTGAATCAAGCAAAGAGTGCAGTCAATATACTGGTGTTGGATATCCAAGCCGAACCTCGCTCGGAAGGAACTGGCAGTCCTGGTGCTCCTTCTGTGCTGTGTCAAGTCGTTGATAAAAGTGCGACTACATCCGCGGCTGCTGGCTGGGGCCAGAATCTAGCAAGGTGGACCTTAGGTGTTGTCGTTGCGACTACTATTGCTTTGGTCCTATGAAATTCACATGGTTGTGCTGCAGGGGAAGGATGTAATGTGCTACAACAGTCTTCCCGAAGGAGCTTGGCTTGGTTCTATTCTGACGAGGATTCCCCCCCTTGACATTCCTTGATTGGAGATGATAATGAAAACGTTGAAAATGGCTTCCAAATATTTTTGGATAACGACTCTATCTGTCCGAACGTCTGCAGTATCTGTGCTCTTTGAATCCTAAGCCAGAAACGACGCTTAACTGTTTACTTTGACTCGCTTGACCCTACGCGCGATGCACATCAGGCACTGCCTCCTCGTGACCATGGAGGTGGTAAAAAAGAAAGACTAACGGCGGCGGAAATCAAGAAGCTTGTTGTGGCGAAAACCTCAAAATGTACTTGAAAACTTACTTCATGGTACGTCGCTCTGTGTAAGGGTTGAGGTACGGGCAATTCACCAGTCGTCTGTCCTGAAACTAAACCTCATCAACAAAAACAAAACACAGACCAAAAAATATCCACTTCTCAGCTATATTTCAACTTCACGATCAAGAAGCAAGATTTTCCGAGCTGAGGGGTAATATGCTTAATTCAGCGGCAGACAGGTCCTGATATTCATTATAGGTATGACATAGCTACCCCACAGAACAACACGGACCTCAACAAAACATAAACTCAAAACGCAACCCAACGGCCAATCCATCCTGTCGGTAATCCACGCACAGACATCCCAAAAATCCTGTTTTTGTATTGCCACTGCACAGAAATGCCATGTACTCCATGGACAGAGAATCATCGATGGGAATCAGGAATCAAGACTGGATGTTAAATCCTCCCGCTCTTCCGACTAGGTCTCGCTTGCGGACTTGGGATCCTTGGCAGAGCGACATCATCGATGACGGAGCTTTGTTTAGAAAAGTATATCAGATTGATCTCCCCAGAGAATCTGAATAATATGTGGCTGGTAGAGATTTGAATATTATTAAATTGATACGACAATACCAAACCCTTGATCCAAATACATCTATACCTACCAGAAGAACAAAAATCTTCTGAACAATCAGATTTCACAATGGCTGATAGTACGCACCTGTCATCCATATCCCTACGATCAATCTCAACCCGTTTTTGGGCCTCCAGAGAGCTTTTCATTTATGTCTCTTTGGAATATTTTCCCAGCCTAATGAATAACCAACTCCCCGCTAACCTCCTCCACCCTCCTCTACAGATCTCCGCTCCTCCACCAAAGTCGGCGAGAACCCCACCTTCGCCACGACAGTTAGCAAGCAGAAGCTATCTTAGGCGAAAAGGCGGTGGGAGGAATGGATAACGATAAGGATCATGTTGAGAATGTTATTGGGGGGTTGAAAGCGTAAGTTTTTACTGAGTTCCGCGAGTGTATATATTTGTCTTTTGTCTTTTGTCTTTTGTCTTTTGTCTTTTGTCTTCTGTCTTTTGTCTGTCTATCGGTCTGTCTGTCTATCCGCTAGGATAAGTTCCGTATATGTGGAGCTAGGGTATCACATTTTCAATTAACGAGGAATAACGAAATAAGCGCTGACTTTCTCAACAGAGCAATCAGCAACCCCAATACTTCCGCGAAAGCAAAAGAGGAGGCGGAGCAGAAATTGAAGGTTTTGGAGAGCAAGTGAGCTGATGTGTTGGGATTGCAATAGATATAGGTTGTTTGCAAGATCATCTCCATGGGTGCTTATAGGTTCTTTATTCTGTGTCACCAAGATATCTATTGAGGGAATGTAAATCAATGAAAGCTGGGATCTGAATTTGAGTGTTACTTTGGCACAGGTTGAGACTAGTCTATGTGATAGATAGAATGTGGAATTGAACCTGGGAAATTCTTGGTGAAAAAGGAGGGTGGACACGGGATTGGATGAGATGTTTCTGGTTTAAGAAAAGATATGATTTGACCTGACCAGCATTTAATTCCTATATAATTCTATATATTAAGTACTGTATGATGTAATTACTTCCCTATCCCCAACCCAATCCCGAACAAAGTAAAATACGGTCAAGGCGCAGCTATTAACCTGACTCTAAAACACGAAAAACGAGACTCATCTATCTACAAACTTTTGATCTCCTTCTCCAGTCCTTTCCCTTTCCTTCCCACGCACCCCGGTCCTCACCGCGTCACAGTAACAGTCTCCGTAACCGTCTCGGTGACCTTGCCGACCGTGATATACACTGTCTCCTTAGCACTTGGCCCTTGCGTGGGTGCTGGCGGGTTGACAGGGATGATCGTTACGGCTGGGCTATTGCCTCCGTTGTCTCCCCCGTTTTCATTACCATTCCCGTTTCCGCCACGCCCACCACCGTTGTCTCCATCACTGTTGCCGCCCCGATTACTGCCGTTCCCATCATTCCCAGGATCAGGTCTCGGAGTGGGTGTAGGTGTTGGCGCTGGCTGATCGGGTACACCCGTCGGGGGCGTGATGATGATTGTAAATGTGCTTTGTTGACGGACGGTTGTGGTGGTGGTTTGTTCTTCTGCCGGGGTGGTAGGAGGAGCAGGATCTGGCACAGGTGTTGGCTCGGCGGGACTGGGTGTAGGTTCTGGTGCAGGCGGAGGGTCCTGTGTTGAGGCGGGAGGGATCTCGATGGGCGAGGGAGGCGGCAATGAGGATGGGCTAGGTGGAAGGAGGGTGAGTTCAAGGGTGGTTTGGAACGGCGTTTGAGTCGAGGCTGAACTGGAGCTTGAACTCGAAGGCGTAGGCGTAGGTATAACGAGAGGGAGTGTTGTCTCGCTTACGAAGACTGTCGTCTCGACGATTGTCGTTGAAGTCTCCTCTCCTCCTGCTAAGGCCGTGCTCGTCGTGCCAGCCCCGGGGCTCGAACTCACACTTGTCGACCCTCCCGCCTCACCACCCAGCACTTTGCCTGCCGTTCCGCGATCAACGCAGCCTACAAACACACCCCTGGTAACGTTCATCGGCATCGCGAAACAACTCGTCCCTGCCCCACATGTCTCAATCTGGAAACTTCCTTCAGCATTGCACTTCGCCTCATTGCCGTCTATACATGCTATATCGCCAGAGGTGCAAGGCGAGGAGAAACCAAGCGTGGAGAAGAGTGTATTGTACGATTTGGCGTCAGCGAGGTTGGAGGCGAATGTTTCGGGGGTGACGGTGCTGGTTGGGAGAGGCGTGGTGGGTACGATGACCGTGGGAATTAAGGGTGTGCTCGTTGGGGCGGGTACTAGAGGGGTGAGTGTTGTTAGTGGTGTAGCCAGGACGGACGATGATGGCGAGGATGATGACGGCGAGGATGATGAGGAGGTCGAGGCCGTGAGAGAGGAGATGTCGATCGTGATTGTTGTTGAGGCGACGCCGGATGGCAGAGGGGAGTCTGGTGAGCGAGATGGGAGGATTATTGAATTGGTGTTACTAAGTGTGAATCTCGGTATAGAGAATGACGATGAGGACGACGAAGAAGCCGACGAAGAGGCCGACGAAGGAGTTGAACTGCCTGCAGTCGGTGTAGGGGATGGTGTTGGAGTAGGCGAGGCCAAGATTTTGGAGTCGCTCGTACTAGTACGCTGGCTGGACGGTATGGCGGGGATTGATGAGCTGGACCCCTCGTCCTGGCCACTAGCACTGGTGCCTGAACGGGTTGGCGCAGGTGGAACCATACGAGTGGGACTTTCGGTCACGGGTTCGAGATCTGAAGCTGGGCCAGTGAAAGTCCTGGCGCGCGACGAAGTGAGTCGACGCGATGACGGAGTTTGGGTCTCCAGAGGCGGTGAGGAGGAGGGTATTGACAGCTCCGAAGTAGGAGAGGGTGTCGTGGGCTCCGGTGTCGAAGAACTTGGACTTGATGACGAGACTGTAGTCTCCGACGTCAGACTCTCAGTTGAAGATTCACTCGAGGATGTTGGGACTGGTGTAGGCGATATGGAAGTGACGGGCGGCGTCGAGCCTGATGATGGAGTTGAAGTATCGGAAGACAGTTCCGACGAAGACGTTGGAGCATCAATGCTCGTCGCAGGTGTCGTAAATGTAGACAGCGGCACACCTGGCTGACTCCCAACACTCGAACTTGGACCATCAACAGGGATGATCGTGACAGCCGGTACACCTGCTTGAGCTCCTACTGCAGTCTCTGTACTCGTCGTCGGTATTGGCGTGGACGTATTCGAAAATGTGAAGCTGCGTGCCATGCTATGATGTCTCGTAAACATTTGCACATAGGGAAAATGTACGAGAAATGAACTTACAGTCTCCCTGCATCTCCAACACCACGCCTCAACGGACCAGCCTCACCCAGCGGCACTCCCAACAACAACAGCATGCTCCATGTTCTCGGATAGATCTTCATATCTCCACAGAACCAACAGTAATATGTCCTTTCGTATAGGATCACCAGAACCAACAACCAAATTCAACCGCGCCGCTGGCCTGCGCGGACTGAAGGAATGAATAGGATTCTCTCGTATATTATATCTGTTATCGGCGATGACGAAGTGCAAATACAACTTTTAATGCCGTTTGTGTAGAATGATGTTTTGAGTGCAGGGCAAATAAAAACGATGCAAGGAAAGAATGACGACGATGTATACAGCTGATCTTCGGACACGAGAAGACAGACAGAGACAGAGAAAGACTGAACGACAGACAGACAAGAGGAAAGCGAAGGGGATGGTGGACTTCAAACGAAAGACTATCAGGCTGTCAGAACGATGGCAGGAGAAATCACTAGAGACCGTCAGGACAGGACAGGACAGCAGCATCTTGTACCCGGTTTCATATCATCATGGTCCGTACCCAGCGACCTGAAAATAGGCCCCCATTCATCTTCCGATATCCCCGGAAGTGCAAGCCATCGAGTCTGGAACTCTTTAGCCAGGCCGGGCAGGTCGACTCGACTGGCGCGGGCGGCTTGGGAAATGAAACTTCAAGCCCACCTAGTACCTACCAGCCTCATTCTCACCAAGCTACCATACATTACATACCATACAGTAGAGCGATAGGTACACAACCAGCTAGCCAGACAGATTGAGAGACGAGCTCAAGCTCCATTGTCAGACACTCACTTACTTGCTAGCCAGGCCCATCGGACCGGGCCAGGAACATACATAAAAGAGTGTTGTGTGCCATCGGCGGAAGCCATACGAACCAACCAAGCCCCCGGTAAGCGCGTGTACATGAGACGGAACTCTTGCCCTGCCAGGAGGCTACTCATATATATGTTGTCAGGTCTGGTTGTGTGGAGACGAGGTTTGGATGAGTGTGTTTGAAGATACCGCGTTTGCAGACGCGAGGGGTGCGTTGATTGGTTTGCGGCTTCGGACGACGCAATTGGCTGGCGCTTAACGAGCGATGAGCACCACCAAGCAAACGAGATGGTGAAAAGTGGGAAGGCGGAAAAGGGAGATTAAAGGGGAGGGAATAAGCTGTAGACGCGCGTGAGTTTGCTTTTGGTCTATTCTTCTCTACAATAAGATTACTTGGGATTTGGAAGCGCGCTTTGGCTGGCTATTTTGAGATCCGGTTTGGGGAGAAGTTTGAAAGTCACGGGTTTGAATTTTGGTGTTGATTGATATCACATGATCATACTGTTATCTAGAACCTTTGTTGCACATCGCAAAACCAATTGCTCGCAACGCTCCATTCAACAAAGGCTGCGTTCGTTGCTGCTCAGACTGTGCGCGCGCATGCGCTGTGCGGATTGCAAGATGATTTGTATGGGGAGAGTGGAGAGCAAATCTAGTGAGCGGTCAAGAAGAAGTTGTGTGGATTGGGTGCGAGAAGACTAGAGGAGTAGAGGGAGTTGACGGCGCGGTGAGAGCGATTTGCTGGCGATGGTGGATGGGATGGGATAGGATGGAGTCAAACGGCCCCCACGCCTGGCTGGCTTCCTTCGGGGAAGGAATTGTAAAATTTTAAAGAAAACGAAAAACAGCCAGAAAAGATCAACAGCCATTTCAATTTAATCCAGATCCCCAATGCTGCATGAGGAAGCAGACTGACCGACTCAAAGAACCATCAGAGGGGAGACAAAAAAGACAAAAAAAGGAATGATCAGGCTGGGGCTCGATCCCAGGACCTTCTCGGAATATGTCACAGTAAACTGTTAACGAGATGTGCTGAATTGATTATTAGTTTTTGGATCTGATGAGGTGTCGAGTTCAGTGGAATACGTACATAACCAACTACACCACCCGACCATGTTATGTTTTTCCTTGATTGGATGAGAGGAATTTTGCTTATTTAGGAAATTATTAGAGTTAGTAATTTTGGAGAAGGAGGGGAGAGAGGAGTGGAGAGAATGGGAGTTTGTGCGGTGGGGCGGGTGCGGGTTCAGATTTGGTTGGTGGGGTTGGTGGGATGGATGCGGTTGATGGGAGGGAGGTTTGAGGGTTTGGAGGGATTATTGAAGAAGGTTTGATGGCAGAAGCTACGGCACTATAGAGTTTGCATTTCAGGCCATAGTGTATCTACGTGTCTCCGTGTAGTAGGAGTTCACTTCTTTTTGCTTCAACTGTCCAGGCCACATGTTCACTTGCTTCGGAACGAATAGATAGATGCCAAGCCATCAACAGAAGTACCTCCACAGCATATCTTAGCCAGAGGATACTTCACCCATCCCATTGCAAATGGGATCCTAGAAGATTCCCATCTTTCTCAAAAGAGCATCACCGCCTGGCCATATCTTCTTGGTGGAGTGGAGATACAATGGAATCATCCTTGCCTGACATGCAGAAGACATGCAGTAGAGCATGTGAGACCGATACCGCTCACCCACTCAACGGAGCACGCACTGCAGCTGTCAAACAACCCAACAAGTCGTATGAACGAGTTTTTGCAAGGCGCAAAAGCCGTGATTGCCCAACTTGAAAAAGTTTCATGTCACGATAGTCTCACGATGTCGAAAAGATGCCTCGCAGCCCAAAGCTTTTCCATCCCGCATCGTCGGACCGAATCCCTTCTGAGAGCTTAATGGGCTCGGCGACACTGCAGATGAAGGAAAGAGATGTTGAGGCATTTTGACTTGAGATGCGGCTGATGAAATGTCACGTCCGGTGGTATTTAGCCACGATAATTATCGGCCAGTTGCAGAGAGTGTGGTGTTTCCACACTCTCTTGTTGGGCTGCGTTAGAGGGCGGTCATGTACCGGAGGAAATCGCAATGAAAAATGACAGAACTCCGGCTGATGCTTCGCGGAAGAGTTGTGAAAAGAACATACTAATTGCAAAGTTGATAACGAGGAGTAAAAGAATGCTGTATTTTCCTGCACTCAGTATGCACAGATGAGGAAATTGAATCGATGCATCTCAACCCCCCGTGTGCCTGGTCTAGAATCTGATTAGTAGGCAGTACTACTACAGTAGTAATGCCCGCAAGCACGCACCGGATAGGTCGACCAGAGCCCTTTCGAGGAAGGTTTCGGTTGTCGTGCTGGCTAGCAAGCAGATGGAAATACCCTTTACCCTTTACTGTACTCCGTTAGAGGGGTCGCTCCATTCCCCTCCTTATATAGTTTGGCTCTGGTCGACCCGACTGTCGATAACCACAGCTCTCGTATCTGTTTTGATTGTTGAGAAGTATATTAATATTGGAAGAGTCGGTGAAACAGTCAACAGACAGACACAGGACCAGAAGATCAGGTCACCGTGCACTCTATCCCAATCGCTGCTACCTTAACTTCGGGCTGCAATTACGTCAGGTACGATTGGACACGGATTTCCTTCCTTCCATTTCTTCCTGCTTTCTCGTGCCCCGCGTCACAGGCAGGCTGGGCTATTTTGGCCAGACCAGCGCCAGCACACGGCAGGACTTTGGAACTTCCAAGTTGTTTGCTGCTGCCCTGATTTCTAGCTGTGCTTCTGCCCCACGTTCCACCGCCATTGCGCGCGGATTGGATTGGATTGGATTGGATTGGACTGGACTGGAATCCACTGCTTTGCATGCATTCGATTGCAATTTGGAGATAGGCATTCCAAGTATCCCGTCCTGCCCTGACCTGACCTGTCTCGCGAAATTCGCTGGCCTGGACTCACTCCTCCCGCGTCCAACCCCTCCTCTCTTCTTTTTCTACACATCCTCATTTTCTCCTCTCTTCACCTCTTTCTTGCGACTCTCCATTCAACACAGTCTCAACCCCCCCCCTCAACTCACCATGTCGCAGAAAATCCTCGAAGAGGGCGACCAGCTCGCTGAATCCCCGCGCCCTCTCCTCCCAGACCGCCAGGACTCGATCCATCCTGGCCTTCGCCCGTCTCTCACCAACGTGCCCGTCACGCCTGGCATCCACCTGGGCGAGTACGACTCCGAACCCCGCGGTCCTGACGAGCCTTCCTACTTCGTTCACGATATCCATAGGTTGAGAGAGACCATGGCGCAGTCACCGTCCGCCGCTGCGGCGGGCGCGAAATCGAACCGTGATATTTTGAGGAGGATGAGCTTGAACGCTGGGCCGGAGAGGAGAGATTCGCTGGCAGATGTTGATCCTCGGGCTGCGAATCCGGCGCTGAATCTTAGTGGTGGTATTATCTCTGCGACTTTCTGTATACCACATTCGTTGAAGTATAGAAAGGGGCAAGATTGGGTAAGTTAGTCTGCTGTTGAGGATATGACAATGGCTGATAAGTTAGGTTCTGGATTCTCGACGTGGCACGTCTGCTCTATTCGACTCCTTCCCATATCTCTCTTCTGATAAGACGCCTTGGAATCATACTTTGGTTGGGTGGACCGGGGAGATTGATCCCATGGACGAAATTACCCCGCCAGATACCCCTCCTGCAACCACAACTGCCTCTAAACAACCCCCTCTCAACAAGAATTCGGCACCCATACCGATAGACGGGGTAGCTAAACCTGTTGAGGTTCCTGTGGCAGAAGGATTATGGATTCCAAAGGAAGACCGAACTCGACTGGAATGGCAGCTTTCACACGATAAGCATTGTAGGACAGTACCTGTTTGGTTGAGTGATGATGCCGAGGGTGGGAATCCGGATGGAGATATCAATCTGATAGATCAATCCCGCTGGAGGCGGTTTGCAGAGCACGAACTTTACACCCTTTTCCACTACAAGCAACGCGAACCCACCAATGGTCGAGCAGAGCGCCAGAGCTGGGCGGATTACTATCGGATGAACCAGAAATTCGCAACTCGTATCCTGGAAATTTACAAGCCAGGAGATATTGTCATGATTCACGATTATCACCTCCTTCTGCTCCCCAGCATGCTCCGCCAACGAATTCCACATATGTACATTGCTTTCTTCTTGCATATTCCATTTCCCAGTAGCGAGTTTCTCAGATGTTTACCACGGCGCAAGGATGTTTTGGAGGGTGTGTTGGGAGCAAATTTGATTGGGTTTCAATCGCACAGTTATTCTCGACATTTCGTATCTTGTTGCACTCGCATTCTTGGCTTTCCTTCAGACATTACAGGCGTGGATGCATATGGGGCAAAAGTCACTGTTGGCATTTTCCCAATTGGCATTGATGCGGCTGCTGTGGAGAAGTTGGCGTTTGATGGCAACATCATTGACCAGCAGGTGGCGGAATTGAGGAAGATCTATGAGGGGAAGAAGATCATTGTCGGACGAGACCGCCTGGATAGTGTACGTGGAGTTGCACAGAAGTTAATGGCTTTCGAGCGGTTCCTCGAAATGTACCCGGAGTGGGTTGATAAGGTGGTCTTGATCCAAGTTACCAGCCCTACTAGTGTCGAGGAAGAGAAGGAAGATTCAGGTAACAAGATCGCCAACAAGGTCGCTGAGCTGGTGGCTAAGATCAATGGTCTCTACGGATCTCTTTCCTTCTCTCCAGTTCAGCACTATCCTCAATACCTGTCACAAGAGGAGTATCTTGCTCTTCTCCGCGCAGCGGATATTGGTCTTATCACCAGTGTTCGTGATGGTATGAATACGACGAGTTTGGAATATGTGGTCTGCCAGAGAGATGACCACGGACCGCTTATTATTTCCGAGTTCTCAGGAACTGCCGGGTCCTTGAAGGATGCTATTCACATCAACCCTTGGGATCTTTCCGGTGTTGCCCAGTCAATCAACTACGCCTTGACGATGAGTGAAGACAAGAAGAGTGCTATGCATTCCAGCCTCTATCACCATGTTACGACGAGGAACGTTCAATCCTGGGTCACTGCTTTCGTCAAACGTTTGCTCGCTGTTCTCAGCTCCCACAACTCGGTCATTTCGACACCTCTGCTTGATAAAGCCGCTCTTCTGACACAATACCGGTCAGCGAAGAAGCGCCTTTTCATGTTCGACTACGATGGCACTCTTACCCCGATTGTAAAGGATCCTCAATCTGCTATTCCTGGAGAAAGACTCATTCGTACACTAAAAGCTCTTGCCTCAGATCACCGAAATGCTGTCTGGATCATCAGTGGCCGTGACCAAGATTTCTTGAGTCATCATCTGGGTGACATCAAGGAGCTGGGTTTCAGTGCCGAACACGGAAGTTTCATGCGTCATCCCGGAAAAGAGGAGTGGGAGAACCTGGCTGAGACATTCGACATGGGATGGCAGAAGGAGGTCTTTGACTGCTTCCAGAAATATACCGAGAAGACTCCTGGTAGGTTTTCTTTTCCTTTTCTCCATTGATCCAGCTAACATACGCAGGCTCTTTCATCGAACGCAAGCGTTGCGCACTCACCTGGCATTACCGCCCCTCCGACCCCGAACTGGGCGCTCACATGGCCCGCGAATGCCAGAAGGAGCTCGAGAAGACCGTCGGCAAAACCTGGGACGTTGAAGTCATGACCGGAAAAGCCAACCTGGAAGTCCGACCCACGTTCATCAACAAAGGCGAGATTGCCAAGCGCCTCGTCGCATCCTACGGTCAAGCCGTCGGCGAACCTCCCGAGTTCACACTCTGTCTCGGAGACGACTTCACCGACGAAGACATGTTCCGTGCTCTGAACGGTAGTCCGCTTAACCCCGAACACGTCTTCACCGTCACTGTTGGCGCGAGCTCGAAGATGACCCTCGCGCACTGGCATCTGCTTGAGCCGAGCGATGTTATCTCTAGTATTGCGCTGCTGAATGGTGGGGATTCGAATGTGGCTGATCTTGGGCCGTTGGCTGTCGTGGAGGGGAAGATTCCCGAGCAGATGCCTGGTTTTAAGGTTCCTGATGAAATGCCTGGTGGGCAGTTGAGAGTTTGAGATGTGGGGAGAGGAGAGAGATAGATATGATTGGGCTGGGTTGGAAGAATTAGATGATACGCATGCTATAGAAATCGGGCTGTGGGGAGATGATACATGAGTCTTGGGACTTAGGGCTTGAGGAGGGAAGTCGAGAGGAGCGAATAGACGTGTAGCGGGTGCACTTTGGAGGTATGGAGATATGATACATGAATATAAATAAATGGCAAGTGAGCGAGCCTGCTGCGCGCGCGATGCGTTGTATTTAGATACCCGCAAAATCAGAAAAGAAAGAAAGAAGATAAAACCTCTGCTGCACGACGCTTTCGATGGTTTGTTGACGGTACTTAATCCTGACGGTATGGTTCTGATTTCTAGACATATCTGATGTTCGCTGTGAGCGGAATTCAGCTCTTTGATTGAGTGTACTGTGAGTTGGAGATTGCAGCGCTTGGGAGGGAGCAGCGAGAGGGCTGTGAGAGGGGGCAGAGAGCGAGCAAGCAGTGAATCGCGCCTACACAGCAGGGAGAGCAGTTGTAGCGAGAGAGCAGTAAGAGAGGGAGGGGTCAACCGCCCTTCCACAGCAGGAGACAGAGCAGCGAACCGCTTCTACACATCAGCAGGGAGCGCACCTGGACAGTTGTCGGGAGAGCAGTTGTAGCGAGACAGCTGTGGGAGCAGCTGTATCTTAGCGAGAGAGTGAGTGCTTCGAGAGCTGCCAGAGAGCTGCGAGCAATAGGGCTGCGATGTGCAACAAAGATTTTTTTTTGGGCTGAGGGTGTGTAGGTCATGTGATTTTATCGAGTTGGTCACGGGGTTTTGATGTTGGTGTTGGGTGGGATGGGTGGAGGGAATGGAGAGGGGGAGAGAAGACGTGAGATTAGTAGACTATGGAGTTAGGCTGTTATCTCTGGTATTTGACGACTCTCAACTTTCCTCGATATATGTACTACATGGAACATCATCGAGAAGGTCACTAGGTACACTTTAATTCATTATTGGAAACACGTACGTTCAAGATTCCATCCCCTGGATATTTATGGCAGCGCAACTACAACTCTCGCTTGAAGCTTCCCAGCGTGCATGTCTTCGAATACCTATCGAGATATGTGAGTACCATATCTAGTTCAAAGAATGGTAGGCAAGAAAAAGACAACAAGTATTTAAAGTTAGGTAGTGGATACATTAGATTGCTTACCTTACTCAGATTCTCCAACTTCTCGATCCTGATACGATATCTGACTAGACCTCTCGCTGCAAAATCTAGAGCCTCGATAGCTTCCCTGCGGTTTCCGATTGCGGAGCCTGGTGTTGGGAGAACGATTAGCATCAATCAACAGTGCCTCGCCTAATATGAGCTCGCTCGCTCGTCTCTCCCAATCGCACATGCATTCACATCACGGAGAAGAAATACATACCCACAATCCTAAACTGCTGATTCGTAATCCTCGCCGGAAACTCCGTCCCAATCGGGACCTGCTCCCCCTCCTGCATCCCAATACACACCAGCGTTCCCCTCGGCCTCAGGAATCTCAACGCCTGCGCATACGACTTGTTCGCAGCACTGACTACCATGACGGCGTGCACTCCGCGTTGGCCTTTCGTGAGTGCCTTAACTGCTTCTTCGAGCTCGGAGTCGGAAGAGAAGGAGGTGAAGTCCAGGAAGGTCTCGGCTCCGCAGTCAAGCACGAGGGAGCGTTTGGAGGTGTGGTCGATGCCGATTACGCGGAGGTTGAGGATGCGGCTGGCGTATTGGACGGCGAGGTGGCCTGGAGTCGGGAGGATCGTGTTAGTATCGTATAATAGTCGGTTCCCCTCTGTAAGTCTGCGGGCACTCGCCTACAGTCGGCGAAAGCAAGTGTCACGGGAAAGCAAGTGTCACGCAAATTTTACGCGAGCTTCTCACAGAAAATTATCTAAGCTTTCCTCACTAAAAAATTCCGTAAATAACAAATATATCAGAAAAAGTGTTATATAGTAATAATACTATTTGAAAATTAAACATATAATAGTACTTAATCAGTTTAGTTTGTTTATCTCCTTTTAATTATTAGTATCTGTTATAAAAGCTATAAAATTATTCAATTATTTTTGCGTGACACTTGCTTTCCCGTGACACTTGCTTTCGCCGACTGTAGGCGAGTGCCCGCAGACTTACAGAGGGGAACCGACTATTAGAGCCCTGGACGTTATATTGTACAGTGGGGAGTTCAAAGGGCATGACGAGATCCCTCTCTCAAAACAGTGGGTTGTGTATTGAGTCAGGCTGGCAAGCGACTTTGCAGCTGGGTAACGTAACATAATAAGACAGAAACCTGCTTACCAAGGCCACCTCCAGCACCGCTGATGACGATCCAGTCGCCGGGTTTGGTATTCGCTTTCAGGAGGCCAGAGTAGACAGTAAGTCCAGCACACAAGATAGGCGCCGCTTCAGCGGAGTCAACGCCATCTGGTATGGGCGTGCAGTAGTGTGCTGAGGTGGTCACGTATTGCTGAAACGTGCCGGGGGTGTAGTACCCTGAGATCTTTTGGGTAGTGCAGGTGTTGTCGTCACCTTCGAGGCAGGCGTCTGTAAGAGAATGAGGTATTAGCTCAGGCTTGGAGACTCTATATTTGATATCTGAGGTGGATAGGTAGTGCCATTTTGGGATAGCGGTCTTTGAATTGGAAACTGTGTTTTGGGTTGTAAATAAGGTCGTGACTCGTGGGTTCATACCGCAACTTCCACAGACTTCAGCAAGCCATTTGATACCGATACGAGTTCCGATTTTGGGTTCTGTGACTCCAGGCCCGTGTTCAACTACCTCCCCTACACCCTCGTGCCCTCCGACTTGTCCTGCTTGCTGTCAATCCTTGTCTTGAAAACGCCGTTACTAGACTCAGGGGATGACAAACCTTTTTGTGTTGGAAAGGGAAGAATAGGCCAAGCTTGTGTACAAACCGCGAGGTCGGAATGGCAAACTCCTGAGTGTGTCCTATGTGACTTGATTATTATTCGTGTATGACATGGCTCTCTCGTCCAGATACCAAAGAGAGGGAATATCACGTGGAAGAACGTAGAAGTGGGAGGAGGTCTCACATTTTAACGAGAACCTGTCCTGCGCCGGGCTTGGGAACCTCCAGTGTTTCGATGGCTATCTTTGGTGTACCGGGCTCGGCGTAGGTTGCCGCGATATTGCCAGGCATCGTATTATTCAGGGGAAAGATTGATCAAGGATTCGTGGAGATTCAATAGTGGGCTTATCGACTATAGCGTTCTTAGACTTACACAAATACCTAAAGGTTTTGTGATAAATAAATTTGGAAATTCTGTGACGATTTATGGTCTGTTTGAGGTAGTGATTTCTCTGCATAACCTCTATTTCTGATGCTCAGGGAGTGGTACACGATATAAGGTACTGTAACCTTTAATGATTAACTTAAGGTTCTAACTCCCCTCTCGGAAGCCGCTCGGAACTCTCCCCACACGTCGGCCACCATTCAGAAGCCTGGAGGTCTGGAACAGGCGTACTCTGGTCTCAGCGATAGCGGCTGTCATCTAGATCTCCTCGAACAGCCTGCAAAATTGCCGAGTCTAGCTTCCGTCTCTTTCGAACTCGATTTCGTTCCTGGTTCGTCCACCTTGTGGCTGGAAGGACGTTCGGAACTGGATCGGAATCATAATCGCTAAGCGATTTCGAAAGTGGACTAGTAAACAACAGTCGCTGGACTTTGGCGAGAATGGGCCTCGGCATGGAGATGGAAAGCAACATATATATCCAGCTCCAACCCTAGCAGCAGGACTCATCAGTTGCCTGCTGACTCACACAATCTACAATCATATACTTAGGTCAGCTCCAATATTCCTCACCCTTTAATTCCATACAATTTTCAAACAGCACAACCAAAGTCATGGAGATATTGCTGTGGACGTCATCATAGTCGGCGCTGGTGTCTCCGGCATCAACGCTGCGCATCGCATCCAAACCCAGTTCCCCAATTTCAGCTACATCATCCTCGAAGCACGCGATCAAATTGGCGGAACATGGGATCTCTTCAAGTACCCAGGAATCCGCTCCGACTCCGACCTGTACACTTTCGGTTTTCCCTGGCGGCTTTGGTCGAGCGAGAAGGCTATCGCTGATGGCCCTGCTATCAAGAAATACATGGTCGAATCGGCGAAGGAGTTTGGAATTGACAAGAAGATACTGTTTGGTCACAGACTTGTTTCTGCAGACTGGTCTTCTAAAAACAAAGTTTGGAGCTTGGACGTACATGTTCGGGGTGGGGAGAGTAGGGCTGTGAGAGCTGGGTTTGTGCTGTATGGCTCGGGATATTACGACTACGAGGAGCCGCTGAAAGCAGTTATTCCAGGCTTGGAGAACTTCAAAGGCAAAGTCATTCATCCTCAGTTCTGGCCAGAAGACCTCGACTACACCAATAAGCGAGTGTTAATCATCGGCAGCGGGGCCACGGCCGTGACGCTCCTCCCGGTCCTTGCGGAAAAAGCAGCAAGCGTGACAATGCTCCAACGAAGCCCAACCTATATACTCTCCGCGCCGGCGAAAGATGTGGGGAGCTGGGTCCGGAATCTCCTTCTATCGTATATCGTACATCGTCTCGTGCGCTGGAAGTACATGTGGATGATGTTCTTCTAATTCCAGTTCTGCCGTGCATTCCCAGCACTTGCCACGAGACTGATCAAAGCCGATACCGTGAAGCTACTGCCCGAACATATCAAGCAGGATCCTAATTTCAAGCCAGCTTATAATCCCTGGGAACAGCGGTTGTGTATTTGTCCGGATGGTGATTTCTATAAAGCGCTGAGGGAGAATAATGGGAATGTCGCGACGGATACGATTCAGAGTGTCACGAGCACAGGGATCATGACAACCGGTGGAACACACCTGGAAGCTGATATCATCATCACGGCGACGGGGTTGAAGATGAGAATTGTAGGTGGTGCTCGAATCAGCGTCGATGGAACCGTGCTGAGGATCTCGGTTAAATTCATTTGGAAAGGGACAATGGTTCAGGATATACCTAATACGGCATTTCTCCTCGGCTACACGAATGCGTCGTGGACACTAGGGGCAGAGGCATCGATCCAGCTTATGTGTGGAGTGATACGGTCGATGATCAAGCGAGGAACTTTGTCAGCGTGCGCGAGGGTTCAACCAGGTGTGGAGCTGAAGCCTAGGAGTATGATGAATTTGTCGAGTACTTACATCAAGGTTGGCGGAGGAATTTTACCTAAAGCCGGAGATGGAGGCCCGTGGTTGGCAAGAAGCAATTATTTGAGAGATCTGTGGAATGCGAAATTTGGGGATATCACAGAGCTGGGTTAGAATATTTCTGAGCTCATGCAGGATGCTTGTTATTGAATAATAGACGCCCATTGTGTTTGGAATGGCTGTACACCCCCGATTATTCTCCTCATAAGCGTGAAATGTTCTGCTTGCTTCTTATGAACTTGATTTTAATGGACAGGGCTGGATGATTGATGGGGACTCTAACCGCCCTAGTTCGCGGTACTGACCAAGCCGACACTTCTCTCTCTTAGAATTTGCACCACAGCCATAAAAGAAAGAAACTCGATATCCCATACTCTTGAATTATAGAAAAAAAGTCTGTATTGTGTAAATGAAATGTCTCGCCTCTACGCTACCAAATATCAATAACTATCGCCTCATCGATCCCCTATCCAAGGCTCAACTACCCCGTCACACTCTCGAAATAAACCATCATAGCACCCTGATGGACCCCTTTTGCAAAGGCCTTCAGTTTTTTATGTGCCTCACAGTCCTCGTCATAGTACAGCATATCCTCAACTGATGAGAAAACAGATACAACTGCAACAGTGTAACCTTGGTCGCGCTGGCTCGGGATGCCTTGGCCGGCTGTTACAGAGAGAATGTAGGGCTTGCCATCCTGAGAGAAAAGACTGAGGTTTGGTGATATGTTCAGAAGTGTAAGGCTTTGGAGATTCATACCTTGATTGCGTTCTGTTTCATGCCTTTGCAGATTTCGAGGAGCTTCTCTTGGTCTCCGACATTGGGAATCTTAAAGAGTGTTATTCGCTGGATGGGCTTGGTGGTTGAGGCTGACATGCTGACAATAATAGAACTAGATTTAGGTCTCAGCGTGTAATTCCTAAAAGTCCAGATTGATATCTTGTGTCGAATGCGTCGGATACCGGTTATTTGCGAGTTATCGAGTGTTTATGCTTCGGGATTGGATCTACTTGCAGAGACTAGCGGGTAATTTTGACTTTCGGGGACCATCCGCACTGGCTAGCATAGCTTTCGAATCACTTATTACCTCGGGTAGGCATCGAGGCTGTTTATAGTACACAGCTGAAGTGCTTCGCACAACTACAAAGCCAACGCGCAACTGTTCCGATCATTCCGCCCTGGGTTTCCGACGACTTCCGTGAGATCTTGCCTGGGCCCAAAAACAGCACTTTTGATTCAGTGATCGTGCGCTGAAGGCATGGAAGATCTGCTAATGATTAAATTAAGGGGAATTTGAAAGCTACTGAGTGAAACGTACTTGGAAATGAAGAGAACATTGTGTTTACACTGTTGACAGTTTATTAGTATTTCTTGGCAAGTTTCGGCTCGGCTCGCTTGCTGAGCGCCCCTTTCTACAGTACCCCGCAATCCTTGAATCCTGGACCCGCATTGTCCTGCCACCTGTCAAGCTGCACCAAACGCTCTCCTCTGTTTAACTTAAACGCTCAAATATCAGGAATATAAAGTAGCAAGTACGCACAAAAGACAGCATTTTGTTTCGACATGTGAAAGATGCAGCCGGTGCATCTAGTCGAGACCCAGGAGTTTGGTCAGAAAAAGAGGCGCAGCGACGATACAGCCACAGAGAATCCAAGGCGACAGAGGCGAGAGAAATATGTACCTGCAGCATGGTAAGTCGAGTGACATTTGATAACTGGTTTCCAATTGCTGTGAGGTTGAGCTGACGGCAAAAGTGAGGAGTGTAAGAAGAAGAAGATAAAATGTACCGGCGATCTTCCATGTCAACGCTGCGAGTCTCATGATAAGGCGTGCAAATACATCCGTGGCGTTGGAGCTGGTGGCGACTTCGTGGAAAGCAGCTCGTGAGTTTCTCATCTACTAGGAATCGGAGTATTATTGTGCTTGAACTAACGATTGAAAGGAACCGGTGCACAGCACTGGAGGCGCAAGTTCGTGGCTTGCAAGAGCACGTGCAGAAATTACAGTCTGCGATTCAAGACATCAGAGTCCAAATGTCGAGGAACCTTCTTGATGTGGGTGAATCGAGGTGGAACTCGAGTGGGCAGCAGCCCACAAAGGATAATAACACCACTAAAGTGGGACACGCGTCATCTTCCCAGTCCAAAGCAAACTCCGCACCAACACGTCCTCAATTCATCGGACCCACGAGTTCAGATTTCAGTTTTAACTTGGCAAACTCGGCACTGAGCCGTCTCGGCATCGAAGCACCGAACGGAGATGCAAGACTGGACAGTGCAGTGACGAGTCGACGTACCAGTCCAGAACCAACCTCAAGAGATCCTACGACTAATCCCAAATTAGACCCGTTATTGACGCTGGGATTTGAAGAATCTAAGCGTATGTTGGATGTCTATGAAGAGGAGCTGCATCCAATCTACCCGTTTATCGACATCGATAATGTGAGAATTCGGGCCCCTACCCTGTATCGGGAGCTCGAAGCAAGATGTTCCGGAGGTGAAGTAGCTCAGGACTCTAGATCACGCAGTATTGATACTATGGTGTTTAAACTGGTGGTTGCTACCGCGCTTGTGGTTGATGGAGCTGGGAAATCAAAGCTGGGGGAACAGTTGCTGGGGAGTATTGATGCAGCGTTGGACAGGAGTATCAGGGGTATTGGAATAAATTTGAAGCAGCTTCAACTCTTCACACTGACGGTAAATTGCGCTTTCCCATAGATCCAATCTTCAGTTGCTGACTTCCCGCAGAGTATCTATCATTTGCATTGTGACGAAGAAATATTGGCTTGGCGCACGATCGGCATTGCGGCACGGATTGCACTTGAGATGGGCCTCCACAGAAGAGAAAGTTTGGAAGAGAACGTCCCAGATCCAGAGGAGAGGCACTGGGCAAAACGTTTATTCTACTGTATCTACGTTCTTGACCGAAGATGGAGCTTTGGAACCGGACTGCCGTTTGCACTACAAGATTCAGATATCGATCCAGATCTGCCTAGCTTGGTAGGTCGACATAACAGTCCAGCTGAGCAATTTTTACGCTAACCTCAGACATAGGATGGCAGGGTTCCCTGCCTAGAAAGTATGGTGTCGTACGGAAGAATATCCTCTCAAATATGGCAACTAGTTGCCGGCTTCAGCAACAAATCTTCTAATACAGACGAAGAGAAAGTCAACTACCTCGACTTCCAAGTCCAGCGCTGGCGCGAATCCCTCCCACCAGCTCTCCAACTTTCAATGATAGACCCATCATCACCACCCAACACTCAAAAGACGTCAATATCCACCCCATCCCAAAGTCTCCAACGCCTCCAAATCCTCCTCTACCTCCGTGCCAATCACCTCCGTATCCTCATCCACAGACACAACATCATGTCTTCCACAGCCATCGCCGCAAACCGCGAAGGCGCCCACCTCGTGACATCCATCGCAAAAGACACGATACGACTCCTCGTGCGGATGCGCGAGACCTCCACAATCTACGAAACACAACAGACAGCATACAATTACTTCCTCATCTCCGCACTCGCAGCCATCTTTCTAGCAGTGTGTCACGATCCCGGAGATTTCAGCGTGGGATGTCGCGATGAGTTTTTCAGTGCGTTGGAACTGCTGAAGGATCTCTCGAGTCATGGCGCCAGTGCGAAGAGGTTGTGGAAGAGCTTGAAAGGGCTGAAGAGTATTGCTCCGAGGCTCGGACTCACGCCGAGGGAGCAGCGGGATGACGAGGAGCGTGCTATGTCTTTGGGTGGTAGTGCAAGTGGGAGAAATGCACAAGGGGCGTTCTCCCATCGCCCGTTGGTGCAAACGACAGTCTCTACGTTGGCAGGAGCCACGCCGGCTGAGGAGAGGGTCTGGAATGTCAATACTAGTGCTGGTAGCATTTCTAGCGCTAGTGCTTCAAGGACGGGGGTCGGAGGCGTGGCGGTGGATGCAGCTGATTTTGACCTACCGGATATGTTTTATATGAGTGGTGAGTTGACAAACATGTTTGAGGCTTTTGGGGACATCCAGGGAAATGGGCAGGTGGGGCTAGATTTTAATGTTCAGGACAGGATTTTGGCGGATGGAAGGGATATTTCGGCTTTGTTTGGGGATTTGTTGTAGGATGTCAGCGGCGTTGCACTTAGTGTCAATTTCTCCAATGAATAACTTGCACACATTACTTTTCTTCAATTAGATAAGTTGCTTACGTCTTGTGTCACTATTACGTTGTATCATGTTTATCATTTCCGTTTAAAATCGATTGCGTTGTATTGTTCTTCTCAAGTTAACTCCGCGCCTTGCAGACTCCAAAAATCCAATTCTGTTGGAAGTATCTCCTTTAGCGTGATCCAGCACATCTGAGGTGCAAATAAATATTGCACTTTAGCACTCATTGTCAGATCACTTAGCTGCTGCGTTACATACATCCCAGATTCGCATCCAGTCCGGGCCGGGGTTTCTCGCTGCTCTGTTGGCTTCAGTCTCAGGGCCGAAAATATCGTCTAGAATAAATCTGACCGCGTTCTCGCTCATTGGCCCGGACCCCAATCCTAGAATAACTTGGCGCCACTCCTCTCGTTGCTGGACAAGATCAAGACAGTTTTGCAGAAGTAAGCTCTTCAACTCGTTAAACATACCCTGGCACTTTCTATACTCACTAGAATTGTTATATCTGCTCGGGGCAGTGGCAGTCCTTGCAGATTGGTCTCGGTCAGCTCTGGTTTCAGGTCCAAATTGCTCCTCACAATAGCCTCTTACGGCTTCTAGTGGGGACCCGAGCCACAGGAATAGACTTTTCATAGAATCGCGTTCTTTAACTGGGTTCTTAGCCCAAACGAGCCCTGGCGGTATGGAGCCTGGTGGAGGGCACTCGACTCTGTGGCGTGAGGAGGTAGGGCGATATTTGAATAACCTGCTCTTTGTAATGAATTTCTCAATGTAAGGTTCGCTTATGCCTTCGTCGCGCAGTTCTTGACGCAGCATGTCGAGGGTCATCTCAGAGGGCGGTGGTCGCGGATCGAAATCCGGAGAGGGGGAACGATTATGAGGGTTCCTGCCAAATGTGTCAGAGGCACTGTGCGGAGCAGGGCTGTGGGAACTACTCACGATTGATGGCGCAGGAATAAGACCTCTACTGACGCTCGATGGATCAGCGACTGACCCCTGAGATACCCCTCCACCTCCTGGTGGTCTGACAAAGGGTGTCCTAGCCGCAAACTCCACTTCTACAAGATCCTTCGCCCTCTCGTACGGGAACCCCAGCTCTATGAAATCACGCATGAGCTGCCCACGCGATGACACTGAGCGATGGCCGTTCCATTTGGCTGGGTCATGCTGGATCACTAGGACCCTCTCATTCTCCGGGGTGGGAGGCCGCTGACTAGGGGCGTCAGGATTCTTATCCATGTTGAATAACCGTCGCTAATGCTGATTATCGGTACTGTGGAGGAGATAGACGGCAATTTGTGGTGGTTTCTTCCGTGGCGTAGATCAACACGTGGAAACTGAGAAGATGCTGCTCTGCGGCAACTCCATCGAGAGTTCATTGCACGTACTTAAATAGTGTCACAAGTGATGTTGTTCTAGAGCATTGGATATTGTACACAATGACTCGGCTGCGACGATCTTGTTCTTGAGTACAGCTTGCGAGCCGCAATAAAGAAGTCTTTCGGAATCAAGCTTTCCCATTGTTGCGCAAACAATCCTTTATAAAGGGCCTGCTCACGTTGTTCGGTTCGGCTAAATGAAAACAAAGCTGTGTCACGTGAGTACCAGCTCCTTCAACCCAGAACAAGATTCAGCTCAACCTATGCCTACTCGAACGCCAGCTCCGTCAACTAGCAGGCTTAACTTATTCTCGACGGACAATGGCTCTGATAGAATGGTAATCAAGTTCGACTGCCAGGTTCAATACAGTGAGGGACATGGAGAAGCAGGGTAGCAAACCATACATCCGCTTCAATTTCATTGCTGTGTCTGGAAGTAAATCTCTCCCAAACGTCATGCCTCAAGATCTTAAACTATGTGACATGAAGCGCAGCATGAGGAAGTAGGCCGTCCTAGATCACTGCTGAGAACCCAGAACAGATTGCTCCTTCACGGGCTTACACCAAACGTGCAAATGCCTTCCTGGATAATACGGCGTAAAGCAATCCCTCCACTTCAGATCTTCCACCTTCGTCCCATCAAGCTTCATATCGAACCTTATAAGCATAGTAGCAAAAGCAATGTACAACTCGCACCAGGCCAGATTGATACCAAGACAACTTCTCGGACCTCTGCTGAACGCAACAAGATGTTGGTCCAACCCTTTTGACTCCGCTGAGAGCCATCTATAAGGGTTGAATATTTCGGGTGACTCGAAGATCTCCTCGGATTGGTGAACAAACGTGCTGGCCATACCGACGATAGTCCCGCCGGGGATTGGCCTGCCCGAGATGATTGCACCAGAGGAAGGAACTATACGAACGAGTGGGGAGGTGGCACCTGGTGACACGCGGAGAGATTCTTTTATAGTGGCTGTCAATAGCTTGAGACACTCGAAAGCTTCGAATGGAGGCGGATCGTCAATGTTAGGCCAAACCCTCAAAACTTCTGTGCGGAGTTTGTCGTACAGTTCGGGTTGGTCTAATACGTGGAAGTGGCCGGTCATAAGGGTATCGCCTACAGTGACACCACCTGCGAAAACCATGGTCTGAGCTTCTTCATAGAGGCTCGTGGAATTTGGGATGGGTGCTCCATTCTGGAACTCGGGGGCCAAGAGGCGATTATAGATTGTCGGATGAGGGGTGTCACGGAGGCTGGCCGGGCTGGTCGTTACGTCTTGTACTTGCTTGCCAAGAATTGTTTGAAGATTTGTCAAGCCTGCAGTCTGTGGTGATGCCTTGATTGCAAGCCATGGTGGAAGGGAGAAAATAGTCTTGCGGAAGAGTGGAAAATGTTTGAAAAGGTGGAATGTAGGTAGAGAGGCATCCATAGCTTTCACGATAGGAGCTTTAAAGTCCGGCTCGTCCATGGCATTCACCGATTTAGCGAAGCAAAAATCAATAATAGTGTCCACGGTGAAGCATCGGAATGCCAGAAGAAGGTCGGCAGACTTGCCAGCTGCATCATTCTTAGTGATGGCCTCCACGAGATGATCAAACTGCTCATGTTAGCTTTGTTTGACGGGCACAGATACTGTCATACGTTTTGTCTCACAAGCCCTTGAATGTCCAAAATCGCTCTTCGTGAAAACATGGGCTGTAGAATGTCTTTACGCGGCTTTGACTCTGCATACGAGAGCAGCCCAAAGGAGGAGTGATCTTCGCCAAATGCTTTGTACAAAGTTTTTTCTTTGTCCCACCTTGCCGAGGCGTTGTAAATCTCGTGATAGGCTGATGGCTTGGAAAAGTGAAGCTATCGCAACAGTAAGCAACCTGGATTTGGAGCTAATCATCTGACTACGAAGTAAGCTCTTACCTCATTTGGACCAACTCGGACGATATCACCTGGCATCCTGTCAGCTTCATTCCAAGACTCATTTTGAGATTTTCGAGGTTCCTACCGAACTCCTTGTGCAACCTGATCAGAACATCGACCATAGATTCTTGTGTGACGACCTCAATATAAGTCTTCCACCAGGTAGTAGCTTGCGCAGCTCTCGGCCCTGGAAAAAAGCGCAAGGGATGGAAGAAGACATTGTAGACCAGCTGTCCCAGCTTCAGGCAGGTCCACGACAGCAGCAGTGTCCAGAATGCGAGCCCGATCTGGAGAGTCATGTCGGTCAGGTGCTTCGAACTGTACGCAGGTAGTGGTGTATAAAGTGACAGTGCAGGATCTGTAACTTCATGAGCCGATCAACGGTCTTGTAATGTGCGACAAAGAAGAGATTGTTGGAGAAGTGTGGTTCCACGACAGATTTTGGCTGCAAGGATGAGAGGGATCCCGGGATGGGAAATAGTCTCGCAAGCGAGATGGCGCATATCCCAGTTGAGACATGTAGACCTGCATGGACGTGCAGGAAGGTACATCCGGCGGCATGTCGTAGATCGAGGGATTAGTTAAGTCACATAAAAAAAATTCATGAATCTCTGCCGAAGAAATTTGAACTGGGTGGGAGAATCTGGCCCGAGATCGGAAGGGGTATCGGAGGAGCACTAACCCCGATGATTCCGAATACCTGCTTAACATTGGTCACGTGGACAGTGGGCGAAATCAACAATAGAATTCCGATGAAAGACGACCACCATTCTGCGTCAAGGATCAGAGAATCTTACCTTTGAACATCCAGGATTATGGGGTGAAATGCTTTATTGAGACGAAGAAGCAGGCAAACATGCAAACAGGCAGCTAGCTAATCTATCTAGTTCTATCATCAAGCAGCAGCATGAGTGCTACAATATCTCATGACGTGAAAGAGTCATGGAAACAAGCAATAAGCCCTACAGATCTCTCTTGACCAAGTCTACTGGTGCAGTATACTTCTTCTTGCCAATAATAAGATAATATGCCACTGCAAAAATCATCGTTCCAAAGAACATGACCACATTCCAATTCATCATTTCAACAGTAACTTTGCTCTCGATTGGGAAGAAGACGAACACCCATACAAGCAGGAGGAAGCAGACAGCTCCGATATTGATGAAAATCCCAGCACTTCCGAGCGACCATCGGCGTGGTGGCATAGGATCCTTCCGGAGACGTCGGAGGATCAAACAGACGAATGAGATTATGTACGTCCCAAGAATGGCTGAGACTGCGAGAGAGCCAATTGCATTAAAGGCAACTGTGGACTCGATATTAATGAGAGACAGGACAGTGGTGATCGCAAATGTAAGAAGAACGGCATTCAAGGGGATTCCACCCTGGTTTGACCCGCAAGATGAGTTTTAGCAAGTACTTGATTCTGGGTGCAAATGTAAACTGCAAAGACTGAGACTCACATGTGCGATGAAGGAGCAACACGGTAATCCTCTATCTCGAGCAAAAGACCAAGTCTGCCGTGACACAGTTGCGACGGTGCTGATACATGCTGAAGTGATGTTAACGATTATGATGGCTGTCATGATCGACGTTCCAGCTTTGCTTTGCGTGACGTTGTAGAAGACTTGGATGAATGGATAGTGGGTGGGTGTATCCAGAATGTCGAAGACACTGCCCAAAGTAAAGCAGAATGTGACGATTATCACAAATCCCAGTGAGCCATTAATGGTTGCCGCCCACATTATTGCTCTGGGTAGCACAATTGAAGCATCTTTGATCTCTTCTGACATATGGACCGCAGAATCTGCCCCAATCAAAGTGTAAATTGGAGCGAGAAGGCCAACCATGAAGGAAAGTCCCTTTGTATTCCATCCTCCAAGATTGAGAAACTCGGTGAAGACAAGTTTTGGAGAATTGCGAGGCGCAAGAACCCAGAGGGGAATCAAGACTGCGAAGAATCCCAGAATATGAATTATGAGAACCAAGCCTTCGACCATCGGAAGCTTTCTGGCCAGGACGGTGTTAAAGATTATGCAGAAGGCCGTAATGGCAATGACGAGTAGAGTTCCGTGCCATCTTTCGAAGATGTACTTGTCGTTGTCAAGAACTAAGAGGCCTTGAATCATAGTTCCAACCAAGAACACTAGGGATGCAAGACCTGTCTGCCATCCTAAAACCGAGGTCCAGCCTTTACAACGTTAGCCAGAAGAGACATGTCCATTCAGAGCTGACAACTCACCAACAAGATAGCTGACGAACCTCTGGCAGCTGCGTGGAGCGAATTCTGAAACCCAGTGGTACTGTCCACCGGAGTTGGTGCCCTATCAGATTCCGTTAGCTGTGTTCTGTGTTCATGGAATCACGGGTGTTACATTGACGCCATCTCTGCGATTGTCGCGAACACTAGCATGTAGCCAAGCCAAACAACAAAGTATCCCCAGACGAGACCAGCAGTGCCTCCATTTATCAAACCATAGAAGCTCGTCCTATGCTGTGTGTTAGCTGTGCAATTTAATCCCACTCTCCCTTGACGATATCTACATTAATGCAATCTCCCAGGTAGACATCAATGTGCAGGCGAATCCAAGAGTTGAAATGAACCGAAAGTCTCTCTATACAAGGCTCAGTCGTGTTTTGATTCCAGAGCAATACTTAGCTACAGACATTGAGCTGCTGTGTTCTTCCCAGCATCCGCATCTCCTGGTCGTCAACTTCGGTGCCTCCGAGCTTGGAGTAGTTTCGCATCTCGAAAGCATTCTCAGTAGGATCAGAATGGCTACTTGCGATTACATGGCCTTTCTGGCGTTCAATGTCCATCGCTGCCGTTGATGTTAGTCGCTATTGATGGTTTACAGGTGTTCAATCGTGGGATTTCTGCTCAACTGGTGTTGGTAGGGTTAAGGACAAATTGAGAAAGGCAGAAGAGAAGAGTTGATTGGCATGAGAGAAACCCATGAAAGTGAATTGTATCTGATGGATAATTACCCGGCTGGTATTGCAAGGGAGAGAGGCGTTGATGCAGGAAATAGCCCAGACCAATAAGGAAGTGGCCGGCCTCAGCGTCGACCAACACAATAGCGTCGCTTCGCTTCCAAGGGCCAGTCAACACCCCTTCACAACACATGTCTTCAAGGATTACCAGCCATGTCTTCAAAGTACGACAGGGACATTGTTCCACAAAATTGCTCATGTTTCCAAGAACAGGACGAATGCCGATGTCCAGCTGAGCTCGTGGGTGGCTGATACAAGATACCTGGTTAACGTTCCATTGTGTTGGTTACCCCTGCTGCGAAACATGAAAGATGGATATAAGCCTGGCGTCATACTGAAACGGATTGTTCAAGGCCACTTCCTTGCTATCATTGTCCATTGTGCTTTGTTTAAGTCTGAAGGAAAATCGAGGCACCCGTCAAGACTTTCAAGAAATGATTCGCTTGCTGTGATGCTAAGTCCCTGTTCTTCACTCCATTTCTGAATCTCACGAAGAGTTATTGTACTCTGAGAATGGCTTCCAACGAAACAGCGGGATTATTACCTGGACGATCGGCTCCATTGAGTACCATCACTTCAAGAGATCAGAGTGGCGTGGTACTGATAGCGACTGCTCTCGGCTTAGCATTCGCCTTGGTCTCCATGCTCATTCGCGTTTACATACAAATTGGGCTTCGTACTGCAGCTGATGCTGCAGCTGTACTTTCAGCGGTAACGACTAGCTTATTTAAACCTACCAAACGTAGTGCCAATGGCTCTCTACAGGTGTTCTACTTATTCCAGGCTTCATCAACATTCGTTGGTTCCTCGAAGGGTTGGGGCAAAACGGCAAAGGACATTCCCGATAGCCAACTTTTGCCTCTACATAAAGTGTGTCACACATCAATATGATGTATAAAAGTATCCTGACTAGTGTAGGCCATCTATTCCAGCGAGATACTTTACATCATTACCTTGTGGTTGACAAAATGCTCCGTTGCGCTCCTTTTTATCAAATTATCGCCAGACAAGCGGCACAGTCTGGCCTCCTACTCAATTTTAGGGGCATCGACTGTTTTTATGGTCATATCAGTACTCACAGTGAGCCTCCGTTGCGACCTGGCCCAACCTTGGATATTCATCGGAGCTACTTGTACTCACGTTGTGAGTACAGAGGATCACCCTCGTGCCTATCCGCTGACGGCATGCTAGTTGTCTCGATGGCGGACAGTTGCAGCCATGGACATCATCACAGAAGTTGCACTATTCTCCACTTCTATATACCTGGTCAAGAACCTGCAATTGTCACTACACAAGAAGTCCTTGGTTGTATTGGCATTCGGGCTTCGACTACCGTAAGTTCCTTGCACCCAAAACATTCCAAAGCCTAACAACGACAGCATGACAGCAACCACGATCCTCCGCCTCGACAGTATTCAATCGACTATCGACTCCACAGATCCAACACTGAAAGGCACAATGGCCCAAGTCTATACCCAAATCGAGCTCTGCTACGCAATCATAGCTGCCACTACACCCTGCCTCAGACCATTCATGAAAGCTCTCAGCACACATTACGGAGCACCTGCATCTATTAAATCCACGCCCACAAATACCCATGCTTACACACTAAACAGTTTCTCGAAACGGAGCAAGATCAGTGGGACGAAACCTTCAAGCCAGGACAGGATGGAAACAAACCCAGACGATATGAATATGCCGAACTTGAGGTGGGACAAGAGTTCACACCATGCGAGTGTGGTGAGTGGTGATCAGAGGAGTATACAGAGTCATGATAGTAAGCAGATGATCATCTCGAAGAATTCCCAGTGGACGATTAATTATGAGACTGAGTTGGGAAAGTGCATTTGAGCCAAGACATATTCACGACTTTCTCTTTGTATTGCATTCGTAGACAAGCAATTGGGCACATGTAAATTTTCGGAGGACTAGGATTGTGCGTTTAATGGACTGTATGAATATAAAGAGAGCTATGCAGATAGATTGAAGCGAAATTGTGCTCCTGCACTTCGCCGACATTGCTCCAGATATATCATAAGCTGCCATTAATCTTCTGTAATACTCTGTCACCATATATTCTACCCTTCTTTCAATCGCAAATCTTATTCACTAATCGTACCTCAAGGCTCTTAGCCAACCATTCCTAACGCACCCATGTCAACAAAAGGGCCGGCGTCCGTCCCGTCCCGCGCCACCTGCATGCACCTCTTACTGTACCACAGAACCAACAGATAAGACCCTAGCCTAGTCACGCAGGCCCACATCTAAATTGCTTGTTCGCTGGGGCTTGCTTCATCTAAGCCAATGGATCGGTATGGGAGGTGCAGAGGGAGACAGGTGGAAGTACTCTCTATGTACCACATGTTTCTCAGGACAACGCGGGGTTGTTCCGAAGAAGGACAAAGGGGACTTTGGTGGAATGTTCACGATATTTCGGACAGGTGGAGCGGCATTATATAAAGAGGCGGATAAGTAGCTTAAGCATCATCAGAGGCATTGGTCATGGAACAAACGAACAACAAAACACACACGCCGCGCTGAATTCCATAAATGTCAGGAATCTGCCTCGACCTCGACATACGTCCACCTCAACATGCTATCATCAAATGTCCCCTTCCTTATTATCGGCTTGCCACTAGATCCAACGTTAACCATCTGGATATTATGATCCGACTTCTTTACTTTCTCTTGGGAGCATGTCTTGGAGATGTGTTTACAGAATACGACGAGGGATGGGAGGCACGCGCAGATGAGTCCGATCGATACTTCGGCAATCCTGAGAAATCATCAGCACTCATGTCAAAGGTAAGCCTAGAAGAAAAGTAACGATGTACTCACGCGAGTAAGTTCAGAGCAACAGTATTCAGAGTCACGTCATGTGAATCAATAATCATAGCCAGCAGCACCAGCCGCGCCACCGTCGCCACGCATGCTATACCTCCAGCAGCCAGCGATGCAATAACTCTCAGCTTCTTAACCTTAGGGAGATTCATTCCCCAAATCAGTGGTACTGGTGTAGTTAGGACAGCAAAGTCTGTAATCACACTAACCGTCGTGTCCGCCAAGTAGAGAGTCTTGACATCCAAGCAAGTGGCATCCGGATAACCTGCAGCGTCCCAGTACGCTGCAATAGGGCTGCAAATGAAAACCTTCGCGAATCCCATGGGTACGTAGAAACCTAGCATGAGCAGAATCAAGATCTTGATTCCGAGGGTGGTTTTGAATGCTGCTTCATAGAGGCGGGCGAAGAAGAGGAGGATGGTGACTTTTATGAAGAATGCTGTTGGACCGTAGACTAAGAGGCCACCATAGGATACCTGAAGGTGATCTCTTAGTAAATGCCCTAAATTGAATTCTGATACCTCTTTACCTTCTGGAAGTCGATGGCATCTTGCGGGCTGACATCCCACTGGTGATATCCTCCGCCAAATACATTGACTTGCTCTGGTCAGCATCTAGTGAATCAACAGGACGTGAAACAGTGACATACACAGGAAATTATCTGTGATGTATAGGACGCAGAAGCACCACGATACGATACAAGCCCCTGATACCACGTGTAAGTTGTGTGTGGTGGAATACTCTGGATGGGTCTAAACCCACAATCTTCTTTGTACATAACTTTCTGTACCATAACCCGGGTGTACACCCTCACAACAACCATTACAGTGACCAAGAACAGACATATTGACTGTATTACGTAGTTGACGGTATGTAGGACATCTTTTGGCTGTGAAAAGTTGGGTGTGACTCCTGAAGGCGCGACCAATGCTACCGGAGTTGGCGCCATGCTCTTCAAACCTCCTGAAAATTTTCCCCACCAATGTTACGAAAGCATGACCACTTGTACTTCTTTCTCGCTTCCAGCTGCGCAGTTCGATGATATATGGTCTTATGTCGGATGGAGTCTTGACTGCGGAGGTGAAATCTGTACATCAGAGACGTTCTCCACTCTGGGGGAACAGTTGGACTTTAATGGACCTCAGTCAGGACGAGACGAGGTACATGGATTTGTAACTGGGTAAACCCCGTGTGCACGGGCGTGACTGAGTCGAATGTGTGGAATTATACTTTTCAAGAGTGCTCTAGAGCTATATAATCCCGACCCTTCGCGAAAATTAGCTCCACAAAACGACAACTTCGGATCTTGGGTTTCAACTTGGCCGTGTACGAGGACAAGACTTTTCACGAAGAGACCAATCGTCATATTGACGACCAACAACCCGCGTCAAAATCCATTGATTGTCGAGAAGAAATCTTGTTTCCAAAGCCGGACTGTACAGGAAGAACCATTCCCACATGATTGCAAATACATGGAGCAGCACAGACCGCTAGAAGACGACAAGCTTTTTCGGGTCTCACAATAACCCCACGAGGGAAAAGCTACGACCAGGTTGGCTTATCAGACAACTAGGCACCACTCAGTAACTCACTGACCGCTCGATCGGAGACATTCCCGACACAATTTTGTACTCCTTGATTGGAACCATCCATACGACTGCTCATTCGTTGCAGGTTAAAACAGACGGATGGGCTCTTCAGATTTGATCCCGAGAATTTAAGTTCCGAAATCATCAGTGCTGTGCATGTTAGCTTGGCCTAGCTTTCCCCGTCAACCAATCTACCCAAAAATTACTTTCCGAAAATGGCGTCGTACATTGAGTGTGCTTCAAATGGCCTGTAACCTGGCTGGCCTGGTTAATCCGGATGGTCTCATTCTTCTGCGAGTCATGGTCGTGTTCCCCACCGCACCAATCATGAACCAGATACTGGAGAGGGGCGCACGTTCCGGACGCCCGATCTAGGCGAATCATTGCACGGTTCGGCATGATTTCTGAATCGAAAGAAAGGGCGAGATCGTAATCTCGTGATTTTGAAGTCAGGGGTCCCAGGGTCTTGTTTTGATGGGACGGTGACCTGCCAGTCATATCAACGTACCGGCACATCTCGCGGCTTATCAACACATGCTCAACCTCACTCCATGTTTCGATCGATCACCTTGCTTATCTGGATAGAAACCCGTGGTACGAATATCTAGCCAGCTGATTCGAAACATAACCGTTACTGAAGCAGGCAGATCAGGAATTTTTCATATGGGTTGGCAAAAATACTAGGCTAAAATGTGCCAGAAACAGCAACATTGTCCATGTAAAGTAGTTGAACGAAGACAGGCTGTGATTTCAACAAGAAGTCAGCAGATGATGTCACAGTACTCGATGATAAATTTTCATATTTTGGCTTAATCCAGATGTTACAAACTTTCGATCCTCTAGAAGACGATTTATGCCAAAGTCTCTTGCCTCGCTGCTTGACTTTTCTTACATAAGAGCATACACTACAATGATCAATCCATCGGCGATTATAGCGGAGACCCTCCCCGGCTGATAGCTGCTAGGCCATGCTTTCTTAGAATGTCCACGTAAGATTCGTTCAAAGTCAACGATGTTACAGATTTTGATTTTTGTTCTGAACAATGCAACATCCCCGTAAGCGGCTGCTTGTGGTTTATGCAAGAGCTTCTCATCATACTGATAATTTGCAAGTTTCTCGTTGTGCAGGCTGTAGAAATTATGGTACATTTGGTTAATGCAGTGCAGGCATGAGAGCGTTAGTATCTAAACCCACTCCTGATCATTTCCTCTCCAGGACGAAGGAGAGATAGCAGATAAATGCGCTTGGTACAGCCGTAACTTCTCGTCTCTACCCCACAAATCCGAATCTTCAGAGCCTTGACGATTTCAAAATCCTGGTAATCAAAATTGGTGAGGGTGACAATCAGAAAATCTTGAAAGTGAGAGAAGAAGTCGTTACCTATCTTATAGACGGAACAGGGTGCTGAATGTCAGCACATGAGGACCACGTGCATGGCCGATTGGCTGTGCTGCCTATTCACATATGGTTAGAGGAATTGGCCCCCGACCTGAGTTCTGCAGAGCAATCAGTCATTGCGGTGACCAATTATCGTCTTTTACTTTTCTTTGCAGCAGTTGAAAAAGAAGCGGTCTCAATTGCTGCTCCAGAAACGGGGGTCGGCTTTTCCGCCCACACATGAGGTCACTTGCTGTCGGGATCTTCAGGGGCTCGCTTAAATCACAACATCAGATAAAATTTTCAGCAATAGAAAGTGTATGACGCTTCAGAAAGATTTAAAGCTGATGCCGTACGAATTTTATTCGGATTCCGTAGCCCAACAGAGAAAGCCAGCCGAGGACGGCGCAAGTTGAATAGTTGTGGAGATGTGACGTCTGAAATGCCAGTTCTTAGAAAGAGGATTTCAGGACATCGTCAAGATCATCTATTGAGAGATGGATCCTGATAAACAAGAGGCGGTGGGAATCGTGGAGCATTTGGCTGTGGGCTTGGTGTACTCCTGGGTCGTCTCTCATTTCCAGGTTGAGGTTCAGGTGTCGGAAGCCTCGGTCGACCCAATGGCATTGACAAATAGATGTCATAGACCGGAGCGGTATTGGTCGACTTTGGAGGAACGAAAATGGCTCGTTTGTTCATCTCCGCCATGATAATGTGTTCTCTTCCTTGCTTTGAACCCTGATTTCCAGTGGTCCGCGAATAGTCAAGGACGGTGAGATTTTCGTGATCGCGAGCTGTTAAGACCTTCACTTGCTGTTCGTTTAGACCGCCGTGGCTGTACATGAAAAAGACGTCTGAATTATCCCCCCATCCGTTACTGACGGCGTGATGGAGCGGCGTCATGCCTTTGTTATCTTCAATGGAAATATCGGCATTCCTGCAAATCAGGTTGCTTACGATTACCCGGAAGTTTGCGGTGCGGGGGTCAATCTCCTTGCCATTACCATGGCCACCAAAGGCTCTGGGTAAGTCGAATGGGGCAATTGTAGGAAGTGAGAACTCAGTAATCATATCCAGAATGTCTCGATTAAGCGAGGGTAGTTCGGTTTGATCGGGGAAACAATAGGAGAGTGGCGTCCGTCCATGTTTGCATCTCTGATTGACATCGCTGAGAAGAATCTGAAGGATCCTGAATACTCTCTTGGGTGCTCGGTTTTTGCAGGCTAAATGCAAAGACGTGAGTCCACGCTCGTCTGGCTGGTTGACGAGATGTTTGCAGAAGTTCATACCCAAGCACTCTAGCATTGTCTTGAGAACGAATGGATAACCGGCTTGGACAACAGAGCGGAATGCGACCTCTGAATGGTTCGCAAAATCTGCACTCTGCCCCAGTCGATCATCGGATGTTAGGTGTTGCGAGCAAAGGGACTTCCTGATCAACGGGAACCAGCCGCGCTCCACAAATTTTACGATCATCGTCTGTGCCGTCGCCTTCCAGGCATCGCAATGAAGTTCCACAATAGCTGTACACTTCGACAGAGTGTTTTGAACTTCTGAAGGTGTGTTTTGGATCGAGCTCTCCATCTGCAATCGAGCCAATGCCAAATTGACCAGGCACCAGTTGTCTTCCACCGTACCACCTGACTTCAGCAAAGCCAAGATGGCACCATCACTCGTAGGTGACCAGTACTTCGCTTCGATCAGAAGCGCTAGCATGGTGGCTATTGGATCAGTGATTAGTTGGCAATTTTCACTGATATGGAGCCCAACGAGCGTGTTGCAGAGGTGTCTGATGAATGATCCATTGTAAGCGAGACTTCTAGTCCCTTGAAGCAGCTGCACAGTGGCCGCATCAGACAGAGCAGCCAATGTCGCCAGTTCGAGAAGGTCTTCCATGGCTTCCAAAATGTCGGGACTCGATGTTGCGGGTAAATCCCAGATAAAGCATAGCTCCTGGAAGTGCATCGCAAAGGCAGGGTGGGCTAGCTGAGACTCATCTTGTTCCCGAAGTAAAGCAAGGCAGTAATATATTGCAGACACGTAGTCGTAAATGGTTTCCAGTGGTCGAGGACTCCCTGGTTTCCCTGCGAGATTATTATCAAAAGTAATGAGCCCATTGAGCATTGCGGCTTCAGATCGTACTGCTGGTGTGGAGGCGATGTCATGATCTGTGTAGATTCTGTGACGACTGGATACTTCGCTCGATAGTGCTTCGACTTTGGCCGCGATTTGAAGCTTTCGAAAAGACCCATCGCCATCCAAAGATGATTCATATAGTAGGTAACTCGGCAAGATGTCACTCACGGTCAGGGCTTCATGTGCATAGCCCGCAGTACTCAGTGCCCCCAGGAGAGAAGCCAAGGAGCTCAGTGCAAGTGAGTCTTCAGGAGATCTAGGAAAGCGACTTGATTTCAGGGCTTTGCATAGCATGCCAATCTTAGTCTCGGTCGTAGTTGTTTTGGCCCAGGTTTTGATTTCTCCAAGTATTCTGTCCCTTTGAGCATGTTCGAAAAATGTATTCGGGTACGGATTTTCAAAACGAAAGTAGGCTCGTCGAAGTTCTGCATCGAAAGGCAGCACGAATTGTTCGAGGTGGCTGTTTAACTCTTTGTTTTTCTCAAGGATTTGAAGACATGCAGCCGCTGTTTCTTCCATGGCAGGCTCGAGGTAGCTACGCTCAAGATCAAAGGTTCCAACTCCGATGCTGCGAAACAATTAGCTAGAATGGACATGCTATGCGTTAAGCTCTAATCACCTTAATAGAGTAGAAACAGGAAGCCCGGGCCATAGCTTCCGGCATTCTTCCAACGCCAGACAAGTGGGATTGTGTTGCGAATGTGCACCAGTGGCCAGTAACTCAGGAAATATGACACCAGGTTTCATGATATCCGGCGAAGCAACTGTTCCAAGGCCAACGGCGTACAAAGTGTAGGTTGTTTCTCCATGTCTGCACTCGTAGGTTCGGTGGAGTTTCGGAACATGATATTGATTATCGGGACTCACCCCACCATTGGCACCGTATCCTTGAGATTCAGATGAGACAACAAAACTGAGTGCAAGTTTCGTTAGACCTGAACGTAGACTGGAAAAAGAAGGATACATACACTTTACATCTACCAACCTCGGTATGTGCAGAAATTCGTTTGAAGTCGAACTTGCCATTCTCCATGTGCTCGTATCGATCTAAGCCATCCGAGACGTTCTTTTCGATGACTTCGGACCAGCAGTCCTGGATCATGCCCTGCCTCAGAGCCTCCAGCTGCTGCCTTGGATCATTGTACTCGCTCATACAATCCACCCAATCCTGTAAGTCCTTTTCTACGTCTCCTCTGAGCACCTTGTCGCGGAAGTTAACAACATCATCAAGCTTTTGTGAGATATCGTGAAAGAACGATATTGCTTCATCTACAGTATAGCACTGCAAAGGGTCAGACTCAACGTCATGTAGGGTCGAGAATGGTAACAATTACATACGAATCTAGCAAACAGGAGTGCACAAAGGCCATTCAAACCTGTGCCTGCGATCAAGTCGAAATACTCATTCGGCCGTAGGTCACCGCCATGATCCGGAGCGATGCCATTCATGATTTCCCGGAGTGTGTAGAGTGCGGAAAGCCCACGTGTTCCCCCTCCATCTGTTAATCGTCTTTAGCATAGATCTCACAGATAGGTGACAAATCACATACCTAGGGACAACAGTCTGATGCCGAGTTCTGTCATAGCGAGATGGCCATAAGATTACCTTGTAGTTGGAGAAATCTTTTCGATGGGAGACAGAGCAGGAGCGTATGTTGGTCTTTGATGCTCCACCATCATGAAGGACACTCACAGCTTCACAAGTTACAAAATCTTGTGTTTGGAGCAGCTCCCATGATGGCTTGCGTTAGTGCATGCAGATAGAGGGTTGTCGCGCCATGATTGGATTGGCTCTTCAGCCCCATCATCTGTAGCACAGTTATGTCCGAACACTTACATCGCCAAAAGGAATTCAGCTGGCAGCCACTGCTTAAACATTGCCACATGTTCCCGAAAACTCCAGCCTTGTGGGAGCAGGTGAGGTATGTTTCGCTGACGTCCCTCCCCATAATCTCGAATTTTCTGTCTCTTGATTGAAGGAGGATTCTCCTGCCCGCACTCGGAGATCGATAAGTGCACCGACTGCCATGTCCATAGATGTGTCGCCCCAATTCCCATCTCAAAGCACTGTCTTGATCCCGAAAAATTGAACCTGAGGCTGCACTCACCGAGCAAAGGGAACTGAAATTCCAGTGTCTTAACCGAAATCCTTTAGATACCGTGTGCATAGATTCAAATCTTGATAAAAACTAGTGTCGCTTTCTGGACGACTTTGGCAGCTTCTGATTTTTTTGAGCTTGCAACAATGGCAGAACACATCTCCGTACAAGAGCATCTCGACAACGAGTCTCTTGAACATGATGCATTACCTCGAATCATCGACCTTTACGGTCGACAACGAGATCCTTTCACTGGAAATGCCATGGAGGAAGGCCAAGAAGGACCCAACTCCATATTCTACGTCCCCGGAATGCGTTCCGAAACAGACCAAGACTTTCAAATATTTATCGGGGCAGATAAATCAATTTCCTGGACTGAAAACATGCAGCGGCTTCGATATGCTGGATTCCGAGGAACCAGTATAACGATGAGCGTCACACCACGGCCACAAGATCGTGATCGCATCCCTTCGCCACCTCCCGATTTCGCAAGATCTAGGGACACGAACAATCGTGTGGTGGAATCTTACGCCAGTTTCTGGCGTACGAAGTGCAATTATTGTTGGGCTGTGATTTCGCATCGGGAGAGGGAAATGGGATTCAGGCTGTCGGAGATCACGAGTGCTGCGGATAAGGGCTGTGACACCTGCAATGTACTGCACAGAAGTATTAGACACTTTGCAGATATGATCTTTCCCAGCTATGACAGCACCAAAGTTCGAGTTCGACAAAGTCCAGAGGAGGAAGTGCGTCTTTTGTCAGATACTAAGTCTGTCCGGGTCTCGTTTGATGAACATGGCGGGGAAGATTTCCACTTGATCTTTGCAGAAGAAGGTGAGCATGATAATATAGATATATGCAGAAAAGTTGCTTACTCGATGACAGGTAGGCAAGCTCCAGCTCCAGTGTGGCCAAAGAAACAAGAACAGAAAGCGGAGAATCGAATCATGGACACAGCATCCTATGCAGCAATACCGAAGATCCAGAAATGGATAAAAACTTGTTCGGAAGAACACAAAGACTGTCTTGTCCCTCTCGAGTCCCAACTTCCAAAACGGGTACTCGAGATATCTAATCGTAGAGCGAAACTTATCGTGACTAACGGGAAAGTTGCGCCCTATGTCGCGCTGAGCCACTGCTGGGGCCCAAAACCACTCATCAGACTGCTCGACTCCAATATCGAAGAAATGCAGAAGAACGTGCCTTGGAACAAGCTATCCAAAACCTTTCAGGATTCCATAACGATAGCTTGGAAGCTCGGTTTCCGGTACATTTGGATAGATGCACTGTGCATTCTTCAGGACAGTCGCAATGACTGGGAGTACCATGCATCCAAAATGGCTCAGGTCTTCGCTGAAGCGCAACTTACCATATCAGCGTCAAAAAGCGCAGATGGATCTGGCGGCTGCTTCTCGTCTCGAGAACAGGATCCTTGGACTTTGCACTCTTCTGGTCGTCAAGTGTGGAATCCTATGTTGTGGCAGCCATTCCATCAAGAAGGCCGTGATCGGGAAGGATGCATCAAAAAGTTCAGTGCAAGGCTCAAGATCCCACATGGGTTACACCAGAATCGTCAGCCCAAAGAACCATTGTTGAGAAGAGCTTGGGTATTTCAGGAGCAAATACTGAGCTCTCGGAACGTCCACTTTGCCTCCGGAGAGCTGTACTTTGAGTGTAAGTCATTCGTGGCCTGCGAGTGCAGCGGTTGGTCAGCACGCTCCCTTTCATACCAATGGGAGACACGTTGGCGCAAATCTCATGCGGTCTTGTTGGGGAAGCATAGTCTCAGCATACCTGAAGAAGCGCTTCGCAAAAGACGAAAGGATCTTCCAAAACCGAATCCTATTCCAAGAAAGGCGGCTGAGTTTGAAGCTTACCGCGCCTTGATTGAGGCATACACATGTCTTGAAATCACCAACCCACACGACCGCCTGCCCGCGCTCTCTGGTATCACCTCAGGTCGGAAAGACATCTACCTCGCCGGCCTATGGAAGTCGATCCTGCTCGAAAGTCTACATTGGTATCCACTTTCCCGGTCATATTCTTCCTCGGGTCGGATCATGGCGTACCGTCCAAACGGCTACCGTGCGCCGACATGGTCATGGGCATCTATCGAATCACCGATCCGTTTCGAGGAGACGAACTTCCACTGGCGGAACTTCACAACACGACCGATTGCGCAGATACTGGAAGTGCAGACCGTGCCGGAGGGTTTAGATCCACGAGGGCGAGTCAAAGATGGGGTGCTGAAAATGCAATCACCAATGACTGAAGCTACTGTTCACAAGATTGGGATACGAAGTCGCATTGGCCCGGACTCGGTGAATTTACTGAATATCTATCTAGAGACTGACGCATCAGCATTGGATCCTAGCTTGATAGTGAGGCAAGATGATAGGGAGACAGCAACCTATGCCATATTGAAGGTTTATGGAATTGCTGGGGCAGGTGATGGTGAGTCTGGGAAAAAGGAGGTGCCCGGCATTTTTGAACTGGAGTGTCTATTGGACTTGCCCCTGTGCTGTGCGAGACTCCCTCCAGCTGAGGTCGTAGTGGGAGAAGAGGTCGTATTGCTGGTTATTTCTTCAGTTACCTGCTGGGTCTTGAAAAAGCTGCGTACAAGACCTGGATACTACAAGCGCGTGGGTGTGTTCAAGGTAAAGGACAGGATATTTTTCAGGGCGGCATATGACCCTGTCTGTATCATTTAAGTGGTCGACTTGATAAACATCACATTTTATTTGTGACTTAGGTTCAAACTATGGTCAAAGAATGTTGAATACTGAGTAACTGCTTGAACATGTACTGTCGATGAAACAATCCTAGGCGATCAAATACAGCTCATGAAAACTGTGCGGTTGGTCCATCATAGCCCCACAAATCAAAATACAACTGAAGCTTGGTCAACGCTCGTGTCTCTGGAGCTACCAAAGGTCCAATCTGCCCCATAATCCCCATCATATCAAGACCTTCCATACTCGGGTAAGCAGTCATCTTCAACCACCCTTCGCGCTTCGGAAGTTCGATCTCGACAACCACTTGTCTCCCTTGATGGGAGATTCCAGGAGGTATCGGTAAAGGTAAAACCGGGGTTCGTTCTTCGATCGCCTTTTGGATATCCTGAATGTACTTCGTAAGGTCGTTTGTGTCAACTGTATCAGGAGGAGGCTCCACAAGGAAGACTATCTGGGTCATATCCACATGCGTGGTTGATGGAGGCTTGGGCGGCCTGGACGATCTGTAAGTTTGCCATGATGCCGTGTATTCGCCGCCGTCTATTGGGTTATGAAAGACAGTGTGTTTCCACTGTAAGACAAATCGTTTGTCGTTGGCCAAAGGGATGATGAGGTCTTGGCTATTCTGAACTGCGTCGCGAATCGTTTTCCAGGTTTCTTCGCGAATGAGTACTGTGATCTTAGCATTGACTCGTACAATCTGTTTCTTTGCAGGTTGTTGAGGACTCACTTCCATATCCGTCTTCACACATGATGCTGTGATCATGGTCTGCTTGGGGCGCAAACATTAAAAAGCCTAGATTCAGATTCTTCATCACGCCACTGTCCCACAATTTTGTCAATACATTGAACAGCAATGAATGAAGATGGAAACGGATCACCTATTAGATGCATAGCCCATGGGATCTCTCTGGCCTCGTTTCCAAGTAAGACCGCTATCTGCCTCTTCAAGCATGAAAGAGTCAAGCCCAACACCCGCTGACAAGGGCAGTGAAAGGATATAGTCTCGGAACACCTTTCTCTTCTCGTCGTCCGCAGGAATCGTGAGTACAATATCATCCTGGATGAGCATTGCATTCAATCCATTCAAGCGGAGAATAGGCATTCCAATCCGGACGCTTCCTCCTTGATCTGCGAGCGTCACGATATCCCCTCGGTCTCTGTCGATCCAAGGCGGGTATGGAAACCAGCGGACAGATAGTCCAAGGTGGCCGAGGACTCGAGTAACTCCAAATTGTTTTGCGACCGCTGTCTCTTCATGTATCAATGCAATGACGTGATGAGCCTTGGTGGGAAGCTTGTCGTTGAGAAATTGAAAGCAGCCACTATTTAGAGGCATCCCATGAAGCAGAGAGCCAAAGCGGCTCATCGTCTGCCATGAACGTGTGTTCTGATCAATCTTGATCTGATCAAACTTCAAGACCGCACCTTCTTGTCCAATCTCAAGTTCAACCAGCTCTCCGGTTTCCAGATGGTGGCCACTTTGGGCTCTTTCATAAATGCTCCTCATCCACCACAAAGGAAATTCAGGGAATGCCTCCTCATTCTCGCTTTGTCGCCGAAGAAGAGTCAAGACGACTTCGGGTTGTGATGGGGTAGCTATGCCTTGTGAGATGTAGGTCCAACATGGAAGTTGATTAGGTGGGCTTGTAAATAGATGGGTGTGGATGGAGACTGTGCATTGTGTAGTCCCAATTCTGACAACTTTGGGCCATGTTCCTGGCGGGGCAAGATTTTGGATCTCGCCTGCAACAGCTGGGCTTGGTGATTCCAAGGATGGTAGAGTTGACTCTTGCATTTGCGACGGTTTTAATTGCGTGTATGTTTGATGCGGAGGCCCTTCTCGTGGCAGTCCCTCGGAATGTTGTCGGAGGGGTTCCGGTACAGGTTGCGTTGGCTGATTCTGATGTGGCTGCTGTTGCCCCCAAGGCTGTTTACCGGCTGCTGCACTATGAACAGGAACGGGTGATCTCTCTTGGTCTTGTTCGCGGCTTGAAGTGCAGCCCATATTGGTGGTCGTCGTGTGGGTCTTTAAATACCGATCATGACGGCTTTCATAATTAGAACGGTCGAACGTGAAGCCAGAACCAGCTGGGCTGCCTGCCTTCTTCACCACCTACACGCTATGTCGCAGCAAAGGGCTGATAAACTTAGTTTGATCATCCCATCCAGTCTTTTCATGTTCCTTGCGCCACGACCGCTCAATCTTCAGCTCTATGCTCAGCTAGACCCTAAGCGAGAAAGCCACTGGCCCTTCCACATACTTGTTCGACACCAGCGGAACGTCCCGTCCATGATTGGCCAACTCCGATGAACAATGTTAACAGAATATTTGCATATGATAATATTGATATGCTTTCAGTGGCAGGATGCCATAAAAATCTTTTGGTAGGTCAAGGAAGGCGATGGTGAAGGTCCAAAAAATGAAAAATCAAGTTGGATGCAGCGTCGCCAAATATTTGGATAAAGTCATTCCGATTGCTCCGGACATTTCCGCAAGCAAGAGTCGTAGCTGCATTTGCAAAGTCGATGCCAGTGAGAAGACTTATGCACAGGAATATCCACATATCCAGCGCATCATAACACCTGGCGGGCTGGCTGCTTGCCCCGACGTTGCAGCTCCTAGGCGCGCGGGATTCGCACGACGATGATTTGTTCCAGCTTCAAGGAGAGTGCCACAGAGATTTATCGATGTGTGAGTTTCCGGAAGCAGAGAAAGGAGCGCGTTGTTGGGATCTGTTTCATGGCGAAGTGAATCCACCCGAAGTCCCATGGAACAATCACGAATCTGGTACCATGTGATTCCATTTCTCGAAGTCATGACTTTGACCATGAAAATATGCTGCTCATTCTGTATAGAACGTAAAGTCCTCAACAACATTCTCAGCTTCAGCAATTTGAGAACCAAACGTCCTCGGATATTGGTGTCCAGATGTCGTCGCTTCACCATATCTCGGCGAAAAGACGCAGTGACAGCGTTGAAAGCAACACACGAGAGACGTGTGTGAGGAACAACAGAAGCAACAAAACATTCGACGATATCGAACAGAACATGCAAGAGAAAAGACTTATAAGCCGGCCACAACAGAGTCTTGTAACGCCTACAGTCAAGCGACGATTCCGCAACTGTGGAAACGCAGGGGAGGCAAGAAAGCGTGGGAAATCATCGACTGAAGAGAAGAAACTCACCGTCAAAACCAAACACGAGTTCCCAGCGGCAAGATACCACGATGAACTTACGACCATCCAAGAAAAACTCGACCTGGTAGCCAGTTCGAAGCTCATCGAAAGTTACAGCGTCCCAGACCGACATCGTGCCTTGCATAGCAAATTGAAGAACCTCAAAAGCAAAACGAAAGGTTTGATGGCAGAGCTAGATAACCGGGGGAAATTCTTCGCGTTGGCAAATAGACTGATTTCTGGAGATGGACTGGATTCGGATTTGGGGAGGCTGGATGGGGAAGTCATGTGGTTTATTGCTGAGTTGAAGTACAGACAGATGGACGGTGAGAGTTCGGCTACGCTTGTTGGATGAACATACACATGACCAGAGAAATGAAAAGACAAGAAAATGCAAGCTTCTTGGATCATATGAAATTGAGTACCCGTGATACGCATGTGACTATCCAGTGATGAAGAAGTCGGTTCTGATATGATGGAAGACAAGTGGCGGAAAGACGCGAATCTCCAAGGACAGAAGACGAGCCAGCAAATGCCAAGCAGTAAAGCCAATGTGATAAGAGGAAACTCAATGGTGCACCACCGACTTCTTTGGGATTTGGGGGAGGCCGCTAAAAGGAAGTCTACCCCGCCGCATCGACAAGTAGACGGCAGCTTTTTCAGATCTGAACAGGTTTCGGAATCAGAACAGGAAGATGGTCATAATATACTGACTCACTAACTACCTTACACCATGTGGCAGATTCAGTGTAAAATATAGTTGAGCAACTACCGCACAAAATCATTCCGAAATTCTCGCGAAGAGCGAAAGTTTACAGCACGGTGCATTATCTCAAAGTAAGATGGGAAAGTCAATATCTGTAGGTTCGGGGGAAGTTGGCCTTGTTTGAATTTCCGTGTGACAGATCCAGACTTTCGTCTATGTGATCAGGCCATTTGTTCGGGTTAATTGCCGCCGGCTTTATGTACCTTGTAGATTGGTCTCAAATGAATAAACTCCCTCACGGACATTGACTGAAACCTGTGGGCGAAAAGAAGATGCATCCGTGAGGATAGGGCCTGTGCTATGAACATCTCGTGAAGAGCACCAGACACCGCTTTCTTCGCAATTGGATGGTATTTTGACAACAACACGGTCTCACAATTTCGGTCTACGGAAGAATAATTCCATTGGACATGAGGCATTTTGGAAGATATCGGTAACATAGCCGAGTGTTGTTTCTTGGAAACTATAAAATCGCATACGATGGTGCCATAATGAGGCCATCGCAGCCCAGCCAAAAGTGCAGCAGCGGTGTCACTGAGACGAACGTCAGCCCAGCCCTGTCGACCAGGGAAATGCGGGGTACCAGGTATGCTGCAGCTAACCACAGCACGTTAGAGCTGACCCGCCAAGTGAAGTCTACAGGGATGCAAAATGCCAAATTTACCCGCTGGCTGATCAACATTGCCAACGACTTGTCGCCAGAATCGACGAATTGCAGGCAGAGTGCCATCTCCGTGTGCCCTCGAATGCCCTCGTGGGGCCAATGACTGAGCAATGCGGTACGTAAACTCTCTAGCGAGCTTGGGCTCTTCGGTTGGGGAACGGCTGCGTGGGAGCTTGGGAAAGACAGCGAGAAAATACACTGGGGCTGAGCGGGTGTGACGATGGGGTGCATAATGTAACAGGGTTATAGCTTCTCGATCAGGGTGCGTTTGATGAGATGCCCATAACCTTACCACGGAGCTTCCATACTCACACAACTCGTTGGATCTGGAGGCTCCCCTTGACGACTAGTGGTCAGGAACGAGGTACACACGAGATTATTTTCATTTATCCCAGATGCCCTTTGGAAGGTTGTAGCGCTGGCGCTGGCCCTGTCTTTTCCTTCTAGCAGATGGAACAATGTCCTCCCTCAGCCTCCCTGCTCCTCATCTGACATTTGACATTTGACTTTCTCCACCTTTGTCTGACTATCAGTGGCTACCAAAGCCGCCGAGAGCTACGGGCATTTTTCACCGTCTCCGACACTCCGTGAAGCAAAAGTAAACCAGTCTAGAAAAACTTTCCAAGAAGCTTCGTCTCGACTTGCTCCTTGCTCCACGTAGGCTAAGCCTCCCGAGGTGCTCGTCTGTCGTCTTCCCGCCATGCACCTCCGTACGGAGTAGAGCTGCAGTAGTACCAGCTACCCATGTTGGCTTCTAGTTGGCACGATGGTTCCCAGGAAGTGCAAGGCGATTAATTGGACCTCTCACAGCCTAGCGATGCCTGTACATATTCGCCAAGGGAGTCGAGACGAAGACAACACCTTTTTGGGTGAGCTGGGCAGTGGCCATGCTCAAGGAAGTATGATTTAAAAGGTTTCCCCCTCCCGTGCCATCCTTCAAGCACACAATCACTTCTTCGTCATCACACTACTTCACCAATTGACTCTCATCCACCATCATGCAGCTCAAGAATATCCTCCCCGCAGCCTTTGTAGCTGGAGCTGCTGCTCAAAGCTTGACTGATGTTCTCGCGGCGAACAACAGTACTCTCAGCTCACTCACTTGTAAGCCTTGCGCTCCAACTTCTAGGTCACTCACATCATCTAACATGATCAGCTCTGATCTCTGCCAACCCATCACTTCTCGAGGCCCTTGGTTCAGCACAGAACATCACCATCCTCGCCCCGAGTAACGATGCTCTCGCTGGCTTCCTCAACTCGACCGCTGGCGCCGCTGCTGCCACCGACCCAGGAGCCGTCGCTGCCTTGCTCACGTATCACGTCTTGAACGGCACATACCCAGCGTCTGCATTCACCAACACCTCGCAGTTCATCCCATCGCTGTTGACAAATAGCTCTTTCACGAATGTCACTGGTGGTCAAGTCGTGGAGGCTAGACTTAGAGGCGAGACTGTATCGATCTTCTCCGGCTTGCTGTCAGCTTCGAACGTTTCTGTAGCAGTATGTTTACCTTCCTCTCTTTGGGCTTCTATAACCTAGTTTCATTTTCAAGTCAGTGACGTAATCTACGGACTAACCCTCGCATAGAACGTCAACTTCACTGGCGGTGTTGTCCACGTTATCGATACTGTCCTCACCGTCCCTCAATCAGCTTCCAACACAGCTGGCGCACTCAACCTCACTTCCCTCGCTGGCGCACTTACAACTGCTGGTTTGGTTGAAACTGTCGATAGTCTCGCTGATGTCACCATCTTTGCGCCTTCCAACGAAGCTTTCCAAGCCATCGGATCCGCTCTCCCCAACCTCAGCACCGAAGCGCTCAGCGGTATCTTGACTTACCACGTGGTTCAAGGAACCGTCGGATACAGCACTCTCCTGACCAACACCACCCTCCCAACTGTCAACGGAGGCAATGTCACAATTTCCATCGTCAACGGATCCGTGTTTGTTAACTCGGCAAAAGTCACTGTTCCCGATGTTTTGGTTGCCGGAGGTGTCGTTCACGTCATTGACGGGTAAGCTACGCACATTTTACTGCTTGAATTATCCCTCAGCCAGCACATTTGCTAATCTTATCCCAGTGTTCTCAACCCCAACAACACCTCCGCCGCCCCACCAACCGCATCCACCACCTCGCCAGCTTTCCCAGGTGTTAGCAGCGGCACTGATCTCCCATTCACGTCAGGCGTTTCTGCATCCACCACCGTCACCTCGGTCCCAACCCGTGACCCCGAAGCTACATCTTCCAGTACTGCTGGTGCCGCGCCAATGCAGACCGGTATGATTGGTCTCGGAGCCCTGTTCGGTGGTGCCGCTATTGTCATGGGTAACTTGTAAAGTCGCTAATGTGTGAATGTACGCGATAATGAGAGACGTGGTAATGGACTGTAGATGATGGATGAAATGTTTTACTCGGAGAAGACATGTGGTTTAATGAAGCTTGGTGTATGATTTAAGTCAAATTTGATCATTCTCACGTTCACCAAATCACAATTTGTATACCTTTTATGCCTTGAACTAAAATGTCTTTTCAATCACGTGACTTTACTACCCTGGCAAGTGCCTTCTTGCTTCTATTAAGATCTTGCTCATTCACGAGTTGTACGAACAAGAACACTCAAGTCGATATTAGATGTTTTTAGGTAAAAGCCACCTCCTCTAAGTGTCTCTCGTCACTTTGCATACATCCACGTGACAACTCTTTGTTTTCTTTTAGCCGAAGCAAGCGACCCAGGTTTCATGACAACAGTATTGTTTCCGAACACTGCAACGACCTGTCCTGAAAACCTTCTTTATTAAAGTCGCTCGAGGACAATCACCAAACAAAAAATTCATTAGCGCCGAATGGCCCCAAACACCAGAACACATGGCTTGGAGCACTACTCCTTAGTGCAGCGATATCTCAACGACAGGCACGTCTACGGAACTGCATTCCTCCATTCCTATCACAGCAGCTTCCATCCCCCATAAACAAACCACCATCTAACTTTCCTGCAGCCACATCAACTATCAACCGTCCAGCATTCCAAAGCCACACAACGACCCAGACCCGTACCGGCCTCCAACACCCGAACACGAGCGTCAAGAGATCATCCAGCACGAACCCGCTGAATGGAACAGTTTCCGCTCCTCGTCTTCACGCGGTCGGCCAGCTTATGCGCGAACTTATCGAGCAAAGATTGCCGTATGAGAGGGCTAAGGTGAGGTGAGGGTAGAGGAGGAGTTTATGGCGAGGAATCCGATTGTTAGACCGCCGCGGAGTGGGGCTTCGTATTGAGGAACGGCTGCGGAATGGGACGACAGAGGTCGGAGTCCCTCTCCGCCAAGGAGGAGTAGGGGCGTAGTCCCTATTTCCCGACAGCTAGAAGAGGTTCATTGGGAGGGCCCAATTCGTTTGGGAGTTCCTACTCATCTAAGGGGCCTAACTTGTATGGGGAATCCACAGGAGGATACGGCTTATATGGAGGATCGAATGGATCTGCAAGATTATACGGCTCATCGAGTGAGCACAACTCTTCAGGAATTTCCAGCTCATTCGGAGTTCCTACACCAGGATATATTCCCAGCCCTTTTGGAAACCAGTTTTCATCGGAAGCTTTCGACCCATTGGAGTAAGCCAAGCTCCAGGAGGGATGTCCAATGTACCACTGGGTGGGCTCAACTTCTCCGGACTGTCCATCTCATCAGGATCAGGAGGATATAATTCCCTAGGAGGTCAGCCACAATCAATGGTAGGATACAACTCATCTAGGAAAACAAGAGTTATACATTACAGCCGTCCCACTCGCCGCTCCAGACACAGTCGAAACCGTCTTTCCGATGGCCTGGATCATATGGATGTGGGCTATGATAAGTTCACTGTTACTATCAATGGAGATGTCAACTGCATTCTTGGTGGATTGGGTGATTGGGAGATCGATGATTGGATGTATGATGAGCTCGGATTGAATATAGGTTGGACTGAATACTGACGAGGTGGCATAATGTGAAGTGTTGAGGTACGGATTGAGTTCCTCTCAGGATTGCAGGCTAGGTAGAAGGTATCCCCTTGCTAAAAGAATGATAGAATTTTCTCTTTGGATTAGGGATGATAAATATTGACATGTTACCAAACTAAGGGTATATGCCAACTGTGAGCGTGAACTATGTGAGTATTCTGATAAATTGACAAAAGAACATACTTTATGAATGTAAAACAATCAGGAAAAGTTGCTCCTGCTGTGAGGAATTCAGAAGAGTCCTCTGGCTTACAGGCTTTCGTTACAGGGACATTCAAGGGTCGGGCCGTTGACCAGAGCGAGCGCTAGTGCGGATGACTAAAAATCACGATTCCACCAACAGGTTGAAATCTCTTTCCTTCATGGATCTCTCGGGATCTCCAGAACGTCGTAATATCGAACTCTTACTTTAATACTTCCCGCTAACACTACACTAGCAGTATGGCACCGTCCATACCTATCGGTATCAACAGTTTGCCAGAGGAGAGCGGGACCAGGTTATTCGAGTCGTTCCTGTCGTGCACCTGCCTAATGTCGTGCTCACGATTCGTAACTTCTGGAGACCTCTGGCGCGGTTATATCTATACCAGTCCGTTCGATACACCGATGAGCCCCTGCCATCAACCGACCGAGATGTTGCATCTATTCGATGTCATGCCCACATATTTAATCAGCGCTGCGCTCGCCCTCGCATTGCTAGCTTGTGCGAGTTTCTGAGATCAATCACGCAGACCCGACTCTCGTCTTTTTCATCAGGCATGCGAGCTTTTCATGGATAGGAACAGTCTACTACAGTGGAGCAATTTCTTTGAAGAAATTGTTCAGAATGATGAGACCTAGTAACTTGCACGTGGCTCTGCAATACAGAAACTCTGCCCTGGCACGTATGAGCGCGGTTAGTTCGTTGGAATTTATAAACCCTTCTGAAGGGGCTTTGTTTCTTTTATGGAGTTGCTTGCGTGAGCGGACATACGCTGTATTGGAAAGAGTGGATGTAGTCTTGAAAGTTTTATGATTGATGCGCTATTCTGTCCTCATGCGTCAGGCTAATTTCGGGTCCGGCTTTCGAAGAGGGAGAGGCTGGAGTCCACCCAAAGCTTCATTTTGAGTGGTGAGTTTCCAGGATAAAGAGTTTCCGTCTTCGTACATGTACCAGTTTACAACATTTGCGTATAAAATATCAATTGGGAAGAATCGTGCTTGGATTATAACAGGTGGGTTAGGACATTCGTTCGTCCTTGTCGACGTGACAGCTATGCCCGAGAATGATAACATTACTTATGATCAAAATACTCTTCTATCAATAGTGGGTTTGGCTGACTACCATCACAACAGGCGCATCTCTTGATGGTCAGAAGGCTGAGGTTGCAGTGAGGAGAATTTGGAACGGATCAAGAATCCGAATTCAGCTTGTTTTTTCAGGCATCTCCAGTTAAGTGCGGGGTAGTATTGCCCCGCCATCGTCCTGTAATGGCCCCTAAACTTTTTCAAGGCGCTCGAACGAAATTAATATTAGTGCACGGATCAATTGATCGAAAATAACTCTATCCAGATTGCCAGAGCGATACCCACTAGAAAATGATTAGTGGAATAATCTTCCCTTCTAACCAGCTACAACGGTAAACCCCTCTAGGCCTCACTCACGCCCCCTCCCTCCTCACCCTAAACCCCTCCAAAATCCCATCCCTATGCTTCTCCCCCGTGAAAACAACCTCATACCCATCCTCCATCCTCCCGTTCCTAACCTCCTCCTCACTCGCCCACAAAAACCTCCGATGCTCCTTCTCATCCAACTTCACCTCCTCCCCACCCCTAACCTCAACCTCAAACGCAAACTTCACCACCCTCAATCCCCTCCTCGTCACAAACGCCAGTCCGTCTTCTGATCCGACGAGACGCTTGATATGCGTCACTGTCAGACCAGTCTCTTCGAGTACTTCGCGCGCGACGCCGTGGAGAACCGTCGAGTCGGTGAGGTCGACGCCGCCGCCGGGGATTTCCCATTTGTTGGCATAGGAGTCGGTGGGTGCGCGTTGGAGGATGAGGATCTTGGGATTGGGATTGGGATTGGGATTGGGAGGCTGTGAGGTGGTTGATGGAGGGGAGAAGATTAAGGCGCCGCTGGCGATGGCTTGGTGGTGTTGGAGTGAGGGGGATGAGAGGTAGGTCTTCATGGGGACGTTGAATGATGCGACTGCGGGGGAGAAGGTGAAAGGTGAGAGGGCTGGCGGTTGGTCCATGTTGATTGATGATTTTCGATTAGTATCGGGTGAAGACGAGTTTTGGATTGAGTTTTTGTTGTGAGTCTGTTCTTTGATATGGGTTTGTTGTCCTTGAATAGAGAGGGAGGTATTTTTGAGGTCTCGAAATCTAGGCAGCGGCTTCGGCTAGCTCATGAACCGGGCGCCGTCTAGAGCGTCGAGCGTTTCAATTTTCACAGCTGCCTGGAGAAATGAAGTGGAGAAACGAAGCCCTATTAATTTTAGCTTTTTTGATTTCGCATCCGAGTTTTAATGGAAGACTTAAGGTACTAGGAGGAGACTTGTTGGACATTTAGCATGACTCATGTTGGACTGTTCGGTTGTCTGGGGTGAGACTTTTGTGAGTCAACAAACAGGCTAAGCAATGTTCATGATTTCACTAGCACCCGAAAGCCTTTAATTTGGCCGGAAATATTACCTGCGATATGATTGATAGGGGCTCAAATATGGTGTTTTATGCTCAAATGACGGAACTGTCTCAAATGGACCAGAAGAATCAGAAGCCATCATTCATCTCGACAACCTCGACGACCTCCACGACCTCCACAACCTCGACGGATATCTGCGAAACCTTTCCCCTTCGTCTCATCTCTGGGACACTCACCCCTTACTATAAGAATCTCAAAACAGAATGTCCTCTCCCCGCCTCCCGCCTCCCCGCCTCCCCGCCTCTTCAATCATCCCAATACCATCCCATCGTCCCTACAGGAGCAGCCAGGACCGTCAGCTCCGGAGTCTTCGACCTCTCGCAGACTTCTCATGGCTCCAAATTTGCTGCGCAGGCTCCTCTTCTAGATGTCTAGCAAGACAGGTGCGAATAGCGCCAGTATGCAGATTTGATTCATGGAAATCACTCGGTACATCGCGATGGTCGAATCCGTTCGCCATGTATAACTTTACCAGCTGAGACTTTGTATATGCGATTCAAAAGAACGATTATCTCTATCTCCTCGGCACCAGTTTGAAGAAAATGATACCAGTGAAGTTTCCTATACAAACCGGACCGTTGTATCCCATTTGAATTTTCTGTAAATAACTCGAGGATCTCGTACCTGACAGGAGCAGTCAAAGAGGATCTGGAGAGGCTCGGTCCGAGGAGGGATGCTCCTAGGTTAGTTTCCGTGTCTCGGGTTTTTGGATATTCCAAGACGGCGAGATGATGTGGCAGGATTGATGTGCTGTTAGCGTTCCTCCCCAGATCCTTGAAGCCCGCGCAGTTCTGCGGTGCATTTCGTAGATGATCCAGCCGAACTTCTCGCCACGGGGTACAACTTGCTCTTCTCTTGTGCGTGATCCAATTCATTCTCCAATCATGGACTTTAACCTCGCTCTCCAATCCCGCAACTCAGCATCTTTACTGTCCAACAAGCTATTCAGCCTTGAGATCTGTGCCTTCAGTTGCTCATTTTCGGTTTTTAGACCAGCCGAGTCCCCACCGTGCCTCTTTGCCAATTCTAATTCCTGACGAGCCAGGGCAATTTGTCCATCCTTCAGTCTGAGCTCCTGCTCCAACATTTGGATTCTATCGCGAAGATCAGACTCCGCTTTTCCTACGTGGGCGGATGCCTCGAGTTCTTTGTGGATAACAGCTAGGGCTTTGTCAACTTCAGATGAGAATGCGGAGTACTTTGACTTTTTGCGTGGTGGTGAGTACGATCTCCTTGGACGACCGACATTGCCTTTCGCTGTGGCTGTTTTAGGGGCACTTGAGGCCGCGGTACTGACTTGTGGTAGAGCAATCAGTGGAGCAGCTACTTTTTCTGGAACCAATTGAGGCTGAGAAACCACGGCCGATAAAGTCCCAAGTACAGGGATATCGCGATTTGAAGACCTCCTTGTGTTCTCAGACACGCTACTTTGAGGCGGGGCAGCATGGGCCGACGAAGAATTCCTTGAGTGCGATACATCTGACGGAGTGGTAGAGGGGGTTAATGGTGGTGGAGAAGAAAAGCTAGTCGTCGGCGGTGGCTGTGGAAGATGCAATTCTCTTGCGACACAGTGCGGACAGAACCAGAAGTCTGGAACATCACCAGGGTCTAAAGACGGAGTCATGCAAGCCGCATGATACGAAGTATCACAAGTTTGGCATTCAAAGAGCTCCATTGAGGACCCACAAACGAAACAAAAACCTTCATGTTTTCCTGTACTCACAGAAATATCAGCAAGTGAGAATTGACTTGGCGCGGGGTGGATTCTGGAACCTTCAAAGATGTTTGGTCCTCCATCCCAAGCAGGTGAGTGGACTTGACTGTACTGTTGTACATAATGGTCGGTAGTTATATCTATTGGATGTGGAGACCATCCCATGGCTTCCGATTCTACATCTCCACTATTTTGTGGTCCTGATGAAGCGGCGGAATACTTCAAAAGACATCAGAAATTGTTCGTAGTTTGAGGGGTCATTATCTGGTACTCACCATATTGGCGCCTAGACAGCCAGTTTCCCCGGATCCGGTAGTTGGGTGAGCGTTATCCATTGTTATCATCGACTTGCTTATGTCAGGTATAATTTCTGGGACTTTGGGGATAATCGTGTGAAGATGGGGGAGTGAGTGAAGCTGACCAGATGGAGCTATTCCGCAACGGGTACTAGGGTGAGATTATGTCAGCAATTTCGCTCGTATCTTCTCGTAAGCAGGCCGTACATCTCTGTCAATCTCGCTCCGTCAACAAAAACGACTCTTTCCGATCACCAAACAATCAAGGACAATACTTGAAGACCTTAAGCAAGCTTTTTGGCTCTCTCCATATGAAGATCACCTGATTTCTCCATTCATTTTCATTACCTTGCTGTTCTGCTTAGCTCTGGGAACACATGTCGTCGAGCGATGTTATTTCAACATTTTCATCCTGCCTTGGGGTTCTATCCCATGGGCTACTGAAAGCCACTTTTAGCGTCGCTAAGCTACAGGGAATATTGCCCTATGTAACAGGCATATTTACCCCCTTAATTAATATCGTTAATGTACTATAACTCACCTAAATAATAAGTAATTAACTATATTTAAGATAGCTGAAGAGGTGTAACCTGATCTTATTCTTAATAGAATACTCTGTCCTAAAGCTAGACTGATTTAAGAGGGTTCCGGGCTATTTATCCCTTTCTATTGCCTTAATTTCTAACTTTAAATAACTCTACCTCTTTCTATTGATTCTACTAACTTATATGCGATATTTTATCTGTTTTTTATAGAGGAAATCCTTTAGCAGATTGTTAATTATACTAATTAAAATATAAAGGATCCGGATGATCTGAAACCTTATTCTAGAGCTTGTAAATAGTACTCTACTACTATTCCGGAACTAAAAGTGTACCTTAGGATCTTGATATATATAGAGATATATATAGAGAATTAAATTAAGGACTATTAGAGTACTGAAGAGGACGGACTATAACACTTAGTTCGAAGGTATATAAGCTAGGACCGGTTTTAGATTCTCTACTAATGATTTTGCTTATTAGTACTACTCTCTCTTAGAATAAAGCTAAAGATATAGGAACGAGTAGGTCTAGCTTCCCTAGGCTTGAGTTTTATTGATTTTTACTTAGGTAGAACCTTTAAATTCGTATATCTAAGCTATTAACTTATAGCTTTAGATACTTAGCTGGAACGTTACTATTAACGAGTGTATATAACGCTTTACTAGACGAGCTTTTAAGACTACTACTGTACTTTTAAAACTAGTGCTTACTAGTTATAAGGTATAGGTAGTAGCCTAATTAGGCTATTTCCTTCGATAGACCTAGTATTTTAAAGGGGCCTAGGGACCGATTAGTATAAAGGCTCTGGTTGTACTTAGAGGGCTAAAAACTAGTTGTAACGCTGGCTTAAGTAGAAACCGGATATAAGTAGTTATTCCTTATTTGCTATATTAACTACCTCTAGCGCGATATATCTGTATCCTAGATAATTTATTTATTTCTAATAAGCTTATAATATACCTCTGAGACCTTAGTTTTAGTACTATTAGTATAGTAAGACGAGATGCCGGGGCTGTTCTAAGGCTACTTGAACTCTAGGTAAATATAAAGAAACCTGGAGCTCGGATACTATATAACGCTCTTTTTATAGCGTGTAACATAGAGAATACTGTAACCTAGGCTCTATAGAATAATAACGCCCTTACCCTATTTATAATAAACTGTACTAATAGTTCTGAAATAGTTAGAACCTCTCGGTATAAGCCTAGTGAAACCTCTTTAAACGTAATTGTTACTAGAGTATAGTTTAGTATAGAGAATATTAAGGATTTAGATGAGCCTTACTTTGCCTAGCTTTATAATTGTTTTATAGGTGCTATTAATATAGGAGATTAATTGAAGTCTTATAACTCTAGAGATAGGCTAATTAGGAGAGGGGGATAGTAAGCTCTATAGAATTAGCTATTATAAATAGTTCTTATTAATTACTACCTTCTCTCTATATATATGAACGTGGAAGACTATTAGAATATAGAGGTTAGAGAGAAGTAGACGACTTAAGTTAAATTCCGGAAGGAAATTATACGAGTACTGTTATATACTAATCCAGCTCCTTAGAGCACGTGAAAGCGCGCTTTTTTTAGTAGTAATATAGAGGAATTCCTTGTTCCTCTAAAGCGGTATTCGTAGGTACGTATAGCGTAGGTAGGGGAATGTAGGTCTTATAAAGGGCAAAGGTATAATAATATAAAGCGAGTTACGCTAGGTGAAATCTCGGTAAATCATAACCTTAAACCTTTAAGGAAAAGGTCTTAATATAGCTGTAAAGAGTATAATATTCTATTGTGTAAAGAGAGGGGTTATTTTAATAGATTTTATAGCAGTTAATAGATCTAATGTCATATAGTAGTATCCTCACTAAAATCCTAGCTTTCTAATTGGCCCATACCCCTGCCGCACTAAGATTAGTAAGCGACAGCAGCCCATGGGATATCCAACCTAAATTGCATATCCAGCCTGATCATCTGCCCACCCTTCTCTTTTCGCCTTGTGGCAGACACCAAATCGCTGGATTTATGATCAATGCACCAGCAGCAAGTCCAATGGCACGTGCGATCTTCAATATCTCGTCGCTCAGACTGCACTGTAGGACTGCCCCTCCCCCGGATCCCTCAACATGGAACTCCATGTTCCATTCCATAGGTATAGAATATTGAGACACTGTTGATTTTCCTCCGCATGCTACCTTTTCATGGCAGGTCGCAGGACGCACCATGAGAACGTATGTCAGCATAATTTCCACGACTTTTCCAAGAGAACATTCCCTGACATTCACTACGTCTCAGACGGCTAAGTTCTGATGTTCGAGGGTGTTATGTGTTTGTTAAAATGCAAAGACTGCAACATTTGATCAGTCTCTGTTCCGAGGAACAAAAAGAGGTGTGCTCATCTGATCGCTTGCGCTCAACAAGCGATGTCAGGTACCTATCCTTTCATGCGTCGCATAATTCCCGGAACCGGGAGCAACGCTCTCATGACTTGCTTATTTTTATATAAGAGGAAGGTTGCAAATGGACACCGAGGTCCCACGATCTGTCTACTATCGCGGAACCCTGTCACATAATGCCTTGCGGACTTGCATGGTGACATGCAGGCACTTCAAATTGTATTCTGCACCTGCAGGGACTTGACTTGCCTACATATACGATATCTGGCTGCCTAAGTAAGCGATCAACCGAAATTTTATCCTGTGCATATTCAAGCTAATCATTATCGACGACTCCATAGTGCTTGGCCTAGATTGCGACATACTTTAAATTATGGAAATAAGCTTTGAGGCAGCTGCCACTTTATTCATGTCAAGCCTCTTCCGAGAGCAAGGGCTTAACTCTCATCACCGAACCTCGCTTGCTGCATATATTTATTTACCTTCTCTCGCTTCCTATTTTTATCCCATCCAGCGCTTTTGATGCCTTCGATTATTTAAACTGTCAAGGTCCAACAAACAATTATGCAGATCAAGACAGTGAAGACCGAAGCAAACCGCAGGTTCGGACCAACTTCATGATAAGCAAGGGGCGGGGTTAAAGCATATGCCAAGCAAACCCAAGGGATTTCGCTTGGCGAATATATAATTTAAATGGATCTCCTTCCTAATCAACCAGGGCCCGCGGCTTGGCCATTCTATAGCTCCTTCTAGCAAAGGAAACCGAGCATCCACTCAGATTGTGTGGGGTCTTTGTACCTGAGCGTAGTACCCGGATGGACTTGTGACTTTGGCAACGAATTCGCCTCCGTTGGATTTCCTCAGGCACGATAGCATGCCAAGTATCTTGAGTCCTTCCTTTCCTAGCCCTAGGGTCACAATAGCGACGGAATGGAAGCTCTCTCCCCGTGGGTACTCGCAGATATGCTGGAAGAGGATCGGCACGCCATGCAATAGCTCAATCTTGTCGACTGCTTGAAAGATGGGTCGTGAGGGGTATTTATAACAGCTCAAGTCCCCATTCTTTTTTCCAGGGCACTCCTCTTGTCGTAAAAGACTCAATCTTTCTCAAAGTTTCTCTTGAGCTGTCTTTTCTTTCCGGTAACTGGCATTAGTTGTTCAATATGCGTTTCCCATCCACCGCAAGCGCGCTCGTGCTCAGCGCAGCCGCTGTTCTGGCGAAAGAGCTTCCCAAGGATGAGCTCAAGGCTGGTATGTTGGTTCTTTGAGAAGCTATGTCTAAGCAAAGAAGCTAACTCTAAATAGTCGCCTATGACTCTGGCGAGGTCATGGAAAAAATGATGATGAAAAAGTTTGCCCATTGGGATGCAGAGCTCGCGGCGGGTGTTATGGATTCATCACAATGGCCAAGACTCAACTGGACCACCAAATGTGTGAATGGTCTGGCCGCAGCTATTCCTGGTGACCCACACCACACCTTCAGATGCAAGAACGTTAGTTGACCCCGATCTGGTCTTTTGGGACGGACACTGATTGAAATGACAGACCGACCTATACGACTTCATCAACCATGCAACTCTTGGCTCTCCAGTAAGTGATGCTGAGGGTAGAACTGGAAGTTCAGCATGGGGATGGACAGATCCTAAGTCTGGACGAGAGTTTGCTGGTAAGAATTACATGAGCGCATGATCTAGGAGGTTCAATTGACTTACAATTCTGCAGTTTCTGGAATGTATCAGGGAACTGCATTCATCGAGATCCTGAAGACCGGCAGAATGGTCGAGCTCGCCTTCCTGTAATTCTTCTCCCCTCAAACTATTACTTCTGCCAGCTAATTACTATTTAGTCCACCAGCGGCTCCTCTCGGTCGATATGCTTTATGGAAAGAAATCCGTCCATACAAGAACTTCATGCTCATCGGTAGCGAATTGGAACAGTCAGGTGTCCAGATCTATGATATGACCAAAGTATGCTCTGGAGATTGATATAAATCAGAGGTATCCACTAACCTAAGTGACAGCTTCTTACCATCGATGCTTCGAAAGGCCCAGTTCTGCTCACCCAGGCCGACTTGACTGGTCACTTCACTGATCTCCCCCTCGGCCGCAGCCACAACGTTGTCGTAAACGAGGAGCGCAACTACGCAGTTGCCGTTGGCTCTGCCCCAAGAAACGATAGCTGTGGTGCCGGTCTCATCTTTTTCGATCTCACCGACCCTTCCAAGCCTACCCGCATGGGCTGTGATGGTTCGGATGGTTACGTCCACGATGCACAATGCTTGGTGTACCGTGGTCCAGATGTCAAATACCAAGGCCGTGATATTTGCTACGGGTACAATGAAGACACTCTGACTATCTACGATGTCACTGACAAGAAGGCTTCCAAGGTTATCTCAAGGACTTCGGTAAGCACTTTATTTACTTCTCAACACTTCTCCAAAACAGCTCAACATGAGATCGGAACATTGCTAACATTAAATCCCTAGTACGAGGGAGCTACCTACACTCATCAAGGATGGGTCAATGACAAGCACTGGCAAGAATTCCTCTTCCTCGACGATGAGATTGATGAGGAAGAGTTCGCCGGCCCAGCAGCTGACCAATACCCCGTGACCTACATTTTCGATATCCGCAGCTTGGAGGCACCCAAGCAGACCGGTCTCTACAAAGCCGCCAACATCGGAATCGACCACAACCAATACGTCATCGACGGCCTGAACTACCAAGCCAACTACGGCTCCGGTCTCCGTGTCTACGACGTTTCATCCGTCCTTGAAGACCCAACTGGGGACAGCGTCTGCGAGGTCGCATTCTTCGACATCTTCCCCGAGGACGACAACCTACCCGGTGGAGGCGAGGCAGTCTACTCCGGTACCTGGGCCACATACGCATACTTCCCATCTGGCTTCATCTTCATCAACACGATCGAGCGCGGCGCATTCGTCGTCAAGATCAATAAGAAGGAGAAGTGCAAGCCGAAGACTTGTAATGCCGATAACTGTCTCCGTGCCATGCGCGCGAACAGCATCCCTGGCCGCTTGGAGGAGAGCAAGAAGTTCTGTGGGGAGTTCACGAAGACTTTTGTGGCGAATGTTACGCTGGTTGCGGATTACGCTGTTGATGCTTGCCAGGGTAATGTTATCTCTAGAGTCAGCTCCGCCTGTACTTGTATCCAGACTACGACTGCTACATAGAAGCAGGAAGTAGCTGAGTTAAGTAGATAGATCTGCAGGAAGAAGAAATGTTAATCATAATACTCAACCAACTTCAAAAAATTAGGCTGCAAAAATTGTCACCCCAGATTATCTGCTTAACCATCCCAATGACTATTTAGTGTTCTGGTAGGAATTGCTGGCATCCCCAAAGGCTCGCTAACGTTGTTTTCAATGTGCTTGAAACTTCAGGCTCTTTCAGCTAAGTGCGGGGTAAAAAGTGCCCCGCCAAGCCCCCTAATCCTACCTACCAGCTAACTTCAAGCCCTGAAAAGTTTCTAGAGTTCCTGGAGTCACACATCCAGTCATTGTCACTAATTACTGCTCAAGATGATTCGCGAGACTCTGATAATAGTCATGCAGGGCAATTCGAGTACCTTCGAAAGGCGTACCGTTGTGGCGCAGCAGAGACGCGGGCCGAATCGCGAACTCGTCAAAATTTGTCAAGGTTTGCGGAAACCGTCAAAACGTTACGGACCGCGAAATCGTCGTTACGGACCGTAAACATCGTTACGGACCGCAACGAAATGCGATGTGCAACAAACCAGACTTTCGTTCTTGTATCACATGACAATAAACGTGACATTTCTGGGCCGTTCTGCCACTATAGCTACCTACCTAGGTAGGTACTGCTTGGTAGGTAAGTATTTTGGCTGCAACTGGCCATTTCTGGGAACCACTAGTGGTGCATGCAGGTACTGAGTGGTCAATATACAAATCCTCAGGCAGCACCGAGTCTATATAGATGCTGGTATTAGTAGCTAAGGACGAGATCGACACATGACGCGATGTCAGGCATGGTAATTTGGTGCGAATTCCTAGCATTGCTTCAGCGGCGGATATAGATGTCACAAGGTAAAAGTAAAGAAAATCTGTAGAAAGGAAGAAATTTAGCTAGAGTGCTTTCGATTTCTCTACGTCGCCAGTGTAGTGATAGTTTTGCCGTTTCGTTAAGAACTAGCACTAACTGCCGTTCGTTACCGCTTACCCTAAACGGACTAGCGTTAAGTTTAAAGCTTTAAAATAGCTGTTAGTTAGTCCGGAGGCTTAGTAAACAGGTCTGTTTTAACCTATTTTAGCTAGTTTTCCTAAAGGTGAACTATACTTATTCTAAGTAAAATAATTAAGGAAGTAATAGGATATTAAAGCATATAGATTTATAAAACCTTAATATAAATATATAAAAGTTATATATAATAAAAGCTAGAGTAGAGATCTTTAATTTAATATACTATTTATAATTTAAATGCGTTTAGTTATTACAAGAGAAGCTATTAAAGTTAAGTTATTTCTTATAGAGTTTATAAGTTAAATAACTACTCTAAAATACTTAAAATAGCTCCTTTAGCTTCTTTAACTTAATAATAACGAAATAATAATACCTCTAGTACCCCTAGAGGCTCTTTAACTCTTAAAAGAAAAGAAAGCTACTAAGCTTATCTGTGACGAATCGTACCTGAGGTTGCCTTAGTGCCTTAGGCCACTACCCCTTATTCGTGTATATAGCCTCTCGCAGAACCCTTCTAGTTCTGTACCTTAATATTCTAAGTATTCGAACTACCTTTTACTTGCTTCACGTCATATTATCTATCTTTTACTTCTCTACTAGCGGAAAACGATATAGTACCTCTAATTCTAGTCTATTTAGATTTAATAACTCATAGAGTAACTTTAGAGCCTTATATATCTCTTAAAATAGCTCTAAAAGCAGGTAAACGATAGGCGTAGGTATTTTAATATATACTAAGCGCTAATATAAAGGAGAAATACTATAATAAGATTACTAGTAAAGAGATATAGCGCTATACTTATTACTCTTAGTAATATAACATTTCTAGTAGTATAAGGTCTCTTAAGCTTTATTTAGCTAGCTATAGACTTAATAAAAGTAACCTCTAAGGAACTAATATAACTTATAGCGATTCTATACGCTAAATACCTTTTTAAATAAGTTTTGAGCGCTAGGCGGAATTAAGTAAGAATCACTAATTTAAATAGTATCAGTAAAAAGATCTGACTCCAGGCAGCCGCCGGCTAACCGCCGTAGGCGCTATTTTCGCTATTTCAGCCTAAGTTATATATTAATTAATTTAATAGCTAGCGACCCCTAAGGCTATATATAGTAATTTAAATTAACAACGTAGGCGCCTAAGGCAACTAAGGCGCTATAGGTACTTATAAGCCTAATTAGGACTAGTATATAAAATAAAAGTAGGTCCGATTTTTTTATATTATATAAAGTATATTAGTAAGCTTACTAAAAGCTTTAATAATACTAAGAATACTAAGGATACTAAGGATACTAATAAGGGTATACCTTATAATAGGTATTATATCGTGTACTATAGGGAGAAGCTTCATATAATATGAAAGTCTTAATTTATTAAGGTATTCTAGAGCTCCCCTATAGAGGAAAGCTCTAGGAGTTCTAGTTATATAAGCAGCTTCTAGTTAGCTAAAGCGCTTTAGGAAGTGCCTTAGGTACGCTAGGTATATAATACACCCCCTCGCTTAGCTTTATAATAGTAAGCGAAGTAATATAAATAGTATAGATAATACTACTTGAACTATAATAGGAGTTAATACTAACTAATAGCGTTAAGTCTTAAGCGCCTAGTAGCTCTAAGTATATAAAGTAGGTAAGTTCTTCTAAATACTCTTTCCTTAAATAATAACTTTAATATAATATTAGTAAATATAACTAAAAGCTCTTATACCTCTTATACCTCGCGTGCCTCTAATCTTACTACTACTCGCGTAGTAAAAAAGAAGACTATAAGTTATTTATTTAAAGATTCCGATATAGTTAGTATTATAAGAAATTATTAGAACTATACTAATACCTTATAAAATAGGCCTATAGCTACTATACCTCTCCTACTGCCGCCTCCCTACTACTACTACTACTATTACTACTACTACTACTACTATTACTATTACTACTAACTCCCGCCTGCTGCTCTACTATAGTAAGAGCTATCTGTGCTATACCTTATAGCTACTATATTTATAATAGTTTATAAGGTACACTAGGCGACTCCTATTGTAATAAAGAGATAGCTTCGCGCTATTTTTATTATTATAAAAATAATAAATTAAATTATATTACCGCTTCCACTCGCGCCGCTAAACTCTTCACTAGCTACTTAATAGCCCGGGCTCTTCTAGAGGGTATACATGTAAGTGTTTCCTTATATTATAGTATTAGAATAATAAAGTATTAAGGTATTAATATTAAAGTATTAAGTGAGGCTAACTCTATAATATATATAAGCTTTTACAGTCTACTAAGCCGCTATTCGGAAGGCCTTAAAGACTAAAGAGAATAAAAATAAGAATAGGATCTATGCCGCTATTTATAAGTTATAATAGTAATCTTATAGATTTCAGATATTATCTAACTATTAATATTAGTTACTACTCTTACTTTCACCTTTACTTTCTATAGAGAGACTACTATTTCTTCCCTCTGCCTTATTTTTAGCGCTATAGGAATAAGCTCTAGCTCTATAGGAGCTACTATTATCGCCCTTATAGCGCGTTTAGCCTTATATACCTCTGCCTTAGTAGAGGTTAATATTATAGCTAGCGCTACCTAGTAATTAATTAACTATTAGTCCGCAGACCTTTACTATGGAAATATAAGGGGAATCAGGGGGTATAGGTAATCTCGGTTAGAGGGTAGACCCCTTTTGTATAGAAACCGGGAGTTATTTAGGAGGTGATATATATTCTAACTCTTAGATACTCTTTATAATACACTTTTAAATACCTTTAAACTGAACCTTAGATTTTAATATATATTAATATATACTTATTATTTATTTACTAGTATAATACTAATACTAATTAGTAGTTACCTATCGTGTACTGTAGGGAGGAGCTTTATGTAGTGTGAAAGTCTTGATTTATTAAGGTATTCTAGAGCTCCCCTATAAGGGGAAGCTCTAGGAGTTCTAGTTATATAAGTATCCTCTAGTTAGCTGAAGCGCCTTAGAGAGTGCCTCAGGTGCGCTAGGTGCACGATATACCCCCTCGCTTAGCTTTATAATAGTAAGCGAAGCGATATAAATAGTATAGATAATACTACCTAAACTATAATAGGAGTTAATACTAACTAATAGCGTTAGGTCTTAACTGCTTAGTAGCTCTAAGTATATAAAATAGGTAGGTTCCCCTGAATACTCTTTCTTTAAATAATAACTTCGATATAATATTAGTAAATATAGCTAAAAGCTCTTATACCTCTCGCGCCTTACGTGCCTTTAACCTCGCTACTACTCGTGTAATAAAGAAGAAGACTATAAGTTATTTATTTAAAGATTCTGATATAGTTAGTATTATAAGGAATCGTTAGAACTACGCTAATACCTTATAAAATAGGCCTATAGCTACTATACCTCCCCTGCCGCCGCCTCCCTACTACTACTATTATTACTACTACTACTACTAACTCCCGCCTGCCGCCCTGCTATAGCAGGGGCTATCCGTGCTATACCTTACAGCTACTATATTCGCGGTAGTTTATAGGGTACGCTAGGTAACCCCTATTATAATAAAAAGATAGCTTCGTGCTATTTTTATTATTATAAAAATAATAAATTAGGTTATATCGCTGCCCCTACCCGCGCTACTAAACTCTTCGCTAGCTACTTAGTAGCCTAGGCCCTCTTAAAAGGTATACACGTAAGTATTTCCTTATATTATAGTATTAGAATAACGAAGTATTAAGGTATTAATATTAAAGTACTAAGTAAAGCTAACTCTATAATATATATAAGCTCTTATAATCCGCCGGGCTACTATTCGAAAGGCTTTAGAGGCCGAGGAGAATAAGGATAAGGATAAGGATAAGATCTGTACTACTATCTATAAGTCGTAATAATAGTCTTATAGATTTTAGATATTATCTAACTATTAATATTAGCTGCTATCCTTACTCTTACCTCTGCTCTCTGTAGAGAGACCGCTATTCCCTCCCCTTACCCTGTTTTTAGCGCTATAGAAATAAGCTCCGGCTTTATAGGAGCTACTATCGTCGCCCCCGCGGCGTGTTTAGCCTTATATACCTTTACTTTAGTAGAGGTTAATATTATAGCTAGTACTACCCGGTAGTTAATTAACCTTCTCTTCCCTCCCTAGTAAGTAGTATAGGCTTTATAACCTTTAAGTAGTAGCTTAGGAACGTTACCTTTTTATTATTATAATTTAGGCTAGCGTATTAGTACGGCTTTATAACTTAGAAGTTGTAGCTTAGGATTAGGTCCCTTATACTTTATGTTATTTTAGTATAGCTTTATAAC